GTTCACACTCTTGTGAGGTATTATCCGCTCTGGCCCCCTTGCCCTCGCGGTGTTATCCTACAAAAGGTACCTCACAAGATGGAGATGGTGTGAACCCTTTTATACCCCAGTAACCCTTTTATTATGTTCAATGTGAGATTCAGGACTTCCCCTTAGGTCCGTGACATTCTTCCGTACCCAACCTCGTGACGTCCTCATCACAGAGACTGACCACCCTGCCTGCCTCCCTCAAGGTGCTTGGCGTGGATCGAACGGTATAGGGCTGACTCTGATACCATTTGTCATGGGTCGAGAGTTAAGTTTCGAACCCGCACGGCTTCTAAACCTAGGCATTCACCCTTTCGGAGTCCCGAATCAGAGTGACCGCCACAGTTCAAACCATCTATGTCTTGTGAGATACTTTTTGTAGGATAAAACTATGAGGCCAGGGGGTCAAAGCGGATAATACCTCATAAGGGTATGAACCGTGGCAGGAAGGCTGATCTGGGACATCGAAAGGGTGAATGCTCGGGTCTCGGAGCCATGCGGGTTCAGAGCTTAAGTCTCGACCCGTGACAAGTGGTATCAGAGCCAGCCCTAAACCGTTCGATCCATGCCAAGCACCTCGAGAGAGGTAGGCAAGGTGTCACGGACCTAAGAAGGAGTCTTACAAGCTGGATATGCCACCCAAATCGAGGGTACACCCGGTGTTCCATGTGAGCATGCTCAAGTCGTTCTATGAGGATAAGAGAGATCCAGAACGGGCAGAGTCAAAGCGTGCGCCATTGAAAGCAAGGACCTCATATAAGAAGGAGGTCCACAGCATCATAGCTGATCGGGAGGTGAGACGAAAGAACTATCAACCAAGACATGAGTACTTGGTGCGCTGGAAGGGACTTTCAGACAGTGAGGTGAGTAGGAACCAGCAGATGACTTATGGCAGTTCGAGACCAGATCAGGCAGTACCATACAGAAGACGTAACGAGGGCATTACGTAATCAGGTAGGAGAATGTCACACCCTGGACGGGCGCGCCAGGCACATCAGGCGGACCAGCAGGCGAGCCAGAGGTTGAGGCCCGCAGACCAGGTGTCATGGTCAAGCCTTGGTCCTGCAATGACTGACCCTGGAGCAAGCAGCGGTCGAGATCGAGCTGATGGGAAAGCGGTTCTAAGGAATGCGGGCGTGCGTTCAGAGCTTTGAAACATGATGCTAACATGTTGTGGGGGCAATGGGAGCCCCGAGCCGTAATATACGCGGGGAAGTTCGGGACAGTGGTCGGACACCCTCAAGCCAAGTAGCCTGACGGGTGCCATCTGTGGGAGCAGTGTGCGGGCGTTCTGAACATGGGAATAGGTTAGGGACATTGTGTGTGGACGGTCCATGCACTAAACCCTGAGATATACAGGTAAGTATAAGGCATTTCACCGGTGCCTTAGGAACAGCTAGTCAGACAGGTGCTATCGGTAGAAGCCATGTGCGGGCACCTTCGAGTGGGTTGGTGGAGCAACGAGCAGAATCAAGGAGCAATGGTGACCAAGAAGAAGGTTACGGGGCCCTAAGTTAGCCGGAGAAAGGCCCTGAGGTGGTTGGACAGAAAAGTGTCCCCGTTTCAGACATTCTTACGGTCACTGGTAGCATATTGGAAAAATCTCTAACGTTCTTTATAGGGGGACGACTGGTGTCAGATCTCCACCACCCCCTTGGCTAACGAGTAGGTGGGGGCCTGGCTAGTCTGAAGTGAGCTACTCCTAGTCACTAGTGGTGGTTAGGTAGACGGGCATCGTAGGGTCACGAGCGTGGCACGATATTTTTTTGGGTCACGATAAACCCAGGGGTGGTTGGGGTCAACGGGCCTCGTATCGCGCCTTTGTGTTGAACCATGAGGTTGGACGGTAGAGATCGTTAGGCCCCTTGGTTTCCCCTCCTCGAGCCGAAAGGATCATGTGATGGTGTTTACGTAGGAGGGATACCATCGAGCCAAAAGGATGTGCGGGCTAGCAGGCAAGCACGTTACTAGACCCCTGTGGCCAGTTGGGCTGGTGTGCTGCAGCTGAGGCAGTCCACCTGAGTCCCCTTGCGGGACTAGCATGATGTTAGGTGTGTGGGCGGCCGATACTGATGCTAAGGGCCTAAACCCTAAGAATTGAGTCCCTTGGAGCGAGAGGAGCCTAAAGGCTCTGAACTGACTGCTGACCAGCTTAAGTGGGGTGCTTGCGTAAACTTGATACGGGAGCTTACGTATCATACGGGCGGGCATGGTGTTGGGTTCTCACCATGCCAAGATGTAATAACATCAAGAGAATCGGGGCTGTGTGCCCCTACGAGATTCGAGGGTCGGGGCTCGAATCATTAAGCTTTGCGGCCAGAGCTAGGTGCTCATGGTCACGTAGAGAACCATGAGCCGATGTGTAATGAGAGATGGGTTCCTCTTTATAGAGTTCGGAATAAACAACCCTACGGGGCTAAAAGCCAGAAAAGGCTCGTGGGCATGCGGCTTGAAGGATCAGATTTGGGCAGTCCGCGAAGAAAAATGGGCATGGTGAAGGCTGACCTTGACTAAGAGTAGTCTTGGTGCCTCACAGTAGCGCGATTTCAGTAAGGGAAACGCGTGGACCGTGACACCAGGCGTGCTGACGGGTATTTGTGCGTAAACCCTAGCAAACGAGTTCAGAACGCCCGCCTGACTTGCAGGCCAGCCTGTGAGACCAAGGCCTGGCATACAAGCTGCCCGCACCACATCCAAAAGGGCCCAAGGTGCTGGACATGCAAGGGAAGCTTCTGAAAGCAGGCAGGATCAGCTAGAGCATCTTGGCAAATTTGGTTGACCCTAAAAATCAGGAGTTAGCATCCTAATTGATTGTAATCTATATAATCCCATGATTTTAGCCTTTATTTTAGGGATATGCCATTAAGTTATAGCTGGAGCCTCAACTATAAATAGAGGGCTGCTCCACCCTCATTTGTACACCATCAAACACTTCTGTTTCAGTGAATACAAGAGTATTTCCAGAATTCTGTCTTGTTCATCCTGTTTCTCTTTAACTTACGTAATCAGCCCTTCCCATTGTTCTAGTGCCCGCACGCTTGTGTTTTAGACTGACTTAGGCACAAAGGAGGAGATTCCAAGCTTAAGGTCGTACGATTTCTGAGTCTAAGGTCAGAGCCCGTGACAGTTGAGGGTATAAAAAGGTTCACACCATCTCTTCCTTGTGAGATGCCTTTTGTAGGACAAAATCGTGAGGTCAGGGGGGCCAAAACGGACAATACCTCACAAGGGTGTGAACCGTGGCGGAAAGGCTGATCTGAGATGCCGGATGAGTGAATGCCCGAGTCCCAGAGCCGCGCGGGTTTGGAGCTTAAGTCTCGACTCGTGACAAGTGGTATCAGAGCCAGCCCTAAACCGTTTGATCCACGCCAAGCACCTCGAGGGAGGTAGGCAGGGTGGCCAGCCTCCGTGACGAGGGCGTCACGAGGTTGGGTGCAGGAGAATGTCACGGACCTAAGGGAGAGTCCTGAATCCTACATCGAACATAATAGGAGGGTCACTGGGGTATAAAAGGGTTCACACTATCTCTTCCTTATGAAGCACCTTTTGTAGGACAAAATCGTGAGGCAAGGGGGGCCAGAGCGGACAATACCTCACAAGGGTATGAACCGTGGCAGGAAGGCTGATCTGGGATGTCGGAAGGGTGAATACCCGAGTCCCGGAGCCGCGTGGGCTCGGAGCTTAAGTCTCGACCTGTGACAGTGGTATCAGAGCCAACTAAAGGTGTAAATGATACATTAGTACTCGCAAGTTACTCGGGTTCAATTCGAAAAAAACTCGAATTCGGTTCGATTATTATTAAGTCGAGCTCGAGTAGCTCGACTTATCGATCGAGTCGAATTCGAGTATTCTTATATCTGACTCGAGTAGCTCGCGAGCCTAATCGAGCTTTTATATTTAAATATATTTTTATTATTTTAATTAATAAAATATTTCGAGTCCGAGTTCGAGTTCGAGTTCGAGCATGAATAATCGAACTCTTGTCGAGTATACGAATCGAGCTTATTTTTACATATTAATCGAGCTTAATCGAGCGAGCTCGAGTAGCTCGAATTCGATCACGAATGGAGCTCGAGTTTCAAAAATAAAACTCGATCGAGCTCGAGCCGAGTATCGAGCCCCGAGTTGTGAGTCAAGCTCAAGCTCAAGCTTCTCACTATTCGGCTCGGCTCGTTTACAGCCCTAAAGCCAGCTCTAAACCGTTCGATCCACGTCAAGCACCTCGAGGGAGGTAGGCAGGGTGGTCAGCCTCTGTGACGAGGGCATCACGAAGTTGGGTGCGGAAAATGTCACGGACCTAAGAGGGAGTCCTGAATCCCACATGGAACATAATAGGAGGGTCACTAGGGTATAAAAGGGTTCACACCATCTCTTCCTTGTGAGGCGTCTTTTGTAGGACAAAACCGTGAGGCCAGGGGGGGGCCAGAGCGGACAATACCTCACAAGGGTGTGAACCGTGGCGGGAAGGCTGATCTGGGACACCGGATGAGTGAATGCTCGGGTCCCAAAGCCGCGTGGGTTCGGAGCTTAAGTCTCGACCCGTGACAAGTGGTATCAGAGCCAGCCCCAAACAGTTCGATCCACGCCAAGCACCTCGAGGGAAGTAGGCAGGGTGGCCAGCCTCCGTGACGAGGACGTCACGAGGTTGGGTGCGGGAGAATGTCACGGACCTAAGGGGGAGTCTTGAATCCCACATCGAACATAATAGGAGGGTCATTGGGGTATAAAAGGGTTCACACCATCTCTTCCTTGTGAGGCATTTTTTGTAGGACAAAATCGTGAGGCTAGGGGCCAGAACGGACAATACCTCACAAGGGTGTGAAACGTGACAGGAAAGCTGATCTGGGACGTCGGAAGGGTGAATGCCCGGGTTGCTATTAAAAGAATCAAGCAGAGAGACACTGAGTGGCAAGTAAGGAATGAAATCAAGCTAATTTCATCTGTCAGCCACCCAAATCTAGTGCGCCTCTTGGGTTGCTCCATAGAAAATGGTGAACAAATACTTTGTGTATGAGTTTATGCCTAATGGAACATTATGCCAGCATTTACAAAGAGAGAGAGGTGATGAACTTGCTTGGCCAGTTCGCCTTACAATTGCTGCTGAAACTGCACAAGCCATTGCTCATCTGCACTCTGCTATAGATCCCCCAATATACCACAGAGACATCAAGTCTAGCAACATACTCCTTGATTACAATTTCGGGTCCAAAGTAGCAGATTTTGGTCTTTCTAGACTTGGAAGGACTGAAATATCCCACATCTCAACAGCCCCTCAAGGAACTCCAGGATACCTCGATCCTCAGTACCATCAAAACTTCCATCTTTCAGACAAAAGCGATGTTTATAGTTTTGGGGTAGTTCTCATTGAGATCATAACAGCATTAAAAGTGGTGGACTTTTCTAGGCCTCCAAATGCAGTTAATTTGGCAGCTGTTGCTATTGACAGAATTAGCAAGGGGCGTTTAGATGAGATCATTGACCCATTACTAGAGCCAAATAGTGATTCTTGGACATTATCTTCAATCTACAAGGTGGCAGAGCTGGCTTTTAGATGCTTATCATTTCACAGGGACATGAGACCTACAATGATAGAAGTAGCAGCAGAATTGGAACAAATCAGGCTAAGTAGATGGGTTTCTACAGAAGAAATTACTTGTGCAGCTTCATCAGAGGTATCTCCTTGCTCTTCCTCATCCAATCTAAGCGAGCAACCACTGAGCATGGCAGTTAATAAGAAGTTTGGACTGGAAAATAGAAGCCTATTTATGCTTCAGATGACTAATGTTGGCTCTGTGAACTTGATGAAAAAATTGAAGGATAATTCACAAGTTTCAGTCCAAGGCCCATGGTTGAGTGAACAAAGCTTTCGTCGGACAGTTTGCTGAGCAATGCAACCCATTAACCAGAAGCCACTCTTTCTTCAGATTTCAACTTCATCTCGGCCTGTTATTACTTTGGTGTCATCAATGCAGTACCAGAGTTTTGTCCCTCTTCATAGTTTCTAAGAGCTCCCTACCTTGTGTATGTATTTATCGACACGAATTAAAATGTTCCCATTAATGTCTTTTTCTGCCTTTAGTGTATCACAATACTGTTATCGGGACTTGTTGACACGAAAATTCGGTGACAGACGAAAAGAGTACAGCTAAAACAAACAGGCAGACGCGTGATCAAAACCTTGTATAATTGTTGGGCCCTGTTATAAAAAATCAGCCTCAGCCTTTATAATGTTTGGGGAAATAGTGGAGCAAGGCCTGAACAGTTGTTACCCCTACATTGTTGTAAGTAAGCCGATATAATAATCTAATCAAAGGGCCTAGTTTGTTTGTCAGTTTGTGTCGAACGGCTTACCCAACTCTGCAACTGAAGAACCACCTCGTACCTTGGGCGTACTTGGGGTGTTTAAGAGGTGCTGTTACAACCAGCAACTTCATCGAACTAAAACCCTTAAAAAATTGGAACTGCAATCCGTTTTTCTCGGATTTCCTGTCCCAAAGTTCAAATCGTCCAATCATCGTCGTTTATCTCATCAATCCGTAAGTAAATCTCTCCTAAATTTCGCTCAAGTTTGTAACTTTTTTAAGTAAGTCATGCGAATTACCCTCCGAAAGCCAAGAAACCAAAGTACAAAGGACGGTGCAGATGTATCTGGATCGTTGGGGGTTAAGTAAGACATTTCACTTGCTGACTTCTGGACTATTTTGTACTTTCAGTTGATAGCAGAGGAGCCCTAACTTCTATGCCCCTAACGGAGTATAGAGTATGGACTAGGTATAAAGCTAACTGATGAAAAACACTGAAAATAAAAACATCTGGAAGTGCATCAATTAGCTGCTTCGGCTGCATTTTATTTACAGTGTAGGTGATTGATGGGAGCAATTGGTGGGTTTTTTCTACGATGCGTGTTTTGTTTGATTTCCAAGAAATTTTATGAAATGAAGAGAAAAATAAAAGCTTTTCCTAATGAAACCATATCTTGTTCTGAAAAATGTGAAGAATAGACTTCTAAGTTTTTAACCTTATTCTTTCTCTATTCATGTGTGTCTGCAGATTAGATTTATGGGTTTGAATTGCACAAGCAGATAAGATTTTAGATTACAGGAATTTGCGGCGATGATAATATCAAAGACCTTTTATTTTCTGAGGCCTTTCCTGTGATAGAGTCTCAAGCACTTTTGAGCCGCATCTTAATAGCAAAAAAAGTTTGTCTATGTGATTTTCTCAATTTCTGAGGCACGTTCATTTTTAATTAATCCCCTGACTCCTTTACGGGTGGAGTTCCAAATTCCGATGTGATTTGCATGAAATGGCATTTGTTTCTTGTTGAATTTTGGGCTCATGGTTTGGTTCACGGCCATGGGGCTATCGTTGATATCTCCAGGTATAAAAGGTTTTCTTTCCCATCTGCCTGATTTTGTTTGAAAATTCATCTGTTGATGAATTATATTGGATTGAAGTTGCTTCTTGCAAATTCTTTTCTACGTTCAACCTCTCTAATTCATACTCTGTAACAGTGATGCAACTTCTGCGTTGATCTTTCTACGCAGCCTTTTGGGTTTTGACCCAATGATCACCGCATACTGCTCTGGGTATTCAAACATTCAAGTTTCAACCATTCAAATTACTCTTCTTTGGAGGATAAAACAAAAATCTACCTCCCTTGACCTTCCAGGAATGAAAAATTTTGCAGATATTTTCCTTAAAATTCATGAAATAACTTTAACAATACGACAGAATCTGAGATGTTTCATGGAAGTCACAGAGAAAGAATGTCTTGTTCCTCTTTTTATTGTGTAACAAATATTCTATGTAGGCATAAAAAAAACCTGTAGATCGCAACCTGATGAAGAGTGAATCAACGGTGGTTAATGTGACAGACAAAGTGAAAAGTGAACTAACGGTAGTGAGTTAGACAACCAAAGACTCAAGGACAAAACAAGATCCCTGTGCTGTTTGATTTGCTCCTCTCATTACTAATCAGGACGTGTTGCCGCCGACTATAATTCCTGGAGGGAAGCACGAAACAGCAAGCGAAGCCAAGCAAGCAGCCCGTTCCGTACTTTTAAAAAATGAAAAAGCAAACAGACCCCTAAAGATACAGGTTGACACGTGTTCGGTTCACAGCTAAAGTGGGCCACACGCATAGAAATTAAGAATTGCATTTTGGGCTTATCAACTTTGTAATTGTTTGTCAGATGTCTATACCAACAATTCAAAGCCTAACTCTCCAAGAAAAAGTGGAAAAAAGGCGCTTCCCATGTAGCGACAATTACAACTAGTATGATGCGAATCTTCTTCGATTTCATGGTATAAAATGAATAGAAACACCCCACCAATTACAAGAATCAAAACAAGTTTCAAAAGACTTCCAATTTTCTAAAGCCAAAGAACAATGGCTACCACTAGATTGTTGCGTTCATCTAACAAGCCTTTGGGTCGCATTTTTGCTGCTTCTTCTTATTGGCCCTCTTCGTCGGTGAAAACTGTGAGGTGTACAAGTAAGGTAGGGCTAGATGGGGGGAAAAGAGCTTGTGGGGGTGATGAGAGAAAACCAACGGTGGCTGTGAAGGCTTCTGTGGCAGCAGCGGAGAGTGGTGTGGTCATATCAAAGCCACAGGTTGACTGGGGAAGAGAGTTGGCATCATTGCTCGCAAATGCTATTAATGTTATGCGTCAGGTTTTGAGGCCGGTTGTGAAACCAAGACCTTCGAAATTTCACGTTCAGATGCTCATTGAAAAGGTATAATACTCTTGTCAGTTATATATACCCCGTCATTGAAGAGCTTTAACTTTTCATATGTTTAGTCATTTGCAAACGGAACAATTAAATTTATCAGCTGCAATCCTGCATGCAGGTCATAGTTGATTGTCGATTCTTTACCATATTTGCTGTTGCGGGATCTTTGCTTGGATCAATACTGTGTTTCATGGAGGTAATTGCATGCTTTCAACAATAAAAAAAAAAAAAAAAAACCTTAGGCTTTGTTCTGTTTGTTTTATATAGGAGTAAGATCGTATTTAACTATGAAAATGACATCAATCCTGCAGGGAGGCTTTCTTATTCTGAAGTCATATTTGCAGTATTTCTATAGCTTATCACAAAAGTCAGATCAAGAACATATCATCCACCTTCTGATAGAAGCCATAGGTATTATACTGCAAAGTTCATTATTGAGTTAAGTAATATTATTTAATTGTTAAATTTTCTATTCTTCGCAGATATGTTCTTGGTTGGAACCGGCATGCTTATTTTTGGGATGGGGCTGTACATCATGTTTGTGGGATCAAAGACTATGAAAGGAGGTGCTCCCTCGCTTCCAAGGTCGAACTTGTTTGGGCTCTCCCATTTGAAGGTATTCAACTTAATTTCTTTTATACTCCTTTGTTATACCAAGAACAAACCATCAAGCAATTTACAAGATTTATGTATGATTCTTTCAGACACTTCCGGCTTGGGTTGAAATGAAATCAGTTTCACAAGCAAAGTCAAAAATCGGGCATGCTGTGATGATGATACTTCAAGTTGGTGTTTTGGAGAAATTCAAGAGTATACCTATTGTTACTAGCTTCGATCTTGCCTGCTTTGCTGGGGCTGTATTGATTTCCTCAGCTTGTATATTCCTTCTCTCGAGGCTTTCAGTTGGCAGTACCATGGGAGATAGGTAGTCGAAAACATTTACAGGAGAAAGAAGATTGAGAAGAAGAGACAAACCTTTCATTCTTTTGGTAACTTGTTCTTTTTGTAGCATCACTGGTATATGTTTGTATAGCCACACAGCTGTTAATTAGATTGGAAAAAATGAAAATCTTAAAAGGTATAAAGGGTAAGCTTTGGGCAAGTTTGCGGTGTTAAGTATATCAATACCTTTCAGCAGTTGGGGCATCTTAATTTTGCTGGGTTGATTCTCATACTTTAGTCAATTTGTCAATAAAAATTTGGAGCTATTTATAAACGATTAGTATAAGTTATCTGTTGGTACAATAATATTAAGTCTCACTTTGAACTACAACAGACCTTTGGAGATAAGAAAAAATGGAAAAAATAAAAAAAAAAAAATCTCAAACAGATGATTCTGGCTTTGCCTCATCCTGGAATTGTCTGAGATCTATTGGGAAATCTAAGCTGAAGCTTTCCATGATAAGTAGCATCAGCTTCAGATGACTGGGAATCAGTCTGCGCAAAAACTGCAATCCCACGTGCAAATGCAAAAGAACCTGTTCCTCCAACCACTGTTAATTCTTCTCTATCCTTCCTTTCAACATGCTTGGCCTGGACGCTTAGACTCCCAGAAAACTGAGGTGTCTCAAAAGTGAGATAAATTATGTTGAATGCAGAATTAGCAAAATGTTCAATCGGAATAATGAAGCCTTGTGCTTTTCCAACTACATGGGACGTGTTCTCAGGTCCCTCCGTGAGTGCGCGGTGAAAGATAAAGGCTCCGGTATCTGACTGGGCAACAGTTGGGATGCTGGAGATTGAAATATGTGGCTGCTGGATGTACAAGGACAGGGCCAGCCAAGGTTTAGATGGGTTATTTGCTGCCTTTTTGTGGGCTACCGGTGAGAGCAAGGCCGAAAGAATAACAACCAGAATGGCTAAAAGAACTGCAAAGCAAAATATAATTCTAGGAAGCATTTTGTAGAATTGGAGCAGCCTCCAATCTATTGCTTGAATTGATATGCATCTTTTGAGATCACTTTAATACATTACCTGTTGAAACGAACCTGTTCGGTTCCTCGGTGCTTAATGCTTTTGGCCACCAAATCCACTTCCTCAGCTTTAAACCTAAACCGTTAGAAACAATGGTCGCCCCTGGAATTGAGTTGGTTGTGGGCCTTGAGTAGGTAAAATGACTTATGACTACTTATGAATTATGATCATTTAAGGGGCTTACGATCAATAAACTTGAGACAACCAACATCAGAATACATCAAGGTAAGAGTAAGAGTAAGTGTAAGATTCAATTCCTCCGTCTTACAATCAAATCTCTTAGTTTATAGGCTTTTCTTTCATCACTTGCCTAAATAGATGGACAGAAAAATAGAAAAGCTTTTAAACAATGATATGTACGTAAAAAATATAGCGTGGTGAAAGGAGAGTAATCGAAAAGGGCATCTGTTCAATTATATGATAATGATTTATAAAAAATGTTCAATAGCAAAAAGCTGCTTTTGGCAACGCCACCATAGGAGCTATAGACATAAACCTTATCATTTATGCAAAAAGCAAGTAGCTGCTTGTAATAAACTGCTTCCTATATACATTGGGACGGCTAAGGAATCCATGATTTTCTTCATGCTTCCACGGCAGCAAGGTCAGATCAGCACTGAATGTTCAGTAGAGTACCCAAACTGATTCTCTCCCAGCTTGATTGTTAGGTACAGCACCTCAACTGACTCTGGAAGCCGAACAATAGCCGAGAAGATCCATCACTTCACCCAGGTTAGTAGCTATTGAAATATATGTTAGTCATATTTATCTCTGAATGTCCATGAAATTAAAATTTGAGGGAAAAAAGATCAAGCATTAGACACCAATAACTATTAGTGCTAAAGAGTTGCAATATGCATACCATATCTTAGTGTCCCAACAATTAGGATGAGGCTTTCTCCACACCCTTTGACCTGTAAGGTGCTATTCTGTGAACTGTCCGCTGGATGGAACCCAGCAAATCCGTTTCAATATATTCATACCTACGCAAGAACAAACAGATATAAATTACATTGAACATTCTGTCTATCCCTAATCAAAATGAATCAACTCTATCAAAACCTCAACTCTGATCTGCAACAACACCCCCCATCTATATGAAACTATGATAGTCAAGTGTTCAATTAAAAGAAACCTACTATAAATTATAGTCTTCCAATGCATTTAGATGTGATATCAGATCAAAGAGAACTTTAAGGTTTAAATCAGAGACTTACAAATTTCGGCAGAGATTATCTGTAGTCCCGGAAAGAGCAATGATCCTCATTCTAAAACTCAAAATGTCATTCTCAGAGTAGGTATCAAACTTCTCCTCTAAAACTGAAGACAGCTTCTCAACATTAGCCTCAAATTGTTGCTGTTGGTCCTCAAACAAATTCTGCTTTATTTTCCTCTCTGTCTTGCTCATTTCATCTTCGAATTGGTCATCACCAAACATATAGTATGCAAATGCATAGGAATATGAAAGAATCTGCCTTGATCTAAAGAGCCTGTAGAGTCCGTTTATTATCCAACTGAAATCTTTAGATGTTGATAAATTTTCCTCCAGTATGTTTATTTTTCCAATTATTGTTTCCTTTAGCTTAGACTCAAGCTTTAAAGAATCTATATGAGCTTTATATCGATTGTGGTAGTGAATATAGCGCTCAAGGTAGTGCCTTGCAAGCTCACTTTTCTTCTCATGGTCGTTCTTATATCGTCCACAACTGTGACCAGTAATAGAGGTATTCGTGTGTTCTCTACCAGTAGCAGCACCACAGATCCAACTGCATAAACAAGAAAGAATTTACAATTTACAAATATCTTTCAATGGACCTTATAGCCAACATACAAAATCATGTAATAATAAAGAAAAAATCACCTGGCATAATCCATCTGATTAACCAATTAAATTACACAGTTTCATTCACACAAGAAACATAAGAAGGCAATCAAAGTAAAATGTGACAGGCCCTTTTGGTAATTCCTCCAGTCAAAACTTCCTTACCAAGATTTTATGTCCATACCTTTAATTATGTTGCAAAATGGAACAAGAAATCACAAACCATTATCTACAAGAGACAAAGATAAGAGCTCTCACCAAAATGATTGCCCACATAAACAGGATACATGGTTGCAGCCTCCATTCTTTTCAACTGGCTTGTGGCATTTTGGACAAGGCTTTGTGTTGATTGTAATCCAATTAACCGTCTCTGATTCATCCTGGCACTTTGGACAAGGCTTTGTGTTGATTGCAATCCAATTAACCGTCTCTGATTCATCCTGGCACTTCTTGGACCAGAGTTCCCACATGAGACAAGAACAAGGTGAATGAGCTTCAGATAAACAACTAAAACAAAACTGTATGCCACATGGACATTCAACCTCACAAAGTTCATCATCCTCGATCCGTATTGCATTTCCGCAATGAGGGACACTGGGGCACCATTTAACTCTTCTATTATCCTCAATATATGATTCCAAAAGAACACGATCAAATTTCTCTGAAAGATTAGGATCCCTTGTACTAACTAATTGTCTGATTTTTTCTTCATCACAAACAGCATTACACTTGAGTGCCATGCACCTAATGCGTCTACTCTGGCCCTCATTTATCTTCACAATGAAATGTTCAGTCCAACCTAAGCAGAAACAGATAAGAAAGATTTCAGCCTCCTCCTTTTCCAGGCATCAAGAGATTCATAAAGCACTTGTACGATAAACTTTAACAGTTTCATTTCTTCTCCAAATAAGCAGAACCGAGAATTTGCTTAATATATTCATCAATTTTTCTTCTTTAATTTTCTAATTGAATAGAATTAGCAAGTTGTAGCACAGGGTCAATAAAAGTCAATTTCTATTCCAACAAGATCTTTCCCATTCAGATATAAGAATTAAAAGAGAAAATTAGTTTTCAGGAAAGAAAGAGCTACCCAACTTCAGAACTATGGAAACCTGTCCGACAGTATACTTCAGAATTGGACCAATTCAACAGAAACACCGAGGTTACATGTATATTTAAGCATAATTGGAACCCAAGGTTTAGCAAAAGTAAACATATAATTTGATTTATGGCACTAAACTCACAGTCATTGCAAAAGTAATGACCACAGTCCATAACAGTCAACATATCGGCCAATACATCCTCGTAGCAGATATTGCACGTAAAGGTAGAAGACAATAACTGGTACGAGGCAAGAGCATGATGATCGAGAATTTGTACACCTGCTGCAGCAAACAATTTATCTTTACCATACTCAACAAGCACTGCAAGCACCTTATCCACATCCCAACAATAATGAATAAGCAATGTTCTGGCATGGTGTTCTTTCAAAGACAACAAGTCCATTACTCTGTGTAAGTCCTCCCTCTGCACCAAGAAACATAGAATTTGTTAGTAACCATTATTTATATAAAATCGAATATATCTAAAAACGACATTTTAAAATTAAAAGAAAGTGACAAAATTGTAATTCCAGATACAATATAGGGTTTACCTGAGCAGCCAACAGTGACTCCTTTGTGATCACCTGCAAAAATGAGGGTGAAAGAAATTGAAATTTACAAAAAAAAAAAGAAAAAGAATAAGAACTTTTTTTTTTTTTTGCTTAACTCAGTAAACCTAACGGTAATTATATTAGCTAGAAAGACAAATAAATAAAAATTGAAAATCAAGATCTAGCCATTAAAACCTGGAGGTGATGTTTTAATTTAATTTAATTTAATTTAATTTAACAGTAATTGATAAAAAAAAAAAGAAGAATTAATCTCTTTTTTGAAGAAAATGTGATTCTCAACGAAAATGACCAGTAACCTTAGTGGGAGGGAAGGTCGCGTAGGCCGAAAGCAACTCGGTCTCGAGGGCTTGAAATCCAACCGAAGAGTCATCTCCATCATCGTCGTCGTAAAAATCGCCATTATCATCTTCGTGATAGTGCTCGTTATCGCTACTCAAATAATCACCCATTCCAATTCCGAACAAAGAAAAAGAAACGCTCTCAATTGTACGTTTCGATCAAATCAAAAACAGAAAAGGGAGAACGATTACGGTTTCGTTGGAAAAGCAAAACAGCGTAATGGAGGAAGCAAGTTTTTCAATTCTTCTCCAGTTTAGAGTGAGCTCTAAATCGACGATCGCTTCATCAAAAGAATTCGACGGTGAGACTCAGAAAGAAAAACTAGTTTATAAGTGTTTTTTTTCTTTTTTTAACGGAACTTATCCTTGAGTAACGGCGAAGAGTTCCCGTTTCGCGCCGTCATCACTTACGCCGTTATATATATATTTTTTTTCGGCCAGGGAAAAATAAAATTACATTGACTTTTACAGGTTTCATTGTGCTACTTAGGGATTTACTTGCCACGGTGATTACGTGCTATCTTCTGCAACTGGAATAACGTGCAAGTCTTTGGTTTATGCAAATTTTGGTTTATTTCTCATAATTGCTTTTGCCTTGTGTAAATAAATAAATATCGTTATTTTGCAAATTAATCCTTTTTTTTTCTTTTAACAAAGTTAAAAATTATCAATAAAGAGATAATTTACAAAGTTTTAAAAGAAAATGAAAGTTGTTCACCAAACTTTACTTTTTTTGGTACATTTAAATAATTTATTTAAGCATTTTTATTTTTTTTACATGCTACTTAATTATCAAGATTATATATCAAGTACTTGAGTTGTTAACCTAAAAGTTAAAAAAATAAATTATTAATTCAATAATAGTAAAACCAATTTAATTATCTCAAGTGTAAATTTCTATTAAAATTCAAAAAATAAAACAAAAATAACTTGTTGAATACCTATATACAAGCCTCTTACATCCTCTTTCTTTTAGCGTAATAAAGCATTTTTTAAATTAAAGTTTATATTTGATAAAAGTTATTAATATAAGATTTTATTTTTTATACAAATTAAAAGGGTTATAAGCATTATTATCGAAATGCTTAGTTCAAATGATAAAAAGAATGTATATCTTTTTTTATTATTCGGATTTAAATTAATTAAAAAATTATGAAAAAATAATTTTTTATAGATTTATTAAATTTGATGTAAATAAATATATTTGAACCATAAAAAAAATATAAAATGAAACTTCAAAGCTCCTTATGGCAAAATAAAAAAAATATATTATAAGCATTTGAAATAAATATTCAATAATCAAATCAATTTAAAAGAATATAGTGCAAAGATTATTCCTCTTTGTTATGCAACAAGCAAGAGACAATAAGAGGACAACAAAGCAAACCAATAAACCTAACCATCAGGCTTCAAAAGCAATCACCTTCAAATCACTCTTTCACATAAAATAAGGAAACGAATACCTTTTCCTTTTTAAGTGTCCTTTGCTGACATAGAAAAAAATGCTTAGTATGTTATGATTTTGAAGAACACAATCTTTTCTTTCAAGAATAAGTCATGATGACTATCCTTTACGATGTAAACCTTTTCATCATAATAATAAATTATTCAAATGATCTTCTATTAACACATTCATAAATATAATCATATAATTTGTTAATAAAATAATAAAATTTTAATTTAAATAATTAAGAATAGAACTTTGTTGGCTTCAAATATCAAAAAATTACACATTATTATTAATTTATTCGTAAGATTGATAAAGGTTGGAATTTAATTAATAACTAGGAACGAATGATATGAATTTACTTTAATGAGTTTTGTTTGTATCAAACTTTTACCTTAAGGTAATCTTAAAAAAATAAAAAAATAAGAGAAATGTTAGAAATACAGGCAAAAAATATTTTTCATTTTTACATTCGATACACAAGTTAAAGATCAATATGAAAAAAGTTTGAAGGAGAAAAATATTAAAAAATTAAAAATAAGATGAAATGAAATGATAATGGCTGGGTGTTCATATTTTTTATTTTCTCTTTCCTTGGATAAAAATTTTGAGGAGGAAAAAAATTTTAAGAGGGAAAGACACATGATTTGTGGGAAATGGAAATTTGAGAAATTTTTTTAAATATTTGAGAGAGAAATATACACAATGAATAATGAATTTTATTTTCATAAGTTAAGTATATGTTTTATTCTCATTTTAAAATATTAATCTTAAATGATTAAAATTTGGTATTACTTATGTTATTTTAATTGTTTTTATATTTTTTGTGTTTGATTTAAGTTAGATTGACAAGTATCTTGTTAATTAATATATTAAAACTTTTGGTTATTATTTTTCTAGTTAATTTAAAATTAATGAGCTTAATTTTATATACTTAAAAAAATATAATTTCACACATGAAACTATTTTTTTAATTTCATGCATTTACATTTGTCATGATTATAAAATTCATAGATATACATATTGAACACTTTTAAATATGCATATCGTTGAGTTATGTTATAAAAAATAATAATTTATTTTATCATATAAGTAAAAAAATTAAAATGTCATGAATTATTTTAGATTGCATAAAATAAGACTTTTCATTGATAAAATTATTATTTACTTGATGAGTTGTGCAAAAATAAAAAAAATTTATGATCGTGGTAAGTGTGATAACTGCTATTTCATCTATTATATTCACAATTATACAACTAACAATTTGACTGCCACCGTAATTTAAATCCGTGCTATAGAGTTTTGCGAGCCTTCTTGAACCCACTAACGTTTCAACCCATTCACGGGCTTCTATGGTCCTCACTCACATTCAGCAATGCACGAGCAATGCCGAGGGAGATTGCTTGAGCCTGTCCTGAAAGGCCTCACCCACGAGCTTTAACAATTACATCGTAACTCGTCTCATGCCACAATATCACCAATGGAACTTTTATGTACTGCAGCCATAACGATTCCCTGATGATACTCCTGCAGAAATTAACGCCTAAACATAACCCAGAAACCGAAGGCTAAAAGTTAGCTTGGCATCGCGTTAGTTGATGATAAACTTTCCGGTACCTTCCTGGAGAACCACGCGTGCAGTGGCGCATTTACGGTGGCCTGTTCCTATGATAGTCTGAGCCATGAACCCACCTGGTCTTAACATACTTCTTAAGGTTTTCTACGGGTTTTGATTCAGGAGGGGCTGCCATGGTGAAGGCTATGGAGAGGGAACGGGTGGTTTTAGAGAAAAGAGAAATGGGGAGTGATTTCGGTGGTTGGGGAATTGAGATGCTGTTTAGATTCCCGGAAATTTGAGAGGAAAATGAGAGGGAAGAAAGGGATGACGTAACGGAAGATGTAGAAAGAGCCATTTTTTTGTCATGATTTCAACCGTCATTCTTACAGTTGAATGTTTTACAACTGTTGGTTTTTATTTTTTTTTAATATGGATTTCTTGAGTTTTTGAAACAGGAAATGTTAATCAGCTCAAGCCTAAAAAACTAAGTTCATAGTATATCTAACCGTTATGTCCCTAATATCACGATCTTACGAAAGAGTTAAAAATTTCACATTGGTTATGTATTAAAATTAATAATGAAATATAAGTATTCACGTCACTTTTAACTAATGAGATGTTTTTTTAAAATAAAATTATAAAATTCAATAAATCAAAACGGATAATATTTTATAAATTTGTGTGAACAATAACGTTTAGCTTGACATTTAGGTTAATTTAACTTAAATATCGACCCGTAACAAATAATATTATAGTCAACTTTAAAATATTAATGATATGTCACTGTGCTCTTATTGGAATGGAAAGAATGTCATAATTATAAAAAAATATTAAAAATTTTACATCGATTGTACATTAAAATTAATCATAAAATATAAATATTCACATTACTTTTAACTTATAAAATCTAATGAGTCGCATTGAATATAAATTTTCACATCATCAAAGTTAATGTAAATAGTAATATTTAAGCTGATTAGGAACGTGAAAAAGATGATCCTCTATGTCCTAAAACTGCGCAAGCCTAAAGTTTAGGTTGGGGTGCTTGGTGAATCTGGTTTCGGTTTTTAGCAGTCGGCCCTGATAAATGCTGAATAAATTTCGTTTCCAATTTCTTACTCAAAAGGATATGCACTTTAATGTAGAAGTTTAGTATAGCTAAATTGAATATTCAAATCATACCTAAAAGCAAAAAACTGAACCCGTCAGCTGGTTCGAACAAAATTTTAGATGATTGGAGACTCACTTACATCTTGCCATGTCAAGATTCTGAGCTGCTTCTGCTAATTTGTGGAAATCAATAAGCTTATATTGGTAATTTAGAAAACGATGTATCCTATATTGAGTAAAAAATTAATTTATATATAACTTAAAAGAAATTATTTATGTTATTTAATTAATTGAGCTAAATATTGGAGTGAAAATTATTTGAGCTTATTAAGAGTTTTTCTAATGAGTTAAACAATTTTAAAAATCAAAGATAGGTACTTAGGTTTGTTTAGCAAATAGATTTAATTTTTAAATTTTTTATTTTTAATATTAGTAATTTTGAATAAATATATTTGAACATAAAAAAATATGATAGTCCGAATAAATATATCTAAACAAAAAAACATGATTATACAGAATGTTACAACTTTTTGAATTAACTTAATTAGTAACTATTTATTTATTATAAATAGATCTTTCTTTCTGATTAATTTTACTACTTCTAATTTAGAAAGTTTTTGAAGATTTTGTTATATCTTATAGGCATAATTGCCTTTAAGATAATGTTTTTCATACCTCAAAGTCATATTTCTTCTTTTTTATTACTTCTGTTTTCTTAAATTTTCTAACAGCTTAAACTACTAATCAAACACATTTTATATCAATGCTCTCCAGTTGATCCTCCCCATCTCTTCACACGGCCTTCGGCTTCTTCAGCCTGCAGACGAGAAGACTGCTGATTAAGACTTGCTTTGAACTGAACAATTAAATGAACTAGAGAAGTATGATTTAGGGGTAGGAACAGAGAGAATTGAAGGGCTAGGATACTAACTTCCTTGTTCCAGTTGGTAAGTGAAGTGACAACTATCAAGATTAAGGTTTGTATAACAATGCCCCCAATCATGCCTGACCAAATACCCTGCAATTCAGAAGTAATACTAAAGATAAAATTCACATTGTAATCAACCATCAGAGCTACAAATTTAATCTGATAGAAGGAACGATCGACTTCGGGAGAATAGTTATACTAAGTTACCAAAACCCCAAAACCAAATGTGAATCCCAGGAGTATGCCGGCAGGTAATCCAACAACATAGTAACACCCAATGTTGATGTAAGCAACAAGAGATTGCCATCCAGCTCCAACAGCAACACCTTACGGAACCAAGTTGCGTAGGAAAAAGAAAAAGAATTAACAAAGAGTAACTTCATCCGGTAAAGTCTAGCTTAAGTTAGTGTGTAATGTGTTTCTTCAAACTTCTATTTCTTGTACTTACCTGATAAGACCGGTTGGAGGCTGTTTAAGAGTACCGTAAACCCCAACAATATAGATAGCTTGGTGGTTTCTTCAGCAACAGCATAACTGTTGGTGAAGAGGTAAGGGAAGTAATCTTTCGTTCCAAACACCACAATCATGCAAACAACCCCTATGCCCACAGATGTGATTGAAACAACTAGCACAGAAAATTTTGCAAGCCAAGCGTTCCCAGCTCCAAGTTCATTTGATACTCTCACACTGGTAAGAGCATGAATTATAAGTTATCAATTCCAATATGGTTATAAAAGCTAAATGACTTCCTGGAGACAGACAGAGGAATAGGGATTTGAAATCCTAGGAGTACAATTACAAGAGTTCCAGGCAATGGAACTAATCAAACATATAAGAATTTCTATTAGGAGGAAATGGAAAATGGCGTGATGCGCACCTTATAGCAGCATTGAACCCGATTGCAATCATTGCATCCCATCCATTTATGTTCATGCTGGCAATAGGAGAAAATGAAAGTTGAGAAAAGCATTTATCTCCTAGAGACCCTGAGAAGAATCCATCTAAATTTCATTCAAATTAAATGATGTCTATAACTCTTCAGATTGGACCAACTTGAGGGTGATTACCACTTATCAGCGAAGAATTTATAACACTGCTAATAACACTTTTATGTTATTCAGAATCATCTCATTTTCTTGATTAACCATCAAGTAAGAAGTGATAATGGAACACCTACCAAATGGAAACGGCATCAACTGGTATAAGAGGGTTTGGCAGGCGACCTGTTATGACTACCAGCACCATCAAGTACCAAAACTCCAAGCTGCAATTCATTTTCCTCAATTGCTATAAGTATCAAACCAGACACCATGATTTATATACAGCATAAAGGGAAGGAAGGAAAGAAACATGCCATAACATAATAGCAGAAGCCAATGAAAGCTTGACAAAGCCAACGAGATCCGCAAATGCTAGCCATGAGAAACCACACCAAGCACCATCCGACTTGGTAATAAAAATGTATAACAACTGTCCGATAACTATAAGCCACCATGATGTATTTAAAGTTATTGCTGCTCCAATTAAGCCCCATCCAAGTTTAAATATTAGAAACCAGCTGAAAAAGGCATGTAGCACTAATACCAGGGCTGATACCCAAGCCATTACCATGACTTTCCTCTGAGCTTGTAAGAACTTCTGTATAGGGAAGTTCATAGCATAAGCAAATAATTGCGGTAGCATCCACACAGCAAACTTACCTGCACCAACAAGCTCAGGATGTTACTAGATCTCATTTTTCCTCATATTTTGTAAGTTCAAGTTGATTCTGGATTGATTTTCTGTTAATTTTCTTGTAAGAACTGAGCAAAATTCCAACCTGCAGCATTGGAGATTTCAGTGGTCTCTCCGAATAGTTCAAGAATGGGAGGTGACCAAATGTAGATGGGAACCAATAAGCAGGCTGTAGTCAACAGAATGATCCAAGATCTCTGCATGTACACCCCCAACATCCTTAGCCTCCCAGCACCATATGCTTGACCACATAGTGTCTCCAACGCGCTCCCCATTCCTAACTGTTACAAATTGTTTTCAATCATTAAAAATAAACACGAAATTTCATTTCTAAAAATTACTCCATATTTGCCAAGTAAAGTTCTTTCTTGCAATTTCTCAAGTAACCTTCCTTTGTTTTGGACTCTTTCCAACTTTTGTAAACAAAACAATCTTACCAAAACAAAAACAGAAAGCCTGCTCAATGGACACAAAAGACAAAACTTAAGCAGAACAACTTACCATGACACCGAAAGCAAGACCGGCTATGACAGAGTTCTCAACGGACACCGCAGCAAGGTCTAGCTCACTAACAAGGCCAGCAAACGTTTGTGTGAGTGCTCCCAATGAATACTGGCAAATTGCTGTGAAAATTGCTGGCCCTGCAATATGCCATAACCTCTTGGACTCATATCCGAACTCGTTAAACCAGCTGACAGGTTTTTCTATTTGGTCGCTATCATTGCCATAAATGTTGAGAAGTGGAGCACTGTCCACAGCCATAGCCGCCTTGTATGAAAGTTTTCACTGCAAATGAACTAAACTAGACGCTTACCATGAATGGTCTTTCTCTACCTTGTTTTTTTAAGATAAGAAAGTTTTTGGAAATTTTGGATGTTGTTTAAACTTCAATTATGCTATGGGCTTTGGTTGAACGATTTGTTTGAAGGCTTGTAAAGGAAAATTAAATTGACTTAGACGAGTAAATAGTTCGAGAAACTGGTTTCAGACACTAGTCTCCTTTTGAAGCTGAGCTGGCCATGAATGACGTTGATGTTGATACCTGCTTCCTGAATCGATACCTTTATAGTTATTTTCTTCACATTTGTGCAATGAGGTTATGATAAGATGCTAATTTTTATGCACTTAGTAATAAAACTCCTATGTACTTTCTAAATATCCGTCAATCACGTTTATTAACATGTCAATCTCACATCACGAGTTTACTGGCATGATAATAATGAGCATTTATTCGGAGAAGCCAACCTTTGCGATTAAAATAGATTCATCATCTTGATTAGACCCCAAATATTTTCATAGGTTCACATGGTCGGGTAACCCGCCCCTGCTCAGAGACGATCAGTGCATAGCAGGGGTCGGAGTGTTGGCGATGAATATGATTAACTAATTATTATTTCTTTTGTGGGTTTATATATCTTCGACAATTTTACAGAAGTACAATCTTTTGGTTTTCCAAGTTAGAACTTGTGGGTAAGGCAGGCAATGGTTCTGTTATCTCTGGTCACTAACCATGAGCCTTTAGGTTTCCAGAACCTGCAACTTTAGAGAGGACAACAAAAAAGAAAAAAAAAAACATAAAGATTTGTTTCCCACCAATCTATAAGCAATGTGAATGATCACCATGATAAGACCTTACTTGAAATTGGGCAGCCAAATCTCAAGAGCCAAGAGGGTTGGTTGGCAGGACCGCAGGAGCTAATGCCTATTAGGAGCTAATGCCTATTAACTTGAGCTTTTCCAGCAGCATATTACTACTTACCAAAAATGGCAAAATGAATAGCACTTTCTCATGGGAATAGGCCTTGGAGATGTGGTTTGTTTTTTACACCCACCAAGATTGGATTTGGGTGGAACATCAAATCAATTTCTTTTGTAGTATATAAAGGAAAATAATGTTAACATAAAAATTTTTTATTTAGATAAATTTTTAATTAAAAAAAAGATAAAAATCAATAATTTTTTATTTGTTTTGTAATTTTTTTTAATATCATAATTTTGAAAAAAAAAGATAAGAAAAAAAATTTTGAAAAAATTTTATTTTTATGAAAAAGATTATTATATTTATATTTTTATTATGATATTAGATTTAATTATATAACTAATATCTTTTACAAAAATAATTTTTTTATGTGTATTTTATATAACATTATAGTTTATAAATATTTTATAATTTTTAAAATTTTAACAACTAAAAAATCTAAATTATTGTTAGAATAAATTAAAAAATTGAATTAAACATAAAATTAAAAATAAATCATTAACTAATTAATAAATTTTACTGTATTAAACATATTTAATTTTTTTAAAAATATTTATTTATATAAATTAAGAAATATAAAAATATATTTATATATCATATGTTACTTTATAAAAAAAATTATAATTAAAAAATATTATAATAAATTATTTTTTTCTTTTTATTTTTTATCTAAATAATAATTGTTAAAAATTTTATTAATTTCAATTATCCAAATAATAAATATTTATACTCTTTTTTTAATTTTTAATTTTTAATTTTTTATTTTGATAAAAAGGGTAAACTAAGTAGTCTCAATTAATCACGGTGACTACTTGTTCCAGTTAAATCAGGACCACATGTTTTTGCTATATTTTAGATAACAGATTCGGCAAACCACACGGCGCCTGTCCCCATGGGCCTTTCTTTTTTTTTTGTTTTGTTTCGGACGGCAATCAAGACCACAGAGATATCTGAATACTTTCCGAGTCAATGTCGCATTACCTGGCATCAAAGCAGAAACTCACCCACAAGCTCCCTTGTTTTCTTGGTCTAACAATTAGTGTCCACATATTTTTCCTCGTCTATTAATGAACAAGCTACCACGACAAGCCCTTTTCTAGAGCACTTTTCTTGGAACAAACAATCGTCCATGCTTCTTCGGATGGTCTATGGACCACAGCAGCCCACAGGATCGATTAGTCAGCGTAGTCAAGAAGAACGTGAATGAGCATGACTCCCAGGGAGGATTTCCGATGCCAAATACGTAAAAAATGTACAAATGTATAGTATTAATTACAAGAGTTCTTCCGACAAGGCATAACAGCAAGAACAAGTTATTTCGACGAGGCATAATGGCCATTTGCATTATATACATGTTCCAGTCTTTCCTTGACATGGCAGTCATGACTAGGATAATCATGGGTCCAAATAAATGACTTCTGCATATATTGAGGCTCGCCGGAACCGCAGCAATTCCTTCATCAACTCCCATTTGCCATCCTGGGAAGGGGAAGCAGGCTTAACAGTCAACCGCTCAAGCAAAGGTGAATTAGAGAGCAGGAACTTGATAAAATCCATTTCCGATTTAACACCAGAGATGCCTGATACTTTTACCAGTCTCAGATGGGCAAATTGCGAGCTCCAATGATCATCTTCCCAGAAGTTAGTAGATCTTTCCACGGTAGTTCGTTTCTCTAGTCGAGTCTACAGAAAACATCAGACTTCTATAGTCCCTAACCGACCTCCAAAATCAGGAATCAATACATGCATAACCTATTTAAATTAACCTTGTAGCTAAACCATTAATGTGATATAAAAGCTGGAGCTATTACCATGTACATCACCATAAGAACTTAAGAGAGTAAATAAAACGAAACTCACCAACATTTCCAGCTCTTGGAGATTTGGACAACTTCTTAGGAGGCATAAAGCAGCTGTATTTTCCCCCAAATCATCAAAATCTACGCAAATGGATAGATAATTCAGATCAACACACGGGTTAGGCAACCTGCTTGGCACGTTTCCAATAGCCAAATACTGCAGTAGAAAAAGGAAGAACAGTATAAATTAGACTCTAAAACAGATAAATTGTGGTGGCACATGGACATCCATGAGGACTTGAACAAGTATATGGGGATTCAAAATCCATTTTACAAAAAATCCTGTCAGCGCAGTTTCTTTAAAATTCCCTGAGATCAGTAAAGAAACATGTAACTTTGGCGTTTGCAGAATCCTATGAAGGCTGTAAAAATGCAGATAGAAGTTTAAATAATAACGAAATGTCACTCAATTTAAATCTCCCAGGGAACCAACAAACTTGTTGAATATCCAAGAAGATACTGGGGATCAAATGATGCCCACCAAGTCATTACCTTCAAAAAGTAATTCTGAACCTCCAGCCTTTGAATCTGGGGCAGATTAACAAAGAATCTGAGCAATTTACTAGAACTGTCTTGAGCATTGTTCTCATCATTGTTGATATTTACATACAAACCAATGGAAACCAGAGCTAAATGGGGCGTATTCTGAAAGCTAACATCATCAAAATTACCACCAACATCAAAGAATTGCAGATTTCGTGCATCAATGTTAAGATGTGTAACACCAGTAAAGTTCATCAATGTTAATCTCTCAAGCAGAGGGCAGCTAGAAATGAGGTTTTCAAACACATCTTGGATGATGGTAATGTGCTGAAGATCAAGGCTCCTCAAATTCTTGAAACCTTTGAATGTCAATGGAGGTTTCAGCAAGCAATTAAATAGCTCCAAATGAATTAAATTCTGGCAATTAAATAAACAAGAAGGCGGCATGTACTGCTGGCCCTTCCATATTTCCAGTATGAATTCTTTGATAGAGCTCCTTGATATATAAAGAATCCATCGATCAATGTCAGTGATTCCTAAAAGATCTCGGTGAGAAAGCTTAAACTTGTGTATTGGACCCTTATGAAGTAAGAGTACATGGTCAATGATGTTTACAAGCTTGTTTTTTATCAATGTTTGATCTTGGGAAGAGACATTAAGACACTGCTTATCAAACACCAGATATGGTGTTGTAGCCCATTTGTATCTCCACGTCCTTGACAGAACACTTGTCCTTACTAAATCCCTTATTGGCAAATGTAACAAGATTTGCTCTACAAGATGTCTTGGTAAGTTGCTGATCCTATCTAGCTCTGCCTTTGTTTTGCTAGGCAATCTTGGTGGCTCACTTTGCTTCCGAAATATTCATAAGTGACAAAACAAGCAAGTTAATGAAATAATAATTATAATGTATTGGAGTTTCATGCACAAACACAACTATACAACCATAAACGAATAAATTCTATACAACCATATGCGAATATATTCCATTAGAAGTGGCCAAGAAAGCAGATTACTTTCCTTTGAATCAAAGTGATAATATCAATTGCACCTTTTCAAGTTACATGGTTAATCATTTCAACAGATAGGATGAAAGGCAGATTCTCTATACTCTAAAGATGGCAAGTATGCAAAAGCATCACTAAACCTATTAATGCACGTTTCAGCAGCCCTTTGTCATGCAATTACAATACATGACATTATAAAAGATAGCCATAAGTGAATATATTCCAGAAGAAGTGGCCAAGAAAACAGATTAATCTCAGTGATGACATCAAATTGCACCTTTTCAAGATAAGTAGTTATTCATTTGAACAGAGAGAACCAAAGGCAGAATCTCTATATTCTAACAATGGCAAGTAAGAAAAAGCATCACTACACCAATTGATGCACATTCTGGAAGCACATTGTCGTGTCAGTTACAGTACATGACGAATTATAAAAGATAGCGATTGCCAATCTTAAAAGGGTAAATCTAGTCCTAATACTCGCTGCCCTCCATCATTTAAGTTTAGATACAAATCAAAGAGTGTTGGAGAGTTTCAAACTGACAAAACAGGCAATGTAACAATATGTAGTTTCTCCAGCACAAACGCACAGCACCATTGTGGGTGTTTTTATCTTCTATTTTTAAAGACAGATACTATGGTACCTTAAAAGAATGCAACATCTGTAAAAAGAACTTGCATAAAATTTCATTCCTTTATTAAAGCACATGCACATCATATCCTCACTTCAGTACATGGAAACATAACAGCTAGAGAAATTCACTACATTTTTCAGGCGTTTCACCACATTATTGAAATGCAAAGATAGCTTACGTATACAGCCAACAGAAAGCACTTACATTTACTATGCTCATTCTGTCTAGCTATTTGGGGGGTTTCAAGCAATGATTTTCAATTCCCCCCAAAACATAGCTAAACCGTCAAAGCCTTGTTTCAACTGATCTACCAGCCGAAATCTGAAACATAGAAACACATAAATTTGACTGATAATTGTTCCGAGAGATATCTATTTATAATAGAATAAAGCTTACAACTTTAAATGACTATAAAGCAGTAATATGCAAAGGAAGAAACCCCTTGAATACAAAATTATAAAAAGAATTAAATAATGAAAACAAGAATAATACTTAAAAATTAAGGTAGAAAGAAAGGGTACTTTCCAAAACAGAATCTGAAAGAAAAAAGAGAAGGGAAATGGCAAAACAAAAGGGGGAAATTTCATATCTTTGGAACTGAAATTAAAATAGATGTTCAGATTTTGCTGTTATAATAGAAAAAGAAAGCAGAATTGGGGATGGAATAAAAATAGGCGGAGAAAGGGGAGGAATAGAATAAGAATGTAAGAAGAAAAGGAAGATCCTTTACCTGAAGAAGAAGAAAATGGCAGTCAGAGCAAATGCGACTTTCGGATCAGAGCTTCGAAGAGAAGGGTTACAGCTTAGGGGAAGCTCGAAGCCTCAAAACCCCAGTGATCAGCACGAGTGGTTGGGCTGCCCGGCTGTACTCCCGCATGTGTAGTATACGCAAAAGGAAGCAAAAAGGGTTTAGCCTAGTGAAAATATTCTCAAATGTGCTTGCCATTTGATGTTTATGTATCAAAGCCCTTTTAAGAATGGCCACTAATGATTTAATTTATACAATACTCACAAGTTATTCAAGTTTAATTCGAATAAAATTTGAATTCGATTCAATTATTATAAAATTAAACCTGAGTTTGAGTAATTTAATTTATCGATCGATTTAAATTTGAGTTTTTTTATACCTCACTTAAATAGCTCGTAAACTTAATCGAATTTTTATATTCAAATATATTTTTATTATTTTAATTAATAAAATATTTCAAAATCGAGCTCTAATTCAAGACAAATAATTAAGCTTTTGTAAAATATAAGAATCAAATTTTTTTTATATATTAATCAAACATAATCGAGCGAGTTTGAGTAATTCGATTTTTATTTCGAGTAGAGTTCAAACTAAAAAATAAAACTCAATCGAATTCAAGCTGAGTTTCAAGTCTCGAATTTCGAATCAAATTCAAACTTAAATTTAATATTGTATCAACTCGAACTCGATTAATTACACTCCTATTCTTAAGCAACTCGTACTCTAAATACACAATGCAAACACATATTTTTATAAAGTAAGCTGTAATGAGTTGATGTAATAAAAATTTTGAATTTAAATTTGATTAGAAATTTATTATTTCAAAGTTATTTTTAGCTTGATTTAATTTTAATTTTCAAGTTCGAGTTTGATTTAAAATAAAAATTAAATTATTTAAATTCACTTATTTAAATTCATTTAATAAAAATAAATCTAATTCTCATATTCGATTTTAAGTTCAATTATGTATTCAAATTCAAACTTGAATTAATTTATATAAAAATAAAATAATAATTTTTAATTAAAATAAAAAATATATTAAAGTTTAAAAATGAGTCACAAAGTATTCAAGTTAAATGTTCAAACTTAACTTACTTGATAAATTAAGTTATTTGAGTTCGATTTAATAATAATCATATTAAATTTAAATTTTATTTGAATCAAATCTAAATAATTTACGAGAATTGATATATTATTTACATTTTAAATTTAAATAATATATTACTTATATTTTAAGAGGATTTATTTTTACTAAAATTATTGATTAAAAAATGAGAGGGAAAACACAAAAAGAAAGAGGAGAAAAAACTTGTATTTGGGTTGAAACATTTTCAATCACTTTGTGAGTCTTTAGATATTCTTTTTTCACCTTTTTGCAAGTTAGTGGGATTGGAATCTTTACCAAATAGTCTACTTTATTTCTTGTTCTTTTTCCAATTTTTTTTCTTTTTGATTTTAAATGTTCGTTCTTTTAATTTTTAATCTTCCAAACATTTGATCTATTTTTGGTACTTTAAATTTCAACCAATGTTACAACTTGAACAACATAAGCCAGCCAAAGTGATAGTAAAAAAAAAACAGTTTTTTTATCTTCACTTTCTTTAAGCTTTCAACAAAGAAAGTTTGCTATTCTTTTTTTTTTTTGTGTCAAGGGTTGAAGAATTAGAAGAACCCAACATATAAAGCTTACAAACATTTGGTAAAAAATTAGAAGGTGAAATGGCCACTTGGGTTTGATGAATCTTTGTCAATGCCTTTTGGAGTCGTGATAAAAAGGAATCAATTTTATATCCTTTCAACATGTTTGACTTTGACTTTGCTTAGAGCTAAAGAGCAAGTCTTTTCTTAGCTTATTTTTCTTCCATCCCTTGACACGTTAAACAAAATTCTTCAACTTTTTTTTTTTTTGAGGGTTTTGGTTGTGCTAGATTCTTTTTTTGGAGCCAAAGAAATCAAGGGTGTTGCTGTTCTTCTTTGTTATTTGCATTCTTGAATAGATTATTCATTTTTATACACAAAAGGGAGAGAGAAAAAAAAAAAAAAAAAAAAAAGCGTGAGAGAGGGAATATATAGCTTTATAGGACTGAAGATATTGTAACTTTTTGGTTAATTATGAGATCTTATCTCATCTAGGTCTCTTCTACAGTCTTCTTCCACCCTTTGCTGCAGGTTGTTGATTTGTCTGAGGTGAGTCATTTCTCCACTTGGTTGATTCTTTACCTTTTGTGCTTTAAAAACCTGCAATTTAGTCCTTATATGTCATGATTTTTATGTCATCGTGAGCTGGAAAGAATCTGGTTTTTTTTCCTCCTTTCTCTTTCTTTCTGTATCTCTTTATATTCACTTGGTCTGGAGACAAATTTGATGCTTTTCACTCGTTTTTAGCTTAAACATTCTGGGGTAGCGCAATGCCAGGTGAGTGATTTTGATTGCTACTGTTTTTCCTGGTTTGACTTGCTTGCATTGCATTGATGACAAATGCAGCCGAACTGATTTAACCTATTGTAGGCAATTGTGATATGCTGTTAATATGTTTGAACCCCTGTTATTATTTATCAAACATAAAATAGTTGATCTGCCTAGCTTCTAGAGTCATGTTAGCATTCTTCTCTTCTAGGCTGCTTTTAATCCGCTTTGATTATATTCTTTGGGAACCGGTTTTGGCTGAATAATATGACAGTTACTGGCATTGTCTCCCATTATGTTATTTTTGCTGCGTTTTGATAATCTTCTATATTAGAACGGTGAATCTTCTGTCAAGCTATGTTCATTGATGATTCTTCACTTAAAAGTGTATATTTCTCCCATTTATGTAGCGTGAGTTGTATATTTTCCTTCATTTTGGCCTACATTTTAATTTACTGCATTTAAAAAAAAAATCATTTAGATTTTGCAATATCTGTGTTTATTTGCTTCCATGTATGTTCTATTTGCAGGCAGAAACCTTACTGATTATGAGCAGATAACATCCTGCATAATGGATTGGATTAAAAAAATTTTCAAGGGCTGTACACATAAATTTTCAGAGAGACATTATCATGGACATTATGCGGAGGATCCTCAATTTTATTCACCTTCTGGCTCAGGGGTATTTACATCTGTTACTATTTCTCCATTTCTCTTTCTAAATTGCTATTTCTATGTTCTACCTTTTTGACAATTTGGTCACGTCCTACTTCCTGTAATGCTGCTGGTGGGAACATAAGGTCTTATCATTTAATGGCTTTGGCTAGGTTGCGTAATAGACATGTTGTAAATCAGATTACAAAGCATGGGTTGCATCAATGGATGCTTTCTTACACAAATAGGTTAATTTGACTATTTCAGTAGTTAAATTAGCTTCTAATACATGTTCTATGTTATATCTTGTTCTCAACCTTGAATGTAGGATGCATGGCAGGAGCATGAGAATGAAGAGATAGATCATGCTATTGCCCTCTCCCTTCTAGAGGAAAGTCAGAAGAGGAGAAAGTTTATAGGTGAGTAGCATGTCCAACCCAATATTAATGTGAATGTTCTTGTCGGCGGTATTTCATGATATCAGCCAATTAGTTGCCAATAAATTGTTCTTTTTCTTTGCTACGTATCCTTATAATCTAACATATCGTAATTTGAATTATTAAGTTTCTCAAATTGTTGGGTAGATGATGAATCTCAAGAAGAGGAAGATGAGCAACTTGCGAGAGCTACACAAGAAAGCTTAAACTTTGAACCTCCTCTCCAATATGAAAATGCAAATACATATCAACCTATCCCAGTCCATTTTCCGATGGGATACAGGTATATGAATGTGTCATTAGCTACAATAACTGTTTCATACCAGCCTATTTAATCGGGCTTAAATATGGATTATCTTTGAGCTTTTTCCTGCAAATGTATGCTAATAATGGCTTTGCTTGGCATCAATTATGCTGTGTTTCATTCAAAGAGCTGTTGCTATACTTTAGAATTCAGATCCTCTTTGCTCCCATGACCAACTTATTCTTTTTTGGTAGGATTTGTGCTGGTTGCGATACTGAGATTGGTTATGGAAGATTTCTAAATTGCCTTAATGCATTTTGGCATCCAGAATGTTTTCGCTGCCATGCTTGTAGCCTCCCAATTTCAGACTATGAGGTACAAATCTGCATTCTTAGTAGATGTTTTGGCGGCTATCAATGTTGCCATCTTTGGTTCTTTCACTAAATGTTTGATTGATGAATCAGCTAATTCAGTTTTATACTTTCTTCTGTAGTTCTCTATGTCTGGGAATTACCGTTTTCATAAATCTTGCTACAAGGAGCGCTACTATCCAAAATGTGATGTCTGCAACAACTTTGTAAGCCTTTTTCTTCCATCAGGCTTATGTTCTATTTATAATAAATTTGTTTTGTTCGTAATTCATTCATTGCACAAACATACATGGTATGATTATTTCTGATTTGCTGCATATTTCAGTGCATTTATATATATTTCAAACATTAAACGTCAATGGTTAAAAGCACTGAAATATGCAGCAAATCATAAATTATCCTACCATGAACATTATAGTAATACCAAATAAAGAGTGTGTTTTTCATGTTTTCCTGTTTCTCTTAGCTAATAGTGAATTCAAAGTGACCTAAAACCTTATGGTCATAGAAGTACATGCGAATGTCATGCAATAGTCTTATGCAGATATGATGGCATGAAGGGAATTTATAGATGATGTCCTTGAATACAGTTCCCAGTTTTAACAATGGAAAGTAGTAGAAGGGAAATTGGAATTTCAAAAGAAACTATGGAATATGGGAAACCTCTATATGCGTATCATGTTCAAATCGTCTATTGTATACTGTTTTTTAAGTAGTTTTGAAACAGAAGAAAGTAAATATACTGTTCTAATGCACGTTACTCATTGCTAGTTGTGTTGTCTTTTGGGATATATACTTTTGACAGATTCCAACAAACCCTGCTGGTCTTATTGAATATAGGGCACATCCTTTTTGGACCCAGAAGTACTGTCCTTCTCATGAACATGATGGTACTCCACGATGTTGCAGCTGTGAGCGAATGGAGGTATGATATGCACCCAATGTTGAAAGTGTATATAAGTTTTAAAGTAAAACTTCTGCTACTATTCCTGAAGGAGAAGACAGAAAGGTTGAAAGCATGACACATTTGCTCATCATATGCAGACACAAGAAACAGGGTGTGTTGCCCTTAATGATGGACGGAAGCTCTGCCTAGAGTGTCTAGACTCTGCAATAATGGATACCAAGCAATGCCATCCCCTTTATCAGGATATACAAGAGTTTTATGAAGGTTTAAATATGAAAGTGGAGCAGCAAGTTCCGTTACTCCTGGTTGAAAGGCAAGCTTTGAATGAAGCCAGAGAAGGAGAAAAGAATGTAAGGGCCAAAATGCTGAAATAGTGACAGATGTTTGGTGAAATATCTGTTTGTAGTCTTGTCTGACTGCTGTTGGAACATTGTTGGCATGCTTCTGCTTCTAGATGTCATGGAAATAACCATGTTGACTGCTTGATGGAAATACTTTTGCAAACAATTGTTTGTCTCTTTTTTATATTTATTATTGCATTCTAAAAATTGTCTTTGGGCAGAGCCATTATCATATGCCAGAGACTAGAGGACTCTGCCTTTCTGAGGAACAAACTGTCAGCACTGTAAGAATATTTGAGATTCTCTTTTGCTTTCATGTTTGATAACTGGAAGTTTTTCATCAGTAGTTTTTTTATTGCTAAAAGATTTATACTATGTTCAACCTGAAATCATCAGATTCTAAGGCGACCGAGATCTGGGACAGGAAATCAAGCCATGGACATGTTAACGGAGCCCTACAAATTGGCACGTCGATGTGAAGTGACTGCGATTCTCATTTTATATGGCCTGCCAAGGTATTGTATTTTTTGCCATAATTGCTTTTATGTATGTAAAAATAGTTTGCCATATAATCAGAGAATTTTCAATGACATCCAATTAAAGACTCAGTAATTAGATGCTGAAGAATGGAGAGAAAAAGTAATTTTAATTCTACTTTCTAATGGGATAGCAATTTCATGTTTGTTATCCCATTAATCCACAGAAATGATGAGGGTGAAAGGAGGAAAAAGTCTTTTAGATTAATCATAACTACTTCAGACTGGAAGTCATGTTTGCCTTGATTCTTAAACACAATTGAATTGCAGCTGGCCTGGAAAAAACATCAATGAAAAGGTGTTGTCAGGTTGTATAGTTATCATGATGTCCATGGTTTAAAATGCAAAGTAGAAAAGAAAAAGAGATCAAGTCAATGGGGACTGAATGAAAGACCTATAGTCCTAAAAGCCCTCTTCGTCTTTCTAATTTCTAGAAACTTTCATAACCTTTTTGCGAATCTTGCCTTATTTGTAGCAGATGATGCTAACTTTGATGTTGCTCTTAATATTGAAAATTTAAGTACTGTTGATGCATTTTATGCAAAATTGAAAATTTTGATTATGTAGGTTACTGACCGGATCAATCTTAGCCCATGAGATGATGCATGCATGGATGCGACTTCAAGGTGCTCTCTGTTTCCATCGTAATATGTAGGAACAAAAAGTTTCTTTTTCCCCCTACTTGGAGAAATGACATGAATGCTACTTTTTTGTTAGGTTTCCCGACTCTTAGTCAGGATGTCGAGGAGGGTATTTGTCAGGTGTTAGCACACATGTGGTTACTTACCCAGCTCAATTCTTCTTCAAGCAGCAATGTTGCATCAACTTCATCCTCCACATCTAGTAGGTTAAAAAAGGGCAAAAGACCCAACTTTGAGACGAAGCTTGGGGAGTTCTTCAAGCACCAAATTGAATCAGACACTTCCCCTGTATATGGAGATGGTTTCAGAGCAGGCCATCAGGCAGTTTATAAATATGGTCTTGGAAGAACGCTTGAACATATTCGGATGACTGGGAAGTTTCCTTACTGAAATCCCAAACCCCGTACTCTCAAACTCGCTTCTCTATTCTTTAAAAGAGTTAAAAGCTTGGCCTTTTCCTATTAGAACCAAAGGCCAAAGCACAAAGGATCATATCTTTATAGGGTAGGTTGCAGAAGTACTACTAGTTTTCATTCCTTGTGGCTGTCAGTGACATTCTTTATGAAATTTTTAATCAATTTTATCTTAAAGAAAAATAACTTTTTTTATAACCGCAATAAAAATTTTTGTCAATAGATTTAATTTTAAATGGTAATAATTTCAATTTTTCTAGTTTATTGTAGACAGTAAATATTCGGTTTATGAAATATAATAAAGTAGGAATGAGAGACTATTCTATTCTATTCCATGAGAATAACATAGAGTGTGAATGGGAGTAAATATATGAAAACTTAATGCGCAGAAGATGGTAAAAAGCTGGTTAATTTGTTACTAGACAGTAACCTGGTGATAACATGATCAAGATGGCATTTGTTTATTCCTTGTTTCCAAGAAATTTCTCTAGTTAGTTCCCACTCCACTATTAGCTTGAGTTCTAAAATGAATGGGAATCTGCAGTACACCATTTTAGGATATCCTGAATAGAGTACACTTACAATGGCTCCTATTTTAATACGTCTGCTCGAATTTTGGACAGAACTGACACTACTTCCTCCATGCTTGGTCTTTTTGTTGGCTCTTCCATCAAGCAGGCTACACTTAATTGAACCATTCGCAGGGCAAATTCTGCCCGATTATCACATTTTAGCCCAGTATCAATAAGTGAATCGAGCTCGACTTCTGCATTCTCTTTTTCCATAACGGAAACAACGGTTTCTGTTAGCAGTATTTCTGTTCTATCTTGTGTAATGATGGCCTCTTTTCCAGTGATCAGTTCCAATAGCACAACTCCAAAAGCATAGACATCAATCTTGGAAGTAACCTGCCCTGTCTTTATATACTCAGGTGCCATATAACCTCTAGTCCCTACAACACGATTTGTCAAAGCAACGCTGCTAGTTTCGTTCACCACTGCTCTTGCGAGGCTGAAGTTTGCAATTTTGGCCCTTAGACAATTGTTTAGCAGAACGTTGCTGCTTTTGATATCCCCATGTACGTAGGCAGGTTTGGTAAAACTGTGAAGATAGTGAAGTCCATTGGCAACATCCAAAGCAATCTGAATCCTCCTCGTCCAGCATCCAATCTCATCAGGATTTTGATTGCGAATCCAATCCCTTAGAGACCTTTTTGTCATATACTCAAAAACAAGATAGAAACAGCCATCATTTTCGCAGACGCCTTGAAGCTTTATCAAATTGAAATGATTGATATTCTTCAGCAATTGTACCTCCCTGGATACATCTACTCTCATTCTTTTAACAGCAAGGATCTTCCCACCGAAACCACCACGATAAACAGAACCGTTTATTCTATTCTTGGAACTGAAATTTTGTGTAGCTTTCTTTATATCCTCAAATGTAAACAGTCTTAAACCTTGGTCAAAGCTTGCAATTTCAACACGGAGGTCTTCTGGCAATACATAATTCTTCTTTCTTTCATGGCCACTCTGAAGAACTCCATCGTTTCTCTTATTTAACATAAAAACAGTGAACAGGATGATGATAAGAACAAGCAAAGAGCAAGCTGCTGCAATTCCAACTCCCTCATGCAATTTCCTCTTTGATCTATTGCTTTTGGGATATTTTTCACATGGAGGTGAATCAAGTTGTTGGTCTTTGTGAATTATGGTTTGTGAACTTGAAGGTACTGTTGGCAAAGGAATTAGGATTGTTGTGGAAGGGAATATAGTTTGTTTCTCTTCCAAACCATTTGCATCATTAATGCTCTTCCTGCTTACATTGAATCTATCACTGATCTCTGGTATATTATCCCCCAAGCTAATAGAGTAAGTCAGTAGATACTTCGTTCCACTCTTAGTTTGATAACTCGTTGGACAAGCACAACGAAGTGGAACTTTCAATTCAATTCCAGGAACCAATTTGTATTCACTATATGGATTTGCTCGTTTAAGGGAACTACATGTGGATAATCCCTGGTACGCCTCGGTTCCTATAGTATAATATGTGCCGTGGATGCTTGAGATGCGAAACGTGGTGTTTGCCTGACAATACTGACCCAAACAAGAACAATTTACAGGAATGATTACCTCTTCACCAGTTGGGAACTTTGCATGCTCAGTTACATTATTGATTCTGGCAAGCTCTGCCTGGTTCGAAGATGTGAGAGCTGAAATGCTGGGAACTGAATTAAAAGGAGCTTGAGACTTGTAGATAAGAAAGGCCTGGCAATATCGATCTTGGCCATTGCAAATGTAAAGAAATGCTGAAGAAGGACCTGATTCATCATCGTTATCGCAATCCAAAGCTGAGTTTCCTGAGTAGTTTTGTTGAGCGTTTGTGACTGAAGTGAAAACATTAACTAGTAAGAGGAAGCAGAGAAGGAACTGATTCATGGTGAAAGTCATACAGAAGAAATGATTTGCGGATTAGAGAAGGAATTTGATGAATGCTAGCTCCAGCCTGGTGGGATTAAAGTTATAATAAACGCGTTTAAGGATTATAAAAATACAGATAAATTAAAATTTGTTGACTCAAATAGCAACTCCCTAGGCTGGCTACAAAAATTTTCGATTCCTCCGTGTAATTTCCTCTTAGCTGCTTCATTAGTTTAATAATCCTACTTGCAAAAGTACAAGAACGACTCCAGATTTTACCTGATTTTTATGTCCAACAACAAACCATTACTTACTTTTTCAAAGGAAATTCTTAAAATTAGATCTAGCAATTTGTTTATTCATGATAGTATATGTCATGTCTAACACATGTAAAATACGAAAATTATAATGTTACAATTCGTGTTTACATGCCGGACACTATATGATTTTTTATTTTTTTAATTAATTTTGTATCATATCAATGTATCTTCTTTAAAATTACCGACTCTACTTAATACCCCACTTCAATTAGTTTAGTCGCAAAGTTTATATAAAATATACTGGCCCGTGATACAAGCTTGTCTGCAGTATTCCCCGATGATAAAATGTGAGTGCATCCATGGTCCTTCAAGTGCCTGAATCCAGACAGGGTGTGGACTCAGACATAGGGTTAGAACTTAGAATAAATCAACTTATAATAAACTATTCAATGATTGAAAATTTTGTTTCATGTATTTCTTTTCTCTGTATTTTTCTTCAGCATCATTGAAGCTCACAAAGACCGTTGCCTTTGCTAGCTGATTTCTGAGGTTGGGGCCCTTCTGGTCGTGGAAATGACGGAAGATAATTAAGACCTGGTTAGTCTTGACCCCAGTGAGAATTAGTCAAGTCTCTAGTTTAGAACAGAACCAAATAGTAAAAAAACCAATTTCGTCAACAAGTTTAGCCTTATGAGCTGAACAACAAACATTTTTTTTTGGTTTTTAGATTATTCACTTTTTTTATTAATTGATGTTAGATCACGTATAGTTTAGGTGATGTAACAGGATGAGAAGTGAGAAATTAAAACATATTGTTTAGAAAGAAAACGATAAGAAAATGAGACAAAAAAAAAAAGAATGTACTATGAATAATTTGATTTAAAACTACATTTCATTTTAATTGATTGAATTTGGCATACAGATAGAGAATGAGAGGTAATGCTACAAGTTACAAAAAATCATTGTATGGATTTGCCATTTTAACCACAAAAATTTTGACAAAAAATTTCCTCATTTTTTCAAATTTCATTTGGTTTATTCATAGAAATATCTTTAAAAATTGAGGATACCGTGACCCTTTTTGTAAAAAAAAAAAAGTGATATTATTCTCTTGCCAAGTATTGAAATTTGAAAGGATAAAGTAAGTGTACATATATACATTTAATTACGGAGCCCCTGGCTCCCTGGGAAATTAGACTTTGCTTAGGCTGCTATTTTCTATGGCTCACCTCTCATCATTTGTTGAAATTCATGGAAGTCAAGCACTCCATTGCCATCGAGATCAAACACCTGAATCATGGCAACGGACTCTTCAAACGATTTCACATCACCTAGACGATTAAGCATCTGCTGTAATCCCACTGGCGTGATGCACCCACAACCTTTGTCAACTTCGTACATCTCGAACGCTCTTTTAACATCATCATCACCCTCGTTATCTCCTTCCATCAACTTGACAAAGTCCTTGAATTCCAACATTTTGTCCCCATTGTTGTCAAAATCTTTGATAACCCTTTGAGCTTCCTCTCTTGATATGTTGTCGCCAACGGACGCGAAATAAGCACTGAGTTCTTCACTTGAAATCTTACCATCCCCATTACTATCAAACCTTCGAAAGACTTCTTGAAGCTCTTTTTCTTTAGTGCTATTAAGTTGTGTTGGTGCAGGGACAGTTGGTGATGGCGGCAAGGAGCTTGATGATTTGGATTTTGAACGAAGACGAGGATGGCTTAACCTTAAACCCTTGTTGGAGAACCATTTGGTAGGCTTTGAAATACTAGCCATCTCCATGAAAACTGAGAACCATTTGGTAGGTTTTGAAATACTAGCCATCTCCATGAAAACTACCATGTTCAGGAGGGTAACTTGAGCAATGGTTTATACTCTCATGTATATATATAGAGCAGCAAAAAGAATAGTGTGGTCAGAATTTACCCTAGGAATTTCACATTGCTATGCAATCTGTTAACAAAGGGGAACATCGCAGGAGTTGCGTGCTTGGGGGATTAGAGATGTCTGAAGTTGCTATGTAGCTTCTTGGATTCTAGGATGGGACCGAAAATATTTGACTTTTTTACAAAATTACTTTAATTTCTTTTGGAAAGTGGGAACTTTTCCTTCCTTTTGAGCCTATAAATATAATGGTGAATATAGACCAATGACTTTGAACACTAACTGCAGGATTCTTGACTTTTTCCCCTTTTTCATTGTCTTTAAGCGCTTTCATTGATATCTCCTCCCCTTCAATATCTGATAACTGCTGAGCCTGAGCCTGGATATAGTATGCTATTCCTGATCATGATTAATATACATTTTCCTTTTCCTTTCTGAAATGTGACAACATGTAACTTCCAAATCGATGCTAGCTAGTACGGAAATGTAAATTTCGAAATACAAGGAAAAAGTTATCAAACATTAACCAAAGGAATTTTATGTATTTATGGACGTGGATACCCATATCTTTGAATTCAAAGAAAAAAAACTAATTTCGACCATATGTCAATGTAATAGTAGATAAGAAGAATCAGAACAAGAACTCGTTTCAAAATGGCTTTTCATTTTTACCCTAAACCCTCTGGAGTCTGGACTCGTTAGAAACGTATTCATTTACCTATTGTCACCATTAGGAAAAAAGACTTCAAATCGACCTTCAACTTCAAGAAAATGACGTGATCACAGATTCACAATTGCTGAAAGGAAAATAAAGAAATATGTGGGAAAAACTTTCATCCTCAACAGCACAAGAGCTTGGAGGGTTTGCAGATGTGTGCGATGGAGTATTTCAAATGACTGCCAGAAAAATGAGCCGTTAAAAGTTCATTCACTAGTCTTTGGCAAATCCTTTTCCAGCACCAGGATTCGAAACCTGTTAGAACAAGGAACAGACATTGAAAAGAGCCGAGCAACCATGAAAATTCATGTGAGTTCATGTGACAGAGACAGAACATAAGCAATCAAAGTAAAGCAGTGAAGTAGAATTGGTTAGATGTCCTTAAATCATGTCTGCTAACAGCAATGGAACAGCCAAGAAATATTTTCCCCACACTGATTTCTACAAGTCACTGTTTTTAACAACAGTTCAATTTTTTATTTTTTATTTAAAATTGTTGTTGTTCTTGTCTGTATTCTGTTTTAATCCATTACTTCCTGTCCCTGCATTTGCTTTATTTGAAGCGACTTGTTCTTGTTGAAAAAAAAAAAAAAGGAAAAGACAACAAAAAGACAGAATCAACACACTTCCATGGTACTTAAAAAGAACCCAATTTAGACAGGGCCATCTATTGGCCATAAACCTTCAAAATTGGACCGATAAAAATCCAGTTAATAAACGGATAACCGAACCCCAAGAGCCCATTTTATTTCCTGTCAAACAGCCCAACTGAAACAATCAAATTAAAGCTTTCAATCTTCTCCCTTCGAAATAAAGAAGCATAGAGAGTGGGATGTGTGTGGGTGACTGGAATTGAACCAAGTGTTGTAACTTATAATACCGTTCTCAAGGGTTTATGTCGTGCAGCTGACTTTAATGAAGCTTTACACCTTTGGCATATGATGCTCAGAAAGGGGCCGATCCCCGATGAGGTTGGTTGTTGTACCATGCTTAGGGTGCTTTTCAAGATGGAGATGTTGAAATTGCTTTAGGATTTTGGAAAAGTAATTTAACAAGTGGATTTTCCAAGAATAGGATTTTTTTTAATACAATGATTAATGGATTGTGTAAGCTTGGGAAAATAGATGAAGCGAGAGAGATATTGGGCAAAATGAAGGAACTAGGGTGCTTACCAGATGGAATAGCATATAGAATCTTGAGTGATGGGTGCTGTAAGAAAAAAGCTTTTAACTTGATTACTTGAAGATAAGATGAAAAATGTCACGCCCCGAGATCAAGATACAACACGGTCGTATTACTTTGAAAAAAACTCCAAAGTAATATGAAATATTCTTTTTTAATCATTCTAAAATTCTTCAATAAAATAATTTATCAAGTAAAATTTATATCTTTAATCCAACTGATAATACATCTTTATATATGCAAATACAAACCATATAAAATACAAAACTATCTCTTAAGATCTCATTGGTCAACATTTTCTCTGACAACTAAGTAATATTTTCCATTTCATCTTCTAGCTTCACACAAGACTGATACCACTTTTGTCACACCCCGAGATCAAGACGTAACACGGTCGTATTACCTTAAAGAAAATCTCGAAGTAATACGAAGCCTTCTTTCTTAATCATTCTAAAATTCTTCAATAAAATAATCTACCAAGTAAAATTCATATATTTAATCAAACTGATAATACATCATTATATATGCAAATACAAACCATATAAAATACAAAACTATCTCTTAAGATCTCATTGGTCAATATTTTCTCCGACGACTAAGTAATCTTTTTCATTTCATCTTCTAACTTCACACAAGACTAACCAAACTTATCATTTAGTCATCTATAAAGAAAAAGTAAAAAAAGAATGAGCAAACCACAGGTCAATAAGTATAGGCTCACACATCTTATCAGATCAAGCATCGTTTTCTTACACATCATATAGATCATTCAAAACATTCATCAAATTATAATATCAAAATATTTCAAGATCATCGTTTTGTCAAATATTTCATAAATTCATAAATCAACGTCAAAATATATGACTTCATAAATCATTGTAAAATACGCTATTATTCAAATATCATAATCAAATTAAATCATGGATCAATTATTAAAATCATCATAAATCATCATTATCATTCATTTATCGTTAGCTACAGTCATTGCTATAATCCGTGACATTGGTCATATCGATAATTTTATTATCATGATCATTACTAACTATTATAATCCGTTAGCCAGGGCTTCCGCTAACTATTATTACTCGTTAGCCAGAGTCGTAGAACTAGTTCTGGTGTCAATGATCCCACTTCTCAGAGATGTAAAAAAAACGTAGCCATCACAAAATCATTCTTTAATCATAAATCATTTTCTCATTTCATTCATAAGCATGATCCATCATTTATATAGAGAAACACAAAATAATCATATGCTTGATCATATTTTCATACATCGAAAATAAAGAAATAAAACATTCTTTCATTTAGAAATATACCTATATACATAGATTAAAAAATAAGTAAAGTGTGTGAGATTCTACTTACCTCCATTCGATTTCACTACTTAATTTTTCCCCCAAAATAATTAATGACCTATCCAAGATCATTTCAATAGATCAGAATTTAATCAACCCTTTTTGAGATCATTTATGCAAAAATCAACTAAGTTACACAAAGGGTTAACTTAACTAATTAATACTAGCAGCCTGACCTCTTTTCATTAAAATAGTCATATCTTAATATATCAAAATTGGAATTATGATCTCTTTAATGCGTTAGAAACTAAACTCGATAAACTTTCTAACCATATATGACAAACCTCGTAATTCCTTGTAAATTAATTATAACAATTTTTGAAATCTACGTCATATACTGCTGCCAAACAGACTGTATACTTTCTAATAAAAATTATATATTTATTCACAGGAAACTCCAAATTCAATTCCGCTTATTTCATTGGAAAGTAGACTCACTAAGCTTTCCAAACATATATGGCTTAATCTGTAAATCCTTATATACAAATTAAGAAGAATTTCGCAATTCAACTTTGATGTTGTTGTCTTACAGCCTGTATATCCTTAAGTTAAAATTAGACAACTCTTCATAGAAAACTCGGATTTGACTTTCGTTTGTTTTGTTAGAAACTAAATTCAACATGCTTTCCAATGATATATAATAATCACAACAATAATCTATCCATTAATACAAAATTCTATTTTAATTCATTAGTACAGATCACAACATCTCATCCAAAAATAAAATTTCTCCTTCAATATTTAAAAACTCAAATCCTTACTTTTAGCCTTCAAACTTCATTCAATAATCATCAATAAATCTTAAGAACATGAAATAAACAAAGCCCAGTAATTTACCCAAATAGATCATCAAGATTAATGAAGGATTTCATGATTTTTCTTGGTTTTTCTCTCAAAACTTTAACTCCAAATAATAGTAATCAACTTGATATTTCTTTTCAAATAAAAAGAAGACATGTACTCACCTTTAAGGGATTAACTTGATTGTAGCCTCTGATTGTGAATCTTCAACTTAATTTTTCATATTCTCTAACCCTAAAGAAAAATGAGGAAGAATAACTCTATTTTTTTTCTGTTTCACGATAATTAGATTTTCTTTCATCTAATACTTCAAAATTTTTTTTATTAAATAATATCTTAATAAACTGATAAACTTTAATATTAGTCTAATTTAATTATTATTTGAGCTGGGATATTACAAAAAACGAAGCAATTTTTCCTACAATTGAAATGTATAACTCTCTTATTAGCGGAGTTTTCAAGTCTAGAAAACTGTGTAAAGCAGGGGATCCTCTTACAGAAATGTGTACCAGAGGTCTGAAGACAACAAAGATACATGAAATGCTTTAGAACTTCCTGTACATCTTCTCTCATAATGGCAATCAGACGCAACGGATGTTTATTTCCAACATGCTCTACAGAGCAAAGCTGAAAACATATATATAAACCCATGTTTTACATATGGGTTTAAACTGCCTTTCATGGTCTTCGACTGGTAGCTTAGAATGATGTTTCATGATCGTTAATCCAGAACCAAGCTAGATATCTTTCAAAACTAGACCCTTCACCCTAGAACATGGTACGATGGTAAATTTTTGTGCATGTATCAGCCTAGGAACTGCCTTTGCAAATCCTGTAGTTGTTGAAATAAAAATTTAGGAAAGTTGTGGACAAAGCTAAAAGTTGATGTTCAAACTTACAGATTCAGTGAACTGTACATGCATGATGTTTGTGACGAAACCTCCTATTTTTCATTTTGATCTAATTATGGGGAAAGGTTATAACAACTGCTCGTTTCATGTATTTCTGCCCATGTAGCGGCAAATCATTGAGGAGAAAATTTTCGGTGACCTCATTTTTAACTAATTAATACGATCTATATCTTAATATTTGTACTCAAACAGGGGTTGGATTTTATTCCCCAAGATTATTGTAATTGAATATGCAATATCAGTGACCGCTGGTCTCAGAGATTCCATAGTAGTGGCTGTTGTCATTGACAACTTCAAAATCATTATCCTTGTCACTGTGACTATCAGTACTGTAAAAGCAAAAATAATTGATTGATTTAAGACCTCCAATCTTTGGTTCGCATTGTTTCGCTAATAGTGCGAACCAAATACCATATCTGCCATAACTTGTGAGAGAATCTCCCACGAATTTGGATTTTCTATCCTTCTTTCCACTCAATCTGACTCATATTACGAGTGGTGGGATCCCTGGTGGCTGAGCTTAGCAACTCGACAGGGAAGTATCGTTTTCTTCCACGCTCAGTCACTGTTTTCCTTTCTATCGATCTGATGATGAAATTCCAACTGCAATGGTCCTGTATGTAGAAAATATAGGAGACTTCTCTAAAAACTAGCAACAAATTCAGGTTCTATAAATTACGTAGAATAACTTTCTCAAATTTGGAGGAAGAGACGGTTGTGTCGGTCTTCTTATGTTCACAATCCCTCGGAAAAGTTGAGAAGCAAACCCTACGAAGTCGAAGGTTGACTTGTCTGAAGTCAAGCAGGGAAATTCAGCTAGTTGTATGTGGATGAAAGAGCAGCATCGATCACCTTGATTTTACAAATGCTGTAGTTTCTGTCAGCCTGGAACTCTAATATATAGACTAATACACTGGCAAAATTTTTTATATACCAAAGGATGTCGAAATTTATTACATATTATTTTTTGAAAATAATTACACGAATTGAATTAAGATCTTGTTTTTTTTCACATACAAAATCAAAATTTATGATTGCAATGCAGAAAGGAATGGTTCATCTAACAGGGTTAGAATTATAATTTGCTTGTACAAAGGGCAGGTAGAATGAAAAGTGAACAACATCTTCTAGGATTATGAAGTTGCTTAGGATTTGGGGAAAACATCACGTGAAAAAAAGATAATCAATTGCTAAATTAAGTAAATAGGGTTCCAAGTTTTTTGTTTGTAATTTATGCAGAAATCATAAAAGAGGAGAGTACCACTGCTTTTTAGAGAAATGGATATTCAGGTTACATCACCATAATTGATGTTTAGCAATCAAAGTCATTTCACCTTGTACTGCTACTACTTTAAGTGGCCCTTCATTTATTTTGATAAAGATTGATTAAATTTCCATTTAGCCAATTCATGGAAATTAATTAAGCTTCAGGTTTTTGGTTTAGAAGATAAAATAATGAAATAAAAATCCACCTAAAATTTTAATTTAAATTTTTAAGTACTATTGTAAATGTATATTTTGTAATACGATTAAAAATCTATTAAATTTTATGGAAAAAAATATATGAATTAAATAAAAAGGACAAAGACTTGCTGTATAATTACTCAGAAACGCGTTTCAATCAACGAAATTGAGTCAAATTTGTGCAACACTTACCAAATTAATTTGGAGAAAAATTGGATAAGTTGACTTACATATTAGAAAGTAGGACCCACACGCTCGGACTTTGTTCCCGATCACAGCCGTACACTTTTCATACCTTATAAAAAGTATGCCACGCGGCATTCAATGAAGGCCCTGACACGATGTATTAACGTTCTCCTGACTCTTTCAGAATAACAATCTGCCGACACTTTTTTTAAAAAAATAATTTTATTAATTAAATTTAATAATTTAATAATTTATATTAAATATATATAAAATATAAAAATTATCATATTAAAATTTATATTAATATATCAAACAGAAAAATATAATTTTTATTCTTATCAAAATTTTTGTTAAAATTTAATATTGTAATTATATTGCATTTAAAATTATAGATCTTAATACCTCTATTAATATGTCAACCCTACCCTTTATTCCGTTGAAAAGTCCCATCAGCTGGCAAATGATCTGTCCAGCCATTTCCGCTTAAAAGACAAAAATTCTACCCATTAAAATACCAAAAATAAAAAAACACTATAATGTTGTTCAAAAAAAAAAAAAAGCCACAATGATCCAAAGAAGCGAGGGTTTGCTTCTTCAATCATCTTCATCCTCAAGCATTCAATATTTAACCATATATTTTCCAACCAGTTCCATTATTGTTTCCAGTGTATAACACACATGGTTATCATCATTACTCTAGCATGGAAAACTCTTTCCAGAAAATGATAATAATAACTTATTACTACATGCATTAAAATATTAATTTAATTTTTATATATGTGATGAGTATAGAATCTTATGTACTATGCTTTGCTTTGTAAGGAGGAAAATTGAAAACTTAAATGAGATCCATGAAAATTGATTATTTACAAGGCAGATATATTTTTATTGAACAAAAAGGAAACAGCTCTTTGTCTATACAGATTTTGATTACAGTTATCATACATCCGAGATGAAAACATGAACCCATTACTGTAGTTTCCGTCTGGATTTTCTTCTCCTTATTGTTGTTACAACAAATTTCTTCTTTGATGTTGCCAAAAGGAAAGAACAAAATAAATGCACTATATAATATATATGATACCTGTTTTAGTACTATGATCTACAAGAAACAACCATAGCAGCCGCTTCCTCCAGCTCCATAATCTGATCTTCAGCTTAAAAGTTTACAGCTCCACCATTTCTTGATGATTCTGTCACTTTCTCAGCAGACAAACACTTGCCGGAAAGATGGTAACCAATGCAATCCAGTAGCAAATTAACAAGCATTTCCTATTTCTAATTTTTTTTTCCCGTCAAGAATCCAATGCAAATGGAGTTTGCAGGAGATCATAAGGTGCCCACAAAGCGTCCAAAGGGCATGGCCTATTAGCATCAAGCCTCGCCCAAGGCTTCCCTTTTCCACTCCAATGTAAAAGACTAACCGGACCAGGATGCAAATCCCTGCACAAACCTCTAAAATTATCTCCCCCGAGGCCATGCTGATTCCACCTATGATCAACAGGCACTATGTTTCCAGCGAAAACTAATAGAAATGGTGGCAAAGAACCTAACTCGTAAATTCTCATTCTTTTTTGAAGCTCCATCCATTCTTCAATCTTTGTCGTGAAGTCTCCGTCTCTCCATCGATCAAGGTCGGTTACCATTACTCCGGTGTTAAAGTAACAAGCTTTACGGTTCGCAAAAGTTAAGGATAAAGACGGGTTTGACCAAAACGTCAGAGTAAAATAGGACGTGAAGTTTGCATTGCAATATTCTGGTGCAGCCAAGACTGAGTTGTCTCCGAGTGGAGTTGCGGCAAGTTTAGCTATGTCGTCGACGAGAACCAGGTCCGAGTCAAGGTACACAACTCGGCTGACGCATAAAGGAAGGAGATTGGCTAAGTAGCTTCGAGCGTAGTTCAAAGGGCAGTCTAAAGCTGAGCGGATTGAGGTTGAAATGAGGCGTGAAACAAAGGAGTCATCAAAAGGGTAGACTTGGAAGTTCAGGTAAGGGAAGGATGAAGTGATGGTGGCGCGTAAAAGGGATGCGTTGGCGGTGGCGGAGGCCACGAAATGTAAGGCAATGTTCTGGGGACAAGAGGAGTGTTGAAGTACTGAAAGAACAGCCGCCATGGAGCCCCGGATATAAGCTGTGTCAAGGGTCATCGCCACATGAACAGCTTGATCCGAGCATAAAATGGAGGCTTCACCATCTGATTCATCTTCATCAATTATGATAGGGCAATCCGGAGAGTTATAGAATTGTGGGGCTTCCTTGAATTGATGGGCAATTGGTGTAGCGGCGATGGCATTGGCAGCTAAGGCAAAGACAGTGAAGAGTAAGAGATGGAGAAAATGAAAGAGTAGTGATTTAGGCATTGTCTGTAGGTGAAAGAAAGATTTTGTTGAAAGGGGAAGGTAAAGGGTGTTGGCCTGTAAGGTTTTATTTAAAAAGAGGGGAGAGAGTTAGCTAGAAATGGTGGCTAAGGCTGGCTGGCATAGTGAGGAAGGAGATTTCAAGGGGGGCTTACTCATGAATTTTCTTTTGGGTTGAAACATATTAGTTGTTGATTCTCATTGATTGATTCTAGATAGTTTTGTATGCTTGTCTTGTTTTATATATAAATATATGTATATTTCAAAAGGGTCCACACTATGGTCCTACATCATTTTCCCTCAATTCTCAAACTAATGGTGTTTTCCATTTCACTCAATTAGGGAAGGCTTGTATTTTCGTAAAGAATAGAGTTGCTCTCCAAGGGTAAAACTTGGGTTCAAGTAAATGAAATGAGAGATTTTAAGTTCTAATAAAAAGAGTAGCATTGTTGCTCTCCAGACTCCAATGGTAAATTTTGGGTTCAAGTAAATGCATCATTTTTTGGGACATAGTTTATTTCTATCATTATTAATAAGCTTAGATTTCTATAATTATTGTCAATTATGATTTTAGGTGATCTTGTTTGCTTAATGGCAGGAGGTCACCGTATCATCATCATTCATTTTCTTTTTATCATTCTTAAATTTTAGCAATAACTCCAAATCAAGAATACGAAGTCGGTTTTTTCTCTGGTTTTAATTAAAACACATTGAACATATATTTTGATTGAAGTTTAAGAAAAAGAAAAAAAAAAAAGCATCTTTACCACATACATTGAAAGGGAGAATGAAAACGAGGGGGTGCTTTCTTTTATGCTCTCTGCCTTTCTCGAGAGTGACCATACGAGAAAAAAGAAATTTAAAAAAAAAATTGAAAAAGACTTGATTCAATTAACATGGTTGTTGATGCTTACTCGTCGTAAGAAATTAACTCCTTGGATATGTTGGACAATCGTAGTCCTAGACAAGTATTGTTGAGCATCCAGCAAAACCATCATTCTTTGTGACCAAGTATGCTCTCTTCTCATGTACTTGCTACCTTCCGTAAAAAAATTATAAATGAAATCTGCTTTCTGTCACATTTTGAATGCTTTGGGAAATATTCTCTTTGCCTAAATTTATCATTGATTGATTTATTAGTTACTAGTTGAAAACAGAAATGGGTGAAACCAAAACCTATCAACAAGAGAATCTGCCCTGTCCGAAACTACCTGGAATGAACTATAGAAGAGACTTGTTTGTTTGCTGTGGCAAATTTTAAACCCCCACAAGTGAATGAAGTTTTAACCTTACAGTAATCTTTTTATTAATCAGAATTTTGGTTGATCCGTGTTGTCTAGAAAGATTTGAAGAGAGGATATACAGGACCCACCATTCAAAACAAAGTTACTAAATGGATCTACTTTTTGACTTTAAAAGCTATATCCGATTTCATGATTCATGCACTAACGGAAAAGCAATGAAAATTTTATTGTTAGATTTGTCTGAACTTTTTGGTGATTTACAACTTGATTGCTGGATGGGTAAGTTTCTGTCGTCACCAACTTTTTGCATGAATGTATAATTTAACAGAGGAATGGAAGTGGTGGAGTTGGGGAAATGGTAACTCCCCTATCCTAGCCACCATTACTAAACATTATCGACCCATCCCTGTGACTTACTCCAGTAAGAGGGATGCAAACAGGGTAAGGCAAATATCCTTGGGAGGTACAATGTCAACAACCAACTTCCAAGACACTAATGCCAATTATGAGATTGTTATGGAGAAAAACACAAAACAAAGACTAGAAGATGGAAAGAGAGCTCTAGTCTTTTCAACGTAAGCTTTGTTAACACTGCTGGCAACAGATACCACGGTCACCGACAATGCCCAACCAGAGTGGTCATAACAGTCGGCTTAAATGAGATGCACATGCTTAAATCCTTTTGTCCATTTTGCATCAAGTCATCCCAAAGTAAATGTTAAAGAACATGGTCGTCGGTGCTTCAGTTCAGTACAAGAACCGTATGAATTGGGTCAAGCTCGTTGAAGAAATGAAAATTTTAGAGTTGAAATTTTGGGTATTCCTCGTTTTAATTTAATCAAACCCCTTGTTCTGTAAGATCAAACAATTTGACAAAAATGAAATGGCATCGATCTATCATAGAAGAGCACACAGATTTTCATGCACTTACAAAGAAGCTTCTTCAATTTCCCTTTTTTTGTTTTTTCTTGATCATGAATTTGAAACATTGAACTTTCCAGCCCTCCAAAATTGTCTCAGAAGGTGAGGTCATTTTTTCCTTTGGACCATTGGAAATTATTTTTTATTTCAAACCTTGATATTTTTGGTATTCTACTAAATATGCCATATCTCGAAATCCTTGGCCACAGCTTATCCATTTGAGCCCCAACTGGCAAAAAAGTGTTCGACATTATGTCACATGGCAGAACCATTACATTTTGATTTAAAGCAAGTGATGGTCACTTACACTGGAGAGACTGAAACACACCCAGAGACCGGCCTGATCCTATGGACAGCTTGTAATGTTTGCTGAGACCAACATAAGTCTATTTAGAAACACAGGTCTATTCAAAATCAAAAAACAAAAATCTTGACTCCATCAAATGCAATTACACGCTTTTGCATTTGAGCTATGTTCATCTCATATTGCAGCTGAAATTGGCCAAACAAAAACACAACCCAAGTGCTAAGAGCATTTAAGAAACATAACATCAAACAATATTACCTATTCTTATTGACCCCACATCTGCGCCATTTTTTGTAGCATCATCTACATAGCAGCCGTCGAGCTTCCACGAAATTTCGCAAATTAACCGCGCCAATTCCTAGCGTTTGACGAAATTATTAGTAGAGGGAAAATGGCATTACCTGATATTAGGCGAAAACTTTCAAATCAGCACGTTCACCAGGCCCCAAACACTGGGCCGGGCAACCCATGTGCTTAAAGCTTACTCCTACAATCTAAGGGACCATAATCAACAAAAAAATCTTGTAACTGGTGGATCAGATCACCCAAGGAGGCTGATCAAATGGAGCCTTTTTAGGACCACATATCATATAAGAAACACATAAGTCCACAAGTATCATGGATGAAAATTAACAGTTGAAGGAGAAACAGTGTCTTTCGTGGACAACCAAAATCATGTCATTGTTATCTGAAAGTAGTTTAAGGATAAAACCAACACTAGACTCCACCATCATTTTGATTTCTAGTGCCAAGCAAAATCAACTTAACCAAAAAGCTATTCCGCATGTGTGTGCACAGAACAGGAGAGGATCCACAACGAGGTGCGTGGTTCCCTTTTCGAAATAATCTTCCAAACAATGAATCAATTCTCATACTAAACAAATAGGCATAAGCGATTCCATACAAATAGGAACAAATTCATTATAAAGTAACCGACCATTGCAAATTTATAATTAAATATAAACAAATAATAAGCTGGAATCAACAATGAGAGTCACAAGCTCAATTAACCAAACAAAACATACTAACTAATGTGGTTGCAAACTCTAGTCTGTACCATGATCTATAATCACTAAAGAACAGAAACATTTAGTTTCTTACTTGCATAAACAGCTAAACAAGCACATGAATGGTTCTGTCACTGAAGGAAACAGAAAGGCTTCATTTCTTATTCCTGCATAAATAAAATCCTTTGTTCATAGTCTCAAATGAGAGGGGAACGAGCAGTGGAAATGCATGCAACAAAGCTTTAACTGCAAAGAGAAGAAAGTCCATCTACACTCCCACCTGCGTGTTTGAAATGCATCATTGTGTTTTAACAGATGCAAGGAAGAAAAAAAAGCCAAATAGGTGAACTAGAGGATAATACTGCTGCTAAAACACAATGATGCATTTCAACCATACAGGAGAAGAAATGATTCTCCAATGAATAACTATGAAAGCATGCAAGCTGCATTCACATATTAATGGCAACCATCAAATGAAAAAAAATGAATATTGAAAGTACTATATAAACAATTCCTCGATTACCAGAATAAAGAAAGAACAAGAAAACGGCACTCTTAGATTTACACAATTGACACTCACTCCTAACATAAGTTAGTAATTTAAGCTCTGATAGCAGATTTGCTCTATTGATAAATCATTGCAAAGATAACGCAAACAATGATAAATAGAAACAGCATCTTCAGATAATAGTCCTGCTGGCTTTGTGCAGTTCGATGATGATGATGGTGATGGTGATGATGAAATCCATGAGCATGACCACCATGATGAAATCCATGAGCATGACCACCGTGATATGAATTCGAAAACCCATATGGGAACCCAGCAGCCGGACCAAACATAGCCGCATCAGGAAACCCATGCACCTGAAGATTAAACAACGATGGGATGAGACCACCAAAGGCCGCAGACAGTGTAAAATTCCCAAACCTAGCAGTTGCCGTTGGTGCAAAACCTCCCAACCCTCCCGTGAATCCAAACCCATTTTGGGGAAACTGATTGGGTTCTGGCGGAGGAGCCGTTTCAGGTCTCTGTCCAGCTGGACGATTCGGAATACTAACACCTGGGACAGATTTAGATCTAGGATCACTAGATGATTTTCCCCTTCCATACAAAGGGACCAACTTTTCTTCCTCAATAAGGGCCTTACAAACAGGACATTCATGAGAACGGGAATGAAGGTTAAGCCATTTGTAAAGGCAAGGCCAGCAGAAAAGATGACCACATAAAGTCACAATGGGGTCTTGAGCTAAGTCAAAGCAGATATTGCACTCAAAATTACCAGCATCACCGTTAGAATTGTTGCTAGAGCAAGATGGGTTTTGGGGCGAATGACTCGCTGATTCCCCAAACCCACCTGCCATTTCTTATACTTCCAAAACTCAGATTCCTATAAAATCAAATTGGAACCAAAATAAACACCAAGAATAAAAACCACAATCTATTCAATTTCACTGTTAAATTTTAATTCAATGAAAGAATACAAATTCAGACGAACATCAAAGCCTTTAAAATTCATTTGATTTTGAGAAATTAAACAATCTCAAATTCAAACCGTCAGATCTCTTAAGAAAATCAGCATCACTAATTACAAAAATGGATCACTCATAACGATTAATCACCGCGAAACATTTGAATATCGCATCGAGATTCAACGGTGACATAATCAAATGATGATAAATGAAACAAAAGTAAATCCAAAATTAAAATAATAATAATAATAATAAGAGAGAGAGATAAAAATGGAAATTACTGACCTTCGGAGAGATAGATGAGATAGAAGAACCGATCGATTAGCCAATCGACCGATTCATTAAAAAAAAAATGAAGATCGAAGAGAAAAAAAAACACTCGTTGAAAAAACTTTTTAAGTTTTTTTTTTTTACGCGTTTACAGCGGAGAGAGCAATACTTATTCCTACGTTTTAGTGCGGAACGTTGGGTTTGCTGGAATCTTCTTCTTTCCCTCCACGTGGCGAAAATCTAGTGGTTAAAGTTTCTTGACTCGTTGACCGGTCGCGCGGGCTCTTGGGATAGGCGACTTACGGTGTTAGAATGTGAATCCGTGTAGGGTCCACGTTGATTAAACTGCTTTTTTTATTTATTTATTTATCTCAATAATGGAAAAAATGGCCTTACTCTTTTTTAATTTCCCGAGTCATGGGTGCAATAATCGTCCTGCTGCTCTCAATAATGGGCCCAATTTCTTTGAGGTGCAAAGCCCATTTTACTAATTAAAAATGGCTCGGGTTTTTTATTAAACACTTTTTTTTAATTTCTCAAATAAAATAAAAAATAAGTGATTAAGGCTAAATGTTTAAAAAAAATTAAATCGAAACATATTAATAAAATAAAAATATTAAAAAATGTGATTTTTTAATCACAATATATTACTTTTCTAATCAATTATGTAATGGTGTGATATTTCTTATAAAAATTTATTCTTATAAAATTTGTATTAGTAGATTTTTCAAGTTAGGAAAATGTCAATAAGTGTTGTGATATTAAAAAAAAAAGAATTTTATTATGAATATATTATTTTTATTGAATTTAACAAAAATAATATATTAAATGTAAAATTTTTATTAAGAAAGTAACACATATCTTTTATTTATGATGTGATAATAATTATTGATTTAAATGTAATATTTTATTTATTAAAAAGATAATTTATACATTAATTGATAAATTGTGTCTATAAATTTATCTAATAATTATATATCATATTAAAAAAAAAGAAATATTTGAGATAACATTGATAAAATAAATAGCATGATTCATTTTGTATATATCAAATTTCAACAAGACAATAATTACAAATTAATTACATGGGTCAATATGATTACAAATTTCAAATATTTAGTATTGTTGCAAAAAGTATTGTGAGTAATTAAATATTTTAAAAATATATGTATAAAATAATAAAAAATTAAAAACATAAAGTGATATAGTGGTTTTTTTTTAAATTTTAAATGCATTTTATATGGCATAAGCATTTCTTAAATAGCTTTTTAGTTTGGGTTGTAAAATCAACCTCATAAGCTTTATATTTTTAATTTTAATAATTTTAAATAAAAAAATTATCACCATTTTTTACTATTAAAACCATTACAGAAACATCGTTGATAATATTAAATTAAGAAATGAAAAGAATTTAGATGAAAATTTTTGGATGAAACAATTTTAAAAAAAGGGTTAAGAGCAATAATTAATATTAACTATTGATTATCCATTTTTCCACTCCTTGGATAACACGGTAGATGAGAGTTGAAAATTTTAATTGACCTTTGATTTAACCTTAATTTATATTTCAAAGGTTTTTTAGACTTTGAGCCGTACAATATTCGATCCGGAATTAAATTGAAGGCGTATGGTATGGTATCTATGCAAATTGTCAAAAAAAGTAAGCTAATAATCATCAATGGATAGCCTTTAACAAAGTAATTATCATGATCAATCACTCTGGAATTTCCACGTTCAACAACAAAAAAAAAAAAAAAAAACCTAGGCTATGCCATGCTATACTAGAATTTTCATCACTTTTTTTTTTTTATAAAAGATCACTGAAATTGTCAATTTTGACCATTAGAAGGATGAGAGTTGGTAGAGTCATTTTTTAATTTAAAAGGTAAAATATTTTTTATTTGAGATTATTAATAAATAATTAAAAGTTTTTTTAATATTTAAATCGAATCGACGTATCAATCTAATATGATTTTATGAGATCATATTAGATCAATTACCTTATCAACTTACTCAACAAATCCTCTTAAATGCTAACTTATCATTTTTGAAATAGACCGTCAATATTCATATTAGTTTAATCTGATAAATCATTCTTAACCCTAAAGGTTGATCGAGCTACTCATGTACCTTTTCTTTATAGATATAAATAAAATCATTTAGATACTATTTCATCATCTAGTTTCTTCTATCTTCTTTACATTCTTTTTTCTATTATTCCCTTTTATCGATTTTTAATTTGAGTATCAAATAAAATTGATATCACTTACTTGCAAAACTTTAATAACTTTATTTTATGATTTACCTAAAATCATTTAATATGTTTTATCTATTACTATCATAATTTTGTTATTTTTTGTTTTACCTTAAAATAATTTATCCATGCGCTTACTTTTAAAGAACTAAAAATAAATAACAAATTTCCCATTTTATAATTCTAAGTTTTGTATAAAATAATTGCATTCTACTTGAAATGATATTAGTTTATAATAATTTTAGCTTTGTATAATTAACTTTTATGTTATAATAAAATATAAATCAGCAACCACATGCTCTAAAAACTGGCTTTGTCATGTCATACTTAGTATCAAATTTTATTTAAAAAAATCGTAATTTGAGATAATAAAAATATAAAGTTTTTGATTGATTATTTTTTAGATTAATTTATATATTATTAAAATTGATATTTAAAAATTATGAGTTTAAGAATTTATAATAAAAATATAAAATTTTTGATTGATTATTTTTTAAATTAATTTATATATTATTAAAATTGATATTTAAAAATTATGAATTTGAAATGATATTTTTTTCAAGAAGATAAAAAATTTAAGGATAAATTACGAATTTAAAAAATAAAAATAAAAACAGTGTCGGTGACCTCAAAGGTATAAATAGCCAGCGCCGTCCTTTCAAATTTTCTTTGTCATTTGCTGCCCCACTTCTTAATCCCAATCTCTCTTTTCTTTTTCCCTTCCAAGTCTGACTATTCCTTCCAAAAATAAGTATAAGCTTTAGTAATTAATTTTTTTTTCTGGAGTTTGATGTAAAATAAAGTTGATCATGATGCAATCGGTGAAATACTGGCTATCAGAGCATCCGTCGATCGTGAACTTCCGTTGGAGCCAATCGTTTGGCTCCACGTGGTCCTTCCTCTTCTCCGCCATCGCCGTCTATGTCGTCACCGCTATCACCCTCCATGTCTTCCTCTCTCTCATCCTCCCTAAACGTCGACGGGTCCCTCTAGGACCAATCCCAGCCATCCACAGCCTCTGCATCTCCTTGATCTCCGTCGTCATTTTCGTCGGTATCCTCCTCTCCGCAGCCACCGAGATTCGCTATACGCGATGGTTCTGGCGCCGCACGAAAACCATCACCACCCCATTCCAATGGTTCCTCTGCTTCCCGCTCGGAACGCGCCCTTCGGGGCGCGTGTTCTTCTGGTCCTACGTTTTTTACCTCGCCCGTTTCCTTCACCTCTTCCGAACATTCTTCACCATCCTTCGCCACCGTAAATTAACTTTCTTTCACCTCTTTAACCAATCAATTCTTCTATGCATGTCTTTTCTATGGCTTGAATTCTCTCAATCGTTTCAAGTCTTAGCCATTTTATTAGCCACTTTATTATACTCCGTGGTTTATGGGTACCGATTCTGGACGGCGATTGGGCTCCCAACCGCCTGCTTCCCTTTCGTGGTGAATTGCCAGGTGGTGCTTCTGGGGTGTAACTTGGTCTGCCATTTCGGGGTTCTTTCACTGCATTTTCTGAAAGGTGGGTGCAACGGAATGGGAGCTTGGGGTTTCAACTCTGTTCTCAATGGCGTAATTCTTGGGCTCTTCCTCAATTTCTACGTTAAAAGACATTTAAGGAAGAGAAATGCTGACGACATTAGCGGACATGGTGGTTCTTCTTCTTCTTCCGCTCGTTCCTGTAGCAGTTCGGCGTCGGAAATAAAGGGTGAATGAATTTCTTCACCAACGTCATTTTTCTTCTTTAATCTCTGTTCTATGCTTAGTTTATGGAGAAGAACAGGTAAAAATTTCTCAATCTGTAAAGTTTGTAAGTGTATAAATCGATAGATTATTCTATAAACGAATGAATAAGAATTAGGACATGTTATTTACATTTGTTTGGTTTTTTTTTTTTCTTAATGAAAACATCTTTAAGTGGTTAGTTGTTACAAAACATGCCTGTCAGCAATTAATGTTGTTTTGGAGAATATGATGTTAGTATTTCTTATCTAGGAGCAAAACACATGACTTTGAAAAGTTTTTTTTTTTTTACAGTACTTCAACACCAAAAAAGGGGTTTTAATTTAAGTTGAAAAAATCAACCAAAGAAAATTCTGTTTCTTTTTCTTCTTTAGATATGTTTGTTTTGTTGGTTTGCTGTTCATTACAAAGACTGGTAGGCGAAGCTTCCATGTCTCAGAATCAGATTCTCAGTTATAACTCTCAGTACATCATCACATACGTATGATCGTGTCTTATTAAACAAATTTAGGTCTTGTATAATTGTGTTGGTATCAATCCGTTTATGTTACGAAAATATTGTCTCTTACGTAAGTTGACGGGGCTAACATGTATACGATATGTTTATATACGTTAATTTAATCATATTAATAGGTTAAAGTTTCAGTCATATTAAAAATAATAATAATTATTATTATAATTACGATTAAAAAAAATTTATTAAGTTGTGATTGAAAAAAAATTTTAATGAAAAATTTATACCGAATTAACTTTATTAAAGTTCGTATTTAAATTCAACAAGTGATACGATAAATTCAATTGCTCGACATCAAAATTATGATAAAATTTAAATCTAATCTAAGTGTTTATTTGGATGAGTGGTGAGATTGACTCTAATGAAATTGAAAATAATAATAAAAGTTATTGTAACTACGATTAAAAAAAAATTCATAAAAAAATTTATACTAAATAGATCTCATTAAAATTAATATTTGAACACTTAACAATGCAATAAGCTCAATTGCACTACTCTTAAAAGTACGGTGAAATTCAAACCACCTCTAAGATAAGCTACTTCACATCTTCAATCTGTTTAAACTCATTCATTAATTAAATTGTTAATATTAACTACTTGAGATTACTTTTATTAGAGAATGTTCCTTCATCATTCTTTACTACAATGCAACCATACATAGCACAGATGAATTGCAATATCTTAACATAGTAAATGCAGACATGTTTTACATAGATGAAAGAACCCTTATAAGAGTTTTGACGACAAAAGCATCATACGGTTGTCCTTGTTAAGACTATCTGTACACCATATTGAGGCTCCAAGGAGATGAACAGCATAGTGGCATGAACATATGTCGGCTACACTGTCAAAGTATATTTCCGGATAATCATAGCTAGAATAATTTTCATCTCGACCATAGCTAAAGTCTGGCCGACACAAATTCTAGGGCCCAAACCATATGGAATATATGAGGCTAAATGCTTTCGAGACTTTTTAAATCTTAAGGGATTGAACATATTAGCATCTTCTCCCCATATTTCAGTGTCGTGATGAACAGCAGCCAGCGACAAATAAAGCTCTGTACCAGCAGGAACGTTGATCTGTCCTAGCTTAACATCCTTGCAAGCTTTCCTCATCAACATCACTATTGGAGGGTAAAGCCGAAGTGTTTCATCGATTATCATGTTCACCTGTTCATAAATTGATTTTACGCAACATTAACCAACATGAAAGCTGAAACTGCTGGTGTTTAACCAACAGAGTAATCCTATACATATGCTTAGAATCCTCCCAGAAGGCATCAATTTGAATTTGTCAAATCAGAGAGGAGAGAAAACTTACAATCTTCAAGCCATTCAAATTCTCTGCAACTGGAAGCTTATCTTTTCTGCAGATGCGAACCACTTCTTCTCTTGCCTTGTCTTGCCATTCCGGATTCAATGCCAAAAGCAGAAGTGCCCACGATAAAGCATTAGCAGCTGTTTCCTTTCCTGCAAAGTAAAAGGTCTTGAACTCGCCTATTATTTCTTCCTCCCCTAACCTCTCTTCTTGATTATCGTGATTCTTATATGAAGACATCAAAAGACTAAGCAGACTGGAAGAATTTTCTCTTTTGCTGTTAGTCCGGATCAGTGCCCGTATTTATACACTAATAGATAATTCATGTAAAGAAAGGAAGCAGTTTGATTTACCTTGACTCTTTCCATGCGAAAGGGCTGGTTTAAAATCCTCCTATGAAGGGCCCATTCTTCGCCTATCAATGCAACAAGTCCCTGTCCAAAGAGTAGCCTGCCCTTGGGGTCAAACCCGGTCTTATCAAATGACCCGCCTTCTGTGTTCATAGTAACCTCCTTGATCATATCCAGGTCGGAAATTGCCAGCCTTGGTTTTGGCCCAGACCAATACAAAAACGGTTTCCCATACATTTTGGACCACCTGTGGTAGAATGGAGCCACACGGGGAAGGACATCGTGGTTGTGAAGTGGAGCTGGCTTTGACATAGCTTCTTCAAACTGACGGCGCATCTCAGCTGAGTTTCCAAAGATCGGACGGTAGCCAGGGCCTGTTACTCCTTGCTTTTTGAAGTGGTTTTGGATTTTCCAGGGAATCCATATGATTGAGTATACAAATTTCAAGACACAGATGCAAAGAAATGTTATGAAAGCAAGAATTAGATGATTCATTATTGCAATCTCCATATCTCTAAGAAGCATCAGAGTGGGAGAGAGCTGAAGGGAGGCAGGCTGTTAATGGCGGATTAGCATCGCTATATAGAAGTCAGAATTCACATGGGTCTGGGAACATTGAATTTATATTATATATTTTAAGACAGGAGTTAATAAGAAAATTGACCTGATCGTGAAAGAGCAGCAACCTTTTTATATAGAATTGGTTTTCGAAATTCATAAAAGGTGTTAGAAGATGTGTTTAGAACTGTTAATGTAGATTTATAAATGTGGTTTAGTTGAATGGTTCATGTTGTTTTTATTTTTTTGGTGTTGTTTATTTTTTTGTTATTCATATTGATGGTCATGATTTAATCTTAGGATCATGATTTTAGTGGATAATTATTAATTATGCTTTAAATTATAATATTTTTGATGTTAAGAAATGTAACAGTGTGTAAAGTTTTTTTTACTTAAAAAATAATAATATTTGGTATCAAAGCTTTCTTCTTAAGGGATCTGTGTGTGAAATTGATGCGTCATGGAAGCTGAAGCCAGTTTCTCTGTAATTGCTTCGACAGTGTTTGACGGAGACAACTATCAATTTGGGTAGTACGTATGGAGACATACTTGAAGCTTTGGATCTTTGGGAAGCAGTAGAAGAAGACTATGAAATTCCTGCACTTCAAACAATCCCACCATAGTACAGATTAAAGCGCAGAAAGAAAAGAAGATAAAGAAATCAAAGGCAAAGGCCTGCTTGTTTGCTGTAGTCCCATCCACTATCTTCACTTGTATCATGTCTCTGAAGTCAGCAAAAGAGATATGAGATTATCTTAAGAATAAATATGAAGGAGATGAAAGAATTAAAGGAATGAAAGTCCTTAACTTGATTAGAAAATTTGAACTTCAAAGAATGAAGGACTCCGAGACGATTAAAGATTACTCCGGTAGGCTTCTGAGTATCACAAACAAAGTAAGGCTTCTTGGATCTAAATTTACTGACTCAAGAATTGTAGAAAAAATTCTTGTTACAGTACTTGAAAGATATGAAGCAACCATCACTGCCTTAGAGAATACCAAGGATCTGTCAAAAATTTTCTTAGCAGAATTGCTTAACGCTTTGCAAGCATAAGAACAAAGAAACTAATGAGGGAAGATACAACAATCGAAGGAGCTTTGGCAGGCAAGCATCAAAATGTGGCCAAAAGTAAAAGAAAAAAGAAAAAAGATTTTGAAAGAAATTGGACAAGTACTGCATCAGCCAATGCAAAAGGAAAGAATGAAAATCAGAAAAAATCCTATTCACCTTGCCAACACTGTGGAAAAAAAGGGTCATCCTCCATTTAGATGTTGGAGAAGACCTGATGCTAAGTGCACTAAATGTAATCAGATGGGGCATGAAGCTGTTATCTGTAAAAATAAAAATCTGTAACATGGTAAAGATGCAAATATTGCTGATCAAGAGGAAAATGATCACCTGTTCGTAGCTACATGTTTCTCCAGCATCGAATCAAGTGAGAATTGGCTTATAGATAGTGGTTGTACTAACCACATGACACATGACAAGGATCTATTCAGGAAACTAAGCAACGCAAACTCATCGAAGGTTCGAGTTGGTAATGGCAAGTACATAACTGTGAAAGGAAAATGAATAGTTACAATTTCAACTTGTTCAAGTACAAAATTCATTTTTGATGTATTATATGTCTCTGAAATTGATCAAAACTTGTTAAGTGTTAGACAACTAATTGAAAAGGGTTATAAAGTTGTGTTCAAAGATAAAAGTTGCTTGATTAAAGATGCAGTTGGCCAAGATATTTTTAAAGTAAAAATGAAAGGGAAAAGCTTTGCTCTAAATCTATTGGAGGATGAGCAAACAATGTTTTCAATAAAAAAAATATCACTGAAGTATGGCACAAGAGGCTCGGGTACTATCATCATCAGGGGTTATTGCAAATGAAATCCAAGAAGATGGTAAATGATTTTTCAAAACTTAATGATCATATTCCAAATTGTAAAGCATATCAGTTTGGAAAGCAAAGTAGGAAACCATTTCTCAAGAAACATGGAGAGCATTAAAGAAGTTACAATTAATTCATACTGACATTGCAAGCCCACAAAGAACGCCTTCTCTGAAAATGTAGTCTTTATTATGTTACATTCATTGATGATTTCACCCGTATGTGTTGGATCTTCTTTTTAAAGTACAAGTCAGAGGTAGCTCAAGTCTTTTGGAACTTTAAAGCCATAGTTAAGAATGAGAGTGGCTGTAGAATTCAAACTTTCAGATCAGATAATGGCAAAGAGTACACCTCTAAAGCATTCACTTATTTTTATAAGGAGACAGGCATCCAATATCAATTAACCATTCCATACACTTCACAACAAAATAGAGTAAGTGAGAGATGGAATAGATTCATATTGGAGATGACACGATGTATGCTAAATGAAAAGAACCTGCCAAAGTAATTTTAGGTTGAAGTAGCAAATACTGCTATTTTTTTGCAAAACAAGCTTCCCACAAGAGCAGTGAAGGATTAAACACCCTTTGAGGCATTGTATGGTTATAAACCATCTTTGAATTTTCTTAAAATATTTGGATGTTTGTGCTTCACTTATATTTCACAGACCAAGAAAGATAAATTAGATAAAAGAGTACTTCCAAGCATCTTCATTGGCTATAGCTCAGTTGTAAAAGCTTATAAAGTTTTTTAGCCACAAACTGAAAAAATTATTATAAGCAGGGATATGCACTTTATAGAAGATGAAAAGTGGAACTGGGATGATGCAAAAAAGATGGATCCAACCTTAAAAAAGCACAAGCTCAAGTTTCCTAGCATTGGAGATTGAGAGAATGAAATGGAGGATGACAGTTCTATCAGAGGTACAAGACTACTTTATGATATTAATCAAAGATGTAATATTGTTGTGTGTGAACCTACAAATTATGAAAAGGCCAAGACGGATCAAAATTAGATTGCTGTAATGAAGGAGGAGCTATTCATGATTGAAAGGAATGAAACATGGGAGCTAGTTAATCGACCCCAAAACAAAAAAGTAATTGGAGTCAAATGGGTGTACAGAACCAAGCTTAATGCTGATGGCTCAATCAACAAGTGTAAAGCTAGACTCGTGGTCAAAGGATATGCTCAAATACTCGATGTGGACTACTCAAATACCTTCGTACTAGTCATTAGACTCGACACCATCAAGCTCTTACTCGTTGTTACAGCACAAAAGAATTGAAAAGTGCACCAATTAGATGTCAAGTCAGCATTCTTGAATGGTTTTCTGCAGGAGAAGATTTATGTAGAGCAACTAGAAGGCTATGTCAAGAAATGAGAAAAAGATAAGGTTTATCTTCTTAAAAAGGTACTTTACGGATTAAAGCAAGCTCCAAGAGCTTGGTACAGCAGGATTGATGAACATTTACAGAACTTGAGATTTGTTAAAAGCTTATTTGAATCAACATTATATGTCAAGCACAATGGAGCTGACATTCTTATCATTTCACTATATGTGGATGACTTACTTGTGACAGAAAACAACACAAGTATTGTGAAAAAATTTAAGTAAGAGATGATGAAGTTTTTTGAAATGATAGATATTGGATTGATGACCTTTTTTTTTTGGAATGAAAATCAAACAAAATGAACATGAAGTCTTCATCTGTCAGAAAAAATATGCCAAGGAGATTCTGAAGAAGTTTAAACTTGAAGAATGTAAAAAAATGAGCACACCAATGAACTTAAAGGAAAAGCTCTGTAAAGAAGATGGAACAAAAAAAATTGATCAGATATATTTTAGAAGCCTGATTGGTTGCTTAATGTTTCTCACAGCAACTCGGCCTGACATTTTGAATGTTGTAATCATTTTGTCTCGGTTTATGCATTGTGCAAGTGAATGGCATCTCAAGGTTGCAAAGAGGGTGCTTAGATATGTAAAAGACACAAGCGATTTTGGCATTAAATACACAAAGAGCAAAGAGTTCAAGCTGGTTGGTTTCTCAAACAGTGATTGGAGAGGTTCCATTGATGATATGGAGAGCATTTCAGGCTATTGTTTCACACTTGGTTTAGTGTTTTCTCATGGAGTTCGAAAAAAAAATTGTAGCTCAATCCACAGCTGAAGCAGAGTTTATTGCTGCAACAACTACTGTTAATCAAGCTTTGTGGCTAAGGAAGATTTTAATCGATTTTAACTTAGAGTAGGAGGAAAGCACGAAGATTCTTATTGACAACCAAGCTGGCATTGGTATATCTCAAAATCCTGTGTTTCACGGGAAAACTAAGCAGTTTAATATTAAATTATTCTTCTTAAAAGAAGTATAGAAAGATGGAGCTATTGTTCTTGTTTATTGCAAAACAGAAGATCAGGTTGCAGATATTTTCACCAAGCCATTGTCAGTTAGCAAGTTTGAATTTTGAGGACAAAACTTGGTGTTTGCAGCTCCTAAAGCAAGAAATAGTATTAGAAAATGTGTTTAGGACTGGTAATATGGATTCATGAATGTTGCCAGTTGAGTGTTTCATGTTGTTCCTATTTTTTTAGTGTTGATTATTTTTTTATTATTCATACTGGTGGTCATGACTTAATCTTAGGACCATGATTTTAGTGGGTAGTTACTAATTAGGCTTTAAATTATAATGTTTCTTGTTAAAAAATGTAATAGTGTGTAAATTTTTTTTTGCTTAAAAAATAACAACAAAAGGCAATGCAATGCACGAGGTGTGTAATCCATTTCTTTTCACGTATAATTGCATATCTTTAATTATATTTATATTTATATTTAAAAAATCTTCAGTTTAAGTTCTATTATTACGCTTTGTTTTATTATTATGGTTTTTAAAAATAAGCTTTAATCCTAGCACTACCTTCCCATGCTTTAGGGGTCTTTGCCAGAACCGCTATTTCATGTAACAATGCAATTCGTTCACAAGTTTGCTTGTGGATTGGTTTCATCAGCTGATGATTGTGGTGGATACGGTTCTTGTTGTATTTGCCCATGTCTTTGTCAGCTGTAGTCGCTTTCTAATGTCCTTTCATTTATCTTTCCTACCTTGGAGTAGCTGAGAATATTAACTAAAGGCCCATTCGGATCCCCAGTTGGATGTGGTGCGATGCGGTTGGGACCTTCATAATTGCACCATTTGTAAACTTGTTTTTATCTCAGACGCCATTTGAAAGATAAAGTTCAGCATCAAAAGGGCTTGTCCTTGTGTTAGTCTTTAAAACAGAACTGACGACCTCACAGATGTTGTAGAAGATTCGACAGGCGATAAGCAAGAAATTGACTCGTTTTTAGGTGCATTTGTCTTCCAAGATGTCTCGACTTTGCGTTACTAAACAAAACAATGGGTCTATCTGGGTAGAGCCTGAAGGGCAGTTAAACAAAATACACGGTTAGGGTTAGGATTAGAGTGCTAAAACAAACATGACAATGTCTGCAAAAGTGTAGATTTTGTTGTTTTACTTGATGTTGGGTTTGTTCAACTAAAAGGACATAATAGCAACCGATTCATCATTCCATAACAGACAAAGCTTTGTTCAGCTGCAAGTATCCCGTCTTCCACAAAATTAAATGAAGAAAATTGGACTTTGGGTAGTTGACTTGGTTACCAAAAATCAAACCTGCAGGGAAGGTTTTTCATGTTTCGGTTGAAGGAAAATAAATTAAAGAAAACAAAGAGATCAAGTCATAACTAATAATCCAGGAAATAATTGACTGAAAAAACCAATGATTAGACATCATCATTAATATTTGCAGGAAATATATCAAGACAATTAATTACAAAGTTGATGAGCCTTTTCAAAGAGTAATGAGCGAGTCCCTACGTGGCGTACGAAAAATTGAACATCATGGCCGAAAACATGGAAAAATGCCAAAACCATGCAAAAGTTAGATGTTGGTCCGGAAGTCAATCAACAAGCTGGTAGCCATAGACCATAGTCAAAGAGCTTTGCAGGAAATGAATCTGATTTGTCGGTCACCAAGAACTAACCGTAAGATCATAATAGAAAAACAGGGGAATGAAGAGTGGCTTTGGATTGTCTCTGTGTTTGAAAAATGAAGTAGTTAACAAAGTATCCAAAGAAAAGGCATCTATCAGCATTTGGATTATCATTTACTAAGCAACAATTGCAGAACATAAAATATCCATAATTACGGAACATCATCATGAATATTAAAATATCCAATCAATTACAAAAGATATGATTCTTCAGTGGACTATTTCTCATGGTTAAGAAGAAAATAAGTTAATCCATTTTCTTGCTGTTAACAACATGAAGATTATCAAATACTTAGCATCAATGTTGTCAACCGTTCAAAGAGTTTAATGTCTAGAAGCAATAACAAAATAACAAAGCTTTTATTGACGAAATAAGCAAATAGCTCAAGAAAGGAAACTTGTGCAATAGTAGAAAATTCTTGTTAATATGTTTCATAGACGGTTCTGCAAATACTTCGGTAAGGATAATATTTTTTAATATGAAGAAATCATGATTTGAACTATAACCATTGAAATTAAGAATTCAGCAACATCAATATTTTATCAATAGATCATATAATTATTGAGTATGTCACAATATTTGATTTATGATAATAAAGTTTAATAACAAGTGACACTCACCGTATTTATAAGAAAAAAGTTAGTGCTACTATCTACTGGTAGAAATCTATAATGTAACATTTTTGAGGAAGAAAAAGAAATGCGAAAATCACGTGAAAAGGGAACAAAAATTTCAGATCAAGTCATCCGTTAGTTTAGTTTGGAGAGAGTGAGCAACTAAGAGAGATTATAGGGAATAGTGGAAGTGTGGAAGCAAGCACGTGGTGCGGTGGTGCTGGTGGTTAAGTGCTTAACTATGGACGTGTGAGAATCGGCGGTTGTGCTGATGTTCGCCACGCGCGGGGGAATCAACCATCTTTGTTGTTTCCCGACACACCATGATCAGCAACAGCAATTAAGCTAGAAACTAAGTAACCCTGAACTGAATCTCAATCCCTTTTTTATCTCTGCATCTTATGTATGGGGAAATCTGTCTTTCTCACGTGACTTGACGTTGATTGCTGAATAAAATGGCAGTGTTTCGTACACAATTTACATTTACAGTTACAAGTACCATGACGATTAAACCCAAAGAAAGAGACTCAACCTCCAAATATCTTAACCGACCACGAAAAGAGATGGCCAAATCAAATATGAAACATCATAACAAAGATATAAAATTTAAAAGGAAAAATTGGTCATTTACTTGATGCTCTAAAGAGAACCGAAAATCTAATATTGTACACGGAAACGTGACAGTGGAAGTGTGACCCTAATATATATACAGTAACTTTCTATATTAACTTTCCCATCATCCTAATTCCCTGCATCAAATCCTTCCCATTTATCTCAACCTCTCTTTCCTCTCAAAACAATAATGGCGATTTCTTCTGGGGTTTACCTTCTTCTTTTTCTATTGAATCCTTCTCGTTTGGTAAATTTCTAGCCTTTATTTGCATGAGAACATGTATATGTTGGATTGTAATTTGTTTTTTTTAGTATATTCCATGTTGTAAAGCATCAAAGTTGTTTGTTTTGATAGATTAGATTATGTAACAAAAGATTATATTTGGAATCAGTATTCAGTCGATGCTTTAAGCTTTTGATTCAAATAACATTGACTCAACTTTGGTTTTGAAAAAAAATTGCAGGGACGATATTTTCTTCAGCAACCCTTTTTACACTGGAAAACCATTGCAGTTTCACTGTATGGCCTGGTTCTCTCTCCGGAAATGGCTCTGCCCTTGGTGAAGGTGGTTTTGCATTGTCACCTGGTTCATCAGCCTAATTCCAGGCTCCATCCGGTTGGTCCGGCCGCTTCTGGGGTCGAACTGGCTGCGCATTTGACAACTCTGGCATTGGCAAATGCATAACCGGTGACTGTGGTGGCGTGCTAAAGTGCATAGGCGGTGGTGCACCACTCGTCACTCTGGTAGAGTTCACCATTGCTGGAGGCCCTAGTGATAAGGACTTCTATGATGTTAGTCTTGTGGATGGTTACAACGTTGCCTTAGGTGTCAAGGCTGTTGGTGGTGCAGGTGATTGCCAATATGCAGGTTGTGTCACGGATCTTAATACAAATTGCCCAGCTGAGTTAAAGGTCATGGATTCGGGTTCTATTGTTGCTTGTAAAAGCGCCTGCAATTTGCTGCACGGGGGACCATGCTACTGCTCAAACTTGCTCACCAACACAACTCGGAGATGTTCAAGAATGCATGCCCCACTGCTTATGGTTATGCTTATGATGATGCTTCTAGCACCAGGACTTGTTCCAGGTCAGATTATTAGATCACATTTTGTCCAACCGAGTCATGAACATGATCTTGATTCATGACCATGGTTAAGGTTAGCCTTTATTTACCATTTATTATCTTCTTGGGTAAATTATGCTCGAGATAGCGGAAATTTGTTGACTGTTCTGTTATTAGAGCACATTGAAATCAATTGTTTGCCTCATCTGTCTAAAATGGATGAAAAGTTGTCTTTTGGCTAACCATTTTTATCAGTTTTAAAGATTGTGGCTGGTTTGTTTGGTGCGAAAGTAGATGATGTTGTGTAAATATGAACGCATTTTTTTCCGATCTAATGAAAATTCAAGAACCAAAGACGAAGAGAAGAAGCCATAAGCTTTGCTGTAGCCACAACTTTTATGGGGTAGTTGGATTACAAAAATAAACAGAAAAATATTAAGACATTTTCCTTTCCTGTGAAGGCCTTCGGCCAAACATCTGATTACCGGCTCAGAAGAGCATTCTTTTTTACTTTCCTTATATTTTTCCTTGTTTTTCAATACATTTTCAATTTTCTCTGCATGGGGCTTTCATCTTGGAAAGCCTGATCCTGCCCAAAATTTCCGATTGATTTTTGGGCCAAGGACAGAGCAACTCTACAAGTATGGGCACAGTCTTACGTGCCACCTTTCCTACACTCGAACCCTAGAAAAATTACAAGCCAAAATTAGAACAAATGGGGGAAGGGGGGTGGGGGTTAAAACTGCCTATATTTTACAGACGTTCCTTTCAAAGACGTATTGCTTGAAAATAAACTACTACGCAAGCGATTAAACCATGATAGCTCCATATCGCCGGAGCCGGTGCATTGACCCTCGCCTTCCTCCTCACTACTAAAGAGAGTTTGGTCTGAGCAGTCTAGTGATGCTCCACACGCTAAATTATATGACTGACATGCTGAATGGCATACCCGTAGTCTGTTGTCCCCATCATTGTCACATTTTTGGATCGAAATCTGGTCATATAGGAATAGCATTTAGAGTCAAGCTATCATGATTGGCTATCAAGAAACTGTTAATTACTGAAACCATTTTCTACCTCATCAATTTCTATGATCATTTAAAGCAAGCGACAAAGAACCAAAACTACTGAGAAAAAAATGCTTGGAAATAGAAGAGCAGGGATGAGCTACTTTACCCAGCAGGCTAGTTGCTTGGCAGCTGCATCACAATAGCTGCTTCCAAAGAGATTATTAAACAACTTTCGAGCACCACTGGGGAATAGACGGTGGTAATTGGGCATGACAACTACTTCTTCTAGCTGCTGTAATATACTTGCCTCACTGGGTGCACAGTGTTGCCCAGAGAAATCCCTCTCCAACACATTTTTACATACTGAAAGACTAGAGATGAGAGTGGAGCTGTTCTGGCATGTGTAGCCCGCGTAATCAGAGCAGCGAAACTCACAAACTCCATTGTCACAGACACCACCATGAAGGCTGCATTGTTCATTGCAAACAGCTGCATATAATTCCAAGTAAAATGGTAAGAGAGAGGACAAACAAATGGCACTGACTGTATTTATCCCTGACGTATGCATGAGAAGAATTACATATAACACAGCATGAAATGGTTTCAATGACAAAATGAAAACCTCAAGAGGTGTCTATGAATGCATTAGCATATTGAAACAGCACTCAACACTGAAGTTCTTTTTTCTTCAAAAAAACGAGGGAATGATAAAAAAAAAAAAAGAGAATATCTTCCATATTTATGCTTAACCATGCGGGTAAAGGCCCTTTAAAAGGGTCAATGCAAAGATACCACAAGATAGAACCCCTCAACTTTTCCTCCACAAACAAAGAAACTTACAGTAAAACTGGTAAAGAGGATAGCATACGTGTATACTCCAAAAGTCAAATATCTATTCAGCAACTTTAAGAACATTTTCCAAATAAAATAATTAAAAATAAAATATTTAATAAATTAACAAACACATACCAGTGGAGCAGTCAATGCCAGTATGACCATTTTTACATTCACAGACCCCATTTGACAGGCACTTTCCATGCCCATTGCAATTTTTAGGGCAAGATCCTGAAAATTATACAAGACAAAAGGACAGAAAAATAACATCAGTTTATTGAAAAGGATTAATCAGAAGAGATTTCATATACCAAATTTTATTTCATACATAGCTAAATGATAGAACATAGAAGGATGCTGGAGCTAACTTTTATTACAATCATGACCATGAAATCCAAGAAAGCAATGACATTTTCCATTGACACAGTCACCATTAAAATTACAAGAATTCGCACATTGCCCAGACACAGAAAGAGAGCCAGTACTACAGAGTTCATGGTAAGCAGGACAAATCAGTTCACCTGTAGATAAAAGATCAAAAGAAATTATTACCGCATATAGATAGATCTTATTGACTGCAAAGTCAGTAGATCAAAATTACCATTAAAACCAGGGAACTGAACTGGTCCACCAGCTTTTGGACACACTTTCCAAATACCATCCACAGCAACCTAAAAAGAACAATTATTAAGAAAAAATTAATGAAAAATTGCAGGGTAGAAAGAGTTTAAAGTTCAACATGCAAATGATTCTTTGCCAGCTTTAAATTTTACTGTTATAAACAAAAAGGTATACTTCAGTCAGCCAGACCGTGATGGAAAAAGATTTTTTGTTATTTGGACATTGCAGTAAATCAGCATTTGCCAGAGTAACTGTACACTGAAAAGCTAAGATCACAACCCACAAGCTGCAAGCTGCAAGCTTCAAGCTCCATACCTCTAAAGAGTTATTTACACATCTGTGCTGATAACAACCATTTCCTTGGGTCAAGGAACCCCGCACAAAACCAGTACGTACTAAGGATGAAGCCATGCACCTATGTAATCACAAAAGAAAATTCATCAGCCATTGCCCCAAAGTTCTAACTATGTCTAAGGTAAAAAGAAAAGTTTAAACTGTGTCCCAGTAAGACTTTTAAGGTCAAAACTCACCTGGAGTTACTCCCTCTCACTTCACCTAACATTCTGTCTGGGGCCCTTGCACTGTTCGTGACTGTACAAGATCCATCAGAGTAAGCCACAAAGTACGTGCAATAATCAGCCAGCGAGGACTGACCACCTGCAAAGGTCAATAACAGAAGCCTATAGACCTCGCAAGGAGAACCAAACTAAAAACTCAATGATGTTGATAAGTGTAAAATGATTGCATTATATGCACATATCCTGAAACCAGATGGTTCACTACCATACTTAAGTTGCATGCAGAATACAAGAATCACACATGCACATGTGAACCAAAACTGAAAATAACTTTTCTCTATTAGTAACTCAAATTCAAAATTGCACACATTAATACACTGATTATTCAATCTTTAGAATAAGGAATTAGTAGAGTGGATAGGACATAAAATAGATCAAGGGCCTCAAAAACATCAAGTATCAGATAAAAAGGATTCAACAAGAACATACCCTTGTTAGCCTGAGGAAAATACTGAGCCCATTGAGGCAGGTCCCCACTATAACTTACAATAGGACAGTAACCCTCTGCTTCCCTGTTATATGTACAGCCAGACAAACTGGTTGTGTTGCAATGGTATGTCCCCTTCCAGAGATTGCAAGGAGAAATAACAAACTCAGTTCCTTGGTTGCGACCCCAATCAAGACGATCTGCCATGCTATAGTTAGCTTGATACCATCCACTATCCTCCAACAAAGCCAGAGTCATTTTCGAAACTACTGATCTTGTATCCACAGATCCCGTCATTATCTCATTCATCAAAAGCCTTTTTTCCCAATGAGATCCTGTAGCCAAGTCATCACTCAAACATTAAGGACCAAACTGCTAAACTGCTGCATCTTCCATTAAGAATCATATTATGTATTGTACGCTAGTTTTAAGTTAGTTTCCATAAGCTAAAATTCCACAACCAATGCCACAATGAGAGGAGAGAGACACAAATAAGGGGGGCGGAATTGAATACCTGATGTGCCACGTCCTCCCCCATCTTCTAGCTCTAAGCCTGTAAAATTTTCTGAGAATGCCTGTCAATCAAGCTATCATCAATTATTTGTTTGATTTTCGCATTGTGTTTTTTCAATAATCAAAAGCCACAAAACTTAGCACAACAAAGATTTTAAAAATACCCCGTAATGATGTCGTGAGTGCATGACAACACGTGGAAGCACCACGCGTGTTACCATCCTCCCAAGCTTTTCATCCATGATATGTTCAGTAACCTGCACAATGCACATAGAGATGACCATGTGATAGTGAGGTCTAAATTGTGTCCATGGAATACAGTCATGACTAATAAGCAACATATGCTTTTCGTATTGGTAGTGACACGAAATAAGCAACAGAGTGTCAAATGCATTCATACAAAACAAAGTACTAAAAGTGCAACTGAACTCCAATTTCGAAGGCAATGAACAAGTCTTGAGGGTTTAAGCTTTGAATTCAAAATCCAAAATTTATCAAGCAACTTAGAGCATATTCATAGTAAATGTCACGCAATTACCTGACTACGCCTCCTTTTCCTCTCATCCCTAAAGTGGGCAAAAGCATGTGGGTCAAAGCCAAGAACATGCATAACCTGGATTAAAACAGTGATGGTCACATGAAATTTCCTTCTATACTCTTCCAAATTCATCAAATTAACATCACCAAACCTCGTGGATAAGAGTAGCTGAAAGTAAAGTCTCTGCTTCAGCTGTTAAATGTCGAGGAGCAACATTCACATGACCTACAAAACAGAAGTATACCATTGCTTCTGATTATAGATTTCTACCGCACACAACAGCAACATATTCCACACTTAAGAGATGGGCCAACAAGAAATTACCAGCAATTGCACGGCCCCATTGGTCCCGTTCACACGCTACTGCCCATGCCAAAGTATTGCCAGTGGTAGGTCTTGTAGTCACAAGAAGTACCAAGTCGGCATCAGCAACACCCTCTGCAAGAAAAGTTAGATAAAGATAACGATTACAAAAGAATGAACCTAACAGGAAAATGCTCTTGGAGCCACAATCAAAGATGAAAATGAAATGTAAACAAAATTATGGAACTGCAATGAGATACCTTCAACATATTCACGAGGAAGCTGTACCCCTCCATCTTGACCACATGCAGAATATCCACTCAGTCTCAAATTCCCTTTCACAGGCTCTACAGCCAAGGCTCTCTTGAACCAGTCAGCTGTCTGCCCTAGAGCCTTCATTAAATTTCATTCAAAAGTTAGCATTAGCTAACTCATAACTCAAATGAAAGCAAATTTGTTTGTAGAATCTATAAAGTAAAACCTTGCGAAGGCGACGGCGTTTGTCCTCCCCAGAAATATCATCCAAAGTGCAATTATACCAACAGTCACCATAAATTGGAGGATCACCTCGAGGATTGCAGGAGGGTGTGCCAGGAGGAGAATTCACAGGAGGCTCCCCAAGCTGGTAAAAAACATAGAAAAACATCAAAAGCAAACACCAAGAACCCAACATTAGATTCACAATCATGATCAGACGTACAATACTACAGAGTTTACCAAGGAAATAGTAGCACCCACCTTCACAATGTCTCCAACTTTTTGACAATCTCTATCCTGAGAGTGGCCAACGGCATCGTAATTTAAATATATCCTTATAGGTTGCTTAGCATCCTTTGGATGACCAAGCAATTCACGAATCCCAAGCAACGACCTTCCTTTGCGATGGACATGATTTGAGATACCAGAGTGGTCATAAACTTGAGGGGTAACGGAGTAAACCTTACGACCTGGTCGCCTCCTCTGCTCAATTATTTGGTCATGAATACATGAATGTGAGACAATGTTTTCACTACTTCCTCTTTCTGGGCCTTCCCATTGCAGATGATGCTCCGGAAATTTGGCGGTAGCAGCTCCAAACCATAACAATATCAATAAAATCTGCAGCAGATACCAGAAAAGCTTGAGTTTTAAAGGGAATTCTACAAACAAGAAACCCAAAATCTGAAATTAAAAACCAAAAGGCCAAAGAAAAACTCTATGCAACAACGGATCTAATAAAACCAAACTAAGAGTGGCTAATACCAGCACAAATACAAAATCTTTGCAAATAATACGCTCAAAATTCAGCTATTTGATGTGGCGTTGACCCCATAAAATTTCAACTTCAAATAATTCAAAAGTAATAAAATTGGAGGAATGGCAAAAACTGTAGATGTATGAATCCCAGCAAATTTTTAAAATTCAACAGTCAATTGAACTAAAAGTTTACAGTTTTATCCAACCAGTAAACCATAGAGAACAGCTTCCAAAAAGGTAAGAACCCAAAAAATTGGGAAAAGGGAAGTAAAAAGAAAGTAAAACAAACAAATAAATAAATAAATATAAAACTATGAAGAAACCAAATGAATCCCATCTTTATACAAAAAAAAAAGCCAAAAAAAAATTTCTTTTAAAGTATTAAACAGCAAGGTTAGATAAAATTTGTTCCTTTTCGAACTAATTTTCTCAGTAACCCCAGAAGTTCAGCAACATTTTTCATTTCTACAATTAAAACCCATAAATCTTCCCAGCCTTTTATATACTAGTCAAACAGTTTGGGAGATTTTTTTTTTTGAAAAAAAAAAGAATTTTGCAACTAAATCAAAGCTTTACCTCGAATACAAAGGCAACAAATCGAAGCTTAAAATCAAATCTGGTTACGGTGCTTGAACCAAACCGGATTATAACCTCCATGAAATGACCAAAAAGCAGAGCATTAACACTTCTAATTCCATCAAATCTCCCCCGATTCTCCAATCGACTTTAGAACCCCGAAAAACAGCTCTTTGCTCCACATTTCAACTCCAAAACTTAACCCCAAAAAAATTTCCAAACAAAATCGAAATTTGCAGAGCTTCTTCCGATTTGAAGAAGCCCCAGCAAACAAAAAAGGAAGGGAATATAATGGGTTAATAACTATCAGTTTGTTTTATAAATAGAAAATGGGTTTGTTATTAAGCAGTGAATTAGCAGAGCTAAAAAGACAAGATTTTTAAAGCTTTTTTTTCTGGGTTTTCCTTTTTTGGTGTATACAGAGATGAGAAACAGTGACAGTGAAGCAAAGAAGAGGAGAAATAGAGAGAGGAGATGATGGAAAAACAAGAGAAAATCAAAGGACTAGTGGGGTGCGTTGATACGATAATTTTTTTAAAAATTTTTTAGCTATCTTTTTTTCCAAGGTACTAAAATAAAATAAAGAAAAAGTTGATAATGTTAAATAAATAAATATCAGGTAGTATATAGTAATTGCCCTTCATGTTTGGTTAAATTACATCAATTAAAGAAAAAATAATAATTTTTATCCACAAATTAAAATACATTAATAATAATTTTTTTGTGTGTGGATAATGGAGTTGGAGTACAATTTTTTAGATAAATATTTGATAATTTTTAGTATTATCAATGATAAAAATAAAATTTTGAGGGTACCCTTTCACAAAATACACTTGTCTTATGGATTACTCCAAGTGAAAATATAAAAATTTTAGAATCTAAAATCTCATTAATTTTAATAACCATCATTTAAGAGATTTAGAATTAAATTTTTAATATTTATAATTTTATTTTTATCTTGAAATCCAATATAATTAATTCAACTTCTAATTTCTAATCATATACAATGTTTTCTATATTTAGTATATATAACATTGATTATGCCAATTTGTCAATCATGTCCCTGTTATGTATAGTAATATAATAACATGATTTTAATAAGGTCTATAAAAAAAAAAATCATGATTTAAGCCTTTTCACTAAATAATATTGACATGATAGTCATGTGGATTGGATCTCAATAAATTTCACAATAACTTTTGAATCTTTTATAAAATTAAAATCGGTTGTTGATTTAAATAAAGAAAAAGAAAAAGATTTATTCATATATTTATTTATTTTGAAAGATAAGTTCGGAGGACCTAAGAATATCTAACATCGATAATTTATTAAAATTGTTTCCTTCAAATATAAAAAACATACAAATTCAATGATAAGACGTGGAAAATGAAGAAATATTTTCAAAGAGCCCAGACCCGAAACTTGTATGAAATTGGGTTGAAATTTTAAGCTTGAAATTCTCCTAATTTCTTTCCAATAAGGCAAATGATACCCATTTGGGGGTTTTTTTTTTTTTTTCTATTAAAATTAGCGAGGTCAAAGACACCATCATACGACCTGAATGACAAATTTTTATAAGATAATACGCCTAATAAAAATAACTTATTGTAGATGAAGTTTTCAAATTTTATGAACGAAATTAAAATTTTAATTTTTTAAAATATATTTTAAGATATGTGTTTCAAAATTTATTGCCGATGCATGAGAATAACATTACTAATAATGTGGTTTTCTTATGTACATATTCAGCTTTGGAAAAAAAAATATTGTGGTTGCTTTGGTAATTTGATTTTTGTCATATATAGTAAAATGAAAAAGGTGGTTTTGCTGATTAATTTTGATTCTCCTCAAAGATTTGAAAGTAAGGGTTAATTTGTTTGTAATTCGTGGAGGATTTGGTATAACGTGAAGACGAGAATTAGTTTTGGAACCTAATGATTTTGAAAGGGTATGGAATAAGCAAAAGACAGATTAGGCACGAAGCAAGCAAGCAATTTGAGGTTTTTTTTTTTTTTTTTTTTTGGTTTTTTATATTAAAAAAGAAAAATAAGTAATATACGAAAAATGGGTTAAGTTGATGAAGATCAAATCAATTTTCACTGATAGCAATTTTTCTTGAAAAATAATTTATAAATTCAATATAAATTTTTGTTGAAATTTGTAATATATCACAATCTCGAAATAAGGTAATCCCTTTCATCAAAACTTTTATAAATTGAAAAAAGAAAACAAGCAAAGTCACTTTTTTTTTTTTTTTTTAGTTCTCATTTCCCATAGTTTTGAAAAAAAAATGGAAGTATGGAGATTACTTGAACTAGAATGTTGTTTTGAAAACGATTCCTAGTTGGGTGTGAAAAAGGTAAGGAAAAAAATCTCTAACAAGCAAAAGACTAGAATAAGATCCAAGAGCAATAAGGATAGTGAATTTGATTTTGATAATATTGAAAATAATAATAATTATTATTATAAATGTAATTAAAAAAACACGATTATAATTATAATTTTAAAAAAATATTTCAATGCAAAATTTATAATAAATAAATCTAAAATTAATAATTTGATTTGATTAATGATATAATGAACTTAATCACATTATATCGAAGATGTAATGAAATCCGTAACTTAACCTACACTAAAGGATAGGAAGGCTGTTGGGTTTGGTGTTTTCTTAACCAATTGCAAAGCTTCAATTTTTTAGTTCATAGTTCAAGTTTATTATTACATTATTACTATAATTTGAAAAACCAATCCCATCATTGTCTTCAAATGTGTTTGCTGACCAACTTTGGTCAGAATACAGCTCATCTACCTGATCAACAAAATTAACCAAGCTTTCAAAATTTTGTTTTCATGGTGATTAACCTATTCAACAACGCTATTGTAATTTCAAATAGTAAAACCCCTAGTTGGACCGTCGTCGTGCATGAACCATTAACATGACATTGGATTTAATTATAGAAGAAGATCCATTTTCATAAAGCTTTTAATGGTGAAATATTTTGTAGGTTGTCAAAGAAACAATTTTTATACAGTAGCCCATGTCTAAAAAAACAATGAAATTTTATTATATTGTATTGCAAAGAAACATGGGAAAGATGGAAACTTCACAGGCAGCTTCCAACCAGGAAAGAATTGTCACTGGGAAGCCATTGCAGATGACAAAAAGCTCTTTATTCAGCTTTAGAAGATGGGATATACTTAATTTTTCTTCTTTAATTTTCTCTCATAATCTGCATCTTGATATGTAAAACGATATTAAAAAGAAAACGTATAAGTTAATTCTGGTGGAAATTAAATCTCAAATTGATCAGTTGTCACAATCCTTCAACGCATGGCTCAGTCTAAAATGGAGAGATTGATTAACAAATATTCAGGCAAATTAGGCTTAAAAGCATTGAAAATGAGACTATTTCTTGTGTCCAACTTGTTATAAATTGAGAAATTAATCAAAGTTTGATCTCATCACAGGGAAATGAAATAATCCTTTTCAACCTTCCATTTGAGTTTTACTTCAAATGGCTTTACCCTGTGGGCAGGGCAGCACTTCTGTTCTGTTATTTTCTTGAAATTGTTTAGGTCGTAAAGATCAAATGAGGGATTTTCTCTCTTTTGTTCTTAGATTATTATATAATCCCTTGACATTGCTTTTTGTACTTCTAGCTTTGGATCTCAACAGTTGGGTTTGACATCTTTTATTTTTATTTTATTTTGTTGCTATTTTAAATATATTAGGTTGCCTACCACCATTCAGGATTGCCTGCATATTTCTTGTAGACAAGCAAAGCAAATCCAATGCCCCCAAAAATGGCTGCATAATTGGGCATAGGGCTCATAGCCCTGACTTTCCTTTTGCAGAATTAGCCTCTAGGAATTTTCAATATTATGTGGGTTTGGTAAGAAAATTTAGATTTGATAGTGGTGGTTGCATTATTGAGAGGTTGCCCTTTACCAGGGCCATTGGTTTGTTATATGCTACATGCCAAACTAAAAAGGAAAAGCTCCATCAAATCATTAAAATGAAGAATGGGTCATCCATCTGAAATTTCAATTTGGTGGTGTACCTGATTATTTCTTTCATCCGACCAAACCCAAAAGAGGGTCATAAATCATAAATATTTATGAAACCTGGAACATTTTTGCACTCCTGCCAGCTATAGCAAGTAGTTTTAGACCTTGGAACCCCTTGCATTATGGAATGGCATTACCATGTTTCTTTTCTTTGACTAGTAAACTTATAGGGAAACAAGTGGGGCTAACCTGACCTGGGTACTCCCATTTCTAGTCTTAGCCACATGGAAAGAGGTCCTAAATTTGCGACACCCTGTGGAGGTGACTGATGAGCTGAATTTTCAGTTGCTTTCCCATATTTGTGTCATTTTCCTTGCAAAATTTTCCTGATTGAACCGTAGGAAAAGAAACAGGCCGGCTGCTATCATATATAGTATTGGTCCATGCTCTTTTTAGCATCTAAAGCTCTAATAGCCGGTATCCAAGTAACTGCCAACACCTTTTCTTCTTGCCAACCTTGGAGAAGTGGCTTTTTTGGGTGCAGCTGTAAGACATCCAGTGAAAAAGACGTATTTGTTTTAATCACCATGTCCTCCTATTGCGTATACGAGTTGATTAATTTTTATCCTTTCGGAATTCAAATTCATTCATTAAAAGAATGTTTTCATCCCCTCCCCCAGATTCGAGCATGGAGTGGGCCTTTCTTGCAAAACAAGGAGATAAAAGCAGCATTAAAGATTAGCTATCCTCTTTGCCGACATTATTACAGCAAGAGCTCCTTGCAACTTGTGTTATTATAAAATATAGTTTTTGCTATTTCAGACATTGACAAGTTGCATTCCAGCTCCTACAATAAGCTAAAATATTGATCAGATTATACAGTGGAAACTCCCACATGACAAGAGATAATGGAAGCCATCTAGCAGCCATTAGATGACAAGAACATAAACAATTGTTCAATCATCCAATGGTTTCAAACGGCAGTTGAAATCTGTAGAATTTGTTTGCTGTGGGCCTCTCTGGAAACTTGGTTTATTTTAGTGAATTCAGAATACAATAATGCTGGAAAAGCAGAGCGCTACTTTTCTTTAATACTGATGAATTGGAGTATGTTGGTAAAAGATTTAAGTTCTTATTATTATATTGATGCTGGAGAAGAGGGAAGTCAAGAGATTCTTCCCCAAGGGCCAATATGCTTAGAAAAAATAATTAGCAGAGCTCTAATTCACAAAAGTTCTGGATTAGGACCTTTTATCAATTCGTCATATTTGTATGCCCTACATAGCAACTCAATAAAACCAAAATACATTGCTTGTATGTATAATTGCAGGGGAATTGGGACATGATATATGACCCATGAGGACTCATTTGAGAAAGAATTTTTTTTTTTTTTTAATTTCTAATCTTAATCCCTACACCTATCAATTTAACTCAAAAAATGATATTATACGGTCTTCAAATTTGTAACTTTAAAAAGCCGCATGTACCATATTTTATGTCATATGAGATAATATTCAGTTGATATTTAGAGAAAAAAATGAAAATGAATGAAACATACAATTAGAGAAATGATTTGTTGCTTGGTCTAACACCACTACCAAAGATTACTAGATTTGGGAGAGTTGTTGGGCTGATTAGTTGGATAACATTTGCTTTTGAACTGTTGCTTTAGCGTATATACAAATGGAGTGGTTGGATTCGGATATCATATTTGCTCCCAAAAGTTTTAACAATAAAATTGTCATATGAGCCAAGCTCAAGTGGTATGGTATAGTGGAGATAGGGAGGGATAACATCCGATTTTTTTGGCAGAAGAAGCAAATATGTTATTTGTAATCAAACGGGTTGAATTACATTATATTGAAAGTGATTAAGAAACAGCTTAATCACAGTAAAAATTGATGAAGCAAGCGTGTGGGATGAATGACTAGCAGGCTTTATTAAAAGGATATTGATAAAAAATATATATCTTAAATTTGTGGGTCATGGTTTGTTGCGGATAAATCATGTTCGTGTGTATATATTAGCTTTAAAAAACGAGGTCAAGTGGGCACCAAACTCTAATCATTTTCTTCTATACTCGATGGAAATGGCCCAGGAGGAAAGGGTTGAAACATCTTTTTCTCGAGAAAATAAAGTGAGCAGTCAGAGTTGATTTTTTTTGTTTTTTGGGCTTCCAAAATAAGCAGTGGTAGAGATCTTGAAATCTATCGAGCTTGTGGATGTGAAATTTTGGTAAGAAAAGCAGAAGGAAATGATGGTCGTTAGGTGAAATGGTGCAGAGGACAGCACTCATTTGAAAGGAACATGAAAAACGTCTTGCATTGTTGAAGAGTTGCCATTAAGCAGGCCATCACCCTCTTGGACCTCGATTTGTTTGTATTAGCCCATGTCTCTTTTGTCAGATTGAAGCCCATTTCTCTTTAACCCTGAAAGTCGGTAAAGTGCATGGCATATGGTCCATGACCATATACAGAACAAAGTCCAAAACCCAACATGTGAATCACACATTACATATTCTAACATATAAAGAATCATTTTTTTTAATTGGCAAACAATGATTCTTTTTATGTCAATTGCTTATTCTGACATATAAATAAGTTTTTTTATTTGGCAAACAATGATTTGTAATTTCGAAATTATTTTTATTTTATGTTTTAAAAATAATCATATAAATCAATTAAATTAAATTTAAAATTATTTATTAAATCATTGAAAAATGTGAAGAAAGAAATTGAATTTGAAATTACAAAAAATTCCATTGTTCGTAGAAATTTTAGTAATTTTTCACAACCTCCCTTTTCACAAGAAAAGAGTGGACCAGTTTACAGGATCATTTGAGAAGGACCTAACCCAATGCCTGGCCTAAAAAACTGGAATTTCAGGTCTTCAACCCCACCTACACATGGGCCTCATAGAAAGCCAGTTAGCTCATCTCACTCTATATATATATATACACAACAACTTAAGGCTTCTATTAAATAGATCGTTCTTTGCTGTACAACTAAAGTAATGTTAAAACTTTAAACTACCATGCATGTGGATCTTGCTTCTTGCATTCCATAACGTTTGAAAATAACTGGTCTGGTCATTCGATACTTGAAAGGAAATTCTCATTCAAATATCAAAGCCCCCGGCAATCCACATTATTATGTAATCAAAATTTTCTTCCGTGTTGTATAATTTTATTAGTACTAGAAAAACTCCACTAGTTGCTTTGCATGGGCGTTAAAGGAACGCCTCCTCTTCATGCTTGAAGGTGGAGAAACGATCCAAGTTCGGCAAGCCATTGGGATAAAATGCCTGGCGGAGTTTACTATATTTTTCCATATCAAAGCTGTGGGACTTCATGAGTTTCTTTTGTTTAGCTTTGAAACGGCGTTGAAAGTAGCCTTCAAAGGAGGGTTCTATGGAGGTCCTGAGGAAAAACCCGTAGGCCAAGGCGAAGTGAAGGGAGGTGACAAAGAAGCATATGGGCTCCATCACATCCCAACTCAGTTCCCAAAACGTAAGCCTCATGAATCCGAGTGTTTGGACCACAAGGAACCCCAGCCCACAATAAAGCTCACCACGAACCAGAGCCTTGGCCTTTTTGTCTATTCGAGCCTTTTGTTCCTCCATTTCTTCCAGCTCTCTTCTTCTTGGGTCATTTGGGAGTGCCATCGATTCAGAAATTATGGTCTCCATTGATTTAGCCATCTGTCGGAATATAAAAATCAATCAATACCCTTATCATGTCTTAATCATTCATGAACATTACGGCGATGGCCGGTGAGAAATTTTATACCTGTTCCGGGCGAAGGAAAACGACGTTCCCTAAAACGATGACGTTTCCTGACTGATCCAGCATTTTGGCGAAATCTAAAGCTTGAGCTTCATTTCCACATCCTTCAAGGCAGACTTGAGCAAACTCGTAATAAGAAATCGAACTCTTTGGAATCTCTCTTATCTTTGCTTTAAGCTTCTCGAATTGAGAAACCATCAACAGCTTCCTCGCATCTTCAACCGAAATCTTAGCCAAAGATTCGCCGGTCGTGAAATCCGTCGGCGGAGGTGGAGTAATTCCTCCCAACCGAAGGCGATCTCCGGAAACGTTAATGCCTCGGAGCTTTTCTCTCAGTTTTTCCCCGACAGGCACGGAGAAAATCTCCGAGAATCTCGGATACGTCTGTTCGGAAGCCCTCCGGTGGAAGAACCGTCGAAAGAATTCTCTCTCGCCGGAATCGGGCGAGGTCGCGTACTCTCGCCGGGGTATGTTGTGGAGTGAGATCGGAGAGTTTCCAGCCGTGATCAGCGGCGGGGTAACTGATCTGTAACCGCTCAACGGACAGCTCGTGAGCGTTTTCCGAAGCGCCATTTGACGAGGGAACAGAGAGCTCTAAACAACAGAGGATTCTGGGATTGATGCGTTGAATGGGGCTGGTGGGGGAGGATCTGTATTTATAGGAGGTTCTAGATGATACAACAATGTTCGCGAGCTATTCATTTGATAAAATTTGAATATGATTTAATTATTACTGAGTCTAATTTTGTTTTGACTAATTTGATTTATTAATTCAGATAAATTTAAATATTTGAATAATTTATAAAGTTAGTTAAAATTTTTAAATTTAATATATTTTTATTATTTTAGTTAAAAATTAATATTTTACTTATATATAATTACATATATAAATTTGAATTGAAATTAAATTTAAATATATAATCAAATTTAAAATTAAATATAAAAATTAAATTTATTTTTATTAAACAAATTTAATTGAATAAATTAAAAAAATTAATTTTTATATCGAATAAATTTTAAAATTCGAGTCAAATTTTAATAATAAATTTCAAATCAAGTAAGATTTCAAAATTTTTACTGTATTAACTTGATTAGACGAGATTATTATGTTAATTTATAATGTCCACAGTTTGAGGAGAATGTTAGGTGTTAACGACGGAATCAAGACCAAATTTGCTGTTATTTCTCAATTAGTACTGCTATAATTTTTTTTTCCAATTTTATTTACTTTCTTTAATAATAATATGTCATTTATGTTTTAGGGTCACTGTTTAAGATTCAATCAATATAATTTCATTTTAATGTATTCGAACATTTGATTAAATGATAAATTTACATAATTTCTGCTTCAAGAATGAGCTGTAATTAGATTTATCCCCCCCCCCCCCAAAAAAAAAATTACTTTGATATCAATCACTATGGTGTATTTAAACATTTGGTTAACAGAAAATATATGGAATTTCTGAGTTTGAATAAAAATAAAATAAAATGTTACTTTGATTGTTAATAAAAATTAATACTTCATTTCTTTCTCTAATTATTTGGGTGTCTATTTGTGGTGAATGGAAAAAAAAAAAAAAAAAAGGAATAATATTAACCTGGGCCTCATTCCTTCGCATGCCCTGCTGTTCAGTTTCAGAGCTTGTGTTTTTCTCAATCCAACTTGTTGCTTAATGCCAAAGAGCATGTCTCTGGCAAAGAACATCGACAGTTTGGCTTTGGGTTTTCAACAATTACAGCTACCAAACGCAAATTTAATTGGTTTATATTGTGATGCACGTGCATATCTCCTTTAAAGACCGTTCACACCCATATTTGGATGATTTTTCCGGCTATTTTTCTGTCCCTTATGCTTGCGTGATTACTTCACATTTTCTTTGAGCAAAACTTTTTTTTTTGAATTATAAACATATTAAATATTATTTTTTAAAAATAATTATATTAATAAATTAAAATTTTTAATTTGATGAATTTAATAAATTAATTCAATGAATGCTTATTTTTTTTCCTTTACGCAACTCTCTTTTTCTTAGCAACGGCTAATCAAGGCTATATTATTTGTGGCTTATGCATTGCATGCTCAAGGTTCAATGGCAATGATACATGCTTTTCAAAATGTTTTTTTTTTTTTCATTTTCAAAAGCCTTTTAAAGGTAAAGCGGAAATACTTGTCTAAGATCTAAACTATTACTACTATGAATTAAGGATAAATGGTTTCAACCAAAAAAAATGAAAGATTATGGTAAAAAATAATAATAAATTAATACACAATTATTTTCAATATTTAACCGATATATTACATAAGTTTGGATCCCAAGATTTCAAATCAACTTAATATGTTAGTTCAAACGAAATAATCATAATGTCTTTCCATATTATATTTTGAAAGAAAAAATTTATTTTACTTTTTGGACACTAAAATATCGCTAACAAATACTAAAATAAACTAGAACTGGATTGCTTTTACATAAAAATTGACATGGGGGGCGGGTAGGGATGTGGAGATTCTTAATTCAAGTGGGTTAAAGATTCCTAGCCATGCCAGGGAGGTAGGGACGATTTCTAGCTACAGGAGATGATAGGCAAAACATCAGAAAGAATCCATGAAAGAATGAAAGAAATTCACCCTAGCTACGATCCTTTTTTAAGTCACTGAATAAGAATTAAAGAATTGATGAAATTGCGGTTGGAATCACAAATGCAGTCATGCTGTTGGATTTCCATCTGAGATATTCTTGGACACTAGTGGCGGTGGGAAGTCTACTATCCCATTTTCACACATGCAGTGCGCATATCACCCTCACCTTTTTCCTTTTTTTTTTTTTTTCCTGGGCAAAATTTAACAGTATAAATCAACTCTTTTTCTTTGCAGTAAGTCAATTTCGGGTTTGAAACACTATCACGTTTTGTCTACGTATCTTGGCTGCCTTTGTGCCCTACACTAAAACAGACAGCATCCCATGTTAGAATTGTGGGCTAAATATCGGCTTGCAATCCGCAGCAACCATTGTGGGAACTTCCCAAAGTTGGGGGGTCTCTGTTACCTAGTGGAAATCCGCCACGGTACTGCACCATTTCCTCCATCGGCCACCATTAATGCTTACCATTTAATCATGCAACTAATTAATTTCCTTACTTGCTAAGAGTTAAATATATTAAAAAAGTGATCTGATCTGAACAAGCTATCCATTTTACAAGCTAAAATGATACTACCTCAAAGATACAATTCATCCGTCAAAAGCAAAAAAAAAAAAACACAAAAATTTTAAATTTAAATTCCTATGCAGAGTGATGTGGTAAATCTTTCTTTGGTCCAGGTAAGGTTATGTTATGTTTTGTTTGATGGAAAGTGACCTTAGACTAATCAATGACGGCATTTTTTGTGACCAAACAAACCCCTTCTTTTTTTTTTTTGCTACAAGAGCCACTCACTCAACCCCTAGTCCTTGAATTACGGTGTATTGGAACAATGACGCAATAAAAAGAGGGAAGGCACTTGTCCAATCAATCATGCATTTCTTTCCAGATAAGAATTGCACCGTCCTTTGCTACTTGAGCATGTCTTTGTCAAATCAGAGATCCCATGGAATGTGGTTAGGCAAGAGGATCACCTGCAATTATTCATTATATTTATGAAAGCAGGTGGAGAGAAAGAGAAGATGCCCCTACCCGAAATTAAGAGTGGATTCCACTGAATTGGACGATGACATCATCTTGAGTGCCAATTGCTACATGTAGAAATAAACTCATCTGAATTGCTAGATGCCATCATATCATCTACTTCTTTGCATAATGCAGACCGCCTTCCTGAGTTATTAGTCAATTCAGCTTGTTGTATGATGAATTAGAACATTTTGATGTCTCAGGCACCGAAATTACCATTGAATATTATGTGCTTTCAAGCCACACTATCCCCTTTCGAGGCATAAAGAGGAAAGCATTGCTTTTAAGAAAAATTTGTTAATTAGAAAGCAATTGCATTATGAGCTTTTGTTTTGCTAGGCTTAGAAAGCATAGTAATCAGACTTTAATCACTGTCACATTGCGGGCAATGGGATCCCAACTTGATTGTAAATTGACAGGACTGAACAAAGCGGTATATGACATAGATTTAGGTCAATTGTCGCACTCAAAGAACCAGCTTCTGATTCTGAAGGAAGGCTTGCATGCTTCTTAGTAGAAATAAATTACATTTATGCATGAATTGGGATAATCTTTTGATTCTTCCAACAATGGGTTGATAAAGGGAACTGGCGTATCAGCAAAGATGGCCTCAAATCTGCCCCATAATTACCTACTATAGTTGAATTTATAGCAATGGATTCTCTCTCTCTCATTTTGATTTTGGGTGTCATTTCTTTGATAACAGAAAGTGACTTGAGTGAGATCACATATTCCTACATGTAGCTTTGACATTTTTTGTAGGCCGGTCGAATCCTTTCTTTAATCCAACTGGTAGCTTAAATATGCAGCTCCCATTGGCATATCGGATTTGGCGAATTAAGCCACCAAGGCTTTTCTTTTTCCCGTTATATTGTGCATACTTAAACTTACATATTAATATGATCAAACAAACCTCAATTAAAGATATTAACAAATTAATCAACATATAAGTGTAGAAAAGTTAACATGAAGTAGGTGAATTCTACCAAATAAAGACAGTGATTTCAATATAATTAAATTTGTTAACAATCACGTAATTTGTTAATAAAATGTTATACTCTTATTTATTTTGTTCAATCAGTTCAATATCTGACAATTTCATATACCAGAAAAATATAATCAAAGCATTTGTCTTAACACAAGGTTATATAATTCACCTCATTTCGCTCATGTTGTTTTAATTTGTAAAGGAATGTGCACAATTCGCTCATTACAGTTGTGTGAATGCTGTTGGGGATACGTTTACCTTTTGCATCTGAACCAGTCACCCGCTTATTCTTGTGCTGGTGTTTGAGGACAGCTTCCATTTGTCTGATTGATGAATCTTTATTTCTTGTAAAATTCCTTTCAACTTTTTAGGCGAATACAATGCTTAATATATATATCATCATTTGTTTCATATTTTCAGGAAGAGGAAGATATACTTGACCTATCTGATGACTTGAAAAGGGAATTGATTCATGTATCCTTTTCGTGTGGATATGCTTACATCATGAAGAATTTCCAACCAAAATGTTATAGGATAATCTTGGTTGCCATGTGGGAATGAAAGCTTTTTCAATTACTGTATAATTAGATTCTAAAAACTGCCTACTTTCCAGTTGAAATACAATAGTTAATTACCTTGCATAATTGGGTTGGTCCCTTCCTTTGTTTTTTTTTTACCATGAAAATCAATTTCAGGTCTATAACCAACATATATTACTTTTCTTCTGTTTTCCTTCTCAAGGACTGATAAAAAATCTATGGAGTAAACTATGGTTTATTCCGTTACTTGAATTCGAGATGAATATCGGATACAAATATATATCTAACATATGTATATTCAAATTTTTTTAAATTTATTCATATGTTTGAAGAATCATATTTTCAGATTCATATGCGTTGAATATCTGTTAAGCACGAGTATTTTTAAAAAAAATGAAATCATAACAACATTAGTTCATTCATTATTGGCTAGGCAAAAACTATGAAAATTCGTAGAAGCAAGGCAATCGTAGATGTTGATGGAACTTGCAATGATCAACATAAATCATATTACTCGTAATGGACAACTTTCTTATTCAAAAAGCCTTCTAAATTGCTTCATGACGTGAGGGAAAGCATTAGCCAACACAGCAAAATTGCAAAAACGGAGTAGTTTTTAAATAGGACTCTAATGTTCATTCGCTGATTGATGCCATTTTTAGATAATGCAACACTTTCTAATATATAATTGACTTTTATTTCCATCTACCAGCATTAAAGAAAAGCTCACTTTATTAAAAAAAAATCGTTGCCTGAATGTAATACTCACGTAATTTCTGTTGATTGCAACCTGACCTTGAACTCTTTTGCTTTATACTCCTTGAAATTATTAACCAATGCTGTTGTTGTTGAATATAATAAGGGAAAATGGATACAGATCTTTTGACCAAATGACCTTCTGCCATTAATCTGAAAACAACAGTTTTTAATTTAAGATTACTGGGTGATTTGTTAATAGAGTGTCAAATTCTTAATTTCGGGTTCAAATTCTCACAATTTAAAGTAAAAAAAAAAATTCCTACAATTGTGGGATCTGAGAATGAATCTTTGATTAAAAGAGGCTGAATCTTCTCTCTGTCTTTGAAGGAAATTGCATCACAAATTCAATAATGGGAAAACTTTTCCAAAATACGGACAATGAAGACGAAAATGGCAAGTGAGGGTGGCACAAGACAAGACCTTCCCAGTGCTAGCTGATTGTCGAGATGTTGTTGAGATGAAAATGATGATTATGGGTTTGAAATTATTGTCGAGATGGAAGCTAAAGAAAATGCAACGTTTCGTTTGTGGGGGCTTTTGATTCATGGTTCAAAAGAAAAAAAAAGGGAAAAGAGCCTGAAACGATCATAAAAAACTATAATATAATAAATTAGATCTAATAATTCGTACTGTCATATCTTATAAAATATTATATTTATATTAAGTTTTATAAGTAAATAATGTGTCATATCAACACAAAATATAAAATATAATTTTTTTGATTTTATTAAATTTATTTATAATTTTTTAAAAATTTTAAATCATATTATTTTTATATCATTTATTTGTATTATTTTTATATCATATTATCGTATCGTGTTTCAAACTTATGACAAACAATAAAAAAACTTTTTTTTTTTTTGTTTGATGATGCTTTAAGGCTTCTAGCTTTTGCTTTGCCATCCATGTGTAATGCAAAGTAATCAGGCATATGATTTGATCCATGAAAATTTTGAAATATTTTAGAGTTTAATATGCGTCCATATAAATTGTAAGGGGAACCTATTTAAATTGAAGCATGATATTTTATACAAAATTCTTTGTATTTAATTAGACCCGACTTACTTTTTTGTTTTACAAAAGTCATCTATCTTGTGAAAAGAGAAAAAATTATAAATCATGAAATTTGAATTTCAAATTTATTTTGTATCACATTGATTGTTCCATATATGACTTGCTTTTCCTTATCATGCTAGTTAGTCCATTTTGTGTCTTTCTTGGGCATATTGATTCACACTTGGGCTGCTCAATCCACTGAAATATTGCTTGTCGATAAAAAAAAATAATAAAAAAAAAATCTTCATTTACATTTCAGTCTGTGAAGATAAACAACGAAAGCAGGTAAAAGAAAAGAGACCAGATTTGTGTAAAATGGGTACTAACTTCAAGTGTGAGAAATGAGCCTAGCGGTGGTTGAGTGGGCACATTATAAATTTTTGGTGAAGGGCGGTGTTTCAAGTACAAAAATTTAAGCTGATGCGATAAAAATAGCAGGGCACATGGGGCCATGGGGGCCATTTCATGACTTTGAATGTAGCTAGCAGTAGTAGTTTTCTTTAGAACTTAAAAAACAGTAAAAATGGTTTAAATTGCTAACAATGCACAAATTCACCAACCAACTTAGTTCCAATGACTGAATTTCTTTCCCATCAATTGCTGGTGGGGCACTCAAATTCACCTGCATGATTGCCCTTTTATTGGGCTTGTTTTGGTTAAGAATCAAGAGCAAAAACCTTTGCCTTTTTTAGTAATATTGGGTTTTGGAGTGTTGTTGGATTGGAGATAGTTAAGTAGGGAAAAAGAGGTCCATTTGAGTGCCTTATTTGGCCTAATAAAGCCTATTAAATTTATTGTATTCATAGCTGTAATGAACCAAAAAAAAAGAAGCATATAATTGAGGACGATGAAGAGTCTAGACCAAACCTTTCATTTCTTAGCTAAATGATAGCAGATAAATTGGGTTCATTTATACAATTATTTTTAAGTAAACACCGTTTATATAATATTTTTTAATATTATTATTTAATAATTTTAAATTTAATATTTGTAATTTTTTATTTTATTGGTTTTTTTAAAAAAATAATAAAATAATTGAAACTTGAATGGTTCAAGTGGTTTCTTTGACAAGTGAAGTGGCTAATGCGAAATTTCTATGAAAGTTTCATCGAAGAACATAACTTAGTTTTTGTTTGCTTAATGGTCTTTTCTGGTTTTTTTTTTTTTTTTTTTGAGAGTCGAGGACGGTTAAAATAAAATGGACAGAAGATGGGTCCCAAATTGATACTGATATCTTACCTATTAGGACATCCTAGGACTGTATGGAACAACGAATGTGACGGATCTTTGCAAAGCTAAAATGGAAACAAAACAAAACATGGTGCATGGTGAAAGGAGGGAACTGATATCTTCTTCACCCACCTCTTAGGAGTTGGATAGCAACCTCTCTGTAAAGTAATGGAAATTTTCCGAAACATTAAATCAGACTTTCTTCTATGTCTGGCCACTTTGTATTAAGCATGTGACTTCAATAATTCCATGAAAAATGTAGATACAATTAAAATCTTGCATCTTTTCTTCCTTTTTTTACTACATAAAAAAAAAACCTAATCGAATTAAGCTCCAAGTTCCTGTTCTTTCCGTTTCTAGTTTCTGCAATCAAGGTCCTGTTTTTCTTCCATTTTACACTATTTTCTCTCATATCTACTCAATTTTGGCAGATATTGATCAGCTTAATTCCCAACTCGAGATTTATATACAATAAAAAATAAGAGGTAGACAGGAAGAAATAAGGATATATATACATTTTAAGGAATCCACTTCCCACAAGTCAGCAATACATTCAAGCAAAGCTTAGAAAGGAAGCCACAAGGACTTCATACAGGTCTTGGAACCAAGTTTTGGATTATATCTACATAACTGCTCTAGCAAAAAGGAAGAACCTCTATAGCTTGGAAGTAAATATTAACCTACTTAACAGGGGGACCAGAACGATAAACAAGCCACGAATACATATGTTACAGATATCACTACCGCGGGAAGAGGACATTAGGATAACCAGTATCTGTTAGCGTTGCGAACCAAACACGAAAGCCTTCTGATAATTCTTCTCCAGGTCATTTGCAAACGGTCTTCAATCTCTTTGCAGCCTGAACAAATCCCACAATGACCTGCAGCTCATCCATTTGCTGTACCAACAGAAGGCATTTTTATCATGGAATCAGAACTTGTACAGAAACCATCAAATCTCATTCTTATTCAAAAGGATGAGAAAACCTATATCGCAATTGACTTAAGAACTAGAAACTTCTTATCATATCTAAGCTACAATTTATTTCCTTTTGAGCTTTCAACAGAAAGTTCTTTTTACCAGTTAAAACAAAGTTGGTACTCAACCTTCAGTTAAAGGTGTTAGTTTCACAGCTCAAGGAGAGAATGCAATCAGGTGCACAGTTGAATGGAAGAAGAAGAAGAAGAAAGAAAAAATCAAGCAGAAGCTGTGAGCAATTGAATAAGTTACCTGTGACATGAAATGCCTCTGAACAACATCAACTAGTTGCTCTTTCGATGGATTGGGGAAGGCATCCACCTAGCAACAGCAAAAGCAATTACATTTAAACTTTCTTTTCTTTTGTTATAAATGTGCTACAGGTGATGCCGATAATTCAATTTAATGTTTCTCCATGAAAGACTTACGAGATTGAAGTGTCGCCAATATCTCCATAAAGCAGCCATCTCTAGTTTGCTGAGGTCAACTTTCTACAAGGGAGATATTATGCAAAAACAAAACCCTAATTAGGCAAAGAATAGATAGCTGACATAATTTTGCAATACCTTATTATTATGGCAACAGATCAAAACGTAATTATATATAAAACCAAATATATCATAAAAATTAATTTACCATGGACCCACGGGGTGTGGAAATAGACCCCTTAGATTGTGAGTCACAAGAAAGAGACTTGCTCATAGTCTTGTGAGAAGACCCGGTCGATTTATGTGTTCTATGCCTCGATCTCTGGGACTTTTGAGTGTCATCAGATGCTGGAAATTGAGAGATAAAACAAACAGGATTAGAAAAAAAAGTGTGGTGGGACCAATAAAAAGATAAAGAAATTGAGACATTGGAGCTTTTAGAAATAGTGAAAGTTAAAGGTGAAGACACAATGGATCCTATGTACCAACTTCAACTACTTTTCATTAAAAGAAAAAATTATCATCCAAAATCATAATATCAAAAGCATTAAGTATGAGTAATAGTTAATAACAACACTAAGTGTTATTAGAGATGAAAAGCCATTAAGGATTATACCACTCCCCTTCCCAGACATAAAGGTCATACACACGACAAAGCATATGAGCAGCACAACATTTGATAGTGCCCCAAAGTCAGCACAAGTAAAAGAAATATCTTTTTTAATAGTGAAAATTTGAAAAAAATTCACATATATGAATGAAATTATGAAAATAGCATACAAACAAAGACAATTTAGACTCAAATAATGAACCCATTCTTGAATATTGTTTTTGGCTTTAAACAGCTTTACAGTTCAACCTGGAAACTAAAATATGGGGGCAGATAAAATTTTTGGAAAAAAGAAATAAAAAAAAAAACTCACCCATGTCTGAACCATTCCACTGCATGTTTTCGAATTCAAGATCATCTTCTTCTTCATTACCAGTAGGAGCTTCAATCACGCTGAGGGCATTTCTCTGTAGCTTTACTTCTATGCCATTGGTAAGAACCTGTGGTTTTATTAATTAGACAAACAAATATCGCTATCAGCTACAAGGTAAATGGCTAATCCACTAATACTCTCCAAGAAGTGGATCCAGATGGAGACAATTTTCCAAATTTTTGGCACGAAAGAATATGAGGGGAAGAAAGATGAAAACAAATTAAATTAAACCCAAGTGTTGGGAAAGTATCAAGCCAAAATATATTAGAAAATTACAGGATTCTGATAAAACAATCTGTTAGAATTAACATTGTCAATTTGTCCTTCAATCCACTAGCTCATATTAAATCGAGGACACACATGTCTACAACACATATAACTCAAGGGGAAATCAGAAATCTATGAATTTGTCAAAACAAGTCAGCAATAATAAGGAAAAAGCAGCAAACTGCAGGAAAAAAATCCAGCTCCTTCTTTTCAGCTAATCAACAGTTAAAGAGTCGCACTTGAATCCAAGCATGATAATCATTTATAGCAAGCCATGAATTAATCGCATATTAAAGCATGCGATTCACTAATCAAAGTTACAAAAATTGGAAAAACAAAGAACAAAAAAGAAAGGGGGCGAGATTTTCTTAAAAACCAAGGAAGCAGCGTCAAGTGAAGAAATGATTGAAGTTTTAAATAGCTGATGAACAGCCAAAAATCTCCAGAGATTGATATCTAAGCAGAAACAACATCAAAATTCAGAAAATAAGATATGGGTTTGTTATTGAGAAACACTCCAAAATCAATTACAACAAGATCCCAAGAAAACCCAATCATGCAATGGAAAAAGTAATCTCAGTATAAACATAAAATCCCTCAGAAATCTTATTTTTTTTAAATGAATATAGCAATGCTTTCAAACACTAAGGTCAAGTACAAATTAAAAAAAAAAAACTAAATAAATCTCAAAAAATCAAAATTCAATGTAAAAATGCCAGGATAGCATCATACATTAGCTAAAACACTTCAAAGTGCCAGATCCATAGACAGACACTTACATGCAATCAAAACCCACATCCAAAACCTCAAATTTGCAAGTTGTGACGAATAAAAAACCAATTATTTTTATTAGATAGAATGATAAGTATCTAAATTCAAGCAAATTTAGACAAGAAAAAGCCAAATTTGCAGTTTTATTCAAAATAAATCTTAGAAAACATGACATGCAATTGTATTGCAGAGAAAAAGATTCGATGCAAAATCACCCAAAAAAAAAGGAATATAACGGAAAACATTTAATCTTAAAAAACCTCAAATTGAATCTACATTACCTTGAAAAATCAAATTTGAATTCACTAAAACTTTAAGAAAATACCCACATTATAAACCAAAAAATAAGAGCATCTAATTTCCAGACAAAATCCCAAAAACCCATTTCCACCAAAACTTAAAAAAAACATCCAAAGAAGTACCAGCCAATGCCACCCGCCAAGTCCAACAGCCTTCTTGACTACGCCTTGAAGACCAACGAGCACCGATTTAGTACGGTTATTCCCAGTGACAACCACCTTAGTATGACGTGGCAGCACCGAGAGCTCCTCTTCACTACTGTCTCCATAGCTCTGTAACTGCGAGAAACCACCGCCATTGACGGAACTCTCCATTGCCTCCAACATAGTTTCACCAACAAAAAGAATTTCCTACTCAGTCAGTCAATCAGGTAGGTCAAACTCGGTGGAAATTCAGAGCCTCAACAATCAAAATTGCATTGGATCGGAAGATCATGCATTGGTGAATGCGTATATGGGATTTTCGTAAGCAAAAGAGAGAGAAATTAAGAAGAAATATGGGAATTTTGTGGAGAGAAAAAACACAGTTTAGAGAGAGAAAGATAAAAAAAACAGAGAGAGAAAATAAAAACAGAGTGTTTTTTTCGTAGTGAGAGAAAGATGAGAGTGACTGGGTTTTCTTTATTGGCTGATGTCCCTGTGAATCCCGACGACCCGAAATGGACCAATTAGAGAATGCCACGTAGGCATATGAGAGTTTTCTCGTTAATCATGCGCTACAGCTTATAGAGAGGGGGAGAGAAAAATAAATAAATAAATAACGCTTGCTTTGCGGTATGATTCGAATACCACTAGCGGTTTTTTTCCCCTCTTTTTTGTGCACTAAGGAGCGGTTTTGTTTTCAGGGCTGACCGTTTGACTAGCGGAGAAATGGAGTATTTGGGTATATGAAATGACAATATTGCCCTTCCTTCACATTTAAAATATTAGCCATAAAAAACACGCAATTAAAAAAAAAATGGAATTATGTTGAATTTTATTTTTCTAATTTTTTGGGGTTTGGACAGAAATGCTAACACTTTTGGACTAATTGGACTTTAATGATATTTAAAGAATTTTAAGACGACTTAGGTAATAATTAAATAATAAAACATTAAAAAAAGACTCTGGGTTGGAAGTACGAGATAGCCGTAGAACATATCCATCGAGGTAAGAGGGCTAAAACTCTAGCTTTAAGTAATCGCCTTTTTGTTTTTACCGTTTTGTTTAATTATTATATATTATTATTGTGTGTAACTCAAGTAAACAACTATTGTTTTTAATATAATAGGAGATTTTTTAATAAAAAGTAATTAGAGTATTATTAAATTTGGTCTAAAAAGAAATATATATTTTTCTTTCATTTTTTGTATAAAATATTTATTTTTTTCTTTCCATTTCTATCTCATTTTTATCAACCAAAAAAAAAATATTTTTGTCCACCTTTTTTCTTTCATCCCTTTCCTTCATATATTTTTGTTACACAATGTAATAATATTAGTATTCTAACTATTGTTTAAAAAAAATTACTATTGTGAATATAAATGCAAAAAATATATGAATATTTTTATATAATAGTGAATGATAAATTTTAAAAAAGTAGCAATCATGGTTTATTTATATTTTTTTACATAATACATAATATTTTAGATTTTTAAAATTTAATTCGAATTTGAATGATTATTTTTTAAAATTAATTCAATTTAAATCGAAATTTATTGGTTCTATTCAAATCGATTCATCGATTTTTAAATTTTTTCATATATTATTTTAATAAAATTTTAATATATTTAAATAAATTATTATATAATTATTATTTTATTTTATAAAAACTTAATATATATATTCAATTCGATTCGATTTTTTTTAATTTTTCATATCTCGATTTAAAATTTGATCTAAATTTAATATATAAATTTAATATCCAAACTTGAACAAAATCAAATCCAACAATTTTAAATCGATTTTTTATTATTTTTATTTTTTTCTCATCCTTACGAGTGATACTATTCTTAAGGTAATTAATAAAATATTATTTTTGTTAAGAAGAAACAACTCATATGTAATAATAATCATATGTTGAAATGTTATTTTATAAGTAAGAATCAATCATAATAATAAACTCTTGAACTTTTATTGCTTAGAGCGAATAACAATCCAATTCAGTCATCCTTACATCAATATTGTTGACACATTGTATAATTTTTTTTTAATCTAAAGATTTTAAACAGAATACCTAAAAAAAAAAGCTTTTTGCATAATAATGATTGTGTAGCAACATGAAATTCAGTTTAAGTAAACGTAGAGTCGGTTAGTTTAGTAATTTCATAAGAAAAAAAAAAATCCAAATACACGACGAGAGAAAAGTAACGGAGGCTGAAACGTAACGGAAAGAAGAAATTCATAAGCGGGACCCACTTGGCGGGGGTCGCGCTACCTGCCGTCGGTGTTGTCTTATCCAACATGGGATACCTCCTCTCCTTACTTCACTTCCGTAAGTGAAAAAATAAAAAATCTAAAAAAAGCCCCTTTTTCTTTATCCTATTCCCACCCGATTTTCCCGCCACAACGGATCCATCACATCCGTTGATTCAATACAAAAATTGCCACTCCCGTCGGATATTTTCGGCGTCAATCTAACCGTCCGATTAAAATTATTGTCAAAGAAAATAAATAAATAAAGCGGACAAGTCCACACTAACATGTGTAATGATCACAAAGTTGAAAGAAGAGTGGACCTTTTGGGACACCTCGCCAAACCCAAAAAAAAAAGAAAAGCAAAAAATTGGGAACAAGACAAAGAAAAAAAAAAGACTGCAATTAAATAATTAATTAATCAAAGCCGTTGATTTTTTGATCAGGATAAGATGTATGGTTTGGTCAGATTGTGATCATCGTAGGCATTGGAGCACTGAATTAAGATTAAAAAGATATGAGTGCTCTAATAATGGATGTAATCAGACAATAATATTTTTCTTTTGACTCATGGCTCAGGGCTTTTGCCGAGGACTTTGTTTTCTTGCTAAACATAGATAAATGGTCTTTTGTCTTTTTTTCGGCGACGATATACTTTATATCCGAGAGTTAGGATATTAATCAGCTTTTCTCTTTTTTAAGTAAGAAGCTTCTATAAAAATAAAAATATTATTCAATAAAAATAATTACATAAATTAATTGAATTAAATTGATTGAAAATGGTTTGAAAATTTCATGTACATTTATTTATTATAAAAAAGATGGTGTTACGGGTTGAATTTAAAATTTTTATTATAGTGTATCATTGATTTACATGGGATCCATTCTTTGAATTAGGGTGTCTAAAAATTAAAAAAAAAATTATATACTTCCAATTTTTTATATTTTTTTGTTAATAAAATTAATAAATTCAATGATAATTTTTTATATATGTTATAAGTGAATACAAAAAATTATGACCTGCCACTATCAATTTATGATAATATTTGTAAAAATTTATGTGTAAACCTTATGCATCATACAAATTTACAAGTGAAAGTCTTAGCTTTTTTATATATATATACTTTGGTTTATCAAGATTTGATTATTAAATTAAAATTTTAATATTTTATTAACAGATCATGTGATTATTAAAACAAACATAAATTATTATGATTAATCATGGGATAGAATATGTTATTTCACATTAACTACGATAAAAATTCAAATTAATACATATTTTTTTCATACTGATTTTAAAATTATTTCAATAAAAGGAACAAAAAAATTTTTTCTTTCAAATTGGTGAATGTTCTTAACCCATGGGCTTTTTTTTTTTATTTGTTTAAACATTTCGTTTCTTAATAAAAATACCAAAATGAAAATTTGATTAAAGAGTAAAGGCTAACCCAACCACATAGCATTTGAGATCAAAATAAGTGTATAAATGTAGTAGACAACAATGTATATGCAGCTAAAACAAAAAAAGGATAGCTTGTACAATGTACGGGAAGCGAAACAGCTAGCGAAGGATCAAAATTTTGGAAAAGTAAGGGTTTTGGGAGTTTGGACAAAGGCGAGGGGGGAGGGGAGCAATGCAAATGGGAAATGGACGCGAGAGCACCTGATAAGGCATGATATCAAAAGCAGACGAGACATTGGGGCTCCACCCACGTAACTGCTTTCCTGCTCACTTCCTTCTTGGTAACATGTTTTGCCCAAGCTTTTTCCGTCTTGACTGCCATGTGAAACCCCCCATGAAGTTGTCAATCAATGTCATTCGTCACTATTCACCACTCTTTATTAATTTCACATTTTTCATTTTTTCTCAAACATCTATTTTCTATCGATGCTACATTTTCCCTCAGTTCCAACGTTTATATTTGCCAACGTTTAATTTCTTACATGAAACTCCTAGGAAAAAGTTACTAAAATTTGGTGTTTTAATTTTTTTACATTACTAAATGTTAAAGTAGTATTATTTCATATTTTATGAATATTTAATTTTTTATAATTTTATATTTAAATTAAGTTATTTTATTTATTGTCAATTAATTTTAAATTTAATATTTAACATAATATCAAATACAATATTTTCTTCCATCCATCTACACATAATAGGAGTTTGTTAAAATTATATTTTTTCGTACCTAATAAATATTTAATAATTAATTTGTTAATATTTTTTTAATCTCTACCTATAATCTTATAGTTAGTAAGGTTTTTTTATTTTTATCTACACATGATAAGAATCTATTAAAGTAATATTATCTCATATCTAATAAATATTTAATTTTTTTATAATCTTATATTTAAGTCTATATGTGATATGAGTTTGATAAAATGATATTATCTTATAATTAATAAATATTTAATATTTAAATTTTTAAAATTTTATAATCTCATATTCAAATTAAACCATTTTACTTACTACTGATTAATTTTAAATTAAATACTTAATACCAAATCTATGAATTTTGTCAAATATTAATATGTTTTTGTTTTTAGAAATAAAAGGATTGAGACTCAAAACTATTTAGCATATTTAGCCCATCGAGAAAAGATCTCAACAAAATTAGATAGACTAACAGACAAGGCAGAAGAAGGAGATGACATATGTTTTCATTGGTGATTTGTGTCGTATAACATATTAAAATTTATATATTTATATTATATTTTATATAAAAATTATATATTATAATTTATATTGATACAAAAAATAAAATATAAAATTTTTATTTTGTTAAATTTATATATAATTATTATAATTTTAAATTATGTCATTTTTATATTATATTTTAATATCATATTTATATCATATTATCATATCATATTTTAAATGACTTTATTTAGCTTTCACTTTTCCACTAGTAAAAGGCAAATATGGAGGAAGGTAATTCATGCAATATCGATGTAGACGATGCTACATAGTTTACTAGTTACTACCACCAGGTTGTTCTCCAAGACAGAATAAAAAAACCCAAGCAAAATCCGCACTGTCTAGCTAAGGCTTTTTCTGATTTCCCTTTCTTATTGTCATAATAAAATAGAAAAAATTCACAAGGATTGAATTTTTTTTTTTTTTTTGGCAAAAGATATTCTAAGCAGTGCGCAGGGGCCACTAATACGAAGAGAAATCATAAATCGTGCATATGGACCAGGGCATGCTCCTTATTATACATACAATCACCATTGCTAGCACCCTCGTTGAATTATTGCTTATTTTCCCCTTTTTCATTAGTTATTTTCTTAAAAAAGGTTACTTAAAAAAAAAAATATCGCAACTGAATTAAATCCAGACTTCAAAAAAAAAAAATTTTTTATTAGTATCGGATTTCATAATTTGACTTATAAACATTCCTACATCTCTTTTACTCCAAAATCCAAATGTAATCAACATATTTAGATTATGCTTAATTCATGGAATGGGAGAGATTAATGTTGGAAAAGGGACAAATATTTTTATGTTCTTAAGAATTCCGCAAATCTTTGCTAGAAAGGAATTTAAGTAGACATGTGGGTAGAGGGATAAATTAGGTGAATAGTCATGTCTAGTTTTCCAAGTTTTATAATTGATGGTAGGCTGAGGTTAGTTAGGGTTATTTAGGATATGCTTTAATGTAGTGATCCTTACTTTGTAGATAAAGATTTTAATGTGGTCGTTGGTTCACTTACTTATCCAGCCCCATCAGTTTTGGTAGCTACCCGAAACCCATTTTAGCATTTGATTGAATTACGAGGATTCATTTGCTTAAATAAAAAAATAAAATAAAATATATTAAGATAAATAATTATAAAACATAAATTTAATATAATTTTAATAAATGATCAGTGATAAAATTCAAACCCAATGTTTTTTTTATCAAATAAAATAAATTTAACCGATTAAATTAATAGCTTATTAACATATTAAAAATATATATATTTTGCGTATCTGAGACTCCTACTTTAACGCATACAATACTTTGATTGGTTTAGGTTATTTCTCCAGGCTTGCCTGCTGGGCCTTTGGAAAAAAGTAGTCCATAGCTGACGGCTCCATTATTCTGTTTTGATTCTCTGCATCTCTTACCTAATAATATGAGGCACTCTGAGCAGGGCATTTTGGACTCCCTGCAGCCCTTTAACCTTGAACGGTCTCTGTAGCTGAACCCAAATTTAAATTGCTCAACACCAGCTAACCCAATTGGGGAAGAAAGTCATCCAAATAGCCTGCCCCGAACTTGGATCCACTCATATGCATTTTGGTTTAGATTTATCATCTTTGAATAAAAATTTCATTCATTTGTATAAGCCCTGACCTTGTAGGAGCTGATACATAACAGTTAATCTACAACAACATATGATATAATTAATCTACCAAATATGATGACAGATGATACAAGTTTACTATCTTACAAATGCCTTATGTGAGAACTATCTAAAATGGCAACTTCTTTAGAACTTTTTTCATTCCACCAAGTGCGCTCGCTTCCTTCCACCTGCTGCTGCCGTGTAGCTCTTGGATGATGTGGACTATTTATGAGCTGATGATGATGATGATGATGATGATGATGATAATGGACCTTCACCCATTTGATCCCCTTTGACATGCTATGCAACCTAGTGGTTAAGATCTCTACTCCCTGCTGAAAGAGTCACAGAGTCAGCAGTTTTGAGGAATGTATCACGACCAGAGTTGCTTCCCTCAACACTAACTACAGATCGTGATAATAAATCAAAGATCAAAACTTTTGCATATCCCATGGGAAAAATTCATCATAGCAATTGATTAAGGCTTAAGTCAAGGAGGAAATGGGAGAAATACTGGTTTGACCTTGATAAAATATGCACGCACACATGCATTAACTTTATACACAGCAGACAAGCAAGAGCTATTATCATGCATAGACATTCCCAGAAGTAAAAGACAAAACAATATCTAAAATGGCAAGCCACGATAGTAGCTATTGTCTATGGTTTCTTCTATTAAAATATGTGTATGGATTGGTCTTGGAGGGTTAAATTTCAATCACGCTAAAGAACTAGTAGACTAGGCTTTAGTTAACATTAGATGCATCATTCCTTAAAATGGCCTTACATCTTTCATGATTTTGCCACATATTCAGAAACTTCTCTTTTAATGATGTTTCATCCCATTGGGGATATTGAGAAAAGTTTTCATTTATCTTATATTCAACTGTATGAGAAAACTTGATTGTGGGTCAGAAAATATGAAAGTTTTAAGCGGTTCAGTTATTCAGGCTGGTTCTAGAGAAATATATAAATTCACAAACAGTTTCAGATGCAAGAACAAGTAACTTCGATTTTTAGGAATCGGAACATATGATATGGTGCGGAAAGAAGATGGAAACCAAGGAGCCTCTACAAAGTAAGAAAGTTGACATACCTAAAGTGGTTGGAACCATAAACACCTAGTCTGATTTGTTGGATGCAGAGACATTAAGCTTTTTACATGCATCATTCTGTTCTGAAATCGGGTCCTCAAGGTCTTGCAAGAGAGCAATTGAATCAAAACATTCATTTGATGAAGTGCTCCCGGCGCTTGAATTTCTTGAACTTGAAGAAGATGCTGGGTTATCCAGATCCCGCAATTCCAGAAAGTCACCTCCTGAGAAAATATCGATTTCAGCGAGGTTCTCTCCCTGATGCTCCAGAACTGGAAGTCTCTCTGTCTCATCATGCCTGTTCACCTACAAATAATGGCTATACCTCAAATACACAAACAGAACAACACCCAAATTTAATGATTTAAAAAATGACAGATAACAAAAACTCACCCTCGTTAGATTCTCTCCTGATGCACCTTTTCTTATTGAATTGCCCATGGCTTTTCTAGATCTAGTTGCGTAGTGGATCTTAGCTATCTTACAAGAAATCCTGACACTCAAAACAAACTCATCTGTTTGATTTCCAAATTCTAATAGTCATAGAAAATAGCAATGATAAATGTAACCATGTTTTGTCCAAACAAGAGATTTAGTACTATAATTTTAAGCATGTAACTAAAGGCAAGAATTTGACTAATGGTATAATTTTAGTGAGAACCAGAATCTGATAGCACGTGTACCGGTCATCAAACAAAAATTACAGTTGCAAACTCGATTGGGAAATCCAAATCTTTAACATCAAGCATCATGATCCAATTTTACACTAAAAAATCAATAAAATTCCAGCATGTATGTAAGCCTATAAAATTTTGTTAGTCATTCCTGATGAGAAATTATGATTGTTTGCCGTATTTGGATAGACAAGCTTAATTACATCAACCAAGTAGTTACAAACTTACAGTAAAGCAAATGTGAGGAAAACTTTAACATAAGTGATGTCTTGTCAGCATGGAAACAAAACAACACCACTCCTAGAAGAACAAAGAAAGAAAGAAAGAAACGAAAACAGTAACATACTTCACCCATATAGAGCATGACGATTAACTTGTTTGACATCAAATTCATTTCCATCAAAGAGAAACATAGACAAAAAGTTAAAGACAATCCCGTTTCTTATCAACCAATCAGTCGTTTACATAAACAAAAAAAAAAAAAAAACCCAAACAACAGAGACAGAATCACAAGATGTTATAAACCCACAGTTGCCATCAACGAAATAAAACAAATAGTTGAATGAAAAATGACGAAGAAAAAGAGGAATTTTATAAGTTTCTAACCTTGAAACGATAGGAGGAACACAGTGACTCAGTGAGTCAGTTTGTTAATTTGCCCAATCCACTAAGTCGAAAGAGCAGGGGAGTTATATGTGAGAGGTTCACCTCCAACCACAAAAATAACCAGGGTTACGCGCCCACAGTTAACAATGGAACTTTGAGCCCAAGATATGACGTGGCACTCTGTTATTGGCTGAGCTCATGTAATCGGGTGGTAGCAGAGGGACATTATTGTTAAAGATCGTTTCTTTGGGCCGGCGAAGAAGCTTCCTTGTTCCGTTTAGACTCTCAAATCAAATTAAAAATATGGCCTTGACATTTGTTTTGAGTCTTTTGACTTCGTCAATTCCAAATTCATTAGGATTTGGCAACTTTGATTTGTGGTTTTACTAACATGCAATGAAAGCAACTTACATCATCACAGGATTGAGAAAAAAAAAACTGACAAATAGAAAATTAATTTATAGTTATAGTGTTCGCTTTTCAAATTTTTTTTTGTTCAGTTCGAATTATATTTTAATATTAAATATATATTGTATTTAAATTGAATATTAAATAAAAAATAAAACTTTAAAATTTTGAATTAAATTAAATTATATACTTTTTAAATTTTTATAAATTAAAATAATTATTTTATATTTAAATTTATTTAAATATATTTATAAAATATATAAAAATATATAAATAATAAAAATTACAAATTAAAAACTATTGAAATAAACAAATCTATAAAATTTGATTTGATTCAAATTAAATTGTATAAAAATTTAAATTGAATTTGAACCATAATTTAAAAATTAAAATTTTATGTATTATTTAAAAAAAATCTATTTGAATTTGACTTGATGTTATCACTTAAGTATCATAGTGTAACTTCAAAACTTTTTAAATGGTATACAATTTTATTTCTTAAAAAAATATTTTTTAAAATTCAAAAATAAAATACTAATCCTAAATTATTTATCTTTATGGTTCTATTTTAAAATATAAAATTTTACTTATTATTTTACCTATTTCATACCATGGCAAATTTTTAATTTTTTTTATTATAAAAAATACATTAATTTTAAAATTAAAAAATTTATATATGTTAAAATTTAAATCATGCAGAATATTTGAACTTTTTATTTGACTCTAATATAAATGTTTATCCGCTGAATTACTCTTCAGCTAAATGCATTTGTGTTCAAATTTAGGAGAGTACTTTTCAAAATACTTAATAAATTTGTTTAGTTTCTTTGATAAATCATACACATCTATACTTATAATCTCCACCGTCCATCATATTGGAAAGCTCTGATCTTTAGTCAAAATGTTGACCGCGTAGTTCAACTATTATGTCTGGTGTTCTAGATGAACACACTGGATATTTTGAACCGTCGTCCTCTTAATTTCTTAAATTTTTAGTTAGAAATCCATACCGAAACAAATATGTCATTGTTAAATATAACATTAAATAATTAATTAATTAAATTAAAATTTAATTAAATTCACGTACAACAAGTTTTAAACTTAAGGTTTTAAGGTTGTAGATTTTTTTTATTAATAAATTAAGGTCTCGTTGATAATATTATTTAAAGTTTTAAAAATAATTATATAAGTAATATATACAAGTTTGAATTCAACAAATATTATATTATTTCATATCATATTTATTTATAAACAATATATATTATTTTGATAAATTTTTTTATTACTTTTCATCTTTTAATTGATTTTATATTATATTAAAAATTTGGTTTGTTTTGTATATATTTTAATTGTTTAATTAATTATAATATTGATATAAATTTTTTTATAGTGTGATCACGTTATTTTATTGTTATACTTTTTTTTAATTCTTTATTTTTAAATATTAAAATAACATAATAATATGATAAAAATATTGTTTCTTCATTCACCTGTAACATCGATTAAAAACCATATAAACTCAAAAAATTAAAATGGTAATGGTTGAAATTAAATCGAATTTAATTTGATTTTTTTAAATATTATATAAAATTATAAACTTTTAAAAATTGATTTAAATTCGAATAAATCATTCATATGATTCGATTAAAATTAAATTTTATCGATTCAATTTATTAATTTTAATTTATTAATTTTTATATATTATTTTAATATAAAATTTTAATATATTAAATATATTATAATATAAAATTATTATTTTATATTATAAAATTTTTAAAAATATATAAAAATTAATAAAAATATATAAATTTTATTTGATTAAATTTTGTTTTATTTTTTATATTTTAGATCTAAAATCTAATTTGATATACATTTAATATTTTAATTTAATTTGAATCAATTAAAAAATAGATTGAAATTAAATAAAATATTATAATTTTAAATTAATTTTTGACTTAAAAAATTTTTTTACCTCTACGAAAAAGGATGATTTTATTAGTTATTTTAGATAAATTTTACTAATAAATTTAATTATCACAATTTGTCATCTAAAAAGAGGCTGTGAAAGTGAGGGAGCAACGAGTCCATGATGTTATAAACTGATCAGATGATCTGTCTGATACGCTCATATCCAAAGGGTACCACACCCTCCAACGGCGTGGTCCCACCATCTTCTTCTTTCATGTTAAGATCATTTGGTCATTACTCGTAACATACTTGGAACTTTCACGCGCCACCTCTTTTCTCCCGTCTCCCCACGTTTCCTCGTCATCACCCGTTCACAGCGCTAATCCAACGCTCTCAATTGCTCTATGACTTTTATTTGGAAAACGAGCTTTGGTGTACTCGTCTGCACTGTATAATTTCCATAAAACGAAAGCAGGGAGGGTGTTTCTTTTCTTTTCTTTTCTTTATCATCGTTTGGGTCTCAAAAAGAGAGCGACGGATTCTTTCGTTTCTAACATTTTCTTTTTCTAGCGAAGGAAAAGCGTATTCCTCGTGAGCCTCATCTACACCACTGTTGGTAGAGTCGGAGAGATGACGTCAGATGGGGCGACATCGATACCGGCGCCAAGGAGGAAGCCGTCGTGGAGGGAGAGAGAGAATAACAGGAGGAGAGAGAGGAGGAGAAGAGCTATTGCTGCTAAGATATATACTGGGCTTAGAGCTCAAGGAAATTACAACTTGCCCAAGCACTGTGATAACAATGAGGTTCTCAAAGCTCTTTGTGCCGAGGCTGGTTGGGTCGTTGAAGAAGATGGCACCACTTATCGAAAGGTATCTGATTTACCCTTCTCTTCTTCTTTTCTGTTCTTACAGAATGGTAGATCTATATAAAAGAAGCTGTAATTTTTTTTACTTCTCTGCCCATTTTTGTGCCAATTTAGCTGGATCTAGTTCCCATCTTGATTTTAGTTTGGTTTTTCTCTCTGGGTTTTTTTTTTTTTTTTTATCTGTTCAATTTCTGTTTGATTTGGCTTTCGTTCACTTGCTTGAAATATTGGGTAAAAAAGCGAGTCATTGTTCTGGAACTAGCAGTTGCTAATTAGACAATTATTAGTTGATCTGTGTTGGAACTGAAACTTCAATTAAATGACTGAAGTGAAACATTGATGAATAATTTTTCTTGATTAGCTGGTATTTATGGTCTTTCTTTTTTCTCTATTTCCTGTATGATCCTATTGAGTCTTGACTAACAAAACATACCCTTTTGATAATTTTTGGTTTTTAATTGAATTTGTTGTTCAGGGATGTCAGCCACCTCCAATTGATATACCTGGCAGTTCAGCTAAAATTACCCCATTTTCTTCCCAAAATCCGAGTCCATTATCTTCTGCATTTCCAAGTCCAATTCCTTCCTGTCAAGTCAGTCCTTCCTCCTCTTCCTACCCTAGTCCCACTAGGCTGGATGCTAATAACCCGTCGAGTCTCCTTCCGTTCCTTCAAAGTGCCATTCCTTCATCTCTGCCGCCACTCAGAATCTCAAACAGTGCCCCTGTGACACCACCACTTTCATCTCCAACCTCAAGAAACCCTAAGCCAATTCCCAACTGGGAGGCCATTGCAAAAGAGTCCATGGCCTCTTTTAACTACCCATTTTATGCTGTTTCTGCCCCAGCTAGTCCAACGCACCGTCATTTTCATGCCCCTGCTACAATACCTGAGTGCGATGAATCTGATACGTCCACGGTGGAATCTGGTCAATTGATAAGCTTTCAAAAGTTTGCACCTTCTACATCTCAAATGCCGACTTCTCCAACATTTAATCTGGTGAAACCTTTGCCTCTTCAAAATTTGCCCAATGATTTGATCAAAGAGAAAGGGCGAGGTGCAGAGTTTCAGTTTGAGAGTGGACAGGTTAAGCCATGGGAAGGAGAGAAGATTCATGAAGTAGGATTGGATGATCTGGAGCTCACGCTTGGAAGTGGCAAGGCGCGGTGTTAAACTGAGGCTATTCATTGAATGATGTTGTGAAAGTATGCTAAAACAGAAGAAAAAGTTGCTTTGCCATTCCTGGTTCTCACAGCCAGGCATTGGATAGCATTCTCAGTTCTGTTGTTTCATCTACATGGTGAAAAGTGGACATCTTAAACTAAAGGTGGGAGGAGTTACATTTTTATCTGCAATTGTTCTTTTTCTTTTTCTTCTTTTTCCAGTTAGTTGATGCTCACATTCCCTGGTTGAATTGTTAGGGATTTGGGTTGTTTTTACAAGCATTACTTTGTAGATACTATGGGATATTTCTGGTTGTGATATGAGTTGTTTGATCTTTCCTTTAGGCTATGTAGGCTTGGGTAAAACCTCACAGAATTAAATTATTTTGAGTGGTTTGTACTGTTAATGGATGTATCATGTTGGGAAGCAAAAAAAAATTTTTTTTTTAATATTCAGTGTTGAGGTTTCATTCACTTACGTTTGCAAATCACCCTACAATCAAAAGTTAATCCTAAATAATCCGATAATAATAATAATAATACACATTCTCATAAAACTTTCAACAAAAAATGGAAGAAAATGTGTACTGCAGAGCTGTACTGCATAACCAGTCTCCACTGTGTGACTGGAGTGGTCTGCTCTTATCCATATCTCTTTTGTTAATGGAGCCTCTAACTTTCCAATATGTTTCCATTCGGGGCTTGGGCCATCACCTATGTAACTTTCTGTCATCATAGCATCCTTTATCCAATTATCTTGTAAGTTATGATGATTGCAACCTTATCACTTCTCAGAATTTACATAACCAGATATAATTCGATTCAATCGTTCACAAGATAATGACACAAGATTAGTGGCACTGAAATAACTCAACCTCAATGTATATCTATAACGATCGAATTTTATTACAATAACCGATTGATGAGAACGGCATATTTAAGGTAATGTTACAAAAGCTACACAAAGACTTATCAAGATGACACAAAGCATGTTTAAGAACACACATAGGTTTTCACGGGGAGCATTAGCATTTAGTAAAGGCAGCATCCGAAAGAATACTTTAATTGTACAAAGACTTACTCTCTGTTTAGGTAGATGATACAGAGGAGGATGAAAAAAGATTCTACATTACCATACGGCGAGAGGAAATTTTGACCCAATACTTGGGAACAAATTGCCTTCATGCTCCTGCTACAATCTTCTCATTACAAATATCTATGTGATTAGTCAAGAAAATGGTGTGTGGCTGAGGCATTCACTAGTAAGATAAGCATGTGTTCTCCAAATCTTTAGTTAGCCTTTCTGTTTCCTCAATCTTTGGTTTTATATCCTTTTTGACATTGGCATTGCATTCTTGGTATCTGAAGCAAGTTACAAGATGATCATTAACAATCCCTGCCACTTGCATGAATGAATAAACGACAGTAGGTCCCACACAACGGAATCCTCTCTGCATCATATCTTTGCTCATGAGTTCAGCTTTTGGGGTCTTAACTGGTGCTTGACGGGCATATCGGAACCCATTTCTTAATGGTTTGTGGTTAACAAATCCCCAGCAATAGCTGCTGAAAGAACCAAATTCCCGCTGAACCTGCAAATTTCAACAAACCATAGGGCTTTATGCTTTAGCATACAACGATAACTTGTGTTTCCATCACAATTGATTAAGCTGCTATAGTCGACTTGATGCCTTTTTTAGTTTGTTTTGCGTGAGAAGGGAAGGAGGGGAGGAAAGTTTGCAGACTCAACAAATTAGCAGTATCACCAGTTAAAATTGTCAATGCTTTCTATTATATGAGACATGAAACTACCCTCTAAGAGTAACATGTTTTTTTATTTTGTGCATCTGTTACAGATGCAAGACTTATATCAAACAACTGTCTAGGAGGTATGAAGTCAAAACATTCAAATGCTTTGAATTGCTTTGTCGAGTCTACACTATTGGCTATGGCATGCACCTAAAAAAGGAAGGATGAAAGACTTGATGCTATGACCTAATAGATTGCTATTTCCCCTCGTTTTCCCTGGTCAGATAACCAGATAATTACCTTAAGCATCTGTTTAGCATTCTCCAGTATCGCACGGAGCTTCGGCTCAGAAAGCAATAGGCTACCATCAACTTTCAATGAAAGCATCTTCTTCTCAGTATATTGTGCAATTGATGATGGATCGAAATTGTCAAAAAGCTTCCTGCAAAAAATAATCCAACAATAAACAAAACACTGATCAAATGCATTCTTCTTCTCTACTATTTCTTGAAGCTTTGAAAATAAATGAATAAATAAAGAGAAGAAAAAAATAAAGAGAGGAAAATCAGAGAATCCAGGTAGTATCTTATTCATGTACTAGTTCAGACTGTTCAGTTCTCATGGAGACTAGAGACAAAGATACCTGAATATGCATCTCTTATTAAGAATTGTTGGCCAGCTGAGTTCAGCTAAGGCTTGTGAAAAGACCAGCAGCTCAAACAGCTTCCTGTCATCACGAACTGGAACACCCCACTCTTCGTCATGGAAAGAAGTATAAAGAGGGTCTGCACAGATAATGAATTAGTAAATTTCAATGTTATTACAAGACAAGATCAAAGACAGGCCAATGGTACAACGAAGTGAGAATGAAACACATATGCACCTCCTGTTATTTGTTGTAAGCTTCAAAAACCATAGAAAAGTTAATGGAATCACAATCTGTAGTATTACATAGAGCAAAAATTAATAGTATAATGGCATCAAACGTAATAGAAAATGCTACAACATAGTTCTGTTAAAACTCATTGATAATTTGAAACTCAGGAAGTCTAGGCATGTCAAATCAGATGGTTAAGATTCTTGTGTACATTTTTGGTATGTTGCTGTCAGCCTGTGATGAAAAATATTAATGGCATTAAAATGGTAAAAGCCTTACTAGTTACTAATAAATCATAGCATTTCAGATCAAAATCTAAGTAACCATGCCTTATTCAACGATATGGGTGGCACTGCTGACGCTACTGCACTATTCCAACACGCTTTAACCCACATTTGGTTCGGTAATCAATCAGTAGCATTATCCTATGACCATTCCAAGCCTTCAACTCTGTCTAAAAACAGACAAAGGCTTGCATCCCGTTTCTTAATCTAATTCATCCTTCTCGGAGATCTGTACATCATCACTAAACAAAGCTGGCCTTTCAAGGGTAAAAACAGACTAAGCCTCCATCCAACAATGTGACATTCATTTAATAACAAAAGCTCAACGTGGGGCAATTTTCCCAACACGGCAAGTTTGTTGGCACCGCCAACTAGAAACAACAAGATTAATATCACAAAAAATTAATGAAAACTATAGCAAAACAAAAAAATATCACTGAATTTCCAGACATTTACTTCACTTTGGTGTCATTGTCAAAGCACTACGTCATCACTCATGTCATAAAAGCGTTAAACTTTTCCAGCAGAGATGACTTGAACAAACCTTAAATGGTTAAACCCCCAACGCCATCATCATTTATTAGGCACCGCCAAGTTCCTATATCTAACAAGCTCGCAAATTGAGATGTAAATGGTATCTCAATACTTGTAAGTTATTCGAGTTAAACTTGAATAAAATTTAAATTCAATTTAATCATTTACAAGTTATGTATCTTGATTTATGGAATGAGTTGGAGCATTTTAATATTCGACTTGATCAGTCAAATTTTTAAATTTTAATATATTTTTATTATTTTAATTAAAAATTATTATTTTATCCTTTTTATATATATATATATATCTTCAAACTCAAATTCAAATATATAATTAAATTTAAAATACGAGTTATTTTTATTAGATGAATTTAATTAAATAAATTTAAATAATTTAATTTTTATCTCAATTTAAATTTGAGATTAAAAATTAAAACTTATCGAGCTCGAACTAAATTTCGAGCTTGAATTGAAACTTTTCACTATATCAACTTCAGCTCGATTACACTAACGCAATTATATTCAACAAAAAAATTTAACTGCCTCAGTAAAATCACATTTTTTATCTCAAAGACAACAAAAAAATAGTAATTTATAGTTTTTCTTTTTTTTTTTTAAATAATAACTTACCAGAAAATGGAGTGATCCAATCACATCGTTTTAACCGTTCCGATGTTACCGGAGAAATTTCCGTGACAACCTTGTCAGCTGTTGGAGCCACCTTGGCTTTGACTGGCTTCACTCCGTTTCGCTTAACGGTTTTCTCAGAGCTTACCGTTTTGAGGGAGGCATTGCTTGAAGAAGAATCAGAGGAAAAGGAGCTGTCGGCTGAGACATTGCTTTGTACAACGGACTGTGAGCTCTGGGAGACTGGAATTTTCGGTCTTCGTGGATTTTTTAGAGCTTCAATTTTCCTCTTTGACTCGTCCGAAACCCTAACTCTGTTCCCTGTCGGACCGAGAATCGCTCGCTGTTCCATCACCGATTTTGGCGATGACTTATGCTTCGTAGCCACGGACATTGCTTCGAAAAGTGAGAAACCTTCAAATGTGCGCTGTTTTTGGGCCCGATTTAAGCTCCACAAACATTCAACTTAGAATTTATATAGCAAATAATGGAAACTTCACCATTTTTTAAATGGTAAGAGAGGTAATTACAGAGCTTTTGGAGGGTAAAAGGGTCAAGAGAGTGTGAACAGAGCTTAGGTTTTTGAGAGTAGAGGAGGGGAGCGGAGGAGGTGTTGGAGAAGAGCAGAGGAAACATTAAACGACTGAAAAAAAACAGAGCGGCTCTGGAAGGTTTTTAAAGACGGATACCTGTAAATGGGTAAGGTACCGGTTTTAACCGGCGATGTTGCCGCGTGTCGGTTAACTTTAACCGTTTTGGTTTTGAAAGCGATTGCATTTTATGTTGTAACTGCCAAATTTGCCCTGCCTTGCGTCGCTTAAGTTAACTGCCAAAGCTTTGTCTTTCTTCTATCAGTTTTTGGCAAAAGCATGCACACAATTTTTGTCTTCGAATATATGTAACCACAGTAGAGTAAATCATTGCTTTTTTATATTTTGTTACGGCTAATCATGTAAATTATCTTGTAATCAGCTCGAATCATCACTATTAGATTATGAATAGTGTGAAATTATCATATTTGTCAAGTCCCATATTAATCTTCATTTGAATAAGAAAGAAGATTAATTTTGATAAAATTAAAAATAATAATAATAATTACTGTAACAGTAATTAAAAAATTTATTGTAGTTATAATTTAAAATAATTTTAATAAAAAATAAATTTTATTAAAGTTGATTTTTTATTTAACCACTGCATTATCTATGTGATGGAATCCAAAGCCAAACTACATGATTGAAACTTGAAAGATATGGCATACGGCATTCCAACATTTTTTTTTTTTGGGGATTATTAATAGGATTCAAATTCAAACCATTAATCGTGAATCGATTTCAACATTCTTATTTCACTGTTTAATAAAAGCCAAAAAGTTGAGTGAATTGATTAGCGAAAAGGGTCAAAATGATATTTGAAGATAAGCAAATTGGAGGAGACAACTGGGAGGCGGCGGTTGAAGAGAAAGGGCAAAAAAAAAAAAAAAAGGTTAGGCTAAGGGGTAGCATTCAGTTCGTAACGTAAAATGGGTGGAGGTGTTGGCAAGTAATATAGCTTTGCAGGGAAGTTCCTTTCCTTTCCTTGCCGTTGAGAGAAAGAATCCAAAGTCTCCACCACCAGCAAAAGAAAAAAAAGGTGACTTTGGTGGGTAACTAACGGCTATATGACATGGTCCATCTGCGGCATTGCTTTTCTGGATTGGGCTTTAAAGCCCATATTTAAACCAGAGTCCAGACCCGACTCCATTTGGATCATGACCCAGATTGAAATATGACTCTGGTCTGATGTATGGCCCAAAACATTGTTCAGACTTGGGTCTTCGGGTTGCTCGTTGCGGGGGTTTGGCCGGCGCGCATAGTGATAATAGCTGTCAAGTAGCCGTTACGTTGCTGATATTGACAGTTGACTTTCTCCAACTCCAAAAGCATTTACACGATGTCGTTTTGATGCCGAAGAAAGAAGAATTGTCTTTTTCCTCCATTGACGCTTGCCTTCCAGTTCCATGTTCTCCTTCTTCTTGCCTTCTCTCTCTGAACCGCAATGGCTGCGAAAGCTTCAACCGTCTCTCCATCGCAAACCCTAAACGCCCCAACGCAATGAAAGCCCAAATAAAAAGACTTCCTGAACCATCTCGAAGCTTACCTCGCTTAGCGAGACGGCGTCTACAAGCCCGCAAAATCTTTCGTTACGCTACCAAGTACCAAGATCATATTAGTCGAAAGGTTCAACTAAGTAGCCGTCTCAAGAGCTTCGAGTCAAGCGTCGGACTGAGTCGGAAAGCATTTCGACTCGGGAAATTCGTTCAGCACATCAACGCTTTGAGAAATTAACTCCAATTTGGATGTTTAAGCAAGAGATTTCACCACAATTATGGCCTAGGGTGGCGAGGGTTTGAACTATTTCATTGAACGGTTTATTTGGTTGGCTAAATCAGGATTAATCAACGCTAGACATTCCCGCAATTTACAAGAGATAAGTGCTTGGGCTGAGTTTCTTGGGTACATCGGAAGTATAAGCCATAAGTTTAGGTTTAAAGATGATATAATGAGGATGAGGCGTGTTTGGAATCGAGAGGAGTTGGTGTAAGGAAGAAGATGAAAGGAAGAGGAAATTGAGAGAAAAGAAATTGATGAAGCAAACTTTCAGTTGTTCAAGATTTGGCTGATGTGTTAATGGCATTGGCTGATAGTCAAGACGGTAAAGGAAGCTTTGACATAAGTTAAATTCGATCTCGTTTGTTATCATGCATGAATGTTTGGAGTGACGCGAGTGTTAGAACCAGGGCTGTTTTTGAGGCATTCTATTTGTAGACTCAATTCTCCAGCCTGAGCCCAAGGTTTACTCAAGATTGGGCTTTGAGAAGATGACCACCACAATGGGCCACCGAAGCCCACCATTTTACAACACGTGTCGAAATTTCATCGGCTTTAGACTAGGATTATCCAATAGCTGCATAAGCCCAGAAGGCGGCTCCCATATATTCTCGAACCTAATTGTCGGAATAAAATCAAACGGTCAACATCATCGGCATTCATCAAACGCCTGTTGGCCGTTGCATCTTTGTCTCACCCAACTCGAATTCTCTTCTTAATAATAATATTATTATTTTCTTTTCATTTAATTTATTTTTAAAATTTTCAGATTCCCTGTAGTAAACCTGGCATTCACAGGTTGGAACGTAGTAGAGAAGATGACGCTTTTACCAGATCTAGCAAAGGCCCTCCTTTCCATTCATAAACTATCCCTTCCTCCGCCAAACCTTTCTAAACAAATCCGAATTGCCTATCCAATCCAATAATCACCTTAGTGTTTTTTTTTTTTTAACAAATCATTAGATTTCCAGAAGCAACAACATGGAGCCCGAGCTCAAGGACCTCAATACGAAACCACCCAAGACCCAGCAACCCGACCCCACCCACGATGATGTCTCCACCAAAGACGACCGTCCCCTCCTCAAACCCGACTCCTCATCCGCCGACAACATCCAGGAGCTCGAGAAGAAATTAGCTGCCTTTGTTCGTAACGACGTGTACGGTTCCATGGGAAGAGGCAAGCTCCCACTGACGGAGAAACTCCAGCTGGGCATTGCCTCGTCACGCTACTTCCTCTACGCATCGTTTTGGGGATGACTTTTGTGCTTGCATATTACCTGATTTGTAGAATTTGTACGCTATTCTCGGCCCCGAATCAGGAGGAGGAGGATCAGGAGGATTATGCACACTTGGGCGGGTGGAGGCGAGCCGTGATTGTCCAGTCCGGCCGGTTCCTCTCTAGGTCATTGCTTTTTCTTGTAGGATTTTATTGGATTAAAGAAACTCATAAGCATTCAGCAAATACCCAAGAGAACTCAAAAACTGAGGTATGCCAAACCCCAACCTTTTTTTTCCCTTTAAACTTTACTTATTGAGCATTATTTCATCGTCCAAAGCTGGTAGCTTTAAAGAGAATTTATACGACTTTAATTAATGGACATTAATCTGAAAAGTAATTGCTTGATCAGCATTTTTCTGAATTTTGTTTTTTTGGACGTTTGGGTTTTCTACAGGCGATCAATCAATCAGAAGAGCAAGAAAGACCTGGGGCAATCGTGTCTAATCACGTGTCATATTTAGATATCTTATATCATGTGTCCTCTTCCTTTCCAAGCTTTGTTGCCAAGGTCTGTTAACTTAACCACTCTTCTAGTTTTGATTATGGTACAAAAGGTAAAACTTTTTCTAGTTTAAATGACATGTTTCTGGTTTGGTTTTGTCAATTGGAACCCTTGGATTTTATTGCTGAAGAGATCAGTGGCTAAAATTCCTTTAGTTGGTCTCATCAGGTTAGTTTATTTTAACCTCCTAAATTTCTCCCGTGGTTTGATGCAAAACAATGTTCAATTTGGTTGTCATTATTGAATTGTTGTTTCTTATCGAATTGATTACTTCTTTTCTTCTTGCCTTTCAAGCTTGATATATAGTTGTGGTAAAAGTTTCGTATTTTACTTAACATCTAAGATCTTAATCTACTAGCTTCGTAGCTATGTTGCTGCAATGTCTAGCGTGACCCGTTTATAGCTGAATACAAATCTTTATTCTTAGAAATGTTTTGCATGCAGGCAGGTGTTTTTGATGCTTATATATTTATTTTGTTCTGTATCCTACCACTTCAATCTTTTCTCAATGTTGTATATTGTGTTCCTTGTATAAATAAAAAGGTTGAGTTGGAGTCATTAATGATAGTTGGCTTGTTTCTTACAGCAAATGCCTTGGTTGTGTCTATGTCCAGCGGGAGTCAAAATCATCAGACTTCAAAGGTGTTGCAGGTAGAAAAACTGTTGATGTCAAACATGTTCTTTTCCACTTACTACTATTGATCAAAAGTACAATGCATAAATGGTCTCTCTTTCAGGTGTTGTGACTGACAGAGTTCGTGAAGCTCATCAAAATAAAGCTGCTCCAATGATGATGCTCTTTCCAGGTTAATCATCTTTTTGATATACTATATACATTTATCACATGGTTTAATTATGGTGCATGCTGCACCCAAATACTGTATGGGTGTGTATGTATGTCTATAGCTGATGTTTCATAGCACAGCCTAAGTTTCTGTTTTTCCTATGCCTATAAATTCCCAATTAGTAATAGTTGTTTGATTCATATTCATCTTGACAACAGAAGGCACAACAACAAATGGGGATTTTCTCCTCCCATTCAAGACTGGTGCATTTTTGGCAAGAGCACCTGTGGTGCCTGTTATATTAAGGTACCCATACCAAAGATTTAGTCCAGCCTGGGATTCAATATCCGGGGTGAGTAATTCTTAAGCAATTCAAGATGGATGTGCAAATTTTGATAACAAATCTTATTTATTTCTTAATTAATTAATTGTTTAATACCTGCAACTCATTACTGGATATAGAAAAGTTAACGCATATAAGAGGCTTTGGTTTGTTTCTGTTTGTTATGAGGTGGTGCTCACATTATTAGGTGTTTTTAGTTTGGATCATTTGTGCAATAAAGTTGATATTGGATCTGGGAATTCTTTGTTAGTTACACTGATATTCTAATGATGGTTTTGTTGTTTGCTTAGTACATTTATATTAAATCTGACAAAAATTAAAGTAAGCAGTGCTTGTGATTTTTCTTGGGTTTATTGGAGAGTTTTACAGAAGAACTGCTAATGAGTGAAGCTAATAACGTAGTTAGATAAATCATAATGAAAAAAATTGGAAAAATGTCAATAGGATGGGTGATTATTTGGATAATATATATGATTTATTTGTCCCTGCAACAAAACTTTGAACTTGTTGTGAATAATTTTTTATGGTGAGTATATTAGTTGTATGACATTTTTTTTCCTGCTGCTGTTGATGTTCTGTATTATATTTTGTAGGTGCGTCATGTTGTTTTTCTTCTATGTCAATTTGTAAATTACATGGAGGTTAAATGGTTACCTGTCTACTACCCATCACAGCAAGAGAAGGATGATCCAAAACTATATGCTAATAATGTCCGAAGATTGATGGCCAGTGAGGTATGCATATACTATCAACTTGTCGTATTGAAAGATATGTCTCTTACCAATTCCCATCACTGCTAAACTACAGACTTTCAAGAAAATGTGCTATCCTAATCAGATACTATATTCTGATTGTTCTAGAATTCTGAAGCACTGGCTTAAAGCACCATCATATTTGTCTTGTGCCAAGTAGTCACTGATATGCAGAAGAAAAACAATCTAGTCTTATAGGAATGTGTCAGTATTACTTGAATCGTCATTCATGTTAATGCGAGTTTTACTTGCTGTTTGTGTTTTCGTCTGCAGGGTAATCTGATACAGTCGGATATTGGACTGCCTGAGAAGCGGATATATCATGCTGCTCTCAATGGTAATAATAGCCTGTCTAGTGTTTTGCATCAGAAAGACGATTGATAATTTCTTGGCCTTGCTCCCAAATGATATCTAGTCTCTGTTGAGTTTCTTAGTTTGCACCAGTATTTTCTTGAACGCACAGACAAACCAAAGGGGTGGTTTCTCTTTCCCCATTTAACTCAAAACAACGCCACGTGCAGTTATATTGTGAACTTCTTTATTCATGGAAAGTGTGGCCACTAGCTACAGATTTAAATCTGCTTATGGAACTGATTTAGTCAGATCATCTGCTATTAAGAGACTCCTGGGCTTGTTTGTCTTAAAATACATAACATTAAGTTGACTATTAAGTGCCCTTGAAAACTTGTATATAGAACCATGCATCTGTAAATCTGAAGTGTCTCTTTCGTGTTCCTGCAGGTTTGTTTTGCCAAAGCTAATTTGGATTCGCCTTCTGTATATTCATTGTATGATTCTATTAGTTATGGAAAAAAACTTTAAAATTATATATAAAAAAAATTCACAAGCAGAGCAAGAGATTTTATTGTCATCAGTTGAAAATATTTCACCCAAAAGCAGGCCTTGATGTCTATTCATTCGGTGGAGGAAGCATGGTATTTTACTATTTAAATGCCATTTGCCACATTAGTGTTAGAGACATGACAGCATACTCCACAAACAAGAAAACACCAAAAGAAATCTTCAATCATTAAGCTTTGTGGAAGCTTAGCTTGGCCGCTGAACGTTCATTGAAATGCCAACCGACCAGTCGTCTCACCTTTCCTTCCATAAAACATTGTTTGATTTTTTTGATTCCCATGGTGGCAGGCAACCTCTTAAGGGTGATTGTATAAGTAATGAAGACTTCTGCCGCATTGACACTGAAGATAGGCAACTGAAGGCGCACCTCAGCCTCCTCTTCTCACTATCATATGGTTGATAATTGGGATCATGCCGCACGACAGAAGTCTTAAGGGCTTCAGGAAGAATGCAGTTGCACATTGAACCTAACACAAAGAAAAGATGAGATAAGTTATTGTAATTATTGTAACCTAACACAAGCATGTGACATTGGAAAATGCTTGTGCAAGTGATATGGTAAACAACAACAACAACAACCATTACGATCTTGCTAGTGGTGGGATGTTTGTATAAATACCTATTCTAGCCAGCCGATTTACCCATTTAGGAATGTGTTTCCCAGTCAGCTTGTGACAAATATCCTCGCAGAAATGGTTGCAATTCTTGACGATCAAGTGATACGTGTCTCCACTATACCTTGCCGAATTCCGCTCCATGAATTCCCTTACTTGGATAGGGTCCAGTGATGTGGTCCCAATGAATGTCGATTTCCTGAACTTGAAGCCCGGGCACTGTCGTGGTTCAACCTCAAAAACACCACTGGTTGGGTAATCGTGAGCTCCAAATGCATATTCCACACCATGAACTGTAGAGTGGGTTCAGTTAGCAATAGCAGTATAACAAGCACAGAATTGTCAGGTCCATATTTTGCATATTCAGTGTAAACGCATTGCTTGATATTATGAATTCAGTAAAAGGTTATTCTCCCTTCCTCCTTAACAACTGCTGCTTATAATGAGGACTACTGCCTATCATTCCAACCATTATATTTCCAATTCGATTAATCAGTTCACACTGGACACAAACTAGACAAGGGACAAATGAGAATCAAAACCTTTTCTAGATGCAAATTAAAAACAAAGTGAACAAAAGGGCAAAAGCATACACTAAAAGTATGATCAAGCCTACCTTCCACCCCAGAATGAAAGATGCCAAGGCCTGCCCAGTAAAAATAGCCATTCATGGGTGTTAGGTCATATACATTGAGGTACACTGGTGCACAGCCTGGATTGAAACTAGTTGGCTTCACCTTTGGAAAAAAACAACGAGAGGCTGATTTGTTTTTCAAAAACCGTGGCACCACAGATTTCCTTTTCTTCTTTGATTCAAAATCCATATTTCTTCAGTAAGACCTGACTTCAATTAATGCTTACAGAACCTGGGATAAATTAGCAAACATTAGCTATCAATTTAAAGGAAGAAAATTATTTCATAACCATGATAGTGGGAAAACCAAGAGAACAATGGGCACTGAAAAAGTAGAAGAAGAAGGAGAGTAGTTAGTTAGACACCAAAAGTTTCTAAAAAACATAACTACAGATTATAGCAATTACAATCTTTCAGTTGGCATTTAAACTCTCATATTCAAAGATTGCAAAAGATAGTCTAGTTATAGCACATAACATCTTTAAAGGGTATTTTCACCTAAGACAACTCATTGGGTGGAGATATCATAATATATAATGGAGGTTTCAACTCTTAGCATATAAAAAGCAGCATATCTAGCGTTATGAACTAACATTTAAGATATCCCTTTCATCTATCGAAATTTGAAATCCCTCATTCAACAACAACTATCAAGGATCAGAGCTCGTCCAAAGTGTTGATGAAAGTTCAATGGTTCAAGGTTATCCTCTAAAAGTCCAGAGGAATGAATTTTGCTAGACAAAGAAGGAAGGCATAAAAGTCAAATACAAGGAGAAGCAACCTGCTTTAATCATACTTGTATACACGTTATTAGTATACATTATACAAATTTAAAAGGTACTAAAATAATTAGTATACATTATACAAATTTAAAAGATAATAATGAAGATTGACAACCGAGAGAGAGAAAAAGGTAAGGGTCAACTCAAAGCTTCGACAATCCTTAATTCCAACCACGTGGAGTTGGACAAAACCAAACTGAAAATAAAAACAAAGTTAAACAATAACAAAATACAGAATATAAAACTCCAATCCTAGCTGATTAACCCTGCATTTTATAACAAACTACAGAAATATCAGAGTTTCCTTTCAAAATTCTCTTTTTATATTCATGGGGATAGAAATCATGATGAATAGTTAACTCACAAAGAAGAGAAAAATGAAGAAAAGATTAATAAGAAAAAAAAAAAAGAAACCCAAAACAGCATAATCCAAACTTACCATGGAAAAAAATTTAAGGTAAATTTTAATGAGAACAAAAATAGTAACTTTTGGAGTAAGTTCACCCATCAAGTCCTGCATTTTCCAAATTCATTTCCTGTTGGAACTAGAGAATTATAGTGGAAAAAAAAAAGCAATCGTTATTGGTATGGTACTCCATGAAAAAAGAAAAAAAAGCATGAGAATCACTTCAGATCTAGTAGAAATTGTCCATAGCCAGAAAAAAGAAAGAAAACAAAACAACGACAATGTAATAGATCAGACAGGATTAAAACCTTAATTTTAGCCAAGGATCCAACGAAAAAGAAACATTAGCAAAGAAAAATTGGAAAAGAGAGAGAGCCTACAGATTCAGGGAAGAAGGCCATTTATAAGCGCCCAAAGAAAAGCAAGCGCCATTACAACATTGAAGCCTAGCCAGCTGGCATTGACCGAAACTATTCGTGTTTTTATGGTGGCCAACGGAGGAAAACCAAAAGAAGAAGATGATACTTTATAAAAGAGATTAAAAATATGCTTAAGCCGCCATTCTTGAAAACTGGAAGCTCTAAGCATAAAGAAGAAGAAGAACAGGCAAAGCCATATTCTTTCTTTTTCTCTCTGCTTTTTTTTTATTCTTTTCTCGGTCACTCTTTTTATTCTCTCTCAATCTCCAAATTTATTTTTCACTTCACTGCGCAATCACGGCCACCCTTTCTTTCGGATATACCAATGTTTTTTTCACTTTTTTTTTCCTGATTCTACCAAAGAAAATAAATTTTTTTAATAATAAAAAATTAATAATTATTTAAGTTTATAATATTTTATTATAATTAATCAAATTTTGATATTTTTATTATAAATTAGTTAAAATTTTAAATCTTTATTTTCGCTTAATTTAATTTTTATACATTTATTTGTACTTAATTAAGTCTTTAATTAGACAAAAATAATTAATTAATTTTTAATAAAAATTTAATTGATAAAAATAAATATTTAAAATTTTAATTAATTAAAAAAATAAAAATTTAAATAATTATTAAATTTTAATTCAAAATTTTCTTTTACCCTTTTATCTTTTTTATATTTTTATACATCTACTCTATCAAATAAAATACTTTTATTTCCCCTCATTATGGAAAACATTTTATCTACATTTTATCTTGTCATTGTCAAATATAGGAGTGTAATCTAGTCGATATAATAAAAAGCTCGAACTTGAGTTTGACTTTTAATTCGTGGTTCAATACTTAATTCAAATTTGATTAAGTTTTATTTTTTTAATTTAAACTTGATTCGTGATCGAAATAAAATTACTCGAGTGCGCTCGATTAAGCTCAATTAATATATAAAAATAAATTTGATTCATATACTCGATAAGAGTTCGATTATTTATGTTTGAGCTCGAACTCGAATTTAAGATATTTTATTAATTAAAATAATAAAAATATATTTAAATATAAAAATTCGATTAGACTAATGAGCAACTTGAATCGGGTATAAAAATATTCGAATTTGACTCGATCAATAAGTTAAACTACTCGAACTCGAGTTCGACTTGATAATAATCGAATTGGATTTGAATTTTATTCAAATCAAATCAAAATAATTTATAAATATTAATGTATTATTTATATTCTTAATCAAATATATAATAATTTTTTTTATAAAAAATAATATTTTTTCTTATTAATTTTTTGAGCGCAAATATATGTTTTTAAGAGCTTAAGTACAAATAACTCAAATTCTAATAGATTGAAAAAAAAAAAATATATATATATATATATATATATATATTTGGTTATTACAATAAGCACAAGATAATGAGGGAGGGAAAAGAGAGGTGTGGATGTGAAGGGGATGGCAGAGTCGTGCAAAAGAGGACAAACTTTTCATAAGAGACATAGGAAAACGACAAGTGTGTCATAGTCAAAAATCAAAGTTGCAGAGAGTGAGCGACTGAGATATGTCTGATCTCTTCACGCATCGTTGCAGCAGGCTTTGCTCACATAAAGCCAATATGAATCTTATCTGCTCGACCCTCTCCGTTTCATCTCATCAGACTGAATTTTTCCAAATTTCAAAATTCGATGGCCAATTACTATTACTATAGCAGTTGATAAAAGAGAACCCCTGCTGTCGAACTTTGTCATCATTGTAAAATGGTTGTAAAAGCTACACTTTTTTGCCTGGCTATATGCCAGAAAGACAGGTAAATCAAAGATGAAGAATTGACTAACCTTGCTTGACCTTTATATTCTTTTTAGGCGACAATGTTCAAACAACAAAGGCCAATTTCACTTTTTTTCTGTGCTGAACTGCTAAACCAATATGTCCAAGGGAGGTAAAATGCGTTAAGCCTTATCCGTCAATCATGTGGCATGGCTCAAATGATTGCTGGATTTTGAATTCAAAAAGAAATTCCGACCAACAAACAAGTTGGTGAAAAGAAGTTCAGTCAAACCAGATTTTTCTCCCTCAATGAAAAAATAACTGATTATCTCCCTCTTTTTGCTTACTCTTTGAGTGCAACATTAAACAACTTGGTGGAAAATTTGGACTTTGTCAAACTCAATCTTCAGGGTATATTCCAAATATAGTCGTGAGAAAAGAGCAATGTTTCTATCTGTTACATTACATATTTACACAACCTATAAAGAATCAAAATGGTGTCTGAAAACAGCATGAATTGATTATCCTGTGCAAAATGGTGTCTGAAAACAGCATGAATTGATTATCCTGTGCATTCTCTTTATGCTGAGGATGCAATTTTGCATCCTTTTGTCGACCAATTAAACAAGCATTGCAGTCGAGCATACAGTAAATCACACCGAACCAAGTGAGTTAAAATGAGTCCATGCATCCTGAAATTGCAAGAGGGTAATTAGACATTGTATTGTCTCGCTACTCTAGGCGTAGCAGTATGAGCATGCTGAAAGCCTGAAACCTAATTTGTCTTGCAACTGAAAAGTGTCAAAACAAAAGCACTTGGTAATAATATTAGACATGTCATGCTTTGATGAGTTGCAGCTATGGTTTCTTCGAGCTGAATAATAATGCTGACAAATCAAGAGCCTAAAAAATTGACAATGCTATTGTCCTAATAAGAAGAAACGCTGGTAGGCTAAACAGATTGTAGGCAAACAACAGGTCATCCCATGTGTATGAAATTTCAGCTTATGAAGTCCATTGGAATCTGTCTGGGAGTGTTTGTCTAGTTGTCTAAACTTGGTGATTGTTTGAAGTACAATAATTGATCATATCAAACAGATTTGGTAGGCCTGCACCAGCACTAGTTATTTCTAAGCTTTTAGGTTATTTCTACTTCTATTGTCAAAAAGAACTAGTTATCGATGAAAATTTTCATTGAGAATACACATATAAAAGACTATTCAATAAGAGTTATAGAAATAACTTCTCTATTGGATCAAAACAACGCCATTGGAAGAAAAGATGTACTAATACATATCAATAAGAGAATAAATGTTTACACAAAATTATACATTACCTGCAGAATATCGAAGACTTTTTCTGCAATGTATTTTTGATCCGAGGCAGCACCCTTCTGCTTTAGCTTATCTGGATGTAGACACAGTAGAGCTTTTTGGTATGATCTTTTCACAGCTGGTCCTTCAATTATGTCAACAAGAGGCACTGGCTTCCAACCACTATCAGGCCAAAGAACCTGTGTACACAACCAATATGGGACTGACAAATTCAAAATAAAATGTATAGTTTTCGTCCAATGTGGCTGCCTAAAGCTTCCTTTAACATTATAGGGCATTGCCCTTTATGGGAAACCATGATCCTTGAAATGTTAAAATACAGATCCATGAAAAGAGGAATATTTTCTTTGGTGCCCCAGAGAGTTGGGGAGTAATTCAGTGAAAGTATATAATCACTGGCCTTGGAGATGGCTTTACTTAAGAAAGATAATGATTGAAGTTGAATCATTATATCTGCTTACATATTGTAAGGTTGACAACAGTGAGCGGATATTTCCTTGTTTTCCATTTGACCATTGCCGTATTTTAGCATCAATGGCCTGCATTAAATGAGGTAGCCAGCCGAAAAATGTGAAGCAACATGTGTGTTTGTGCATATGGTTATAGCTGTATTTATTGTACTCTTTGTTACCTGTATTTCTTCAGGATCAATGCCAAATTGTAGCAACATTTTCTCTTCTGGCGTTAGGTCTTCTATCTGTTCATAAGCCAAAGTGGACCAGCTCATTAGGGTTCAGCCAAAATTATATCTTCCCTACTAACAAGTAACAAAAAAATCAACATGCCTGTTACATTGATATATACAAATTTTCAATTTAAAATCTCAGATTCTTAATATCCCTGAAAGTATATGTAGACTCATTATTATGATACAAACAGATATCCATTCACTTTGCATATGTGAATCATTCTACAGGAAATGTATGACTTCAGTTTTCAAAATGGATAAATCACATACCAAAAAGTTGTCCTCAAATGAGTCTGCTGGATCTTCAAGAATAGTCTTGGAGCCATCAGAAACTGATACCAACAGAGTAAGCGGATAATTAGTATTGACCATTAGAAAAAATTACGGTGTACTAATTGTAAGAAAGATCAAATAATGTAAAAATAAAAAAATAAAGTATTTGTTATACATTTAATACTTCTATTTTTCGTTAATTATTTAGAAACAAATAGTAGAAGAACAGATAAACTAACCAGAATCCTTTACTGAGCTATTAGTATTCTTGTCAGATGCACCATTAGACATATGATTGGCAACAGGAACATCTGAAGATGATTTCTTTGTTTGCATTTCAGGCATGTGAATGTTCTTATCCCTTTCAGTCATACTAATAATACTTGGTTCATTCTCTGGCTTGACAGTCTGCCCTTCCTTCCGTCTAGAGCTATGTCTCTCAGTGACAGTGTCCGCTTTAGGCTTTGATGAAGCATCCTGGTTGAAAATTTTAATGAATTCTTTGACCTTTCCTTTAACTTTGCCTTTTCCATTTTCCCACGAGTTCCTAGGGGAACCTTTTACACTTGTTGTACTGGCTTCCACATTGTTCGATGTAGCCCTATTCTTCACATCATGTTTCTTAATGTTTTTACCATCTAGAATTTCATAAAACTTCTTGGCACGCTTTTCAGAAATGTCTTTTGTTCGTCCAGCATTTCTAGTCATCTTATCATTGGCTGCATATATACAATAGAAGAAAACAGTGTAAGAAACTGTACATCACCAAGCACCAAAACATATCAATTGTTCATAGGGTAATGGAAAAAGCACTTTTACCTTCTGCATCATCGCTGTCATCATTGAAAAGCAAATTCAAAAGTTTCGGCTTAGGCTTCTGAGTTTCTTTAGCAACTGTAGACACTTCTTTCTCTCGTTTATCACACAAATCTTTCTGAGAAAGGGTATAACGAGTTTTTTCTTCTCCTCCTGAACCGTGCGAGACAGTGTTATTAGGAACATTCTTTTCAGTACTTTTAAGCCTGCTTATGATTTCTGTCTCAGACTTGGGAATGCTGTCTTCGTCAATAATTTGACCTTTTACTCCATCTTCATTTATTGAATCAATAAGAGAGCCATGTTCATTCTTGTCATGTTCTGCTCTAAAAGATTTAGAATTTGATGACATTCTATCAGTAGAGATGAAACTATTCTGCAATTTTGATTTTGGTTCTGTTGCTATATTTTCACATGCTATCCATCCATTACCACTTGAGCACCTCTGCAGCTTATCCTTTTCTTTGAGTCTATCACTTCTCCTCAGAGGAATGGCTAACGGCACACCTCCTTTGTTTGCCCATTTGTATATTGAGAAGTGAAAGTGGCTGCCATTTTTCAAAGTTTCTGAACTACTTGAATCTTCTTCTGGATTGCCTTTTGTTTCAGTTTCATCATTCTTGGTCAAGTTTGTTGACTCCTCAGTACCCGTAGATAACTCCTGAGATAAAGCACTAATGCCATACGATGATTGAAAGTCATTTCTCACTTCCTCTTTATCTTGATTTGCTTGGCCTGAGACTCTAGATAGAGGAGAATGTGCATAATGACTTGAACCATTTGAAAAGCCATCCTTGCTTTTAGATGTGCTACAAGTAGGGGAGCCAAATGTGGGGAGGTCCATTCCTTTGTTCAATTTGGCAGGAAGGCTGGGAAAGTTAAAGGCAGCAAAAGTAAGCTATTGACAGAAACAGGGAATCAAATTCACCTCAAACTTAATAACTAAACAAATAAACTTAACAATCCTTCAATAAAGAACATGAATTACAATAATTCAGAGATAATATGAGCTACTAAATTTTCATTTGACATAGAACATGTGTCAGAATGCATAGATGCAACCGAAAACATGGAAGATGCTAAAGCATCAGAAACTAGAAGATTAAACATAACTAAGAAACAAGAAAAACAATGTACAAGAACCAACAAAAAGATTTCTTTTCTTGATCTCTAACTGGTATAAGTACAGCATGTGGGTGAGAAGTGATTATGGCATTTTCTGAACTGTAATTATCACCTTTTGGATGTATTGTCCGATAATATAACAAAATGAAGGCCAAAGAAAGTGAAAGCAGAACCTGAATTGAGCAGGAAATGAACTCCCAAAAGGTTCAGCCTTTGGTGGCAAAGGCCCAGCCGGACTTAATAACTGCGAATCTGCTGCAAAAGGGTCCCTCATCTCATACCTCCTTGGAGAAGATCTCAAAGACTCATTCCCTCCAAAAATATCGTCAAAGAAATCATTTCTAGAGTATCTTCTCCGGCTCATCCCCTCTTCACCGAATACGGGCTTTTCGCTTAAACCAGACCATGGATTTCGTGATGCAACAACCGTTTCATCACTTCTTCGGAAGGCGGATGATGAATCCGTGTTTTCGCCAAAACTGTATCGTGCCTCTTGAATTGATGACCTCCTTGGCGGACCCCCAAAGACATCGTTGAAGTCTATATCGGAGTTTCTATCTGGAGTTTTGGGAGCAGAACTTGAATCCATCGATGTCTTTTGGGGACTATAGCCTGAAAGCGTGCTTTCTCTCTGTGAAAATCTCTGCATCTTCAATGTTGAACAAAAAAAAAAAAGAAAAATTGGCGGGAAATATGATAAGGGTTTTAAACTGTCACTGGGTTACAATAATTAATTGAATCAAATTCCAGAGAGAACTGAACATGTTTTCTGTTGATGAAGCAGAGGAAGTTTCATGAGAAAGTACAAGAAAGGAGAACAAGACAAGGTGGGGTTAAATGCTAGAGAGGTTTATCAAAGATTTGAAGCCACAAAAAGGTCAAGTGATTGTCTATTTGTCAATGGATAAGACATAACAGTAGAGAAATGCCAGAAAACCAAGGGTGGGGTGTTAAGTCTATTTTGTCATTCAGTGAACAATTTTCAAAAATTCTCTTGGCGACCGTTATTCAAGATTTTTTTGTGATGCAAGATTAATTCTGAGTTCCTTTTCCGCAAAGACAAATCAGACCCACAGCCTGTTATCATGATTTTCCACTTCTAGCCCTCAGATCTGCCTGATTTTTCTTTCCCCTTCAAGAAGAAGGAAAATAATGGCGATTAAACAGGAAAGTTTCTCCAAGTTCCAATCCGAAATCATCTTAAAATGTTTGTTTCCAGTTTACGTCTGCATCAGAGTGGGAAAAAGGGACCATCCAGGTATGCTTTGGTGGATAATTGATGCCTGGATGGTAAAGGGATCGAAGGAAAGAAAATTGACCGGACAAGATCTATTTGCCACTAATTTTGGGGTTCTGCTTGTTGCATCATTCCAGGGCCTACCTCGAATGCAGCAAAATTGCCTCCAAATTCAGATTCAATTGGCAAGAATGCAATTACAGTATATTTAGAATTAAGATAACAGGTTCTAAGTAGCTTGACTGGTAGCTTCAGAAATTTATAATTACGATAACATCAGAAACGTGTTGCCCACGTTTCCTCCCACCATGTTTCATTTACAGAATTAAAGAGAGAAGTGCACGATAATATTGCAAGGAGATTCTGTTACTAAATGAAATTTGGTGGAAATAAAAACTTGAATAGTATTTACGAGATTTATCCATGCTACTTTGTTACAATTGGCAGCCCCATGGTGTCTTCTGTTGGTAATTGTGATGTTTCACTCCGGAATCTCATGCTCCCACGTCTCAAACCTTAAGATGGAATGGATGTCTTTAGCCATTGAGACAGATTCACTGGTGCTCCAAAACACCAGTTGATTATGTCTCTTTTTGAAATGACAGGCTGATAACAAACAAGCGACCTTATCAGGATCCCCTATTCATTTATACCCTTGTTACCTTTACCGTATCTTTGCAATTTCTCAGTAAATTTCCACGATAGAAAGCCAATTTATAGGAGGGATAGTCACACAAAGTAGGATGGAGACAGTGCTGCAAAGCTTTTATCATGAAAAACAACAAAAACCTTGATAAGATTTGTTATTATGCATAATACAGAACAAGCGTATTAAATGAAGTGCTTGTAAAATTTGACGAAATGTTACAGCAGAAATACAAAGCAAATATCAAAGGAAAGGAAGAGAAAAGAAAGAAATTCGGCACTTTTCTCAGAAGGAAATATCAGAATAACCTACCCGTATCAAGTGAATTTTGCAACAAGTGAACCAGTGAGCCCATCCATGGTTCAACGTGAGATCCTCAGCAGTGCTACTCCTACTAATCAGAACCATCTGGGAAAGGGTCCACTGCTTCGTACTTTCCATTAACATAGAAATCTTCAACTGCTTTCATTCTTCGAAGTTTATCTGGGTGGTAATTTATATGAATAATTACAGGCTTTAACTTCTTCAGTTTAACATCTTTGCTTACTGTTCATAAACATGTAGAAATCCATTGCTCTCTCGGCAGCATGGAGCCCATCATACCCAGGTTGTGAAGGGAAATAGAGTACCTCATTTAAAACAGCTTGGTCCCATGAGTTTGTTGCCGAGCCAACCGATCAGCCACACGGTCCAAAAGATCAATCGAAGGAATTGTAGGCCGTATATAAAAGAAACCAGAGTTGTGAAACCATATTCTCATTATATAACGTGCCCAACCCATTGCAGGTTCATCAAAGCCATCGTTATATCCGTAAGCAGTCGTATTATTGTGACCGTCAGTCAGGGACTCTACATCAGAATCACGATGAAGATGGTTGAATGGGTCTCTGAGAGAACACTGTAACCCAGTTGCCAAAACTCCCTTAAAATACGGAACTTCAGTCCAAAGATCAGTCGGCTTCTGGTTTATAACATTCAGTAATTACTTGCAAGTTCAATGGCCATGGCTCTTTCCCACCCACAGAACACAACTGGAACAGAGAGAAACCCTTTTTTTTTTGGCGACAAGAACATTTCATTTCATGAACTAATGAAAATGCCAACAATAATATTGACAATGTTGAATGTGGTTTGAACGTTGAAAGCATCATCTCGCTCAAGAATTCTTTTGATAAAGGAATGTGACAAAAACAATTAGTTAAAAAATACATAGAAAACATAGAGGCAGTTCGTTGCTAATTATAGAACAAGGAATCCTCCTAAGGCCAACTGATCAACATAAAGGGATTGCTTCCTGATAACAAAATTGGATGGTGGCAACGGCAAATCAATAACTTCGCTACAAACACCTGTTCTCCTGCATAACTAAGAAGTAAGAGATATTAGCATCTTTCAAGTAAAGATGAATTCATTAGCCTAGGGGCCTATAAGATGAGCAAAGGATATCATGAAATGATCATGCAACAATGATCATGAGCAAAGACTATTTATCACATCTCAGTTTAATGGTTATGTATCAATGCAGTTTAGTACAAGTGGATTGGGAAGGGCATTTTTGTTTTCAGAAAGCAAAAGGCTAGGCAGAGTTAACATAGTAACTTTTTTACGAATACCAACCAAACGGAGTCACTCTCAATGTTCATTTTGATGTATGTCAAACGAGAAGGTAACTGCCCAAAATTCAACTCTTATTCCTTGAAACCCGAGATTACAGTTCAAAAAGTGAGTTTAGTTAGGTAAATAAAAGAAAATGAAATCCAGAAATTTGGTAGGAATGGTAAAGTCGTGTGTATTTGGAAAGAACAGCACGCAAACCAGGAGTTTTTCCAGCCAAAAGAAAGAAAACATGGCTTTTTAGAATTAACTCTCAGAGGTAATATAAATGAACCTCATTCATTCCTCTCTATTTACTTATTTTTAGTTCCTTGCATGGGGATAAAACAAATTAAGAGCAAATGCAATATATATATATATATATATATATATATAGAGAGAGAGAGAGAGAGAGAGAGATACTTCCTCGGAGCTAGTTATATATGACACAACAACAGTGATGTCATCAAGCTTTCCACCATAATAACGGAGCCCAGCATTTTGAGCGGCAGTTGAGAAAGGTGTTTGTCGGTTTCTACCCTGTGCTCGTTGCTGTGCCAATGCTGCTATCTTCTGAGCAGTCACTAGAGGCCCCAAACCAGCCCTGACCGCGTGAACCACCACTGCAGTAATTTCATTATTGTACAAGTTATCAAACAGTCCATCTGTGCCAGCAATGACAACATCTCCCAGAGCAACAGGAACTGAAAAGACCGGATTTGGGCAGAAGATTTAGATCATTTAGATATCTCATAATCAATCAAGTAAACTAAAGCCTCACATATTATAAACAAGCAGGATATTTCTTGTTTAAGACAGCAAGGGGGTATGTGAAAGATGTGACAGGAATCAAAACATGTAAACCAATGCTTTGGTTGACCGATCAGTTATCAAGAAATATAAAAGGGTATCTTCTCCCATTTAAATATTTAAGTTATTGACAGAAGGAAATAATCACCAGAAACAACCATCTAACATGTCAGGGCCACCTAAGCAATAGACATCTTTTTCAAAAGATTACACAATCAAAATATTATTCATAAAATCAAAATAAGAGACCTTTTCCAGGAATAAGCACAAGAGGAACATGTGTAACTACCTGACCAGAGCTAGGTAAATCACCAGTACTTCCACTCTCAAGTTGGTATGGGAAGTTAAAATCATGCTGCTGAACAGGGGATCTAAATATAGAGCATCCATCTCGAACCACCATAAAACCACTGTCCCCCAAGTTTATAGCATCAAGACCCTGCAGCAAAAACCTGAAAAGTTAATATAATATCCAGCAAGTAACTTCATCCAGTCATCCCAGAAGAAGGTAATTTGTGCAATTTTGGTCCAAGAGAAATGTAGATTAATACACAAAAGCCTCAATTCTGAGCTCTGAACATTCATCATTTCAGGTTCTACCAAGCTACCACAGGTCACTGATGCATATTTTTACCCTTTATTAAGGTCATATGCTAGGAAAAACTTCTAGGCATTGCTCATTCAGGTCATCCTCCACATAAAGGATGAAAATCCCTTATAAATTCATTTGGACAAAGGCATCCAATTGCAAGTTGTTAATTCATCAGTTCATGTTATGAGCAGAAAGCAGTATTTTGGTTTAGATGAGAGGGCTTGTGTTCAAAATAATTATTTCAGGAAAAAGCTACTCGTGTTGGAATTATAACACCAAACATGATAGGCAAGCCTAGAACAGAAATGGCTTACTTGGTCTGTGAGTGCTATGATGCATGCTGTTGAGGAACCTTTAGCTTTTGTGCTAGAGTGAGCTTTCTCTAAGGCTCTTGCTGGGTCAATTGAACGCTTGGGCTCCTCACGGATAGCAGATACAGAGTTAGACATGAGTTCCGTAGAATACTGACCAGCATCAACACCCAGATCTACCCAACCACCAACTCCATCTGCTACACCTATTACTTGTTCATCCACACATAAGAAATGAGCATCCTCTCCTCCAGTATCTACTTTGTCAGGATGGGGAAGATAGCATAATCCTGAAAGCAGCTTCAGAGTTTTGCGAGCAGCAATCCTCCTGTCATGATTATTGAGCATGGCATAAATATAAATTGCATACAATATTGTAATGATTTAGTAAAATGAAAATTGAAACTGCACAGATAACATACTCCTCTGATGACACAGAAAAATTGGCAACCTGTTCCTCACATCCAGAATTATCGAAGGAAACATCAGAGGCAGTCCCAGCTGATAAACAAGAAGGCAACAAACTATGGAAAGCCCTTGCATCTGACGCCAACAAAGGGTTAAAGTTGCACCATCTTTTTCCAGCACTATACATGTAATATCCATAAATTGGAGAATTGCTAGGCTTCTCATGGTTTTTCAAACTCATTCTAGCTTTTATGCAGTTACTCAAACTTCTATTGCCATAAAAGATGTCAGCACTACACGTTGACGATGAAAGGTGCTCATGCTGTAACTTTATTGTATCAACAAGATATCCACCAATTACAACTCTAGAACCAGAAGCAGCCATGGGTTTACCCTGAAATTTGCTCACTGATGGAGATATTTGACTGGAGTCAGCTAGTGCACAATCAATATGATATCCACAAACCTGGAAAGCAGTGCCCGAAACAGATGGAACAGAAATAGTTCGATAAAATGCTCCAACAACAGAAATGTTCCTTCTTCGGTTGGCTAAGAGAGAATCTGATCTTGCAGCCAAAAAAGTCGCTGTTTGCAAAAGTCCTTGCAAATCCGCAAGCCTCGAAAATCTTAAAGAATGAAAAAACCTATAATTGCCAAACCCTAGCTTCCCTGTTCCAATCAGAACTTCTATCGAATCTTGAAGCCCACATTCTGTTCTCCGGATTCCATTTTGAACTGCACTCCTCAGTCTCCAAAAATAACTAGATGGCATCTTATCTTCTTAACCAAAGCAATTTTGCTTCGAACCGACTATTACAGAGAACACAAAAGTCACTACCATATGCAGAAGAAAATCTCATAACGTTTTAACACATCTAAACCTTAGATTACTGCTGTCCCTTCGAAAAATTGCAGGAATTAAGAAACCTGGAAAGAAAAAAAAAAGTTTGCAGATACCAATTTAACAAACCAACAAAATAAACAAAGAAACAAATAGACAAAAAACAATATCTCAAACGATAATAATACTATAAATATCAAGAATATTCAATTAAAGAAAACAGAGGGAAATACAACTAGTAAAGTTAACCTAAGTTTAATATCAATTAAAAATCAATTTGTAATCGAAATCCGCCAAATAAAGGAATCAAAATCTACCCAGCTACACTATAATTAATCTCAAATTCATTCAGAAAAAAAGAACGGCAAAATCAACAAGGCAGGAAACTTCACCTTTAGAGAGCCATCAAAACCAAAAATATCGAATCGAAAACCCAAATCCCCAGAGTTCTGGAAAAACTAGAAATGAACCAATCGGTTTAGAAAGAACCGCCAGAAACCGGTTCTTCTGTCTAGTTGTCTTTATGAAACCTTAAAGAGCTCAGTAAACGCAAATGAGACCCTAAAATAATTAAAGGGAGGGAAAGTAACAATTAAAGCCGCTAAAGCTCTCTCCTTTTACTTCAATGCATTCGATGAGTGTATAACTGTCTTTACGAATCTTTATGTTCTTGTAGTTGGAATCTTCCAAATTGATTGGAGAATCGGAAACGCAATTGCAAAGTACAGATATTAGATTTTAGGTTTTTGGCCCAAGGTTTTCTTGTTTTGCGAAATTACCCTTGTCCTTGCTTGGATTACTCTACTACAGTACTCCTAGTCTACTACTAGTATTTTAATTTTTAGACATTAATAGCCAAGTCCTTCGAGTTATTTTATTATATAATTAACTCCTTTTGACTTTTCCATCTGCTTACTTTTTTTTTTTTTTACCAATCTATCGGTTTATTATAAAAAAAATTAATGAATTATTTCTCAATTTAATATAACTAAAGAAAATCTTAATCAAAATTGCTTGTTCCATTATACATAGTAGAAACGTGTGGTGATAATTAAGTTCTAATTTAATTTAATGAAAAAAATCTTGAATTCAAAATTTCACCCATTTTTTTAATTAAATTGTTAAAAAATTAGTTTTGTACGTAAAATTTTTGTTATACGAGAAATTTAAAATAAATTTATTATATACAATTTTTTTTATATATTTTTACAAAAAATTATTTTTATGATTCGAATTCGTAATCATCAAATCACATGAAAAAATAATTTTATCAATTACCGTAAGACTTCTCTCCTTAAAGGCGGAAAAATGCAAACACAAAGTTTTAACCAGCGCATTAATACTAGTATGATTATACTCTTTTGAATTAAATCATTATTAAAAAAAAATTATATCATCAAAGTGTTTAAAATCTTTTATATATCGGTAACAAAAAGTGTTTCTTCCTTGCTTTTAATGTTCTAAATGTGATGAAAACTACTAGAAATTTTATCTTTTACGCCATACATGATTAACAGGCAAAACTATTTTACATGGATGAAGAGCCCTTACAAGAGTTTTCATAACAAAAGCATCATATGGTTGTCCCTGTTAAAAGATTATTTTGCAGGTGTTTGCCCCGTACAAATGGTGTCAGTTCGAGTTATGATTGATTATCAAAATTAAAAACTTATGCATTAAAGAGGGCACAGATTAGATAACCCTTTAAGATTGAAAACTTGAGCCGAATAAAATCTTATGCAGACGGGCTTAGCTGCTGATAAATCACTGAGGCCCAATCAAAAGCTACAAAAATACGAGTGCCATACAGATGAAAAAAATTTATATGAAATTTGATAAGTGATATTTGTTAAGATTTTTACTAAAAATAAATAAATTAAAATATTACATCACATAGATCAAACATATAAAATTAAAAAAAAAATTTTTTTTTGATATATTTATTAAATAAATATTTTTTTATAAAAATATTGATAAAATTTTAATAATTGAATAAGTATCAATTAAATTTTAATTATAAATAATATTTTAATAATTTTTTACATATTATTAATTTTGAGAATAAATTTTATCAATTTATCAATTCAGATTTTTTATCAAAAACTTTTGTTTACTTATTTTTAATAAAAAATTTCATAAATTCTACGTAAATTTTATCCCCATAAAAAAAAGGTGGGAATTTGACTAACCTTAAACCATTTCCATACTAAAGGCATAGTTTGTAATCCTCCTATGAAAGGCCCATTCTTCACCGTTCAACCCAACAAGTCCCTGTCCAAAGAGCATTCTGGCCATGGGGTTAAACCCGATCTTATCAAAATGACCCGCCTGTGTTCGTGGCAACCTCCTTGATCATATACGAATCGGAAATTCCCAACCTCGGTTTTGACCCGAATCGGAAACTTTTTGGATAATGATCAATCGTTGCAGAGCTTGGAGCTTTGTTTTAGTTAGTATTTTGCTGGTAAAAATTACGTTCCTGTTGCATGAATAACTTGCAGCATGCAATTAATTGATCAGGTCAGGTGAGCTGATGCAACTTTTTAAAGTATTTTGGATGATTGAAAGAGGGAGGGATCGAATAAGGATTTTAGTTAAATTAATTTGTGCAATTATTTTTAAAAAATAATATCCAATAAATTGTTTATTCAATTTCAACATATACAATCCTTCTTTTATCTTAAAATTATCTTCTTCTTTTTTTAATTATTCAGCATTCATCTACAACAATGGTGGTTCCTGGTTTAAGGCAAAAAATGGGGTTTGCCACTGGAATTTCTACTTCACAATTGAGCTGCCAAGAAATGGGTCTGAAATGGGTACAAACTCATGAACCTGATGAAGTAAAGTACTTAATTTTTTTTTTTTAATGGAAGTGCATGATATTGAATAACGAAATGTGACATCAATCCCACGCAAGAACATCGAATCAGCAACCACACTGCTTGGCAAAAGCAAAACACATGACATGTCCGAAACGAAGCGGTATCATTTTCGATTGTCAAAGTGTAAATCAAGCATGAAGCTTGCGAAACATGAAACATCCATTTTTTTTTCTTTCATATTTGGAGTGGACCCGATCGAGTTCCTTCTCCCTGCACATTTGGCTTGAAAGCCAGGCAAAAACCCCACCATCCATAAAAACTCAAGGGCCCAGCCACTGTGTCTTGCCAACTCACCTTATTAAATCGGGTTCGACAGATCAGAAATCTGAACTCCAAGGGCTCCTTATCCTGTTTACAATTGACTCGCCGACCCCCCTTAGTTTGACCAACGGTTCACTTATAGTTTATCACAATGGCATATATGCACCGTCATCTTCCACTCAAAAAGTCATTTTCAAACTTAAATTGGGTTTTAACTGAAGTTGGCAAATTGTTTTAAGTGTTTTATGTTCAGTCAATTTTTGGTAAACTGAACCCTGTCTGGGCGGTCAGGTTGGAACTTGGAAGTGAAACAACAATCAAGGGAAACAAAAAAAAAGAAATAACTGTAAATAGTAGCATCATATTTTTTGCTACATATGCTATATGCTAACTACAGTAGTTCCTGTACAACCTTTTCCCTGAGTGATATCTCCGAGATTTTTAAATAATTAAACTTTACATCAAAGGGAAACTAACTTTAAAAGGCAGTACCAACAAAAGTAAAGCCAAAACTAATGTCTAACACTAATATCCTTCTCTCAGTTCTAAGCACTAGGGTCGAAAAATAGACGAAAATGATTGGAAAAACAAATGGGGTAACCTTTATTTTTTTGTCAATTCCTTTGCCTTTAAAGCATGGCTGGGCTGTTGGATTTTCTCTCAGGTGCACCTTCCGATGTTTCTCTAGGCGAACTCCCTCCCGCTCCAACATCGAAGGTACCTCCAAAGGAAGTGAGCAAAGTAGACAGTCCATTTGAGGAAGCTCCACCATCATCCATGCCAAGGCCAAGAAGATCGAGCGTAGTAGGCTTGTTTCCAAACAGCGAGGATGAGCCAATCATGGGATTAGTCAAGCCAGAACTACCATTTGAGGGAAGGCCAAGGCCAAGACCAGCTGTCCCCCAATTGCTCTCTGATTTAACATTAGGTTCTTGATCAGCAGCGGAAGTTGATGATACTGCCAAGCCTAGACCACGGAGAAGGGAAGGGTTTGATGCCGCAACACCCATTTGGGCAGCCTTTTGTAGCAATGCAGTAGCAGACATGGCTGGTTGCGGAGACGGAGAATAATGGCAATGGTCATGTTCAGGTCCAGTGAAGATAAAGGAGCCATTGTTGGAGAGGTAGAGAGGAGAGGAAAGAGAGAGGGATGTGCGCTCTAAGGGTGCCGTTGATTGAAGGATAGAAGATGGTGCTGGTATTTTGGCTGGTTGGGAGTTTGGCGCAAATATGCTAGCGAAAACATTGCTGTTTGAAGTAGAGGTACTAGTTGCTGCTAGAGTTGGTGATGAAAGTCCCCTTGGATTTTCTGTACGCATATATACAGTAAAAAAATAAAATGAGAAGCCATTGAAGAGAACTTGCAAAAAGGAGGATATAGAGAAAATACAATGATGATGAGGATATAGAGAAAGCTTTTCATTATGGCCTTCTCTTGAAAGCTTTGAAAAGTAAAAGCCAAGGCAATTATGGCTTCCTTTCTTGCTCTCAGCTCAACTCTTTTCCCTTTTCGATCGTTGAGCTTACTTATTGACACTGTAACCGTCTTGCTCGTGAACCCAAAACGAAACTGAACATCTCTCTCTCTCTCTCTCTCTCTCTCGTCACCTACCACACTTGTTAGGTTCTCTTAAGCCTAAATATCCAAACGAGAAAGGACATGAAGAAGAGACAAAACAGAGCCATTAAAAACCAGAACTTCATTTGAATGGACGATCATCTTTCTTCACCCATAATAGAAAAACAAAAACAATTATTAAAGAAATAAGCTCAACTTTGACCTATCTAAATAAACAAAAACAAAAATAGTGACAAACCCTGTATAAAAGTACACAATATAAAAAGACACATAAAAATTTTACCTGTACTATGGATTGACAAACGCGGTGAAACTATACTAGTAGTAGACGGTGTTAAAGGTTGCGGTGGTGGCGACGTTGCAGCAGCTCCTCCTCCAACCACATTTTTCCCATTCCCTTTTGTATTAACAATCGCTAGCGTTTGAGCCCTCGCGCTTTCTGCGATGCGTCTTTCCTCAGCTAACGCATCGCAGAAAGCTCTATGCGTCCTAAAACTATCCCTCCTTCAAGAAGACATCATCATCGACAGTCAAAACCAGAACCACAAAAACGCAACGTAAAAGGTGAAAGGGAAAACGGATGAGTTTGGCTTATACCTAGAAAAGATGGTGCCACAATCGCATTTATATTCCCGGGTGCCGCATATCTTAATGTGGGCCTTCCAATCGGACTGAACAGCGTATCTTTTAGAGCACCGCTCGCATTTCCATTTCTTTTCCCCGTGTTTTCTGCAAAAGTGTTTCTTGATACCGGTAAGATCACCGAGGGCTCGAGCTGGGTTGTGGTGAACGCAACTTGGCTCAGGGCACACGTAGACTCGCTTTCGAATTTCTTTGCTGGTTCTTTGCCGTAACTTCCATGGTAAGTTATGGCCCCGTCGGTGAAGTTGAAGGTTTTGATCGCGTTGAAAGCCTTTGTTGCAGATCTCACAAACGAACCGGTTGGTGGCTAATAGGGTTTTTGGAGATAAAGCTATTACCTCAGCATCTGGATCTGAATGAATCAAAAAGAAAATTAAAAAACAAAAAAAGATGATTCTTTTTTCAACATTGCGAGACAAAAAGAAAGACAACCTGGAGATTAAAATTATTGAGATTAAAAAATGGTGGACTTTGACTGTTCTTATAATTCACCTGGCATCCCAGGAAGATTTCTTTTCTTCTTCAGTGGTCCTCCTCCTGTTGGTTGAGTGCCTTGAATCTGATTACCCGAAGAAGACGCACTTGCTTCTCCAGAAGCTGTAGAAACCGTCATTGGTGACCAATTCTCAAGCTCCACCAGGCTTTATTTACTTTAAAACCCTATCAAAGACAAACAAAAAAGTTCTTGTTTTTGTTGCCAGTTCTTTTTCAGCTCAAAGAAACAAAAACCCAATTTTAGTTGGAAAATACCAAGCTTGGATACAAAAATTCACCGCAAATGATGGTTTGAAATTCAAAGGTTATGATTGTTTTCAGTTTTCAAGGAAAAATAATGGAAACTTGCAAGAAAAAGGCAACGTATTTTTATGCCTAAATGAAAGCCCCGACTCAACTAAGTCGTCGAGTCATGACCGTAAGAGCACGGTGAGGCCCCATATGGCGGCTTCATGTCCATAATACAGAGAGAGAAAACAGTGAAATACATAGACATTGAAGAGAGAATTGAATGAAATGGAAAAAAAAAATTAAAACTAACTAAAAACTAGTTCAAGCGGCGCCAGCTTTAACCATGGTTAAGCTTTTGGAAACTATGGAATATTTAACCATGGTTAGGACGTCAGCTCCCCTTCAACTCCACGTCTCAACTCTTCTGGTTGCGTTTCCAAATATGACCGTCCACGTGTCACCTTTCCCACTTGCTGACATTTGTCGGGAGACGTCGGGTTTAGGCGGTGCTGTCGATTTGTCGTTTAGTTAAAAAAAAAAAAAAACCCTATTCCTCACATTTTTTTGAAACCTTTTCAGACATCAAAAGTCAATTATACCCCTGCCAAATTTCACCTTCCTCAGAGACGACACTTTGCTCAACGTGTGTTTTGCCCAACTGACTAATAATGATTACGATAAGAGTATATTATATTATATTTTTTCTTTCTTCGATTTTGAGAAAAGGAAAAAAAATCGAATATTTGTCTTTGTTAAGGAATCAAGCTAAAAGATCACGTGTTTTGTTTCTAGATGGACGAAGAGTGCAATTGATTATTATAAAATTAAAATTATTATTATTATTATTATTATTATTTAAAAAATTTATAAGAATTTTATATTAAATAATTTTATTAAAATTAATATTTAAGTTAATTAGTAATATGATAAATTTAATTATATCATATTAAAAATATGATGAAATTCAAATTTCTGTTAAAAAGTATAAAAGAGATATTTGATCGTAAAATTATAGATTTTCAAAGAAAATGTGATTTTTAAAGAAGTATGATATTTGAAATTTTTTTTAATTTTAAAATATTTTATATTTATATTCACTTATTTAATTGAGAAAATTCATGTATATTAATTATTAAATAATTATCATAATATCTTTTACATATATGATGATAATTATTAATTTTTATTAATAATAAATACCCAAATGATAAATTATGTCTTCAATAACAAAAGAAAATAAATATTTTTATGATTATTATTTTTATTTATAAAATATCATCAATAAAAAAAATTAGAGATTATTATCTTCAATATTTTTAAAAAATAAAAAAATTATTGAAGATGTTTTTAAATAAAAAATATTTTAAATAATCATTTTTATTTTTTAAAAGATATTAATTAAGATGATTTTATATAAAAAAAGTTTTAAATAATATTTTTTGAAAAAATTATGATATTGTTTAAGATATTTTTTATCCAAAAATACTTTAAATAGTTCCATTTAAAAAATAAATAAATTATTTAATACATTTTTTATCCAAAAATATTTTAAATATTTTTTATTAAAAAATATCAAAAAATTAATTAAAGTGTTTTTTTTTTCAAAAATTCGATGAAATCTAAAACCCTGAAATGGCTATCAGGGTGGCAAGTTTGTTAAGTACGAAATTTTTTTCACTTTCTATGGAACAAATAATAATAATAAAAAAAAAGAAGTCTTTGCTTGTCTCTATTGTAGCACGTATGTTACAGGATTTTGGTGATGACAAATGTCCTTGAAGCCCTCATGTTCTTCCAAGGCAAAGTCCTTGAATTTTGATTCTTCTGCAAATTTTCAGGGTCTTTGATTCCCTGTTTCATGAATTATCACGCTTCATGATGTTTCAGATTCAACATCAGCATACTACCTCATTCCTAAATGATTAGGCCCATTAGGCCAACGTTCTTCTTTTAATATCACAGTTAATGTATTTCCAGATTTTTTTCCAGTTATAATTTTCTTCTACTGCTTTTAAAATTATACATTCTTATATTATTTTGGTCTATTGAAGATTTAAATTGAAATAAATTTTGTATTTTCAATGCTAACGATTAAAATATATTAATAAATCACTATATTATAGTTTATCTGATAATATTTTTTAACAACATAAAAAATTGAAGAGAAATTTCATGTTTGGTGCCAAATGAAGAAACTTTGTTCAACATATTGATAAAGGCCAAGTAAAATTTGTCTTTACGTGGAAAAAGGCCACCGACTTCTGCAAAAGTTGAGATTCAATTGGAGCAGCAAGAATGGCAACATTCTTTTAAAGCGTTGAAATGAGTTGAGTTTGAGTGAGCCAGCGCTGGGCCGCTGGCTTCCACAGCCATTCATATCGCAGACACTTGGTCAAGGCTGGTCCCTCATATCATGGATATGGACGGCCTAGATTTAAACATCCATTTGTTAATTTCTTGTTTTATTTTGTTTTATTTTATTATTATTATTGAAAATGTTATTTAATTCATTGTCTTCTAAAGTAGTAGGGCCATGTATTAGTAGCCATAATCCTCAAATTATTGAACCAAGGATAATGATTTCATAGGGCTTTGAAGTTGCACGTCCAACCAAAGCAAAGTATGAACACAAAAGTGGGGTTTGCCAATTATAATTTCTTTGAAAACATTAGTGCGTTACCTTTTTTAATATCAACTAAAAAATATGAAGCAAAGTATGAAGTTGCATGCAACTTTTTTTTTTTTTTTACGTACTTGACGAATAGGCATTTTAGGGTGTATGCTGGTTTGGATAGGCTAGAAAAAAAAGAGATTTGTAAGAGTTGAGATAAATTGAGCGTGTATTTGGATTTTATTATATTTTTAATGTAATACGATAAATTTATCGTATCATCAAATCAAAATATTAATTTTAATAAAATTCATTAATCATAAAATTTTCAATAAATTTTTTTAATTATAATTACAATAATTTTTGTTATTATTTTTAATTCCATCTTTTTTCCAAACGGAGCTAAGTATTTCAAATGTGGAGCCATGCTTTGCATTAATGGATAAGATTTTTTTTTCATTTTTGCCTTTTCTTTACTTTTAATTAATATGTTATGTATCAACACCATGTAGTCTGAAATCCTCTGTTATTCTTAATTTGATGAAAAACCCTGGTTGGCTGTTGGCTTTCCCTGTCTTTCAAATAAATTAAAATTAAATGAAATCCCATTGCATTCTTTTGATATTGTCCTCTCAATCTCTGCCCCTGTAAGCTATATCGAGCTTGGAATAGTAAATGAGGGGAAAGGTAAATGAAGACAAAGAAAAATCAAAAAGCTTTGGTTGCAAAAGAGGAAGGAGGGGGGGAATTCACACTCCAAAATTTATCATGAGGTAAAATTAAGCAATCTACTTTTAACAGGTTTCAGGTCGAAGAAAACCTGAGAATTGGGTTTTTATGATGATGATCATCTTCAACAACAGGAATGCTTTTCAAGTTACCTGCTGCAAATAAAGAAATGTGAGGTGATGAGCATTTGTCAAAAAGTAAAAGTTAAAAAAAAAAAAGAAAAGAAATACTAGTATTGAAAGACAGGTCGGGGAGTAATCATCATTTAAAAAAAAAAAATTCCAAGGATAGGTTGTTGAAATTTTTATAAAAGAATAAAATATATCATATTTAATAATTTAAAATAAAAAATTAATAATTATGTATTTAAAATGATTCTTGCAAATAATTATCGATTAATTTTAAATTTAAATTTTTACATCAAAATGAACTATTCTTTATTAATCAAGTCAATTACTTATCGGTAATAAGTTTATCATCACCAATTTGATAAACCTTTTTCCTTTTCCCGATTCCATTGGCACTAAGATGCAAAAATGTCCACCTTGAGTCCAGACAGGCACATTCACCTTCTCCCTCCACCTCAACATTTTTTTTTCCTTTACAAAAGATTTGCCGACAACTACGAGCCAACTTTGTCTTTGTGACATTGCGGGTCAGATTCAGATGCTAGCTTAGCTTGGAGTGGATGAGTCAATAGCTTTGCCTTTTTGCATCAAGTTTTTAGTCTTTGGCCCTATTGCTTTGCCACCACCCTACAATATCCACAAATCTATTGCAGCAGTACCAGGTTTAGAGACCAAAGAGTTTATTACCCCACTTCAGATCTACATTGACCATTCGGCATTGGCCAGCAACCACTTTACCAGATCTGTGTTAACATAGGTCGAAATTGATTCCGATAAAATTAAAAAAAACTTTTGCTTCAAAGTTGGACACTGAGTTGCAACAAAGATAACTTGCATCCAAGCCCACACTTTATTCTGTGGATTCAGATTCAAAAATTTTCCACAAAGTTGGGCTTGGGACCATTCTCTTTTTTAATTTTTGGAGGTGTGGAATGGGAAAAGGGGATCGAGAGAGTTGGGATGGGGAAGTGAAAAAGTACCTATTCGGAACTAATGCAAAAAGGAGAGAATCTTCACAAACAACGAACACGACTCTGACTACTATGAAACATGATGAGTGTTCTTCAACCTGGTGGAAAATTCATTTGGACCTAAGGAGCAAAGCCCATGGACGCCAAGACCAAGGGCTTATACAAGTATTGATGAAAACAACGAACACGATTCTGACTACTATAATACAACTTTTTATAAGTTGAGATTACAGAATATGGCTACAATAAGTGGAACACAAAAGCTTTTTTTTTTTTTTGTTGGTGTGTGTGTGTGTGTGTGTTAGAACAGTTTCAACAATAGCTACAATAGTGCAATGTTCTAAAATTTTTCCAAGGAATAGCTACGAAAACAGTGGACAATACTGATGAGACATGCATCGGTTCACCACATTATAACAAAGTTGTAAGTAAAGCCACATCAAAGTAAGATTTTCAACCAAATAATTCAAAAAAATTTTACACTGAGATCATCATTGCAATCCGTCAAGCCAATGCCACTCCCAACTTTAGGATAGATGCCTGAAATTTAGGGAAAAGAAAGAAGTATTAAATAAGAGTGCATCTGTTATAGTGGTCGACGCCAAACTACTGATAAGATTAACTGTTGCATTAGCTGTCGAGGAAACACATAAGTTTCATGTTTTTTCCAACAACATCCAAATAACAGAACAGTTTGGTTTCGGCAAGCCATACAACAACGTCACAAACACAGTTCTAATCTTCCATAGCATCACTAACTTAAAAAGCAGTCTTCAAATTTACGTTATATCATATGAAGGTAACAATATTCAGTACATAACCTCAAAGTATGTTTCAAAACATCATTTGCACTATCCAGATGTATAAGGCAATCAGCAAGTAAAGAACATTAATTTCCCAATCTGGATTTAAGCAAGTTTTCAAAGAGGAAGGAGTGAAAAACAGAAAATTTGGCCGTATCTGATTCTAATTCATCTACAGTCTTGATTCATCTACGGTCTTGATTTATAATCCTAATTTTTCAGGGAGATCAATCAGCTTCAACAATCTCTAAAAAGCTTATAGAACTACATTTTACGATCCCTCATTTCCTTATTTCATCTCTAAATTATTTCTAAAAGAGCAACACTAAAACAAAGTCAAATTCAGCCTTACATTCACTGGCAAATGCAAACAATAAACTGAACTAGAAGGAACTTAAATCCACATTTCTATGACAAACAAAGCACAAGGGGATCAAGACTTGTAACTACAAAAAATATTAGGATGAGGAACCAAGTTCTAGACAATAAAGATTCTGTCAATCTCACAAAATTATTTCTTCTATGAAATGGAACCAGAGGACAAGGCAAGGGATCCACCTCTTGCAGAACTCAGTTACATATTGCAAGCTGTTGTAGAAGATGAACCACATTAACACAATCACCAAAGTATCTACTATGGTTTAGGAACCGGCAATTGGGATATTATAATGGTACATAGACTTAAAAACTGGTGTGGTGAACAAAGAAGCTAATATGACCTCTGACTCCATTCTAAACTCACAGATAAGAAAGCCAAAAAAATTCCAAAATTTAAACATTACATAATAAGAAAGCCAACCAAAGACTTAAATTGGACACAGCCAATCGGAGAATACTAGAAAAGAAAAACAGCTCCTTATATAACAAAACAGCAAAATTCTGTCATAGGATGGCTTCCATAAAATGACCATGTTTCATCCTTTTGTTAGGTAAAGAAGAATACCGATAAAGTCATCCAAACAAATTATTATCAACCCTTACAGCTTGCAATCTTGAAAATTCTAAACCAGAACTTAAAACAGATTAAATCTCTTTAGGTAAAAAAAGAAGTGAAAAAGGATACTGAAAAGGTAACGCTCCCACCAATCCAACATGTAGAGTCCAAAAGTGACATTGTAGAGATAGATCTTGCGTTGAACCCAGTTCATATCTGTAACCCCTTAAACAAATAAATAAATGCCTGGAAAAACCATCAAAGACACAAAATATGATCGATTAAAAAAAAAAACAACAGAATTTTTAAAAAATACAAATTCATGGCCAAAGTCATTACAATGATGAAATGCTTTAAAATATATTGCCGAAATCATCTTAACTTATAATTCAATTTCCATCAGATGCAACTTCTGTTTTCTCAATACAATGGCCATGAAGCACATATTCATACATAATCATCATAAAGATGTGAGAAAACTCAATAACTCAACATCAAAACCTTATCGATATTGCTTAAATTACAGGTGCTTTGAACCAATCAAGAAAAAAAAGCAGTCTTTCAAGGAAACAAAGACAGAAACTATGCCAAAAACCACAACCAAGTAAAACCAATAACAGTAACAATGAAAATTGAAAAATATTTCAGATGTATCCACGGAGAAGAAGCTTAGGTTCTTTGTATCAAATGTAAATAAGAACTTAAATTCAAGGATTCAACAGCTAGAATTTGAAGGAAATTGAAGGAATTTTTGCGCTAATTTCTTGAACAACATAGCAAGGTAAAACAAAATCTAGAGGAAAAAAGGAATCAAAAGCTTACCACACCGATGCAAGGGCCACCGAATGTTACGCTAATGGCCGTTCCGGTTATCGGATCGAGAGGGCAGAGCTTCTCTGAGATTTGGATAGCAAAGAGAGAAAAGATGAGTTTTTGGTCTTTAGCGTTACGGTCAATGAAGACAGCAAATAATTTTCCTTAATAACTTAAATGACAGAAATGCCCTTATTGCTGACATGGCAGTTCTTCAAGAATTTTAGCCTCTTGGGCAGGATTACCGACTATGAAAGTAAAATTAGTAATAAAATTTATTATAATTGTGATTAAAAAATTAATAAAAATTTTATATTAAATTGATCTTATTAAAATTGATATTTGAATTCATCTTGTAAGGCAACGAAGCCAATCGCAATGCACGGAAGATAGGGTAGAAACCAAACCTAAGCTTAGAAGAGGATTGACTTTAGCCTCCACCCATACGCATAAAAGACAAATGCTATAAGAACATACAGATTTGTGAAACTCTCCTTCAAAAAGGAAAATGTTTAAAGTTTTTGCATTTGTTCTTTGTTTATGTTACTAAAAATTAAAAATACAACAAGGCAGGTTCAAATGACTTGACAATATCTTATGAACAGCCAAAGCACAATCTAAAAGAACCCCCCTTTAAGTCGAAGTTAAGGAAAACCGGTTTTAAGAGTCAACTGTTGTCATGATCCACAACTCGGCTGTTCACAGAGAAACTCTCTTTTCTTTTAGAAAAGCCAGGAGATTCCAGGGTTGAACCCCTGAACTTTAGCTCTGGAGCAGCTCTATAATGGGGATCAACAGAAGCAGGTCTAGAGCTGGGATCAGCAGAGTTCGGCCTGAAAGAACCAGTTGTTCCACCTGGATATGCAGGAGATGCATACCTTCGACCTTCAAGACCACTGCTTCTCAAGTCCACAATATCAGCATCTCTTGAAGAAGAATCTATGAAAGACCTGTCCCCACTGCTAGATCCTAATGTGGCCCCATTTGTAGCTGATGTGGAGCTAAAGGGTTCATCTGGTCCCCATGAAGTAAGTGCCTCTTTCTTCTTTGCAAAGAATTGCCATGCCCCAAATAAGAAAAGTATGAAAAACAGCACAGGGCTGGTCGATAGCATTGTATTAGATTCCCCTTTCAAAACTGGAAGGTTAGAGCGATACATTCCCACATACTCTCCTCCGAGTCCAAGAACAACAAGCCTTTCACGATCACTGGCTATTAATGGCATTACCTGTCTTCTCTCTTTATTTGTATCCATCACTTGGTAGGTTAAGAAAGATGACCTGATCTCGTCCAAACTGGCAGAGAAAAGAGGCCGTGGCGCACCAGACCTAACATAATGCAGGGTAGAAACATTATACACAAAAACCTTTTCTGGATCAACAATAAGCAAATATCCCTTAATAGCCTGAAAAGCAAGAGGCTTATTCATTTCCAACTTTTTCTTGGACCTTACCCTGCACTTGAAGTTCATCATATCGCCCAACAGCAACACATGAATCAAATTACCATCTGATGTAAAACCATATGCTTTAGACCGCTCTGTTGCATCGAAGACATAATACTGAGCAAGAGAATGATTCAACCCTTCACATTCGGATTCCTTAATTTTCATGCTTCGCAAATCCATTGACCCAGCACCAGTCTCTGTCAAGAACAAAAGCCTTTGCTTCATGAACACAAGAGGCCTACTCATTGGCATGGCAGAACCATAAAGTGCTCCATTTTCTCTAAATACCCTAATTTTTCCACTTAGATCCGTAGACAAAATATACCTCATTCTTCCAACATGATGAACTTCCAATATGGTTATTGGCAACCCATCTTCCCCGCTTTCAGAAGCTACATATTTACCAACAGTTTCCATTACAGGCGAACCTGATTCTTCTCCATTCAATCCTTCATAAATTCTATGTACCAAGATCACACCATTTTGATGTCCTGTAACGACAACACTCTCATTCTTATAAACAAACATGTATGAAACCATTGCCATAATTGGCGACTCGCACTTGGTGTAAAACTCGGCCACAACATCCCCATTCCTTAAAAACACATAAACCTTTCCTCTTTCGTCCCCAACAGCAACATACTTACTAAGTCCCTCGTAATCACGAAACGGTAAAATGTTCATACATGTTGCATCAGAATCTAATTTAACAGCTGACATGAATTGAAACCTCTCAGACCAAAACGGACTGTATTTAGTAACCGAAAGAGCCCTTCCTCTCTCCCCACCATCTCCAACTTCAACTTCTTGAATATTCGCTTTAACATCATATTTTCGTTGACTAATTTCGTCTGTCTTTCCAAAACCTGACTTTGAGCTGTCAACACTACGCCTGTCATCAACTTTTGAAGACTCTGATAATTTGGATTCTAATCTAGAAACTACTTCACTAAGATTTCTTACTAACTCTTCAAGTTTATGTAATAAAACTTCCTGGGGATTAAAATCAAGTGAACTCCGAGGTTCAGGTTCATGATGAGGAATCTGATCGTGGCCATGCTCGTGTTGGATTGGGACAGAGTTAGAGTTTACAAAAGCTATTAGAAGTGGTGGTGATGTAAAAACGAAAAGAAAAAAGAAGAGAAAAAACCTGCCTTTGTGGGGATTTGCCATGTGAAGGAAAAGCTTGAAGACTTTTGATTCAATGCTTTGCCATTATTAATCAAACCCTGTCTGAATTGCAGATCTTACCAGTGTTTTTTGGACCTGGGTTTGGATAATTTGATGAATCTGAAGTGGGAAGATTGAAGAGATGGCTAGTAAAGACACTACTGTTATAACGTTTTGACTAGCGTTTGTTCTGTGTAGGACGAGTTAGGGCAAGCAATTCGGATTTCCAGGCAAAAGAAATATATATATATATAAAGAGTATGATTCAGTCAGCTTATCTACCTGTAATTTTGTCGAGACCCAATTGTAGCAGGACACGTTAGTTAAAAACAAAAACTTAGGACTTTTGAGTTTTGGACCATTTTCAGCCTCTTGAAATGTTTTTGTCCTGCATTTGATTTTCACCACTTGAATTTTACTTTAAATTTAAAATTCGAAATTAATCTTAAATTCGATCAAATTTTATTATTTTAATTTAAATTAGATTTAAAATAAAAATTAAATTTATTCAATTAAATTTAATTTTTACAATTAATTATTTATATTTGAATTTAAAATATTTTGTTAATTAAAATATATTAAAATATAAAATTTTAATTAAACTTAAAAATTATTTAAATCAAGTAAAAAAATATTAAAATTTAATTTTATCAACAAATTGAAATATTCAAATTCAAATTTGATTTGATAATAATTAAATCAAATTTTAATTTTAATCAAATTAAATTTAAATAATTTACGAATATAAATATATCATTTACATTCTTAATTTAATCCTAAAAAACAAATTATTTGATTACTCTTCTTGTTTGCTGAGAGAAGCCATCAAGCCAATGCAATATTAATTTTACGACCTCCGACATTGTATCCACAGGGTCAAATTTAGCAAAAGTTAACGCACAAATACATCCATCGCATTTGATATCAAATGTTCGGTGCCGAAATAATCTAGAGAGTCTTTACAGATACATTGGCTTTATGTCCCGTTGATTTCTTTTCCAACTTGAATGCAGCAAATATGGATTCAGTGTGGCCAACAATACTATTACGAGTGCAGTGAGTTGCATGCAGCGAGGAACGCCTTAATATTTCCAATAATTGAGCTCTTGAAGTCGTTTCTGTTTCATTTTTTCTAGGTGGAGCACTTGATTTGATTTGTGAGTTGCTAAACTTGGCTGATGCAGTTTTCGTTGGCCGATTCTCCTTTTGAATCTGGCATTTGGAAATGAATCCAATTAAAAACAAAGATATTTTTAGAAATGGCAGCACAGCTACAGCAATTGAATGTTTGCATTGAGATCAGATTGTAATTATTTAGGTCAGTTAACTAACAAAAAGCTTTCCTTTTTGTCCTTTTTTCATTGCATAGATAAACAAAATTTTGTTATTGCAGGAATCAAAACAATTTCCAGACTTCATACATTTATTCAAAAGTGAATTAAAAATGGCAAAAGCTACAAAATTTGCAGTAATTAAGCGTACCACATCTGAAGAATTTTCTGCCATTGAGACTGTGCTTTTGCTATTACTGTCTTCCCGTTCAAATACGAAAGAGCGTAAGACGCCTGATCCATTCTTGCAAGATGATGGTATAGAACAATTTGAACCCCTACCTATGAAAGATGACTACAATATTTACCAAAGATAAAGTAAAAGTTAGTTGTTTTAAAAATTGAAATCCAGTTCTACAATGTTCCACTCATCCACATATAGGCATATGATCACAAAAAAAAGGGATGACTAAGATCCTATTATGCTTATGGTGTAAAAGCGAGGATCCTATCATGCTTGAGATGAGAAGGAAACATCTTATCAGGGAGATAAAGGACAGCTTCAATAGCCCCCAAATGGAGTTGAAACTAGATGCTAAATTATATTAGAAGCCAAAGAAGCTTGCATCAAATAGAATGGGCATGAAGCACAGTTATACAGCAAAATCTGGGAGTGAAATCAACGAAAAATAATCTGTTAGATTATTGCACGCTGAACTATATCACCATTAGAAGCTACTTACATTAAAAGCCACTTTGTTCAAATCATCACAGTTTCTTATAAGAAATGCCAACCTACTCGATATCCAGAGGCTGCAAAATAACTCACCTTTGAGGACGCATTCCCATTTTTTCCCATGAACAGCATGTTAGAAAAGGCTGCCAAAATCAAGATCGGTAATGGCCATTAGAAAATGTTATTTATAGCAAGACAACCTCGGCAGGGAAAATGCAAATAGCTTTATCAAAGATAAATTTGTTGACAAGAAGCTTACATGACGTTTTGGCTTTTCTTCTGGTGTCAGGCATATCATTCACCTTCTTTATATAACCAAAGAGCTCTTTGGACTTTGCATCCTCTATTGGTGGCAAGAGCTCAACCTGCTGATTCTGTTGCATGCCACTTAATTTAGTTCCTATCTCGTGATCAGAGCAATAAAGAAACAAAAGATGCATACTTGTGGAACAGAAAAAGGTTATTCATGCTCAAATCGAAAATTGCTAACAACTCACAGCTTTCTCAGACAAGCACTGTTCAACGAGTTTTTTTTCTGCTTCCTCGTCATCAGATGATATGTACATGTCATCCTTATCTGTAAACATTTGTGGTATCATTTCCTTTATCTTGTTTATATGCATGCGTAAATTTACAGGAGGAAAATCTTCTGTAGTTTCAAGAAAATCCTCTTCTTCATCATATTCATCATCTTCCTCAAATCCTTCCTCATCAAGCAGGGTTGTTTCTCTCTGCTTCGGACCCCATTTCCGCAAAAAGTGCTCTGTTTTAGCAGCATCCTGCTGATCAAGCAACTTCTGATGGAGTTCCATTCGCCTTTCAATATCACTTTGCTTTTCTTCATATCCAGTTGCTATCATATCCCTAAGCTCTTCTAAATCTTCACAATCTTCATCTTCATTATCGTCATCTTGGAAGCGAACTAAGTCATTGTCACTGTCATCTTCTTCTTCAGCTTCTTCATCAACAAATGCTTTAACTGGATCACCACTAGGTGTTGGAGACAAATCAACAGACTCTTGTGGCTGTGGATCAATGTTCTCTTTGTCATTATCCTCCTCTTCAGATGACCTACAAGAAACAAGGTGATAAATTGTACATATTAGAGCAAACAGAATTTATAATGGGCAATGATTGATTCTTTTTCAAGATAACATGAAAATAATCAAAATAAGTTGCCTTCGCATATCACAATTTCATTCCAATTCCAAGCTAGTTCTCATGTATAAACGTAAAACTAACTTAGAAAAAAAATGCTAGGCTTGTTCCATTGGCTAAACAATAATAAGCAAAGATAATGAAAATGTGGCAAAACGCTGATAGATGGAGTTGTCACACATATTGGAAGAAAGCTTCCGTAGAGAAGCACTATTCTGAGAACTAATGGTGCTATGAATGTAGATCATAAGCCCACTGAAAGTAAATGACATCATTCTCAAAACAAATAAAAGAAAAATTGCAGGATTTACATGTCATCAGGAGGAGCAGAGTCAAGCTTTAAGTTCAAAGCAAGCAATGATGGTGCCAGAACTTCTTCTAAAGGGCTAGTAGGGGTCTCCTCCGCAAGCTCATGTTTAGTATCACTTGTTTGGGAATCGGAAAATAGATCCTAGAATATGCAAAGAGACAAGCAATTAGATTTCATAAGTGGCACTTCTTTAACCAATGAGATATGAGAGGGAGAAAAGAAACCTGAGTATCATTTACAGGAGCTCGAAATGTTTTTTTGGGTTCTTCCTCACCAACAGCCTGTAATTAACAGGTGGTACCATCAGAACACAAACAAGTCTACCTCAACATGATGCAAAAACTCATCTGACCTGAATTTATCAGACTGACAATCACATGCAATTTAAGCATCACTACAAGAAACATCATTCCCCAACGTCAAAAGGATGCAAGCTCATACACTATGCAATTGAAACTTAACATATACCAAAATTTGCTCATACACTATGCAATTGAAACTTAACATATACCAAAAATTTGATAGCAAAACGTTAAATCATAAAATCTATGTAATTTCAAACATGCAATAATCAGATTCATTGTTAACATACAAAATGAATAACTCACAATCTGTGGCAAAAGATTCTTATGACTTGAGACATTCACAACATTCTTTATTTCATCAGCACACAAGGTATCTGAAATCCCATGATTTGAAGTTGCCTTCTCACTTTCAACTTCGATAGGCCTTTCATTGCCTCTCTCCTCGTTAGCAACATCTTTTAGTTCAAGCTCCACCATATCGTTGCATGAATTACCATCATGATCATCAACAAAAAAATGTGTCCTGCCAAAAGTGGCAACTTATCATAACCATCTTGGCAAAACGTGTAAAATATCTATAAGACTTCAATAGGACCAAGCCTGAGTTACCATAAAGGCAAAAGATAAAGTTCATTACTCACTTTTTTGAAACCTCAAGCTTCCTTCGTCGAATCTTCTCCAAAATTGATGATATGGGTTTTTGAACCAATGGTGCTGGCTTAAATGCAGCATCTCTAGTGTCTAACCCAAAGTAATACATAAGTCAAGAGTTAAAATATTACTAATTCAAATCTGTTATGTAATTACAAACATAAGTTTACATAAACCAAGCTTGTTTATAATACCTCGTAGCAGTCTTTGAGATTCAGCACGAAGTTGGGCAAGATGTTCTCTTCTTTCCTGTAAAAAAAAAAGATTGTGTTATATTGTTATTATTAACCTAAAAACAAGAGAAATATGTCTCCGTACCTTGGCTGTTCTTCTTTCTGGTAACATGGGCATCTCCTCATCGCTGACACCTTTCACTCTCTTTTTCTTTTTCTTCTCTTTACTCTCCAGTTCATCAAAACTGTGTCGCTTCTTTTCCGGTTCCTTCCTTTCTGAATCCCTAATTTCCAACTCTTGGCTCGGATCTTCACCTTCTCCATCAACTTGCTCGTTCAGGGAATCAAAATCCAACGTCCGCTTAGCAACAGAACCTAACCCGTTTTCCTCAACCCGTAACTCATCAAAGCCGGAACTCAATTCATTTTCATCTTCAGAACCGTCGAACCCAGATCCCGATTTCGGATCCTCAAAAGCTTGGCCTTTGGATATGTCGAAATCTAGGGCTTCAAATTGGGACGGATTCTCCACAACCGCTTTGACCTTCTTCAATCGTTTTAACTTTCTTTCTTGAACAGGAGAAGATGTCTCGTCGGAAGGCGAAAGTAGTTCTAGATCCTCGTCGCTGCCCATCTCGGCGGCTCTCATCTCTTCCCGGACGTAGGCGGCGGAGAGAATGTAATGATTTTGTTTGATTGATATGAAAGGCGTAGAGGTATGTGGATCTAAGACTGGTTCGTGAAAACTTATAAACTGGAGGCAAAAGTGGGATGTAATGGGATGAAGGCGGCAAATGCATTTAAAAGTATTTTTGGGGACAATTGGGAAGGGGCGCGATTTGTTTTGGATTGGCTACTGAATTTGAAGCACTTCGATTTTATTGAATTTTGGATCTCAAGTCAAAAGGCTCTTAATTTTCCTTGAAGGCCCTCAAAAGGCCTGCTTCATTTTCCGCTTCCAGGAAGCATTGCAAAGCCCAAATTCCAGAGCACGTTCCAGCAAAGCAGCATAAGTTTGACCTGATAATTTCAGGGTTTATATAGGTACCAATCAGAATCCGAGTAGATAAAAAGTTTGCATTAGCTTGAAAATGAGCCGAACGTGAGAGTGATAAGGGTTTATATCGAAATGAATTCGGTACAATTTTTTAAAATATTTATTTAATATTATAAATTATAAAAATTTAATTTGATTTATCAATTTTTAAAAATTAATTTTTTAATATTATTGTAATATAAAATTTTAATATATTTAAATAAATTTTGATAAAAAAATTATTATTTTATAAAAATATAAACTATATATAAAAATTAATACAAATTTATAATTTGATTTAATTGGATTTTTTTAAATTTTCTCCTTTCCATCTAAAATTTGATTTAAACTTAATATATATTTAACATCCAAATTTAATATTAATCAAATTAAAAAAAAAAAAAAAACTGATCAGAATCTAATAATACGCTTTTAAATTGGCTTTCAGTTTTTTTTTTTTTTTTCTAACCTCTAGCCGATGGTATGCAACCTAAACTTCAACAAGCTTGTTCTCACATCTCAACACTCCTTGAGCAACTACTTGCGTGATTTCCTTCAATCTTCACTTCACAAGCCAAGTCTAAGAGAACTACAAAAAAGTCTTTCTGGTTTAATGACCGGCGTATTTTCATCATAAAAGGGGAAAACAAAGTCTAACAAATAACAACGTCTTGCAAGAATGAGGACCAGATATTCATAATTTGATAAATAAGTAATACAAGTCTGGTATAACCAACACAACAGAGCTGTCATTATCCAAGTAATGAGCCCACCAAAGACCGGAGCAAAACCATGTTTTGAAACTATTGAAGGCTTAAGTAAAGCTGTTTGTCCAAATGTATATAATTCAAACACGCAAATGGATAAGAATGGAGAACAAATCACATTTCCAAATCCCAGGTACTCTCAGCAATAATTTTGGGGATCTTAGATTCTTCAGCCAGGTTGACAGATGCTGAAATCTGGGAAAAAAAATAACCATGGTTAGAAATCATCTCAGGCAAGGATTAAAGTACCTTACATCAAGTTGTTAGATCAATAACTAAGAAGTTGTCATGTCAAAATATCGTATTAAGTCAGCAAACCTTAATTTCTCACCAACAGAGAATAATTCAACATACCATGTTTATAAAACTCTAAACAATTTTAACAAGTTTCAGTATTATTCGTACAATAGGAGTTTTTGCTCCATTTTTTTTCTTTTTCTGACACAAAATCACTAAAAGACTCTACAAGTTAATTTCTACAGAAAAGAGATCTATGAGATCCAATGGCATCCTTTATCCAAAAAAAAAAATCCGGAGCATCCTGGCTGTATTCAAATTCCTGCCAATAAGTAAACAGTGAAAAGCCAATTATCTAAGAGCTTTCAACATGGGTAATTCTTCCCCTCAATCAATCTTCCGTTTCTTTCTCTTCACAACAACCAAATGGAGGGACCGAATCTACAACTTTTCTCCCATTTATATAAGAAGGTACAACTTTCCAAGCCTCATCAGTTGAACCAAGCAATATCTAACATTGCATAATCAAACCTATCTGACAAAGCAAGTAAGAAGAGACTACAAATTGAGTCAGAAGCTTTCTTATATAGAACATTATTAAATTAGGCAGAATTTTCCCCTGTTTTGGATTGTTGCCAATGTCAAAATTCATTTCTAGGTTGCCTCCCAAGCAAAGAAAGCAACCTTAATTGGGACCTTGTCTCCCGTCACCACAAAGGATCCTCTTGTAAATCTCCATATAGGATGGTCCTCTCTACAATACATCCACTCCTTACCAAAGAACACATGCGACCATTAATCTCCTTAGGCCAAGAAAGTAATTGTTCACACTGATGCAGTATAAGGATTGCATCAGTATGAACAGCCTCCCAATAAACCACCAGTGTCACTGCCTTAAAGCAACATGACCTCACTTCAACTTTGATATCATTATTTGGTTAGTTGAAAGTAATGAGAAACACTGGCAGTTTATCTTATTCTACAAATGCCTGGATCACTCAATAAAAGCCTTGCCTTAAACAAAAAGAAATAACATGCACATCAAGACAGACATAAGCAAAATGATCAAGCAATCCGAAGCCTTGCTTGCTTCAAGCTCTCCTCAACATTTCAAGCAGCATTCCAGCTGTGAGTTGCAATGACTACATTCTACATCCTCTTCAAAAAACATAAGATTAAAGTCTCTAGTAATTGGAGAATGTAAGGAAACAACAATTATCTACTTATCTTCCTTAGAACCACAACAAAAAGCTGTCTTTTAAAAAACATCCTCTTGCAGAAAATGTCTTCTCAAATTCAAACTTCATAATCTTCATATTACTTCAGTTTTCATTCTTCCACTCAATTCCGTCCTCGTATAACATAAATAGTTCATTCCCACCAAATTCTTTACTTAAAATGACCCGTAGCTTAATTCACCAAATGCATAATAAAACGGGAAAGAAATAGTATTTTGAAATGCAAGTGTTTAACCAGTTATCCTATGAAACCTTAATTCACCTCTGCCCTCTAAAATTATGATTTCGCTAACACATCAATCACTTCAGAAAAAACTTTTTTTTTAAGGCCCAGAGTTACATTAATTAGTTACATCAGTTTGAAAACCTGATTTCAGAATAAGAACGGCAGATTTCAAGACTACTACAATGAACCCAAACAGAACCCAAAGAGTACCTTGCAATGGAAACACTCAATTTCAATTAAAAAAAATCAAACAAAAGATAAAGGACGAAATGTCTAGGCAATTACCTTAAAAGTTCCATTAAACTTTGAATTTCTCGACCACTCCAACGCCAAATCCTTGCTCCATATCTGATACGTTGCCTTAAAAACATCGTCATATATTCTCCTCGAAATTGCAAAATCCCACGCGTTCTTTCCCAAATCATAACACGGCTCGAAAGTCGTAACCCCTCCGTGCACGTAACTATACTTGAGCTTACAGTTCCTCGTACCAAGCATGTAATTAGCCGACACCTTGTTAGCAGAATCGAATACGAGTGCACCGTCCACCACCGTCCGGTTATCCCCTCTGCCGTGAATATAAGTGAGCTTCAACGGCTTCTCCGCAACCCTAACTGAGTTCATAAACTGAAAGCGAAAATCCTACCCCCAAAAAAGTAATGCAAAAATTCAAATAATTAACAGATCAATTATTGCTTAAAGATGTAGTTTAAAGGAAATTTGATTTTTCAAGTTAAGCGTGCCTTTTTGGGGACATCATAGTCGATGATCAAGAAGCCAGGTTTTTCAACGGCTAAAGTCAAGCCGTTCAGGCTGGGACCGTTGACGACCGTGGCGTCAGTCATGGAGGCGCGTAGCTTGACATTGCCGGCGTTGACGGCAAGAGTTACAGCAGCGGTACTCTTGTCATCTGTGTATCTGCCTTTCAAAGAGGCCTTCATTTCTTTCGGAAGATACAAGGAACCGAGATAAGAGAGAGAGAGAGGTTGGTGGAACTGTCGATGGCCTTCTTTTTTTTTTTCTTTTTGGCTTTTGTAATTTTGCGTGCGGGAAAATTTAGGTAGTGTTTGGATAAAAAAACTGAAAACAGAGTTTTTTTTTATTATTATATTTTTGAAAATAAAAAATATGATTGAAATCTGTTTAATAATTAAAAATGATTACAAAATTTGAAAAAAAAAAAAAACTAAAAATGAGTTAAAATATATAAAAAAAATTTATTTTTAATTATGAAAATAAGATATGTATATATTTTTTATTTTACAAATTATCATATTTAAATATTTATAAATATTATTAATTAATATTTATTTATAATTAAATATCATTAATAATATTATTTTTTATTTTTGTATATTTTAAAAACAATTTTTATTTTCATTTATCAAATATATTTTTTATAAAAAATAAAATAAAAAATAATAACTATTTTAAAAAATATAAATTAAATATAAAACATTTTTTTAAAAACCAATCATAGCCTTATTCTTTGGGCGCATCTTATTTCAGCTAGGCGGCTCGAGCCTTCAATCGAACCGGGCTTTTCCAGTGGCCTACCTCGAGGATTATGGAATTTTGAGTCTTGATAACAAGCTAAGGAGGCAGACTAATGGGCCGGAGCCCCGTTACTATAACTTTTTGGTTTCCTTGCTCGAATTTTAAAATCATTTATTTTTTGTATTAAAGTAAAAATTCTCTCATACATCGTGGAATTTCTCCAACAGAATTAAAGAAATTACTATCATGTATCTTGTTACAATATATTTAAATAATTAATAGTGTTTAAAAAATTAAGAAATTAATATAATCAATAAAAAGATATATAACTATATATTTTTTTAATATCATAATATAAAAATATAAAATAATTATAAATATTAAAATTTAAATTTATCAAACGATATTTTTTAAAAATAATTATATAAATTAATTTAAATTAAATTTACATTCGAATAAAAATTTTATCGATAATCATAATAATATTAATAATAATAATAATCTTAAAAACTTAAATAGTAATATTATTATCGATAACTTTACCAAATGATGCACATGGTTACTTCATTTCCTATATTTGTTTTACAAACCTTTTATTCTTTCATTCACACTTCTAGAAAAGTTCACACTTCTAGAAAAGTTCATAGTCATATGATTTTTCATCGTTTATGAACTTTTAGATATTCCATTATAAAACAACATCACAATACGATTAAAATAACCTCTCATCACACTGTAAAAAAAAAAAAAAAAAAAAAAAACCTAACTTATCTCTTTCATTTATTAGGGAAAGAGATAAAGATAAAATTAAAATGTTATAGTAATATATTATTGGTTAAAATTTTTACAAAGATGGACATGGCCATGGGTTACATTGTATTTTACTTTGGTATTCGTTTACATCATGTAAAACAATGGATTTATATTTGATGCATTATATATTATCAGTAAATCGAATGATATAATTTTATTAATAAAATAAATTTGATGATAATATTTTATCAATGAATAAATTAAAAATTTTAAATTTAAATATTTATTTATTAATAAAATATTATCATTTGATTTATTGATAATATATAAAATATATATACCGATAATACATTAAATAACTCTAAAATATCATGGCATGTTTTGCAATATTAATTCGTTATAATTTCATTAGAGCACCTATAACCTTCCTGGCTAATGGGTAAACCATCTTAGCTTAACTTTTTTCAATAGCCTCACTGATGTAAGACTCCAAAGGACAGAGGACACTGGAGAAAATGATGATGCTTAATTTCTGGGCAATTAGTCACAAATGGAGGATAACAGAAAATTGATGCCATCAACATAGCGCATTATGGCAAAACTTATGCAAGACATTATTAGTATGGAGAGAATGATAATGTAAGGTGGATGAATGAAGAAATTGATGGCATCAAAATATTCATGGCTTGTCCATGGAGAAGTTTCTGCCTCTTGCAACTGACCAATTACTATTATATAACAACTAGGCATGATGGAGAAATGATAAAAAATTTTGGATATATTATATTTGTCTCCTGAATTATTACATTTTTTTTTAATATAGTATTTAAACTAAAAAATTTTTAAATAAAAATACTTAAATTTTACTTTCATGTATCAAGTTGCCCGAACCCCCTTAATACTGTTAGATAATATTAACATCGTACTTAAATGTTTATGTGAATGACACGTGATTGCCATATGATAATGATGTAGTTGTCACATGTCTTTCTAAAAAAAAAAAAAAAATTTCTTATAAATTTTAGTTTAAAAACTTTTTTTTTTATTTTTTTTAAATGACACATGATAATCACATTTTAGATCACATGATAGCTATGTGTCATCCATATCAACATTTGAATACCTCATTAATGTCATTTAACTGTATTAAGATCATATTTGGTACACTATTATGATAAGATGAGATAAGATAATATTAGATTAAATAATATCATATTTTTTGTGTTTATTGTGTACAATGATTATGATATGATAATTTATTTATTTATAAAAATTATTTTTTTTCAAAGTTTATAAAATTTAAGTTATTGATATAATTTTTAAGGATATAATTAAATATGTAAGTTTAATATTATAGATTAAAAATAATCCTCTCTATTTAAAAATAATTGAATAATACTATACAAAGAGCATATTAATCTTCATTACAATTCATATCCATATTTTTATATACAAGTCAAATATGATATAGAATAATTATATCTTATCCTATTAATAATTTTATATATCAAACATGACTTAAGGGATTGAGATAACTTCGTATGTGAAAATGAAATTTAGATACTTGATTAAAATTTTTTTGTTAAGAATCATATTTAAAAAATTTCAATAATTTAGGGGTAAAATAAGATATTATCCCAAAAAATTAACTTCAAATCCTAGAGGTCCATGGGCAGCGAAGGATTTCAGGCCAGTTGGGACTTCAGGCCGTGCCCCAGCATCAAACAGAACTTCGTGAGCTCGAAGGCTCATATAAAAGGAGCCGCTGTTTCAAGACTTTCCAGTACATCACAAGTTTTGGACTTGTTCGAGCACAGGAAAAGCTTAAAATTGGGCTCCGTTGTCTAAGATATAACGGCCCCCATCAGCCCACATTGGCCCATCATTTGATCAAATCCCACGAGAGGCCCAAATAAGGCGCCGCTGAATCAAACAGTCGACACTTCCCAGTAAAATTATGTTCATCGACAAACCCTAATTCATGTAAACCCTATTTAAACTACGCAAGCAGTCAAGCCGTTTCTCCTTTCGTTTATCAATTTTCTCCGCTTCTTTGTATATGTTTCTTTTGTTTGCTTCTTCGATTCAATTGAGTTTATAAATCCAAGTAGAAGCCTTTTAATGATGGCAAGGAATGAATGTTATCTTATCCTACACTCCGATGAACCGTGTAGATTCTAATTTCCGCCTATTGATATTCTGATGCCAATTTTTTTATTTAATTTTCATTTTTTTTTTCTGAATTTGTGGTTGGAATTTGAAAGTGAAGGCCGATGATGCAAGGTTTCTTATCCTACACACTGAAATATGAATGTAGACTAATAAACTCCGCTTATTATCTGATGCCTTGGCTTTTTATTTTAGCAAAATCAAGATCCTGTTTTTACCCTTTTTTGTTTATAAAGTTTTAAACTTTGAAAGAGTTTTTTTTTTTTTTTAATTATGAATTGATTGGAATTTTCAATGATGAGAAGAAGCAGACGGGCGGTCTGAATCTGATGCCATGTTGTATGTCTGCAATTTTCCACTTGTGGAATTTCTCTGAGTTTTAATTATATCTCTGTTTTTTATTTTTTTTTCAGTTTATGATATGAAGCTGATACAATGATGTCGCTTTAATTATGTCCGGACTTATGAATTTTAGCCTATGATTAGCTATGCATCATCTGAGCAATGCTGTATTTCTATGATGAAATATAACTCCTGAAAAATATTCAAATTTGCAAAGGTTTTACTTAAGTGGGCGGTTCTTTCTTTTAGTTGGAATGTCTATTGAGGGTTTAGTAAATATTTTGTGTTTTCATGGAAGAAAAATATCACCTGATTTCTGGTCCTTAAAATGTTCTGTGACCTTGTTGTTATGTACTTCTGTATGATGATTGATATGCATCTAGAGTCTTGTTATCAATTATGATGATTTTCATATAAAATGCCTCTGTTCACAATTATCATGATGAGTTTTCATGCATTGGATGTAGATATTTGCTTAAATGGTAATCTTAACAAGTGCTCTTATAGCAGTTGCTACCAATCTACTTTGTTTCTAAATGGATTAAGAGAGAACTTTTGCACTGATTTTCAAAGAAATTATGACCGTGTGGATGTTATGCAGAAGTTTTTTGAGACGAAGATTGTAAGATTGTGAAGACTTCGTTTCCAGTTGATCAACACCACTGGATTTTCAGCTGTGTAATCTTTATTAACATTTATGTTAGGCTGAGAGCTCTGAGCTCATGTTTGGTTTTAAGGCGATCATGAGACTTGTATTTTTCTGGTAACAGGAGATTGAAGTATTGGTTAGGTTAGAGAATAGTCAAGTACTCAAATGATTAGGGGTTCTGTAATTCTTCACTGAAGTCTAATGAAAAATTGAAACGCAGTGCGGCGATAGGGAGCCTCTCCCACGGCACTGCTGGTTCTGCCAAACGAGAAGTAATGCAATTGAAGATAAATTTAGTTGCTTTAAGTTTTACCATTTTGTTTACTTCAACAGATTGAATGTAATTCAATAGAGATCTATTAATGAAGTATTGATATTGGCTTCATTCTTTGTGTCCTTTCCCATAGCTTTGATTGATTGTCTATGTATAAACTAATCAGTACAAAATTCACGTTGTAGTTTGATATGCTAGGGTGGATGGACCGTTTTACTGATCATATTAATGAAAATACAAAAAATTATTGATGTTTGAAGTCTGTACTCTAAAAAACTGAACCGACAAACTCTCTAGTTGGGGAGCTAAGACGCAGAGCAAAATGTTTGATGTTTGTAATCTTTGACGTTGTAAAAGCCTAGCTTGTGGGCCTTTCCGCCCTAGTTGGAATCCTAATAGTGTGGCTGGTAAGCCCGTGCTTAGTGCTTGTCCTGAAGGATGGTGGAAGCCCCATAAGCCCACAATTGAAAGCTTCCACGATGCTGGATAAGCATTATGGAGCTTCCTGGGACTGGGATGGTCTTGCATATGGTGCTGGTCTTGGGTCTTTAAATCTTTTTGCAGAACCCGATGGCTCTTTATCTTAAAAATATTGTACATCTGAGACAAAGCCTGACAATAGAGTGGCTGTAATCTTTGGTTGCAAGTCACGTCTCTGGTGGTTCCCACACCATGTTCACCCTCAAGGACAGGGGACAAAGATCCGTCCTTTGTTCTTGCAATATTCATTCCTATTTCAGGACTTCAATCTGACGCTTTTCCTTACTGGAAGGTTAGGAGTTTATGATAGGGTTTTGACTTTTCTGTCACTTTATTGTACTATATACCTGTAAAATATATGAAAATTTTCTTTAGATCCCCAAAACGATTAAATTAATTCAGAGTTTAATTTGTGATAGTATTTGACTTGTTGAACCAAACCTCGGGTGGATCAAATTTCTTGACTAAAAAAATGAGTGAGGAAACATATAGTAATTGTTTAAACAGTGGATGCTATTTTAAACAATCAAATCACACTCACCATTCTTTTTCATTCTTCAAAATTCTTAAACAGGTACAGCTGATCAAAGACAAATGGAAAAACATCCAAAAAAAATTCTTATAATTAATCTGTTAGCACCGTCACGATGTAAAAGTCAACTTAAGGAAACGCGGTGGTCAAAGGGTGGTAAGACTTCAATGTCGGATCCACCAAAAAATCAAATCAGCATTGGTGGTGGTTGCCAAAAGCTAAACCGGTCTTCTCGTCCCATTGTTGTTATGACATTTCACCTACCCTCTGCTCTAGTAATACAAACTACTAATTCCTCTCTCTACTCTCAGCTCTCCTTTAGCAAAACAGGGAACTTTCAAAGTTGTGGTTGAGATTTGAAAATGAAGGACCAAGATTCACCGACAGCTCTGTCAATTGCAATCCATTCACAGCAACAAGCAACAGTAAGTGTGAAGAAAGATAGCTCTGCAGTTGCTTTCTTTGGTAAAAGTGGATATAAATTCTGGGTCTTGGCTGCAATTCTCTTGCTTGCTTTCTGGTCCATGTTTACTGGCTCTGTTTCTCTCAAATGGTCTTCTGGTGATCTTACTAGATTCTCTGATGACTCTGACTTCTCTGTCCACGACGATCTCGACGTCCTCGTAAGCAATCAATCTCTCCACTTTTTTTTTCTCTTTGGATTTTGTTTGATTTTCTTGGTGATTTGAGTCGTTTTGTTAAATAGGAATTGGAGGAAAGAGAGAAGGTGGTGAGGAAGATGTGGAATATTTACTGGCATAGCGCTAGCGTTCGTTTGCCGAGGTTTTGGCTTGAAGCTTTTGAGGCTGCTTATGAATATTTATCAAGTGATGTTCCTGGAGTTCGTGATACCGCTATGTCTGAGATTGCCAAATTATCTATGCGCTCTGTAAATCTTGATTCCCCATTGCCTCAATCAAAGGTCAGTCTCATTTTCCTTTATGTTGTTCTTTTTATATGATTTTGATCTGCCCCATAGCCTTGAATGTGATCGAAAGAACTTGGTTTTATGATTCTTTTTCTCCCTATTTGGGAAAAGAAAACAAAAGGAGGATTGTGTTGGATTTTTCTTCTGCGTTTTTTGGGTATTTTTTCTTGTCGAGTTTTATTTTAGACCTTTCAGTGAGGACTTGGAAGTTCTTACATGAGTTTCGATTGAAGTTTGAAATCCAAAGAGTTGGATCCATAATTCACTGACAATGGCTTCTCATACTTGTCATGCTGCTAGATTGTCCAGAGCAGCAATCAAGGGAGAAGGACTTCTAAACAAGCTGCTAAAAAGAAAGATATTGCTGCAACTGGGACCAACCTAAATGGGAATTTCCAGTCCTAGTTGCCATTGCACTGCAATCTCTCGTACTGCTTCAAGTTCGGAGGAAATGGCAATTATCAGAGATCAATTACAATAGCTGATGTCTGATTTTTCCTCTTCTATCGTTGAATAAGTGGGGTGGCAGCTTGAATCTTCAGATGAATTTTGTCTAGTATTAATCTCGTAACTGTTAAAAAAGATTAATGCTTCGTCAAATGTAATGTCCTAGTATTATGGACAGGAATTTTGCTTATGTTTCAACCTGCTGGAAAAATTGGAGGAGCAAAAGTGGCCTTCGTATTATTAGAAATACTTTATTTTATTCAAATCTGAAATTTCTAGATGCATGAGCGTCACCTTTTCTGTGATCAAAGTTAGACTTGCTATTGTAATAAACCTCTGATAAAAATACCACCCATTTTACGGCAATTGACATTACCTCACAAAATCGCTTGAGCAGGATTAAATTACTGCTGCTGCTGCTTGTTGCTCTATAAGGAGGTAATAAAAAAAATCCTACCTGAAAACATTTACCCAAAATTATTTACACCGATCTGCCAAAAATATTCTACTGCCTGAATCTCATCCAATGTGATCTCTCAAAAGGTCAAAATTATCAATCTTCTAATGTCTGAATCTCACCCATCATGATTCGGTTACTAACGACGTTAAATCCCAAAACAGCCTGGCTCACCTTCTTCCCTTTCTTCCCCTTCTTCTTGCCTCCCCCCTTTGAAGACCCATCCAGGCCGGCTGCAACATCCTGATCAAAGTCACCAGCACCTGTATTGCCAGAATTCACATTTCTGGCGCCTAACTCTGTGGACTTCCCGTCATTTTGACTTTGAAAGGCAATCTCAAGTACATCGGCTGGTAACAACTCCTTATAGTTGAGAAATTTTTCAATGAACTCATGATTAGGATCAAATGATCCAAGGTTCTCTACCAGAAGTATCTCAGCCTCGGATCTAGATTGCTTCAAACAGAATTCCAAGAAACTAGTATCTAGAAAAGAGACACAAGTTGGTAAGATTAAAATGCCAAAATCAATGAGTATTCACAAAATTAGAAATAGGACAAGCAGTCATTAGAAGGGCGTCAACTTAGGCCGAAAAGAGAAGCTGAAATTGAAAATCGATGTGCTCGGTATTATAACAAAAGAAAACAGGATATACAAATATTAACTTCTACCTAAAATAGATATAATTTAAAACATCATCTAAAACAAGTAGCAGAATACCAATACCTTTCGTCCCAATAAGCCTAACACACTCACTTTCACACCAATCTCTGAAATCCATGGCCTCTGCATAAAAGGATAGATACATATGTGATGTCAAATTTTTATGATAAGTAGCTAAAAGCAACAAATTTTTGTACAAAGACCATTACTCATCTTAGGATGACTTACCAGAATGCTTGGTCAATGTAGCCTTTTTCCCTTTAAGGGAAGACTGAGCAGAGGCAGGAGAGGATGACAGAGTGTGCTCGATAGGTCTGCCACCCAATGACTTCTGTCGAATTAATGCCCCACTTGCAGTTCCTTTAATAGGAGTGCTTTTTGTTCCCCAACCGCCCACGTTTGCTAGATGAGGGAAATCATATCTATTTACAACAAAACACAACAAACGTTCGTATCTCCATTTAGTTATTGCTACTGAATCTCATTAAATATAAAGTAAGGCTAAACATTTACTTCTCTCTGTTTGCAAGGATGACTGATTTAGTAAAAAGTCTTGTTTTTTATAGGAATAAAAATTTCCATACCAATTCCAAAAGTTGCAGTACTTAGCTTATTAGTTTATTATCATTTTACAAAATAAAACCACCCTCTGACTGTAGTACCTATCTGCTCTTGATAAGGCAAAAGAGGATAGCTTATTAGTTGTACTATCTTTGTAGCCAGAATGCAGTTGAAAGAACAAGAGATAGACCCAACTTTCCAACTCACTCTGGCAAGTGCAGGACAACACTTCCACAAGAGTAAAATTTTTAGTGCATGAAGTGAGTGTGTTTTCTTTTCCTTTTCGCAAAGGGGAGTGGATGGGTTAGGGAAGAGAACATACTGCTTTGTTTCTTGCTTTGTCTGATCAATTGGGCCCCAGAATAGGTCATCATCTCCTTTATATTTTGACTGAGAAGATACATGTGAATTAATCTGGACGGGAGAAGCAACCTTGGATGGTGAAGATGCAGTGATGGACAATGATGAACCACCACCTTGTGTTGACTGACTTGGTTGGGATTTCTGAGGAGTTGGTATTGGATTTGTGGGCTGGACTGAGGAATTCCTCTTCTGCTCCTTTTGGATATCTCTTAATGATGCAGGTTTAGGAAGATTCTTAGAATCAGTAGACCAAGCTGGAGCAGGGGAAGGGCTTACTTGCTCCCCTCTCCAAGGAACAAAATCTCCCAAAGAAGGACCCAATGGAATTGAAGGCAATACTTCCTTCTCCAGCTTTGCAGGGCGAGAACTTTTGCCTTTCTCAACAGGACTTGCACTAACAACAGGCACATCAGCAGTACTAAGAGGATCTGACACTTTTGCTACTGTGCCCTTTGCTTTTGCAGACTTTTTCCGACTTTTTTTAGTTTCTTTAGCCTCAAAAAAGTTGTCATCATCAATAGGGTCCACATTTGTGGTGGTAACATGAGCAGAAAAAGTAGAAATAGTGTCCGGGACATCTACATCCCTTTCACTGGATTTTGCCGAAACTTCTTCCGCCAACAGATCATGTAATGGGCTCTTTTTACTCTTTGAATTTGCAGAATTTTCAGGTTTGTCAAAAGCTGACTCAGCAATATCTGCATCTCTTTGACTTTCTCTAGAAACTTTGGGTTCTAAACTAGCCACGACCCCAGCCCAAGGAGTCGACAGACTCATAGAGTTGACAGAAGAAGTAACCTCTAAGACTGCCATTTCAGTTTGTGCCTTCCTCTGTTCTTCCTGTTGGATTTCCAATAATGACTTAGCCTTGAAACCAGGAGAATGTTTCCAAGCACGTAGTGCAGGTTGTGTTGGTGTGTTTTGCGCTGGGAAAGAACCAGAAAGTCTGGAGTCACCCTTGTGTTCTGTGGTTTCATCATCAACCACACCAACATTAGCAACCGAAGAACTTCTAGCATAGTGAGAATCCATTATGGGGACAATGGAGGCAATTCTGGATTTGTTCTCTTCCCTCTTTACTGGATATCTTCCATTAAGGTTATCTCCAGAAGTGTTTGTGTCACCAACAACTGCCTCTTCAGTTTCAGATGGTTTCAATTGCACCGAAGAGGAAGCCTTCGCAACTCCCTTTGCCTGGTCAGAAGCATGTGATTTACTAGATTTTTGCTTTCTAGACTTCTTTTCCGAAGCTTTTCTTACCTCACGAGCTTCAACATTCTTAACTTCTCTTACCACAGACAGCTGATCACTGCTTCTTTCTCTTTCAACTTGCAGTTCATCACTGGCAGCAGTGGGTTGAACACCCTCATTAATAGGTGTATCAATTTTATAGGTTCTAGGAGTAACAATTCCAAGGTGCTCCAAGGATACACAATTTGCATCATTCACTGGGGTTACAACTGGTACAATTTCATCAATCTTCTGAACACAGTCCAGTGGCTGCTCTGCTGTAAGAGCACGGGAGTCAGAAGCAAGGAGGGGCTCTTGCACAAGAGAAGCCAGCTGGGAGGATATGTTCACTTCCAATGAGTGTGAGCTTTCGACAATTGTTGTCACTGGCAAAGACTGTTGGACATCATTAACCAGTTCTGGGGCATTAGTTCCCCAGCTCTTCTGCCGATCAATACTATCAAACATCTGGTGTGGCAGATGCAAAGGAGGGGATTCAGAACTAACAGCATAACTGATATCCTTGGTAACTTGTGGAGGGAGATCCATGAAATTATTGGCATGTTCATCTTGGGTGCTTGGAAGTTGTATCTGTGAACCAATCTGAATAATATCTTGGGATGATGGCTGAAGTCGACTAGGATCCACAGATGTATTCCCTGTTGGCTTTGTAGCAGCCTGTAAATGTCCATAAGAGTGTTCACCAAAATGCTGCCGGGAATGATGTTCTTGCAAAACCTGTGAAAGCAATTGTTGTTGCAGTAACAACTGTTGCTGTTCCTCCTGTTTCTGTTGCTGCTTAAGCAACATGATCTTCTCAAGCAGTAACATCTGTTGTGTTGGTACTGGTGCCTGGGATTGTAGCTGCTGCATCAAATACTGCTGCTGCAATATATTTAGTAGTTGGGAGTCTTGAGATAAACTGGATGGGATTAACTTTTCAGGTGTTAAAATACCAGATGGGTTATCCATAGTTTGACAGAGTAAACTTGTCAAGGAAGGTGGGTTTGGAGTTTGCAGCCTCTGTTGCTGGATCCCAAAGGGAGCTTGGGTAGGAAAATTTTGAGAATGATGTAACTCAATCTTATCTTGAAGGTGATTCAAGGCACCTTGTGCAGGGAAATTTGACCAACCACCAACACTATTATTTACCCCAGGAGCAGACCTGTCAGGTAATCCTTGGAGGATGGACATCAAATCAGCACCTTGTGAACGAGGCAACTGAAGAGTGTTGTCAGTCAATGATGTGAGGTGCTTTGCGTGAGGTGTGGCTGATTCAGAGATGATCTCTGACTTTGAAACCATAGATACAGCATCTCTCCCTGGCCAATATGGGTAGGGTTTTGGTAATGACCTCTGCTGTTCAAGTGTCATTCTCTTGGCCAAGAGATAGAGATCACTTCCACTTTCTATTCCAGGCGCCGGAATGCTACTGGAATTATTTGCAAGATAGCCTAGCACACCTAAAGCAAAACCATACAAGACAAATTAAGCTGCATGTTTGAAAATACTATAAGAAAAATTGAATAAACTGAGGGGGAGAGGTTTACAGATTAAAACCCTCGAATACACTATTTTCAGAGTTCAGCAAACAAAACTATACTATAATTAAATAAAATATGTCTGTATGTCAAAACCCAACCTTGGGATGGATTGCTTATGCTACCAGACATGAGTGACTCCAAAAATCTATTCTCAGCTTCTGTTGTTGGCCTTGGCTCATTTTTTATCATATCAATCTCACTTGCACCAGTATGAACCTTCCCAAAGCTGCTAAAATTAGGCCTGTTTGACAAATCTGAGATTTCACCCTGTTTTGGCATACCAAATCCAGGTGGTGGTCGTGCTTTAGCTTGTAAGTGGGGCATTACATCACCAAGTAAGGAAAATGGTGAGTCCTTGGGTGCGTTTGCAAGGCGAACTTCTAAATCTATCCCAAAATATCCTGCCTCAAACCAGCCTATGATGTCAATCCCCGAAAAAGGGCCTTGAATTTCACCTAGAGGATCTTTATAATGAAGGAGAAGGTCCTCAGGAGCAGGCAACTTCCTAGGTTCACAATCCCTCTCTAAAACTCCAGATGGCTGTCTCTTAAGAATAGGGTCCTCACTAGTTTGCCAATTTGCTTCATCTCTGGAATAGGATGAATTCATCACATTACTTTCTCGTTGGGTAATCATAGCTTTCTGTGGTTGCGACCGGCTCATATCAGGGTTTCTTGACCCAACATCACTCGGAACCTCCTTCCAATCATGTGTGACTGTATGTGACCTTTCTCCCAATGATGAGGCTCGCCACACGACACCAGGATTAACAGAGTTAGTAACTTGTATACTTGGTTCCCTACTTAAGGGCATCTCTTCAGCTCTTCTGTAGGTACCAGTATCATCTGTAGCTGCATAAATGAATAAAAGATCAATTGTTGTTCTCAAATAGATGCATATCGAAATACAGTGGGGGAGTTATATTTCAAATCTATAGAATACAGAGTGGGGCATTGAATTTCAGACCAAAAAGAAGCTGAAACTCAGTGTGAAAAAATCTCAATCACGAATCAAATTAAACTAAACTACCAATCCATTGAGCTAACAAATGTTATCCACAATAACTAATTATCTCCTTCCCATAACAAAACTCAACTAACTCTTAATCCCCACGATAAACTGATTCAAGTTGGCTCCATAATCCTCATTTTTATTCCAACCCAAGTTCTTTAAAAGATGTAGCAATAAACTAATTTCTCATATGGTTCAAAAACTTCAACTGAGAACACTTTTCACAGCCAATGAAATAATTTGCCAGATGGTTGCCAGTGCCATCACTAAATATGGGCCAAACAGTTTATGAATTTATACCTCCGGATGTGAATTTATTATCTGCATATCCCTTAGGATTTTCAAGCGACGAACCCTCTGAGTAATTTGAATAACCGCTCTTTGGAATGTCAGCACTTTCCTCTTTACGATCATCAACAGCAAGCGATAAATCTTCTCTACTACCTACATAAACCAATTCCAGCAGAAATTAGACACTACCTCAAACTAAACACAAACTTACAGCAGTAATATATCTTGAACTGGTTGAATACCAATCTTGTTTCGTCTTGAATGAGTAAGCTCTGTAGAGTTCCGGCCCATGGGCCCATCTTTAGGCATCTGAGGAGCACCACTACTTGTTATCTCCCCTTTGTCAATTCCCTTCAGAACAACCTATCAAAAAGGCAATAAAAAAAACAGCAGAGTCTAAATCAAAGTTCACTATAATAGTAAATAAAAAAAAATATTACCATTTCATCAGAATAAGGAGCACAAAGAGCTAGTGGTTCCAATGCTTCATCCTGTGTAAGAGAAGGTACTAATACAAGCTCTTCCAAGAGATTTTGATAAATTCTCATGTCAGTCGTCCTATATATGTCAAGCAATTTTGTCCTACTATATCTTAAAAGGGATGGTTCTCCATGGTCAATTTCACCCTTGTCAGATATGGGCCCCAGAGATTGACGATGAGTAGGTATGCTAGCCCCTGAATTTCCACCAGAACTTCCCCTTCCACGGCCAGCAGAAAATGTTGAAGGATGGTTTTCTCCACGTCCCTGGCCATAGGAAAATGTTAGAACCTGCTTGCTTGGAGTTAGTGTTTGGTGTTGAGGCTCTCCACTTCCTCGATTTTGAAAAGAGGCGGATCTCCATGGGCGGTAGTGATCCCCCTCCCTCTCATCCTTCCCATGACGGGAAAGATGAGACAACCCTTTGTCAAGAGGCATATCACCATCTCTGCCAGAGTCCGTCCACTTGTCATGCAAGCTTTCGGTGGTTTTATCATCAGGCCCCCAGCGTGTGTTCCATTTGCTCTCACGCCGTTGATCATAATTTGAGTCCCTGTTACCTGAATCAGTCCACCGCTCAGAGGGTGCACGCCGTGCTTCTCCATAGTGTCTTGAAGGCAAGTTATCTGTCCATCGATCCATCCTGCGGGTGTCACTGGGCTCTTTATCTCCATCCCTCCAGTGATCTTTGCGCACAGATGAATGGGTGTCTCGCTCTTCATCACGCCAGCGGTCTCGGCGACCAGTTTCCATATCAAGTAAGGATGGCCTGAAAACATCATTCTTCTTCAGGGTATCATGCATCTCCTCACCATTTCCGGATGGCTTCATGACATTGGAACGATTTCCATGAGCTGGATAAGGGGCAGGGTGACTTTCCTGTATAGATAATTAAAAATTGGGGGGGGGGGGGGGGAAGAAGCGCCACTGAGACAGTAAGAATATTAAACAGAACACTAACTAAATCTTGAGATAAGAAAAGTATGTTCATAGAAAGCTGGTCAAAGCATTCACAATACATAAAACCCAAGTCTATGAATAAACAAGAACACAATGAGTAAAATAACAGAACCATATAGCCAAAACAGACCAACATCATACCGCAGTTCCTATTCCAGGCTTACTCTCCCCAAGTTTTGGCAGAAGCCACTGTGGTGAAAGCGGAATAGGATTGTCAGATCCTTCAACATCTGCATAAATCAAACAGAAGCATGAAATAGAGACATGCATATATTCAAATCAAGTATTTGAAATTAAAATGCTTAAAAAGTCACATTCAATGATGATGCACAACAGGGATATTAGTGATGAGAGACACTGAATTTTGTAAAAAACACGTTTTCTGAGAAATGACTGAACTGCATCTTGAAACTGCCACAACAACTTAACATCAAATGCAAATAATAAAAGCATTAATAGTGGAAAGACATTATTTATAAAGTTTCAATTGACTTTGAGGCAGCATTGCAAACAAATTCAACAAAAGAAATATCTTAGTAAAAGCCACTCACGAAGCAGCAACCAAGATGAAAATTAAACAATCAATTCAGTAAAAAGTTAAGCTTCCATTCATCAATGGAATAACAATTATGCAATTTTTATATGATTAATCACATAAATCTTAGCATAAAACAAGCAATTGAATGCAATGAGAGTGCAAGAAATGAAAGAGAAAAAGTTATCTCCAATAATCGCCTTTTCAAGTCGAATTAATTAAAAACAAATAGAATAACGTAAGTACATCACTATCACATCGCTCTTTTCAAATTAAAAATATTTTTTAAAAATATATTTAATTTTTCCAGTTCAGCAACTAAAGTGCGCCGCATTAATAACCAGTTTAAAGCTATCCTCATTTCTCTTCTTCACATTTCAATAGCCAAACGGCACTAAAAATGACATCAGAGAAACAAAAAACCCTAACGTCGAAGCAACAAAATCAATAAAACCCCCCAGCAATCTCGCAAACCCACTGAATCTACAACAATTCTTCAATAACACAACGAAATAAGCAAAAAGGAGCGTGAAATGGTCTGAACTAGGGTTTAACAGAGACGAATGAAAGAAGCCACTAATCCTTAATGCGATACGAGGAAAGGAAAGCGGCGACGTAAAATACCTTTGGAGATCGGGTGGGGAGGGTTGACGGTGAGGTGGTGGCGGGAATTGGAGGCAGCGCTATGAGCCATGGATGATCAGTGAAAGTTGAAAGAGAGAACAAAGCCAAAGGAAACCCTTGCCTGCTGTTTTTTTCCCTTGGAGTGCTTTGTTTGGATGCGCTAAGCGACGTGTGAAAAACGCTGAATCCGAAGAGAAGGGGGAAATATAGGTTGGGTGAAAAAAAACAAATTATTAGAAAAAAAAGTGGTAACAAGGTAAAATTATGGAAAGATAGGTTACGGCTTACGTTAGTGAGTAGATGGTAATTTGCTGTCCAAAAATAGTTACTGTCGGACGGATTCTTATAATTATCTGGTATACGCGCCTAACAAAATGCTTGAAAAGCACGATTTCTGCATAACTCTTACAGTGGATTGCACGCGAGGTTGTGACGAGGGCAGAAAAGAAGGCTTTATCTGTTTTTGATTCGATGGGTACGTAATACGCCACGACGGTCCAAGTTAGGGTGGAAATTATTGGACGACGTGAAGCAGTGTCGTTTTAAAAGTAAAGGTAAAGATTTAAATAGCGGTAAGATAGTGGTATAGCGACAATTATTTTATGATAGCGCTATTATCTATCATCGTTATTGAATAAAAAATATGATAGAATTTGAATTTTATTTATAGTGATCGTATCACAATCACGAATTATTACGTAATTGAATAATAGCAATAGTAAATTTTTATTATTTGCAATTTTTTTTCATTCAAAAATTCAATAAAAATTTTTTCATTTGATTCTATTTAAAAACTTAAAATAAAAATAATAAAAATAAAAAATAAACATCAATTTATAAATTAAAAAAAAAAACCCACAAAACTTAAAATTTTAAAAATATCGATTTTCTCAAATTCAACTTCAATCAATATCAAGTATATATAATTTAAAATAAATAATTAATTTAACACTCAAATTTTTTTATTTTTAATTTATCATAATTTTGTGTGTTTAGAATTTGATTGGATTATGATGCATTTGTAGAAAGGGGCAAGAGTTGTTATGACTTAAAATGAAAAACAAGAGATAAAAGTAAGATTTGAGGTTGACGAATATGAGTATATAGCAAAAAAAATTTTTTTTTTAGAGATAGGGATGGAGATGAAGGTTTGGAGAAAAAATTTATTTAATGTAAAGTAAGGGGATAAGAAGTTTTGTTGATCTATGCAATTCAGTCAATAGGTAAAATAAGTAAACTTAAGGTTATTATTGTTGAAAATTGCTCACAATATGAATGTTGTCAAGTTTGAATTACTATAAACTCATAAAAAACAATTCTCTTTGTCCATGAATAGTAATATTTTTATTTAATTTATGAATATTTAATTACTTATTATTTAATTTATGTATAATATAATTCGATAATAATTTAATGAGTACGATAATTAAATAATTAAATATATCATTCATTATAATTATTTATTTTTTACATGTTTATTTATTTCTTATTATTTTATAATTATCATATAAATAAATTTTTAAATATAAATATTTTATTATAAATATTTGTTCTTAAATAAATAAAACATATGATATGATATAAAAATTTTTAAAAATTATAAAATAAAAATTTTTATGATTAATAATTAAAATTATTATATTTTATAATAAATTTTAAAAATTTTAAAAATTTTATGGTCATGATAATAGTAATGATCGTGAAAATTTATATTATATCCGTAACTATATCAACCACAGCGCTATCGAAAACATGATTATTGTCGCAATTTAAATCCTTAAACCAGTGTCTACAGTTTTGGCCTTAGTTGGATGGCCCGCAGGCGATAGCCAAGAGCATTTAAGCATGGCCACAGGGGAATTAATGGATACAAAGGAAAATGGCGGGAACACTTGGCGCCATCAGTTCGTGGAGACCGAAAATCATGGCTTTATTTCTATATATAACAATATAATCGCTAGCCTTTAGAAATGTTAGTCTTCAAATCCATTTGTTGGAATCATTCGTCTGTTTTGTTTTCGTTCTCAAGGTCTCTCACGATGGTCCAAACAGAGCAGCTTAACAACAGCCCTGAAATCAAAGAGCCATCCCCCAAAGTCCCAAAACTTAGCCAAAATGGAGTACATGAAGTTGCTCAAGGTCCAATCTCACTTTTGAGAGTCAAAAAGCTCTCTGAAAAAGCTGTGTTGCCGTCAAGAGGCTCTCCTCTCGCTGCTGGGTACGATCTGTCAAGGTATATCCTCAAACCTTGTCCTTTATAGAAATCGCATTTGATTTACAGTAATTTTTGTCGTTTTTTTTTTATTTCTGGCACAGCGCAACCGATACCAAAGTGCCAGCCAGGGGAAAAGCTCTGATTCCTACTGATCTAAGCATTGCAATATCTGAAGGAACCTATGGTCGAGTTGGTATAAATCTCTTACTGTATTTATCTTAGCTTTATATTAATCCATTTTGATTGATTTCGTTGACTTAATAAAATTATGAGTTTTTTCTGTGATGTAGCGCCGAGGTCTGGTTTGGCTTGGAAGCATTCGATTGACGTGGGTGCTGGTGTAATCGATGCAGATTACAGGGGGCCTCTTGGGGTTATTTTGTTCAACCATTCGGATGTTGACTTTGAAGTGAAATCGGGTGACAGGATTGCGCAGTTGATTATTGAGAAGATACTGACACCTGATGTTTTGGAAGTTGAGGATTTGGATTCCACTACCAGAGGGGCTGGGGGATTTGGATCCACTGGGGTTTAAATTTCTGGGTTTTCCTTTTTCCTACGTAATGGGTTAGGATTTGGGGTTGCTTTAGAGGGTTTAAGTTGGGTAGTTTAGATGAGTAGAGGTCGAACAAAGCTGCTTTCTTTTGCTTATTGGCAATTTTTAGTTGTAAAGAACCTTTAATGGGTCAATGATATATTCAGCAATCAGCAGCAACTGAGCACTCTTGGATCTTTACATAATTAAACAGTTTGTGTTATTTTCTGATGTCTTGGTTCAAGAGAATTGTGAATTTCTAATGTGCATTTGTCGTATAAAATATTTGCTGTGCTATGAAAGTTGTACCCACAAACAAATCAGGGATTAGAAGGTTTTTGAAACCTACGAAAAGAATAAATATACACATGTTGGCAATTCCTGTATCAAGGAATTTGATTGACCCTAATTCATACAATATCTACAGTTTCTTTCGGTTTGAAGGGGGAACGGCAATTTGGGCAGGTGGGTCTCCTTACCAACCAAAGATCAATACAATGTTTATGGAATATATGACTACAAACTGGATCGATCCTGCATCGTTCCCCAACCTGAAACCCATCCAGGCAGACGCCACAGATTGCCGTGGTATTTACATGACAATTAAACCAAGGGAGTTGCTGTATCTCTTCGATAGACAAACCTGAATAATTCTCTTCTTTGCCAGTACGGATGCTGCTTTCATCTTCATTTAGATCATCGTCCTGGCTAACTAGATAAAAGATTACAAGATAAAGCAGAACAAGGACGGTGATACCCACAAAAGGAAAGGGAGGAGCTGGTGGGGAAGAAGGAAGCATTGCACGTAGGGAGCCATGGAGAGGATTAACGCCTGAATGGCATATATAAAGCCTTTGTGTGCCCAGCTTGGGTTGACTTCTCTAATTCAAGTAATGTTTGATTAGAACTTAAAATATCACGTGTCTTTACCTTGAAATTTACTTAGAGTGAGAAGACAATAATCACATATGACCTCCAAGGAACAATTAGGATACGGTATTTTAAATCAAAAGCAAGCCAGCAGGCAAACAGCGTTGCCAGTTCTTTCATAACAGGACTTCACATGAATTTTTTATTTCACGCTATTCTTTTTTTTTTTTTTGGCTTTCAATTAGCCTGTACACCATTGATGATCTATTTCAATAAACTGATCGTGAACAAGACTCAAAGGAGGTCCGTGCGGCATGCTCAAGCCTGAAGGTACTGATAGAAACTTGAACTTCAAGCTGTTCTATAGCACAACCTTCCATCCTTTATGCTCCCCCCCCCCCCCCCCCCCCCCAATCGCAGTTTCCCTATAGTTGCTTCTGTTATATAAACAATTGAAAAACCAAGCAATCATATGCTGTCTAAAACAAGTTAATTTATTCTCTGCTACAGAGCCTCAAGCAAATATTCCATGTCTAACGCTGTAGACTTATTAAATCCATTGTATAACCCAAAAAGATTCAATGGATCTCCGTATACACCAAAAAAACAAAATCACAAAATCTTCTTACCACTGGGAAAATTTCAAGCATGACAAGTACAGATGAAGCTATGCAGTGCGAGGCATATTTCGAATAAAGCCAATGCATCAAGGCAGTTATATCCTTGGTAGAAGAGTAGGTGGGTCAGCTGGGATATCAGAACTTGCCTGTCAAACAATTTATAACTTTTCAGTAACAGTGCAGTGTCATATTACCAAAAAAATCCTTAATCCAAATAAAAATTTTAAAAGAGCAAAGTGGGGAAACTTCTAAGTTCTAACTGCTAGCTCAAAACAGTGCACATATAGGAAAATGGTTCCCCGCAAAAGCGATGGGACTGTTAGAATTATTGCGACACCATAGGGAATATAATCATCATTGGTTAATAACTTGTTGACAGAAAGTGCCAGTACTATAATTACTGACCACTATAAAAGTTAGATGTGATATTAAGAAATTTTCTTTTCCCAACATATATTGCAGTATTTCTTGTGATATTAAACCATATTGTTAAATTGAACAAGATGATTTACGTCAACATTCTATTTATAAATGGAGGGATATAGATTCTGGTCCTTACAGAAGGTTTTGAACCCTTAGCAATCTTAGAAAGGAAAATCAATGTTTACTCATTTCAGGGTAATGATGAATTTGTCTTACCTCTAGATATCTTGTTAACAATGTTGTAGTACTGAAATTAAAGCCCTCTACAGGTTCCTTTTTCGTACGTGATGCCTGAAGCTGTTTTCGGACTTGAGTAGCTAGTGACTGCATTTATACAAATGAAATAGATATTCTAAGTTAAAGAGGGAAAAGCAAATTGCAAAGAAACATTCAGCAAAATGTGCATCTTGGAAGTTGGAACAATGTGATTATATGTACAGAACATGATGGAGTGTTCTTTGATGATACATACCTTCCCCAACTCAACTCCCCACTGATCAAAAGAATTAATGCCCCAAATAAAACCTTCCACAGCAATTCTATGTTCATAGCTCGCCAACAGCTGAGGCAGCCAAGAAGTCATTGTGTTAGACCAGGCAGATGAAGCACATTATGTGCATTAAGTGCTAGGTACTTGAAGATTAAAGCTAGAAAAATTATGAGGTAGAAATTGACTTATTGATGCAGGGTCATACCAATAATACCAGAGTCCTCAACAGTTATAACCGATCAGAAATGCTTCATTAATTAAAATTTAAAGAGAGAAACCACTCACCTGCCCAATATTGTAAGCATTCAGAGATGGAAGCAAAACACTGAGAGAAGGCCGACTCCCTGAGAATGTCTATGGAAGATAACAAAGCAAGTTAGGACATTGATTCTATTAGGAACTAAAGCTTGGTACAAAGCTGAAAGTAAATCACCTTATGAGGAATAAGATGCTGTGCAACATTCTCCTTCAACAACTGCTCTGCTGTCTGCAGTGAATCAATTTTTTTCAGCAGTGATACAGATTTTAGGCAACAATTCGTGAAAAAAAAAAAAAAAAATGTTTTGAAACCTAATGATATTTTCCTTTGTAATAAAGAAAAATAATGGATACCTAAGAAAGCATAAAGCCTACCTTCCCACATGCGAGGGCATCCGGCTATGCAAAAAAGTTGGACATGAGCTCATCATGGTTGCTCACCACTTCACCTGCCAATAATAATAATATAAATATCATGTTCAATAACGCAATACAAACAACAAAATATGTTATCTTCAAGTTAGCAATGAATACAGAAATAAATTGTATTACACCTTTAAGGTACACAGGTTGCTGGCTCTTCACAATACCAATGAAATCACATGGAATTACACGTCCCTGAAGGTGTCAAAATGAGAAGTTAAAATACTTATAGCTGCAGCACCTTGTCGTTTAGCATAGAGCTTGATTCTATAAATACCAAATGATGAACAACCATCCCATCCCAACCCCACCCTATACCACTTGAGCGCAATAATTTGAGAGTACCAAAACTGGATCTCTTATGCAGATGATAAGCCATCAAGGTTAAGTGATAACAGAATCATCCCCTTCATCAAAGCCAAGGACACAGCTATATGAAATTAAGACTCACTGAAGTCTCAAGATTTGGAACCTATATTATGGTGAATGACATTCAAATTCAACCAGTTAAAGTTCTCCAAGCACCTTTTAGTACTTCATTTTGTTATTTTCATGGTAAGTAATTAAGATAATGTGCCATATCTTGCACACTCTCTAAAAAACCTTTCTAGTCTCTTCATTTATGCACAAGCTTCCAAATTAAGGTTGCCCCTGGGAAGATCCATAGCTCTCCTAGGAACAGGCCTGGACATATAACTCTAGTGCCTCAAAAATTTAAGGTGTTATAAGATGTTATATGCAGCAAGAATCACCTAATATTCTTCTATCATTTGCAAAACACAGCATAAAATTCACCTGGTGGATTAGTTGATAAAAGCTGTGCTGGCCATTTGTTCCAGGTTCACCAAAATCAATTTCACCAGCCTCATAAGGAAGTGGCACGCCATCAATTGACACCCCCTTGCCATTACTCTCCATGCTGACATGAATTGAAGTAGATTTAGCAATATATAAGATTTGAAAACACAAATCCAACCCCTTCCCCTGTGAAAAAAGGAGTTCCAGCAAACATGCCTGCTGAATATGCGGAGCAAATTTCTCGAGGGCCTGGGAGTAAGGTAAAATGGCCTGATATACACTTAAAGTGTTATATGATAAGTGGTAAGCATTTAAAAGAGAGAAGAAGAAAAGGGAAGTTTAATATAAGGTTCATGCAGAATACTCACTCTTGCAGGATATCCAAGAAATGAAACATTCCAAACACTGAGTAAACCCAAAAGCACCTGACATCAAGTAACCACTAAGCACACCATTATACCAATTGGAAAAGAACTTGAACAATCAACCAAACTTATATTAGCAAAAACAGTCTAATGTGTGCTTGAATGAAACACAGCATCTAGTAAATCCAACTTGGGAATACAAAGAAGTATTATACTAGATTAATCCATCCTCATTTAAAATAACCATAACCTTCATTCTAGTATTCTTAGCTTCTAGCCCAACTCATCTACCCAATCACCATAATACCACTGGTAGATAATTCTATGCCAATCTAATGAGTAACAAAGAACCACAGCTGCAGTGGAAGATGTTACATTAAGACACTTACAGGTATATTCTTCTCAAAAGGAGCTGAGTGGAAATGTTGATCAATACTTGAAGCCCCCTTTAGGAACCTTCAAGTAACAAACAAAAAAAAAACACTTATTCATGTATAAATCAAAATCAGCCAAAATATAAAATAAATAGATGAATGAATAAGTGTCAAAAGCACCAAGGCAAAGAACGGATTAAGAGCTAGGTTAAAACTTGAAACCTACCTTTTATAAATCACACACTCTTACTTGTCATACTTTTGTTAGTATTTGCAGATTCTCATGGCACTCAAAATAGTTTTTATGGTCTCATGCAATAATGATTGAAGTTAAAAATATGTCCATTAGCAACTAACATTTTTTGTCATCTTTATACTACAATTTGATTTCCTAAGAAACTGTTTAGAGCTACAACTTTTTGTCAAGAAAGGGGAAATAAACCAGTTCTCAGTGCATGTAAAACTGAACTTTTATGATAGATGAACTCCATGGAGAAAAATGACGAAGAAAACCCCTTTTCTCCTAAGTTCTGCTTCAAGTGATGTATTGCCTTAGAACAGTGAAGGTGGTTTTAAAATTGCACAAATCAGTCTCACCTATCATATATGGACTCCTAATGGATATTATATAATTTATAAGTTGTTAAAATTTGAAAGGTGAGTGCAGTATAGTCGAAACAATAAGAAGTTACCGTACTTTTCTACTATTGGGAAACCATACTGCAGAGACAAAGGCAACACTCCAACAGCACTGCTAACTGCAAAGGCAGTTTACTTCATGGTTAATCATCTTCCACAATTCAACTAGCAAAGGTCTCATTCCTCGAAAGAAATCAAATGACCACTAATGATCCTTAGAAAAAAGCAAGAGGATAGGGAATAAAACTTACCACTGTAACGACCACCAACCCAATCCCAGAATGCAAATGCATTATTAGGATCAATGCCAAACTTTTCAACAAGCTGCATAGATTTATAAGCAGAGTAGGATCAATACCAGTGTATGATATGAAATATGAAGCCACATTTATTAGTGCTTCAGCAATTGAAGAGGAGAAAGGGAATAAATATGAAGCTATGAAGCACAGAAATTGAAAAAAAGAAAAGAGGAATTCATAATCAAGAGGCCATCTGTTTCAAGCAAAAAGAGAATAAACATTTTCACTTTATCAAACTTAAGCTATGAATTGTACTCTAGAATGCTAGAAACACTTGATTTGCTGCACCAAACCCAAAATAAAAGATTCAATATGTACGTGGCAGTGCACTAAATGCTTAATCACTCAAATTCAATAGATGAAACAACAAACTGATACCATTAGATTGGTACTGACTGCCACCATGTGTTTTGCAACTGCAGAAGGCCTGAAAAGGTATTTTGAATCATAAGTGGCTTAATAATGAAGAATTGTTGTACCACATTTTACATTTAAAAAAAAAAAGAGAGAGAGAAAAATCTAGAGGTATTCACAAAATATCCAGAATGTTATAACAGGCAATAAAAGATCGAAACCCTCCAATCCAGGAAACTTTTATATTCTACATTAATTCCTTGAATATTGAGAATGACTCCTAACAATATTGAGAAAATAAAGCACTTATTAAAATCATTCAAAGATAAGAATATCTCCTCCATTTTGCTCAATGCATTATCACTCTGAATTTTAATTGTTAAAATTTACTTAGAAATAGTTCCAAAAAATATTCACGCAGAACAGTACCAGAATCTCAAACTACCACAGCATGCACATTGTTGAAAATAAGTAGTTCTATCATGGCACTAACCCAAGAGCAGATGAAATCCATTCCCTCATTGTTCGAGCATTCAACATAGTTTCAGCCGTTGTGAAAGTCTTCGAAACCACGACAACCGGATAAAATTAAAAGCAAATGAAATCAGAAGAATCAACACTGCAAAAAGGAGTTTAGAGAACAGAAAAACAACATGCTTTGAGATGAATAAAAAGAAAGTAATTACCAAGAGTGGTTTCGGGGTTTAATCCCGTGATATTCCTAGCAACATCAATAGGATCCACATTTGCAAGGCTGTGGCAATGCAAACAGGAGATTATGTTGAATTTCTAGAATAAACGAATGAAACAACAACTTATTATGCATGCAGGATTTACAAATTACAATGAAAATGTCAGAGAAGAAGCTAGAATAACAGGAACTTCATGTTGAGAATCCACCACAAGCAAAACGCTTTTTTGACTTAATCCCTCTTATGCCAACGCCAGTCTTAGCAGGCCTATGACAATTGTACAGTTCTTGTTCTATTCAAGTTGCCCCAACCTGCATTTCTTCGACACCTTCCCCCTCCCCCTCCCCTTCCCCCTCCTTCACTCCCCCAAAACGAAAGAAGCAGTTCTACTGCCAATCTTATAGTACAATGAAAGAAAGAAAGTAGACACAAAAAAATACCACTTGCAGTAACAAACAACTACTTACAAACGTAGCTGGCATCCTTTTGCAAATTCAACAGCCTCAGGGTCTGTGAATGGTAAAGACTCAAGAGTAGACCAAATGCATCAGCTATGCTTTCTTCTTCATAGGTTACAAGTAAAAAGATCAACTACCAGGATAACACAAATAATAGTAAAGTGCACCAGCATTACGTGTTTGGAGAGCAGTATGAACAAATAAAGGACCTAAGAAACTGCCACCAATACCAATTGCAATAACATCCTTCAGTGGTTTTCCAGTACATCCGATCTGCCAAGATTTACCTGTTTCTCAGCAATTGAGGAACAAAATATTCAACTTGGATGTATAAGAACAGAGTAATAAGTACCCATGAGCCACTGCGAACTTTCTCCGAAAAATCCTTGATCTTTTCCAGAACATTCCAAACATCTAGCACCACATTCTTTCCATCACTATATATAACCGCATCCCTTGGTGCACAGAGAGCTACATGAAGCAGTGACCTATTTTCTGTACTATTTATCTGAAATGCTCCAGCAAGAAACAATGCAAAGTCTAACGCATGAAATCCTATTCAACAATTATAGCCAGAAACCAAGATATCATAACTAATTTTTAAATCAAAGCATCAAACCAAACAGTCTTATCTTTAAAAAACAAATGGTGCGAAGAGAAACTTATACTCACATGCTCGCCGCTGTACATTCGGTTAATTTGTTGTTTGAGAGAAGCAGCCTAAAAATATGAAAAAAGATTTTAATAAAATCGAAATTTATTATTATTTAAATCCATAATTTCAGAAACGATAACTAATCCAAATTCACCTCTGCTAATTTATAGAGCTTATCCATGGTATCAAGAGTGGCGCGTTGCCTTGAGTAATCCAAAAGCATTCCATCGAACTCACTGTAGAAACATGTACATATTAACTTAAAGCTTTTTGTAGATATCGAATCAGAGAAAGAATGAGAGTTCAACTGAGGATCTTACACCATCATCGATTGGCATCGCTCTTTGTCGTTCATCAAGTCACGAAGATGACTTTTCTTGATGTCCTCGACATGAGTCTGCAAAATTCCAAACGAATCTCGTATTGAAAACAGAGACTTTCTTGCTATTTTAACTATAAACATGGCTAGAAAGTGACCGCGAAGTTACCTTCAAGTCCTTCCATGGCTCGGTGTCGCAGATTAGAGTGGTCGAAGCCATCTCAGTTTATATTAAAAATTTAAAACGACACAAACAAACTCTGCAACAGATAAAAACTATATTAGCTTGAGATTTCAAACTAATGCGAATAATAGCTTGATATGTTACCTGAGAAAAGGAAGAAATCCAGATGACGATGAAGGGTTAAAAACTAATGGCCGCAAAAAAGATGAAGCTGGCAAAAGCTTCGGCGAGGTGAAGAGGGTCACTTGGCTAGAAAACGTAAATGGCTACGTGGCAGAGATGCGAGCGTCGAAAGGGCATCTGTCAATTGATTCCGGTCCCTGAAACTAGTGTCCGGTTCAACGGTTTTGGAAATTTGAAGTTTGTTTGATTGTGACTTTTCAGGGTTGAATTCCGTGGGCAACGATTTTCGATGGGCCCAAGAAGATGTTAGTGCTAAAACAACCGCGTGAGATATTGGACTCGTGCCAAAAGCCAAAAGCCCAAGCCCAAATCCAGTGTTTTTAGAAAAAAATAATTTTAAAAAATTTATAATAATAACCGCTGAACGACAACACGATGTTCGTGTGTAAAGTGTAATTTATAAAAATACAAATAGTTAAATTTGATTGTTTGGATTTTTTTTTTCTTTCCTTTATATTTTCTCATACACGCATAAAATAATTGACATCCCAAAAAATAAAAAACAACAATAATGTAAGATCACAGTCATTTCATTTATCCAGTTTAAAAATTAATTTTTAAAATATTTAATCCTATCGTATTTTGTTTTACCGGTTGATTTGAAAGAGGATGACAAATTATAAAAGATTGGCAGCAATCTTTTAACTAATCAGTGCATCCTACCAATAGTATTATTGATTTGATGCTTTATACCACATAAAATATCTTATGGAAATCTTATTTTCATTTAACACCTCTTTGTTTTTTTTTATTAAAATTAAAAAGTTTTATAATATTAAAATTTAAATTTCAAATTTAATAAATTTGATATTATTTTTAAATATTATTTTATGATCCATCTAAATTAATTTTCGAATTCTCTTTGTTTTCCCCTTTTGCGAAGTACTTTTCATCATTTTTTGGGATAATTTCACACTATTGGGCAAAAGTACTTGTTTTTTTGTTTGCGACTGTTTTGTAAATGTGAAAACAATTGAGAATATTTCATACCGTTCATTTGAAATTAATTGGAATATTTCAATTACATCATTAGTAACTATTATTGGATTTAAAAAAATTATTTGCTTAATTATAATTATAATAAAAAATATAATAGAAGTTGAGTATAAAGATGATAATGTGTTGTTGGCAATTATAATATCCTCCAATATTTTTGTAAATAAAAAAACAAGCACATAGATAATAAAATAATCCATAAAATTATATGTAACTTATTAAAAAAAAAACCTTCAAAATATTAAAACTAACTAACATATTAAATTTCAGTCACTTATTAAGACAAAAAAATTACAACTAAAAATAATCAATTGAAAAATAACCTACATGAAAATCAACTAAAGGATCTAAAAAAATTATAAAAATTCTTTAAAATTATTAGATCTAAAATTTAAATATTTTAAAAAAATGTTTGTTAAAAACTAAAAATATTATCTTTGAGATTTTTTAATAAATTAAAAAAAAATTTACGACAACCAATTAATACAAAACAATCATATAAAAAACTTTAGATATAAGATTTTCAAAAAATTTTTAAATCTAAAAAAATAAAAAATAAAAAAATAAAAAATAAAAATAAATTTGTATACAAATTAAAAATTCCCCAAAGCAAGGGTGTCATTATAGTTTTATATAAGAGAACCATTTTATTATTTTTTAATTAAGTTTAAAGATTATTGGCGTGCTTCATTGGGGAAAAAAAAAAGAAAAAAGAAAATATCGTCTTTTCATTTCATATTTAGGCCCCATTTAGAGGCCCAATTCTGAACCACATAGATCGCTTTTTAATTAGCTTTGACAACGGCCTAGCCCGAAAGAGGAACAATCCAGTTGTGGGCATTTTTTCCCGTCCCGAGAACACAAAAAAAAAAAAAAAGAATTTACCTTCTTTTTTCTCCGACTGATTTGGTTACGAATTTGGAACTGAAATTGGCATCGAATTTTTAGTTTCTTTTTCGCTATCCCTCAGCAAAGAACCGAAGCATTAATCAGTTATCGCAATTGGGAGTCGAACATTCGCTGATTCTTCGGAATATCAGTCTTCCATTTTCGTCATTCGAAACACTACATCAAGATCGGGTAAGCTTTACCAATCACCATTTTCTGTTTATGTGCTTCTTTCCTTTAATTTTATTATATGAACCTTTTTTCTTAAATGCACTCTTTTCACGATCTTAACGTTTTTTAGGCTAATAATGCGCATTTAGTAATAAATTTTGCCTTACAATATATGAAGAAGTAGATAAATCTATGGTTTCCTGGGAGAGAGCTGAAATAACGTGGAGACTGTATCTAATTTTTGAGGTATTATCCATTTTAATTCAAAAGTCTCGTTATTTTGTTTCACAAAAAGTGCCTTATAAGTATGATTTTAAATTTCTACATATGAATCATATCTTTATATTTTTTCAATAAGAGTCGTGAGATTTAGGGCATCACAATCTTTCTGCTAAAATTTGATGTCTTTTTAAGTCCAATATACACATAGAATCACGAACACACTTGATGTTAGGATTTTAAACAACCAGATCACATTAGATATTGAGATTTTAAAAGTGACTCCCATCATGTAGCACTTAATTTTCACAGGATTTAAGAGGTGGCTCTGATGTAGCAATTAGCTCCTGTTACTGGTGATTTTTGTGAGAGAAAACCATGACATTTTCAGATTAAAACAGATAATATTTTATAGGTTGAATGCAAGTTTCCATAAATAATCATTAATTATATTCAAACAATTAAAAATTTTGAAATTTGCAAATAAGAATCACAGTTTTTGGTACATTACAGGGGGAAATGCTATGGAAAAGTTTTCTCACTGATACAAACAGAAACATTAAATCCCTTCTGCTTGAATAGCTACGGTTTTTTTTTTTTGTGGGGGGGGGGGGGGGTTGTGTTTTACAGTTAAACTGAAACACTTATGCCTATGAAAAGATCTCTGGTGATCTCATCTAGAAGCCCATTAAGCACATACCTCTCCACATCCCTTATAACATCATCTTTCTCAAGCAATGCAAACGCCATGCGGTTCCAACCCAAGTCCCACATGCAATTCACATCTGGTTCCTTGTTGTTGACATCGGCCTCAAGCATTTTTGGTAGGTAGTCTTCTAAGGGAGAATCTTCTCTCCCGTCCCTTCCGCATTGCTTCAACTTATCAAAGTCTTTACACATTTGCTTGACCAAGTCGTCCAAGGATTTTGCTTTGTTTGAAGTGATTGGTACTTTCAGAAATGGGTGAACACTTAGCTCCTGCCTTCTTCCTTTCCTTTTCATTACTTCGTAGCCACAGTCCAGAACGAGCTTGCTCTCTTGATCATGATAGTAGTGACCATTTGCACGAAGAATGCTGATAGGAATGTTGAGTTTGAAAAGCGCCTCTGCCGTGTTCATAAATACTTGGCTTTTCATAAGTATCTGCTTGAGGTGATTTTCACTCTCCGTCAGTAGCTCTGGCATCTCTAATGTGTAAGTTCTTTGATTCTGCGGCTGTGGGGTATCAGAGATTTCCATGCTCTCTCCATGAGTTCCTAAAAAACAATGAACTTTAGCAGACAAGTTTCTTCTGCTTCATTTTTTCCAAACCACCTACTCCGCCAGAAATATAAAATGAAAACACCCGATGCTGCCATTACTATGGCCTTAATTGTTAGGAAGATTAGGAGAAAATTAAGGGGGGTATAATACATATGTAGTCAACTTTTTATGGTTCAGTCTCCATGTATTAAAAGTGGGGCACATTATGCATGTTTATTTGTGTGCATAAGCACCAATTTCAAAATGGTAGAAGTTTGCGTAAGCTCATCTTTCTATACCCTTAGTTAAATGAAAAAGCATTTCATAATTTGTAAGGGGAAAATGTCAACTTTTGAAAATATGGGAGAAAACTTTGGAAATGCAAAATTGTACTTACCATGTAGTGGATCAGATACACTGTTCTTAAACTTGCTTTCTTTGGCTCTGCCAAAATCAGTTTCTTGATCTTGCTGTTCTTTTGTAACCGTTGGCACTGTATTTTGACCCTGCATAAGATCAGAACAGTTATTTGGCCTCCACTCAGAAGTGTGAAAGTGGCTTCATTTGTCTAATATAATTGGTTAATGATTGTAGTAATGGTGATCTTACAGTATCTTTTGGAACTAAAGCTTGTGGTTCATTTAGGCTTTCGCATTCATCCTCTAGAGGACTGCACAAAACTGAATTTTGCTGTGCTGCTTTCTGCATCACTTGTGCTACACTTGATGATTGTAGGCTTGCTAAGGACTTGTTGGATCTAATTATCTGTGCTTCTACTTCTTTAAACCTGCTGGCTTTCATTTGATCAGCTTCTCTTGAAATAGCAAGTTTCTCCTGCCTTGTCAGTTTCCTCTCTTGCAAAATGGAACTCTGATGCTTCGGCGTCCTTGGCAAATTATAAACACTTGCACCTTTTTTAGTCATTACTTCGTTGATTTGAGGGACCTCAAGTTTATGCTCTTTGGTGCTTCTCTTCTTCATTGTCGTTTGAACTTGGACAGGTTTCTCATCCACGGCAAACAGGATGAGAGCTTTTGCTGATTCAGATTCTAGATCTCCTTGAGAGTAACTGGAGTTTCTGTTTAATGAATCTTTAATTTTGAAATTTAAGTTTGTTGAACTCCTATCTCCAGCTGGATTTTCATGGTGTCTACCATCTTGGAATCCATTGAATTGTACTGCATCAATATGTTCGGTGGAGCCTTTCCTACTAGTTGCTGCTTGGTTCATTTGTGGCTTCTTTTGCAAATTGGTTGCACCAGACATTGGTTTGGAGAAATTACTGGATATTGGTTCATTTCCCTTTTGTTTATTCCCCTGCAATTTCTGTTTAGTACTTTGTTGTTGCCTCTCTTCTGATACTCGCTTTTTCTCTTGGTGCTCAGATTTTTGGAGCATGTGCACCTGTTGAAATCCATGATTAATTTTCAGCTTTTGTTGATCACCTAGCAGAAGCTTGTTTGCATGTCTGTTTTCCCCATGAAGCATGCTTTCACTGTACTCTGTTTTTTCTTGCAATGTAACTGCAGCTTCTGATCTTTTATGCATATATGGTATCATCTGCTGCATTTCATCCTTGAAAACTGGTTCCTTGATTTCACTACTTTCAGCGCTCTTCTGTTCCCTGTGCTTTACACGATCCTGTTTTCTCCCCTTGTCCTGAATTTCTTTTTTACTTCCAAAGTTATGATTCAATTGGATGATGCCACTTTGTTGTTCGTCTATCTTGATTGAAGCCTTTCTCGAGCTTATCACTGGTTTTATGTCTTCCAAGTCCTTTTGAGGTGGCAATTTGTTATAAACAGCAACCCTTGTGCTACCATTTCTAGTTGTCAAAGTTTTTCCTGCTTGTGATGTAATTGTATCCTGAATCAATGGAATTTTGCTGGCTAGTGTTGCCTCCTGTTTTACTGGTGGGAGAACCAGGGTTGCAGAATCTTTTGTCCTTTGTTCAGCCTTCTTGGTACTTTCCTGTGTAGGTTTCTTTCTAATCATCTCTTCTACTTTTTGCTTTCCAGCCTGTGTCTTTACAGTGATCTTTGAATCTACATTTCCTGGAAGTATATCAATTCCCATCAGTTTCGCAATTACATTTGGAATTCTCGACTTTTCTTGTTTGGACTGCAAAGAACTTGAGCGATTTTGTTCTGAGAATGCAGTGAGAGTTTTAATTTCTGGACCATAGCTAACTGATCGTTTGTGAGAATGTGATTTTGAGTCAGCTAGAACTTTTTTCTCATGCTTGGAATTAGTAACCTCTGAAGAGTAGGTAAGAGCTGCCAGCCTCAGCTTGAGATCAGTCCTTGCAACTTCCTGAATGTCATTATAATTTCTTGAGGGTCTGTCAAAAGAAAATCTTGGCCTAACCAATTGCTTCTGATCAGCCATTTTGACAGGGTTCTCGTCATCATCCTCATCCTCCTCCAGCAATGTTATCCGACTTTTTCTCTGTGGTGTTATCAAGTACTCTGAAGTTTGCTGCAGGTTGACTAGCATCCCTAGAGACTCCTCCAAATCCATCGCTCCTTTCAGTAGTTCCCGTCCAATTTCTATCGAGTATCTGTCAAAGTTGAGGCCACTAGAGCAAGCTCTGAGGATCTGATTTAACTTTTGTGCACACCTTGATATTTCTTCGATATGGACAAGAGAGAGAGCAGGGAGTTGGCTCCTTGAAGGTTGATGCCCACTTACTACACTGTTTCTTCTTTCCATCTTCCCATAGTCCATCTGTCTACTACCAATGTTATGCAGAAAACTGAACATTGAACTATTGCCTGAAGAATCTGTTCTTAGCTTTCCTCCATTTTCAAGTGCAAAAGCCAGGGCCATTGACAGATCTCCTATTTGTTCTGACTTCCGGCCTCTCCCAAAAGGAACAATCTGATTCGATACCTGTCCAGTGGTGACTGATTTCCTGCCTCCACTAGGCCTGTTTTGGGTGCTTCCAGCTCTAGAACCAGTCTGCAGGAAGCCAAAACTAAATGAAATTGTAATATCTAATCAATCTGTTGTATGAACTGATTACTTCTACTTGAGCTTTGGAAACTTACAGTTTTGAGCGTCTTTGGTTCCCTGGATGATTTATACGTTGTCTTAGTGTAAGCATGTGCATCTGCTCAAACACGCAACAAAAGGAACAAGAGCAAATTATTCATTTGAGCATGCTGACCGCTTTTGCTAGCTAGCTAAAGCTCTATTGTCATGAGCCTAGCCTGACACAAGGTTCAATCACTTAACCCTACCAAACTCATGAAAGTCCTTCCAAGTAAGCATATTTAAAAGAAAATCTGTGTTTTACCTTCAGATATCATCTTTCTATGTCTTACCTCCCCTGCTTCTTTATTTAATTAAACATAAACTAATCCACAAATTCATTCCTTTCTGTTCTTATATGAATTAAATAGTTCTGTCATCTCTTAAGTTTTACTTACATGTGATGTTTCCAAAACATAGTTGGAGATGATTAATCTCGAGGAGGGTAGCAGAGTGGAGCAGTTATGCTTTATAATCTATACCAGACAAGTCTAGATTGCTTTAAAAGAAAAGTTCAAACAATTCAATTCTACACTCTTAGCTTCTTCCATCAATGTCTCCAGAGAGCAAAGAATTATTGCTTAGTCACGCGGCTGGTTTTGTCAGGTAAGAGAATTTAATTAATAATTGCTTTCAAACATGGACAAAAGCAGGGGAAAAATCTATCTCCAGGCGACACATTTCAATAATTGAATGCATGTGCATGATTTGTGAGTTGTGTATTTGTCTGAGTGTTTTTCATTAGCATTAATTAGCTTTGAAATGTGCATTAGTAAGTGATGTCTCCTGCTTTTCTAATGTCTTGAAGACATTGAACAAGAATCACAATCCACAAAAATTCTTATTACAGGGTTTTAACTGATATGTTGAAGGATGTTGTAAACTTGTAATTCTTTGATGCAATCTCCACCATGCGTGTTTATTGCAGAGATTTCAGGAAATGCTCACCTGCAACCATTGAATTTGCACCCTTTGAGTTCTGAGAGGCAGCCATCCGTTCCTTCCGCAACCGGAGGTCATCTAACAGCTTCTGTGCAAAATCTGATCTCTTGGCCATATTGGTACTCTCAATTCGAACAAGGTACCTTCAACTCTCTTTGAGCCAGAACAAACATAGAATTTCTTTACATTGCGTTTTTCCCTTTACATGTTCACAGATTAGAGGTGGGAACAAGAATGTTTTTGTTTCTTTTTCTAGTTGAGGTGGTTCTTTCAAAGTTGGGTGCGTTGGGAAGTCCAGTCTCGTAGCAGTAAAATGGAGTTTGAAAATTTATCTTAGATAGGTTGACGTGAACGTTAGCTCTCTTTCTCTATCTGGAGGGTCTCTGTAACATCACGAGTATCCCCGACTTTGATTCTAATCCAAGCAATGGCAGAAAGTTTCATTCAAAGGGCTTCCATGCCAAGCCTTCTCTACCAGCATCTTTCCTCTTTATTTTTCTCACTCGCTCTTCGTTCCCTTAAGTCACCTTAACCTTTGCATCAAACTGATGGTCAATAGGCAGTATTTTGCCCATAGGCACGTCATTAGGGAGGGCATATCCCAGCGCCCAGAAACTCATTTGGCGGAGTAACTAGAGATAGACAACCGGTCAGGTCAAGATGTATTTTTTTCGTCCGGAATCTGAACTAATTTTTTATATTAAATATATAAATTTAATCTGATTTGATTTAATTTTATATGTATAAAATCATAATTGTTTCGATTTAATTTGAGATTAATAAAATATTATTTTTAAATATAAATATAAAGTTAAATAAATATAAAAAATATAAAATTAAATAAACAGTAAAAAAATATTTTTTATATGTATACTGGATTAAGACAGGGTGAATTAATCTAAAATTCTATCCCAAATGTTTTAATAAAAAAAATGCGGACTATAAGATACCTTGGAATTTTAAAGGAAAAGCTACCTTCCCATACTTTCACCATCTTTAACGTTTCTTTGGTTTGAAAATTCATTGAAGCAGTCGGTTTGATTAATATTTTATGGTTGAAAATAAGAGAATAAAATTAAAGAAAGATGAGGATGGCAGGCTTTTGAAAAGGCGATCTGAGAAGGGAGAGTTTGGTGGGAGATGGGACCATTCTTTTAGAGGCTTTTAACTAACCCTACCATTACCAATGAAGCAAAAATTGGGTGGAAGGGTGTCAAGTAGCTAATCTTAATGATGAAATGAAACAGGAGATATACAAATTTGCAAGACAAAACACCATTTTAGTTAAATAAAGGTCTTTCCCAGGCTGCAAAAATGCGTATGTGATTGGGGTTTCTAAACACATTAAATTTTATGATGTGCCGTGGAAGTAACTTATATTCTTTTTTATAAAGTAGTTTGTCTTGTTTAAATTGCTTCCCGTTTAAAATCTTATTTTTTTTAAAATAAAAGCTGTCAGTTGTATAAAATTACGATGAATTGGATTGATTGTCATTATTTTTAATGTATATTGGATCTATTTTTATAGGCCTCTAGGGGATCATAATTTACTCAATGCTAAGCAAAATTTATAAGATTTTCATTATTTTTATCAGATTTTGCTATCAATTATTTTTCAATACATTTTTAATTATCATTTATAAATATAATTTTATAATTTAGAAATGAATCTTATATAAGTAAATAATGATAACAAGTATATTTGATAATTTATATATTTAGTTTATGTTAAATACATATAAAATAAAAAAAAATTATCTTATAACTTGTATTAATATGTCAAATGTAAAAAATATTTTTTATTTTTACTAAATTCATTTATGATATTTATTAAAATTTTAAATTGTCACCTCAATTTTTTTATTTTGTTATTTAATTAAAACTTGCTTTTAAAATAATTTTTCCTCTATATTTTGATTTAGTGGTTAAGGAAGTTTTACGAAAACATAGAGATTTCGATTTTGAGCTAATATTTCTTCTCCTTTCGATTATGCCCTCCCTTGAATACAAAAAAAATTATAATAGTTTATGTTTTGTTTTTTAAGATGAAAAAGAATAAGTGGATAGGATGAAAAATTTTTTATTTCATTTTTTTGGTCAGTAAAAATCTTTTTAACTTAACGATTGAGATTCATAACCAATGTTATTTTGTACCGCAATCGTTCATTCCTTTTTTTTTCTCCTTTTTCCTTTCGTATCAAACCGAGTTTTCTCTTTACCTTCAAAAAGCAAAAGCTAGCCATCGGATGGTGGGCTAGATAAAGCGATCCTTATAATTGGGCCACCAACAACCGTCAAAACCTAATATAGTTCAGCCCAATTAAATAAAAAACCCAAACCCATCGGATGTTTATTTGGTCGATTGAATTAATTAAATTAAATTATTTTATTTTTATTAACTGAATCAAAATTATTAATTTCAAAAGTTAATTCAATTGATTAGATTAATTTTTTACTTAATTAAATATTAAACATATTTATGTTAAATTATATTTTAAATTTTAAATTTTTTATAATTTAAACAAATTAAATAAGTTATCTAATAAAATATTAAAATAATAAAATATTATGTTAAAAATTTTAACAACTTATAAAATAAAATGATTCATTTTATATAGTTTTTATTTTATATTTGAATTTTGTTATAATTCGATCAAAATTTTGATTAATTTAAATTTTGAATTGAATTAATTAAAAATTAAAATTTTTAAAAATTATTTTTATTAACTGATTAAAATTTATTTAATAAATAATTTATTTGATCGATTAATTTAATTAAAATAGAATTATGAACAATTTTATCTATAAGTGCATGGTAGGCCTAATATTATCTTTCCACAGTCTATGTTTCTTTTTCCATTGGGCCTCATTCTAAACAACTAATCCCCGGCCTACTAGCCCAAATAAGGTTGTTCCCTTGACGAAAACACGTGGCATGGAAAAGTCTCCATCAAGGCCCAGCATCCAGAACCCTCTCCGCTAACTAGAGCCATTCATGCCTGGCTTGCCTTACTCCACGGACAACCAAAATCTTTAGGGAAAAATATCGCGTATATCCAACCCTTGATCTCATCAACTATAAAACAATCAAAGCCGTTGTATATTCCTCATCCGTCCCAAAAAAATTTGTTATCTCTATTTATAGCTCTTGTGGCTCGCGACGTCCTTCTCGAGGTCTCTTTCTACCGTCGGTTGCTTCTTTCAATTTGGTTGAAATCTTCTGATCGTTTGACGAGCTTCGTTTCAATCATGGCATCGTCACTTGCTCGTCGCTTACACGATTATAAGAATCGATTTCTTCTCAGAGATTTACTGAGGTAAGTCAATGATTTTCTGTTATTAATTGCTAAGTCGGTTGTTCGATTCATAGATATTCTAAGTTCGAATTTTGCTCTTATCTTCTTTTCGAAGGCTGCTTTTGTTGATTTAGCTGAGTTCAAGTCAATTCCTCTCTGAAAAGGCTAATTCGTCATGTTTGGAAATCTGTCTGAGCTATTAAGCTTGAATCCTTATATTCTTTGTCTATGTGCTGCTTCCCTAATTGCTTATTCTGGTTCGTTCCTTTGGCATTTTAGATCTGGAAATATCGTTCAGATCGGTTTTGAAGAATCCGGAATTGTGGTACTGATTTAAGGATCCAATTTTGTTAACTGTCGCATGCAGCTATCTGTTTGATACTGCTTTGTTGTTCAATGACGATTGTGACGGTGGATAGGTTGGTATTTCCGAGCAAGAACAACCTGCGAAAGGGTTTGCTGGATATTTTGTGAGCTTTTTATTTATCTAGTGATTTAACTTTGTTCTGTTATATGGATCTCTTTATTGTAGAGGATGAGATAGTCATTGTTCTGTCTATCGATATCCTTATTGTAGTCTGATGAGCTAGACATTGTTGTGAGTTGAAAGAATTGATGGTGAGGAAAAATTGTGTGCTGAGAAGACATAAGATAGGTGAACAATTTGTTGAGGGAAAAGAAATAGAGTGATTATTTTTGGTGTTATCTGACCTTTGCCATGACAGGTGCGCTTGCATGGCAGGTCAAAAACCCTAATAAAATTTTAATTTTCTTGGTTTTTTAGGGGGAGATGGCATGGGAGATATATATTTTATTTTTTCCCGGCTCTCCACCCTGTGTCTTGGCTTCATTGATTTTCCTCTTACTTTTCTCCCGCATCCCCGATTGCTTGTTTGTGATTCATTTCATTATGCCAATCATGCATTACCACTCCCAATCATAGCAAATTAGATATCAACACAATTCCAGTCATATGGTCTTCATTGACCGCAATTGCAACTAATAAGGTATATCCCTTCATTGCAATTTCAACTTAAATTGCAATTAATAAGGTATATTCCTTCATTACAATTTCAACTTAAAAAGGTTCCCTTTTTGACTTGTAGGTTAGTCAACTCTGTTATACCAACATTATCCCTTACTTCCTGTGCCTGGTTTTGATTTGATACACCATTTTTTGAAAGCTATGTTATATGTCCATATAACAATTGAGTTTAATCTAAGTTTATCTTGAGCACACATTAATCTCAGTTATTGTAAAAGGTTGTCATACACTTTACGTGCTCTTATTTTTATGTTTAATAAAGCCCCCTGAAATCAATATAGATGCTACTCAGCCTGTGGTTGCTCCCATTTGATTCAGCATGAGCCTAACTGAATGATGTTGGTTGTAACCCATGGATCTTATTCTTCTGTCTTAGAGTTTGTTCTAATTTGTTTCAAGAGAAGTGGTGATTGGTGTCTTGTAATTTGTAAGGAGGGCTTTGTTCTTGTTTGTTGTAGCATTGCTATGAATATGTACTATTGATACGAGTGTTGGCGTCCTTTACATTTGAGGCTGATGTCTAGATTTTATGGATGGTAACTGTGTATTGGTGAAGCAGCTTAGAGTTGTTTTTGGAGTCTCCTTCTTTCTAATACAGCAATGCCCTGTGGAAGGTGAGCAAGTTTTTGGATTTTTAGTGCATGTACATTAGTTAGTCTTTTCTCTTTGATGGCATGCGCATTAACTCGTTAAATTTGCCTTGCAGGACTATATGCTGGACTCTTTTGGAATTCCCTCGTTTAGAAAGCTTTAATAGATCATTGATCATCCTATGCAGGAACATTTGCTTGTAAATAAATATTGGTCCAAATGCATTCACCACGGTGACTGTCTTTTCTTTATCAGTCTACAACTCTACATGCATAGAAAACACTAAACCATTAGGCATGAATGAAAATAAATAAACAAAAAAAAAAGGTTCTGTTGATAGTTTTTATTTTTCTTTGAAACTTCACATACCTGATTGCTAAATATTAAGTCTGTTTCTGCCTATGTTTCAGTTAAAATGCTACATTTTGCCTAATCATGGCAGGGACTTGTCAAGACATAACAGACAATTTAATTTCACGATTACTGCAAAAGGAATCACTTCTGTCCTTGTGTTACTCTGATTATATAACCAAAGATCATTCTAGACATCACTGCGATCAGGCATGACAAGTGACAAGTTTGAGATGATTTGCAAACCTTCTGAGCATTATTTGATGCTTTGACTCTGTTTCCTTTAATGTAGATCTATAGTTGTTTTTGTTTTAAAGTTCTTAGCGCCTGTACCACGAGTGTTATTCTCTTAGTTTAGTAGTTCTTTGGATTGTTCCCTCCATTCCTGTCTATCCTCTTTGCTGCCTCCGGTTTTAACTTTATGATACCCTGCCTCATTTGTTCTTTCATTCTGGTTTATATTGGGTTTTTTTTTTTTTTTATTTTTAATTTATTTTATTTAATGGTATCTTGATTATACTAGATTTCAAGTTTTCAATCATCAATATATATAAGCGGTTTCCTTGAACCTATTGGTATTTTCGTTGGGTGATAAGAGTAAAAACAGAGTAATAAGAAAGGATCAAATGATTGTAGAACGTTGAAGTTTCAGAGGTAGGCAGGTACTGTTTGTGAGATGTCGGCTAATCCCATGGAAACTACTCCTTTTATATTCCTAAAATAATTTGGTTTTAGCCCGTTTATGGAGCATTAAGAAGTCAAAAAGATGTTCATTTTCTCTTGTTAAAAAAAAGGTTTAGTGGAGGCTGGGTTTGGGAGGTTCAAAGGCTAGGTGTAGGCTGGCGAGGCCCAATTTTCTGGCCTTATAACTATTCCGAATGTTTTCGACTCAAAAACTTTTGGGCGACACCTGATGCTGGATGTTGGAATTAGAGCCTGTATCTGTCAACCTGATATGGATCCATAAGCTCAAAATTGGAAGAGCGCTCAAACATTGAGGTTTGGGAGGCTGGTGGTTCGAATCCACCTGGATCCCCGCTGGTTTTAATTCTCATTATAGTTAATTATATTTCTAGTATACGTATGCATTCTTTCTGTCAATGCCGTCAAACCTTTTGAAAGCAAATGTTAATAGCTGGCTGACTGCATATGGGGTATGGATCTTAGTAGTAAGTCTTGTTGCTCTACTGCTCAATCCTGTTATTGATCGATCAGGAGGATATGTGAATTGTGATGCCTACTGGGCACCAGCGATGTACGAGCAAGTTGGCTGCATTATTACTTTGGTGTGGCTTTTACGAGGCTGATCACTCACGTTGATTTGGGTGTTACATATTCGCAGCAGATTCCATTGGTAATATGCGCTATGGATTGGTTACTTTGTTAAATAAATATGTGTTTCCAACGCATTTTATAGTACGCCTTGCGCTTCCTTTCAATGGAATCTGATACCTTTACCACATCATCAAAACATTCTTATTCTATCTAAATTCAAATTTTATAAGATTTTTATTTTCATGTGGTTGGTAATTCTAGGCTTTTCCGCATCTTTCATCGTGTCCACCTTGTCCTAAACTCTAGAGTGGATGGCGCTAGACCACTATCGGCCCCCAGCCTTCGTTATCATTTGACGCCGGGTGTTTTTTTATGTTGATCTGTTTTATTATCTATTAGAGTATGTTATCTTCAATTCCAGGGGGGTTTTAGAACTTCTATGAACTAAATTCCATTGAACTTATCATTTGAACTCGACAGAAATTAACGATCGCTAAACGACATTGAGAACTTTGGTGCTTCCAGAATGGCATGGAAATCAACGCGGAAGGACAGGAAAATAAAGAAAAAATAAGTGAAGCATGCACGGAATAATTGACTTGAAAGAATTGTCGCATGCCACATGTTTTTGGGGATTTTGCCAATGCGCTCAGCAGTTGCCAACACTCACATTCTTTTGGGATAACACGCGAGTCACAAGACTATTTTTTTGACTAAATATTTTAATTTTTAATTGATTTTTGACTGCATTAAAAATATAATCACATCTAGACTTGTCCGCATATCAAATAAAAAAATCAATGTTTATTTGAATTGAAACAAAGCTATTCTATTTTATTTAACCAAAAAGATTTTATTCTGATATTATTCTCAAAAATTGTTACTACTAACTGATACTTTATTTTCAATTTTGTTGTTGCAGTTGTCTTAAACTTAACAAGGTAAGTTCTGGATTCTATCTTCCGTCTGTCCCTGTTTATTCCATTGAAAGACAGCAAATCCTTCAAGATTTTACTATTGAATGCACGTCTAACGAAACTGGAAAGAAGCAACAAAGTATAGAACCCAGATTTTCTTGTGAAAAACTATAGTGTTCTGTCTGTCTGAACCTGAAATGAGAGTTTCTTTGCTATCAAATTAGGTCTGCAATTTCTCACAAAACGACAACAGCATCTGGTTATAGCATTACCACTGTCCCAAAAAAAACCAGAACCCAGACTGACCAAACCACAAAAAATGTACAACGTCTGCTACACTTCAAAAATATCTGGACCTAACCACTAAGGCATACCAACTCACTATTAGCCAAAAGGTAACTAACCAAAATCAAGTTATTTAAACTCTTTCCCCTTTCACATTCGATTTTTCTTTGGTCTGACTGGTCGTGTTTCGCAGTTTCATGATCAAGATCATCCCTTTTCTTTTTCTTTGCCTCTTTCGTTTCAGGTAAAGGACTGAAGGAGGTACGTCTTTTTTTTTTTTTTTATTTCAGATGTCAAACCCTGGAAAAATCTCTGCAAGACTGCAACTTAGTTTTTTTTTTTTTTTTTTCCACTTATTTGACTACCCTTTTATTTGTATTGATTCGTCTATCTCTCATTCTTACACAGAATGGATTTTTGCCGAAATTTTGACAACCTAATTGTAGTGATTTTCAAGAATGCAGAAGCTTTTCTGGTCTTTCAAGGGTTATCCGAGTTAAATTAGGCACATTTTTATTTGGGAAAAAAATAAAAGCTTTTATAGTGTAAATGGAACAGGCACTCGGCTTGGTCAAACTAGTGGTACAACGGAGTGAGGGCCAGGGGCAGGCAGCCCAAGTGTTTACTTTTACGCACTAGCCGGTGTAAAAGTCATGTTTTTTTTTCTCCCTCATTAATGCGTAGTTGGATAAAGAATCTTATACTTTTTTATTTTGTTTTTCCATTTATATTAAAAGACTGTTGGTATTTTATGAGATCAGAATTCATCGGATGCTTCTCTATTTTTTCTGCTCTTAGTGGTTGGAAAGTTTTAGCAGTTGTTGAATCATGCTTCTTCCGTTTATTTAACTTGTAAATTGTGTGACCAACTTTTGCCGTTACAGCTTTTGTATGTGAATGTAACTATTGAGGAATTGACGCCATAGTAAACGACTATGATGGCAATTTGATGGTGATTTTGATGAATATAATGCTAATCTGATTAAATGAAATGCAATCATTTGGCGCTTCTTAGGTCTGATTCTGGCTTATGTCCCAGGACTGATCTGTGTTCCTACGGTATGTTATCTTGCAGTACTATCTTTTTTTACCCCTTATCTCGATTGAATGACATAGCTGCAGCAGTAATTCACTGCTGATTCTTATGATGCAGCTGTGTTAGCAACTTGACTTGAAGATTTTTGCCTTTGGTAATTAAGTTTTGCTTATATTTGATTGTGTTTGTACATTGCACTGAAGTTCTAGATTTAATTCATATTTCATGTGCTATTTTGGTCCTTTATTGGACGTGATTTGATGTCCGCTTGTTTCTTGTGTTTCTTCATAGACTCTAATTGTCTGGTTATTGTTGTGATGAGGAGAAACAGGAAGCATATTTTCTATGCAATTTCTTTGATGGTTAGGGTGTACAGGGGCTAGTTTCCCATTCTCGCATCAATGTTTAGTCTAAAAGCATATTACTAGCTATTTCAGTGGATTAATTCTGAATAATGAATCCCAAGTGTTATGCAATGTTATGCAGGTTGCACTAGGTTGCCAGATTCTAGTATTGGTCATAATGTTTAGTAGATGGAGCAATTCTCATAACCAAGAGAATGATTCATTGCAGCATGAATCCAAGGTAATAAAATTGGAGCAGTTAGTGAATTTATTTAACTATGGCAAAACTTTTGTGTTGTCTACTGAAATCTCCCTTTGCTTCTTATCATGTGAAATCTTGTAGCAGTAAGTATTACCAATATGATTCATCTACCTACTAATAATATCTTGGAAAATTAATTTTATTGTCTTTAGATTGTGGTTACTAGTCGGTTAATATTTGCTTTATGCGCAAAATACAAGCAGGTCAAGGAGCTTAGGGCTGCACTTGGACCACTATCTGGGCGCAGTTTGAAATATTGTACTGATGCTTGCTTGAGGAGATACTTGGAGGCACGAAACTGGAATGTTGACAAATCAAAGAAAATGCTGGAGGAGACACTGAAATGGAGATCAACCTATAAGCCTGAGGAAATATGCTGGGTAACATATTTTCTTCTTTTTAATGTTCACAAAGAGGGTTAATATGTTGGTTAGCTGATATAATAGTAACAAGTAGCTCCTCAATGAGGTTGTTGAGAATAATTTCTTCCTAACCACATTAGACATTTTGTTTTCAGCATGAAGTCACTGTAGAAGGTGAGACTGGAAAAGTCTATAGAGCAAATTTTCATGACCGACATGGTAGGACTGTTCTTATACTGCGACCAGGAAGGCAGGTAATATGCTTAATTAAATCAAAACCAAAATCCTTGAGTTATTGGAAGTTCTGGAAACTAACATGGCCAAAAATGTTGCAGAACACGACATCATTGGACAATCAGCTCCGCCATTTGGTATATCTGATAGAGAATGCTATCTTGAACCTTCCAGAGGGTCAAGAACAGATGGCTTGGTTGATAGACTTCACTGGGTGGACATTGAGCACAAGTGTGCCCATCAAGTCTGCTCACGACACTATTAGTATATTACAAAACCACTACCCAGAGAGGCTGGCTATGGCATTTCTCTATAATCCCCCACGAATTTTTGAAGCATTTTGGAAGGTTTGAATTCTATCTGCTTAACCACATTCTGATTCTTAAAATGAGTGCTGAATGTCTCTAGACTTGTGCTAAGGCATAATTGTGTTTAATAATTAACAATGTGAAGAACAAGTTTTCCGAAGCTAAATGACGTAACATTGGTGCATTAAGCGTTGTAAGTTAACTGCTGCTCATGTTGATTTGATGTATTAAACTTAATCAAGTTGCTTTTCTTTCATTTCTGCAGATTGTTAAGTATTTTCTGGATGCTAAAACCTTCCAAAAGGTGAAGTTTGTGTACCCTAAGAATAAAGACAGTGTGGAGCTCATGAGATCATATTTTGATGAGGAAAATCTACCAACCGAATTTGGAGGAAAGGCCATGTTGGAGTACAACCATGAAGAATTCTCCAAACAAATGATCCAGGATGATATCAAATCTGCCAATTTGTGGGGATTTGATGATAAACTCCAATCTGTTGGCAATGGACACTCTGGACCCGAGATTGCTACAGAGCCTGTCTGCCTTGCACCACTTGCCAGTTGATCTACCTGCCCTCGGCTTATTATGTAACAAATTGTTATATGTAACTGAATCTGAGCTGGACACATTGAGCAATGACATGACCTTGTCTAACAGGGGCTGAAAGTGATGCATCGGGTAGGAAAAACATTCAGCTTGTTGCTACTCGAAGGAAATTATTTTCTGTCATTCCCCTGAAGATGTACACCTTGTCACCGGCTTACCCTTCTATATCTAGTAGAGAGAAAATAAGTCAAAAGTATCATTTTCTGATGAGAAATCAACTTGAAATTCCTATTTGCTGATAAACCGTGTCATGGTTTAAGCGGTTGACTTTCTCGGGCTTTGTTTATTAGCTGAATCAAATCCAATATAAAGTCTTCTTTGCATTTATTTAAACAATGTGCACCCGTTTGGAACCCCTTGTTATTGTTAACTGAAAAATTGGAACACTAGGGACTCGGATAAGACAATGATAATACAACTAGAGAAACAAATGGTCACCTTCTCTTTTCTTTGTTGTTCACATTTATTTTAACACAATAGTTGATCAATTTGGGATTGTACGAATATATTCATGATCACATTTAGGCTTTGGTGCACCACAAAAAGTGGCCAAAAAGAAATGTCATAGCCACCTTTAATAAAAGCCGTCTATGTTATGGAATTATGTAAACTTGCTTTTCAATCTTCCTATCCAATTTATGTTTTCTCAATTTTGTTTTTGATTGATTTAGAAAATTGATGATAATTGAAAAATTGCATAATATAAGTATGATTCAGAGCTGGAAACAAATATGGATTGTTTCACCCGAAATGATTGCTCATTAGGTGGCAGCCAATGAAGAAAGTCATCCATCAATTCTTAGAAGAAGAAGGCACTTTTATTTGGAAGAATTTTTTTAAAAATAATGATAAAAAGAACCAAAGAAAGAAAGAAAGCTATATCCACTTAGATCAATTTAATAAGAATGCATCTAAAAATGTTTTCCCCGTATACGAAATTCTCTAGAAATCATTGAACTTGAAAAAGCATCAGTCTGGCTTTTGTTAAAAGTTCTCTTTATGAAATTCGAACTTTGTGGAGGTCTTATGAGAAAAATCCAAAGCTAATTGTCTTAGCTCTTTGGTTAGTGCCGGTGCCCCACAGTAGAAAACTCCTGCATTATTGAATTCATTGATGGAAACGTGTGGTAAGTAAATACTCAACCTTAGCCGTAGATAGACAAAAGAGGTGAAGGTGAAAGTGAAACTGACCAATTCTTGCGTCAGGATGATGTAGAGCAATCTTCTTGTAGACTTGACGCCAATTTGGCTTGGCAAAGTGGGATTTAACACGAGTTCCGGAGACGACGTCCACACCGTTTTTGGCATGGTGCAGAGATTGAATCATAGTTATGAGTGCTGATCTTGCGTCTCCTTCCTCGTACACGCTGGTGCAATAGTTGTGGAGCTCGATCACCCTCTTCTCATCCATCTCTTCTACTTCGTTCATTATCCCTTTGAACCACTCGAACGAGCCTTGCTCCCTTGTTACCCAGTAGAAGTAGGCTTTGCTTGTCCTGAACCCTTTGTTGTTCTTGTTCTTGTTATTGTAATTTCCATTCTCCAAGGTAGATCCTGGAACCAAATCCTCTTCCATTGTCATGTTGTTGATGATGTCCTTGACAATGCTGATCATGGGGGTGGCACCAATTCCAAGCCCCACCAGCAGCACCACATCGTACTTCTTGTAGTCCTGTGCTGGAGCTCCGTATGGGCCATCGATTAAAATCTTTGGGAAGCTGTGCATCGTAATACAATCGTCACAAGAAAGCAAAAAGGCAAAACCTATAAAGCAATTCAATATACGCATGACACATTATTGTCGGTTCCTTCAATAACTCAGATAGGAGGATGAGGAAATGTTACCTTGTGTTGGTTCCTTCTGCCCTGAGCAGTCCGCTCTTCCCATCTGGTGGTGGCCGACAGACCTGTTTAGTATCCGATACGAACAAAAACAATTAGGCACTTGATTTCAGTTTCAAGTTTTAACTTAGAGGAGAAAGCATCATTAACTAACCTCAGAGAAAACAGTTTTGAGCTGCCTTGTCCAATCACCCAGAGTTCGAATGTGAACACTAAGGTAGTCATCTCCTGGTGCTGAAGTGATGGAGAATGGATGCCTGCAATTGCCAATGGTTGGTTTGGTTAAATAAATATCAGAATTGAAACAAAGCGTGATTATGAAGCGAAAGCTATCGAAATGAGGACCAAAATGTACACACCACTCAAATGGGGAGACTGCAGAGCAGTTGACAAACATGTATTGCCCACTTTTATATTTGAATCCTTGGGGCTTTGACATGTGCAGTGACAATACATTTCCAGGATATACAGCAACCTTCCATATTTGTGAAGAAAAAAGAAAATAATATATATCAGTATGTTTCAAATAAATGTGAAAAGTGAAAACTTTTAGTGCAATTGGATGGAATGTAAAATACTTGAAGGATATTATATATAGGCTTCTATACCTTGAGAATTTTAACTGCCTTGATACTTGATCTAAAAGCTCGAATCAACCTTTCGCAAGCATAAAGAGTAATTGGCACTGCTAGATACATCCATGTCTGCAATTAAGGTGTAGAGATTGACCACCATCAACGGCATTGTTCTAATGATATATACAATGAATTAAGAGAGGGAACAGAAATGAAAAGAAAAAATCTTACTGTTTTCTGATACCATTTCTTGGTGAGATATAGGTAAATACCATGAACAATGAGGAGAGTGTAGACAATAACAAAAAGGTGATGGGAATACCAAAATGCGTTAAATCCGGTAAGCTTATTAAGGAACTTGGGAAGGTTGAGCTTGTTACGCCTGAACCAAGGAGTGGCAAGTGTGAAGGCTACGGCCATTAGCACCACCATTATAATGCCTGTTACACCTTCTACTCCCTTCAAAAACCACCAGTAGTTTTCAGGTTGCTTCTCTCCAAAAAATGGTTTCATAGGCTCATATTCTTCTTCAGTGGCATGAAGAAGCCGAGGGAAATCACAGGTTAAATGGGCACCTCCGTGTAGGATCACCCCAATGGTGATTCCAACGGCAATAACCTGAATATTACATTGCATTAAAAGAACAATCTAATTTCAGATGTAGAAGCTTTGATACAAAGTGAAGCCGAAGCCTAGGGGAATTGCAAGTGCAGATAAAGATTAATAGAAGAATTTCACCATACCAAAATGTAAGAGAAGATTTTCATTAGAGAATGTTGAGCATTATGTAGAAATTGCTGGTTAATAGTATCATTTACCTTGTGGAAATTCAAGTTGTCATCGAAAGGAACAACAACACCCAATTTAGTCTTGTTTCTAAGCCAAGTGATGGTGTTCCGGCACACTGGAAGTAAAATCAAAGCCATGTTGAACTTAAGAGTTTCTGCACCTCCTTTAGCAATGCAAACACAGTATCCCATCACATCGAACACAGCCTTGTGCCGGTACTGCACGAACTTATAAGCGAACAAACCCCCCACAATGCCAAGCCACAACATCATAACCCAGATCCTTTGCCAGTTATCCATTATAAAGTGCTTAGTCTTTTGATACCATCTTTTTAAGGGGTTGTTCTCCTGAGTAGGTTTGAGTTTCTGGCTCAACATTTGACTAAGAATGCGGCTATCTCCTACCCTGACAGATTGATTTGGAGCTTGCAATAGGAGAGTTTCCAGGTTATAAATCTGTTCAGTGCCAAAAACCAGTAATATTAGGAAATAAAGATAGCATAGGACAAAAGCAAGATAAATTCGTCTTTGCTGTGATCTATTTACCATGATGTATCCAACATTATCACGATCCAATTCTTCCATGATCAAAGCGGCATATTCTTCGGCCTGTTTCTGAATGTTAGAAAGTTTGTTTGCAGAAGCACTGAGACTGATAATCTACAATATAAATTTCATATTGTTAGAAAATATGTTAAAACTTATGCAATGTATAGAAAATTTTTGTCATTTCTAGTTGAACGAGGTCCGCATGATCAAGTATGTGGATTCCTACCTCCCTGACTTCTTCTTCGGTGATCCTTCCATCAGCGTCTTTGTCCACCCTGCATAATTGCAAATTACACTTAGTAAACAAGCACTAACATAAAAAAAAAAAGAGATTTTTCAGTTGATCGAATTTACAGGAAGAAAACTGTGGGATAGGAAATCATGTAAAAATTAAAAGTGTTTTGAATAAAAGAAGGGAGGAAACTTTACATGTCAAAGAAAGTTTGGAGTCTAGAATCAAAGCTTTCGTCAGAAATCTGATCCCAGAGCTGTTTGAGCTGCACTTTATTGATTGAGTCTCCGGTTACATTATGCCTCCGAGCAAGTGCTTGAAACAGCTCACCGGCAAATTCTTTAGACTGGTTCATCCCTGTATTTGAAAGAAGAAGAAAATTTGTAATGGTTCGGATTTTATGCACCTTCCAGAGTAGGATAAAAAAAAAAAAAAACTACGCTAAGTTGTGTTGTTTGGATCATGAAATACGTACCAATGCATTCTGCGAATTGGGAACGGTGAAGAAGGCCATTAGTAGATGCAGTTAAATCATTGAATCGCTTCTCAACAGAGGACCATCCATTTCCAGAGGCCCCTGTTTTGGAGGTGATAAACTTGAGTCCTTTCAAGGCATGAGCTGCAGCAGATTTAGTCCTATCAAATCTCCTGCCTGCATTAGAAGGTCTTCTTGAAAGGGCACGTTTCAGTTCCTGAGAAACCTGCTTAATTTGAGCCGACGTGTTACTGAACAAAGACGAACGAAAAGAAGCAGACTTGTTCTCCAGAGTTCTCTTAGCCAGCAATGCCAATTCAGGGTCTTGATGACCTCCATCGGCACCTTGAACGCTGTGAACCGCAACAGAATCGTCTCGGATATCCAGGGTGATTTCAACGTAGGCATCATTGTCAGCAGTGCTGCCTGTGGAGTTAGTCTTGGCCATGGTGATTTCAGGTGGAAGATTGAATCTTGCACTCTTTTTCGAAGCTCTTCTGTTGGAGACCGGGCCACTACCTAACCCTAATGGTCCACTAAACACTGCCCTGTCACTTGCTATACTTTCTGTATCAGAATTGTTCTCCGAATAAGCTCCTCTAGTTCCATCCTCCTTCCCCATTTTTTTCTTTTCTTCTAAGAGATGAGAACAGAAAATTAGAACAAAGGCTCTATTAATGGAAAAAAAATAGGATTGTCAACTTTAAATTTATAGACAACAAGGGCCCAAAATTGGTTCCTCTGCTCTGAGTTGACTAATCAAAATTCCTAAAGAAAAAGTTCGTGTAAGAAAAGAGCTAATAGTCAGATACGCAAATGAGAAACTTACCGGAAGCAAACTTCACGGCGCCTGGTCAAACCCCTTTCAATTGGTTGAATAAATGGAAAGTTTTGTTACCTCTTTTTAACCAACTCCAACTTCATGACGAGCAAAATCTAAATTTTCACATTTCTTGTACTATAGCCTATATATATAGATTATCATTGGCTCTCTTGGCAAAAAGACATGATGAGAAGCTTTGAAGGTTTCTGATTTTTTATTTTTAGGACAATAAAACGAAAAGAATGACAGAAAAAGATTATAAAGCTACAAATAAGTGAACTTTCTCAAGGATGATCAATACCAAAAACCAAAATTACATTGTTAGGTAATTCATTTAATAAACACAAGTATAACTATTTTAACCTTGTTTAATTAATACTCATTAAAGATATCATTAGCACAAAAATAAAGTATCAAATATGGATAAAATTGATATAAATTGATGATTAATTGTTTAGAATAGACTAAGTGGGTATTTTCATAAACAAAGTGAGCCATAATAAGAAGAAATACTCAATGAATTATTGAATTGCGTGTGAATTTTAATTAAGCAAATCAACCAAGACTTCAATGTTCCATCCGTGTACTGGCAAAGTCTGAAAGGGGGAAGAAATACATTTCAATGTTGAGATGAGGATGACTTGGCTTCGCTCCAAAAAATCATGCCGATCTGACAATTTGGTACATTTGAAATTCTCCATTATTTGGTTGGTTTGAGTCAACAACAACAGGCTTCAAACTCTGTCATTACTTTTCTCATTACGCTGAAATTTCTAAACGCTTTTGTGCCGTGGTGTAGACGTTACGACCCTGGAGCCAAGAGACGAGACCAACCAGGACTTTTAAACCATCCTAGGGCGGCAAGAACACCAAGAAAATCAAAACTGCACTTACTTTGGGTCGATGGTGAAGAAAAAACATTTATATCATTTGTTGCTGGTGGATTTATGTTGTGGACCCGCGTGGTAGAACTAGTTTAACATTGCCCGACCAGGAATTCAGGTTAGATTTTTAGTTGAATCAAAGTACCAAATTTCTGCAGTTCTCGTACTTGGAAATTTTGGAAGCTTGACAATTGAAAAATGCTGCATATACAATTGTTGAATCTGATAGAGAATGCTATCATAAACCTTCAAGAGGGTTGAGAAAAATATGGCATGGCTGATAGACTTAGCTGATTTGCATTAATCAGCAAGTTTTTTATTTATATTCCCATTCATGAACTAACCCGCAAAATGAAAAAAAGAAATCTGCCAGAATGGGGACCTTCGGACACTGTTGAAGGCCAGGAGCCGTAGAAATTTGACTTAACCGTTCATTACAGTTCTTTCCATCAATGCACATCAAACCGAGTTGTAAAAGTTTTATTTGCAGAAGCATTGTTAAGAAGTCCAAGTAAATCCTACTTTTTGTTAATGAAAACAGAACACATCCCAATTTTCTCAAAAACATGTTTATTTACAGGGAAATACAAATCATACGGACTTCAACATGTAAAGGTATAGCCTCACGGTCGTTCACTTTTCCAGTTGCAACAATAAACTACCTAACAAGCTAATAACAAAAGCAAAGGCAAAATACAGCCAAAAAGGAAAGAATATTAACTTCAGGGGAACTACTCAATCAAAATCTGCAGTCAACGATGCATCCTTGTAAACCAGACGGTGTTGGATGCCTTAGTATCTCAAGGGAGCATACAGTACGACAGCAATAGCAATTTAGATGAACTGAATCAGACAAGCCGCCTTTTGAAGTTTCTAATAGTTGCTTGGTAAGTACGAACCAGCAAGCCAACTCCTATACCAATGCCAAGACAAACGCCAAGACCAATCCCCACACCAGCCTTTACACCTGCATTGATATCTCCGAAATGGCTTGTCCCAGAAAATCTAAAATTGTAGAGTGCTGGTTAATGGTGTCAAATGGTTGGATATCGTGAGCCTAAAGGAGACGCGCTACCTTTGCATTACCATTGGGCCTCGTTAATGGGTACTTGTAAAAGCAGGCCTTTAACATAAATCGATTGCACAAGGTTTTTTTGCTCAATGATCTTTAGGCCTATTGTCATGACTTTTCTGCTGAATGGTCCACCACCAAATTACATTAAATCTCTTTCCAATGCAGGTTAACAATTGTTATTGCAATAGGCATATTTGAGATCAAAGTAACGTGTCTAATCAAGGCAAAGCTCAATGTTCTTATCCCATTTAACTAATCAAATTGACAGACTTTTTAACTCTAGTTAGTGGAATTAAAAATTTTTATTATCAGTAAATAAAAAACAAAGTCATAATAATCCTACAGCAACTCTTAACCAAAGAGTCCAAGACCAATTGTCAGTAGAGCAGCACCAATTTAAGAAAAGCCCAATTTATAAAACTGAAAGCCCAAATCCCAGTATTTCTGCTGTGTATGAAAAAGAAAAAGAAAAAGAAAAACCAATAAAAGGAGCTACAGATCACCAACAGGCAACAATTGTTTTGTAACAGGGGCTCTTTTGAAAGCTCAAAGATCCACTGTCGCGCTTCTTTCCCCGACAAATCTCGTCTACTTTTGTTTTTGGGTCTCCAGAAAATCTGACACCAGACCCAGACCCAGACCCAGATCCTGTATTCTTCTTTTGGATTCCAGGTGGGCATTTCTTTTTCTACGTAAAACAAAAGCTCTAAAACTCTAGCAGTCTTACTTATTTTCTATTTAATCTTGAATTTCTTCAAGCCGAATTGATCTGTATCCTGAAATTTTGAAGTGGGTTTTGAGTTTCAAGTTGAGAAAATACAAGTTTGAATTGTTCTCGGGGAGAAAGCGCTTTTCTTCTGAGGATTGATTTTGGGGTTTTACTTCGATTTAGTGGGATTGTAATTAACTGCTAGTTGAATTAGAAAGAAGACTGGCAGTTGATTTTGAGCAGTAAAAAGATTGTTTCTTTGTTATTATTTTCGTAGCATTTTTTTTCTTTTGATGAGTCATTGATCCTCTGGCGTTGAGTAGGGAGAAATGCTCTTGAATTTGACTAAAAATTCTAGAGCTTTTATTGTAACTTTTTTCGGTCATGATTTTAAACCTGGAACAGTTAAATTATCTATGTAACCAGTATCAGTTAAATTATCTATGTAACCGGTATCAGTTAATATGATTTATTTTGTAGCCAAAATGGTTAGGAATTACATTTTAGTTCTTGTTTTAATGGCAGTGCCAATTTTCTCAAGGTAGCTGTTATTTAGGGGGGCTGCATTTCTACTTTCTAGTTCTCAAAATTGATGTTTTGTATGCTATGTCAACTTTGAAATCAGTCTATGAGTCCTATACTTTATAGAAACTTAGCTTATTGGATTCCCATAATTCAAGGAGATTGTGATTGTTCATGGTTTATGCTGTTCATTAGAATAGCAAGGTTCTTATTCATGCAATGAAAGATTTTTCTTGTGGGGCTATTCTCGTGTTCATTTTTTCTTTTTAGATGACTTTCTTTGTTTCCTTTTATTTTACTTTACATCATTGCATAGTCTATATTGTATATTTGTCAGCACAAATAGACTAATTCATTTGTAGGTATAATTTTGTGAAATTGAAGAGTTCTAAGAAAATGATGGCGCTTTTTGCATAGATTATGGCATATCCTGAGCCTCAAAATGCAGAGAGGGAGATAGTTCAGGTCAACACTACACCAAGAAAACCCCGGATTTTGCTTGCTGCCAGTGGAAGTGTAGCTGCCATAAAGTTTGGGAATCTATGCCATTGTTTCTCTGAATGGGCAGAAGTGAAAGCAGTTGCCACGAAAGCCTCTTTGCATTTCATTGACAGAGCATCACTTCCTAAGGATGTAAATCTTTACACTGATGAGGAGGAATGGTCCAGCTGGGGAAAAATTGGTGACAATGTGCTTCATATTGAGCTTCGTCGATGGGCTGATATTATGGTCATTTCCCCATTGTCAGCAAACACGCTTGGCAAAGTAATATGATTTGGCTGTTTTTTTGTTTTACTTTAGTTCCTCTATGTTACACCTTGCATTAACTGTCGAAGGGACGCTTCATATTAGGCATGCAAGTTAATCAAAAGAGCATTTAAAATGAATGGAGAGAATGCCTAAAAGTCACCTAATTTGAATTTTTAGGATGTGCTTTATGTTGGTGTGGAAAGATACTACTTATATGATGCTTTATGTCAATTATTTTTTTGGTTGACCACTAGTTTATACTTTCAGTAATGACTAATGAGGAATAAACTTATGCCGGCATTTATATATCTGAGAATTACTTTTTCTGCTGTCATACGCTTTTGATGTTGCCATTTCTTGAAGCTGTTTGTTGCATAAATGATCATATGGCTTAATGTGATTGTAACTCTGCTCTTAAGCATTTTTTTGAATCTTTTAATATCGGCTATTGCAGATTGCTGGGGGATTATGTGACAATTTGCTAACTTGCATTGTACGAGCATGGGACTACAGCAAGCCACTCTTTGTTGCACCGGCTATGAACACGTTCATGTGGAGCAACCCTTTCACAGAAAAACATCTCATGTCAATTGACGAGCTTGGAATTTCTCTTATCCCCCCTGTCAAAAAGAGACTAGCTTGTGGGGACTATGGGAATGGCGCAATGGCTGAACCTTCTCTAATCCACTCGACTGTAAGACTATTCTTAGAGTCACGGCCTCAACTAAGTGATGGAAGCGGCGGTTGATTTGACATGAACAATAATACTAAATTTGTTGTGTTGTAATCCATTGGTTCTGTCTTAGATGTATTTGTGCTGGCTGTCTACCATGCTTAACTTACATTTACACCTGCATTTTAGAGTTTGCTTAACTTGCATACCATGAGGAATGGTCTTGAACACTGCTGAACATATGACCTTGTAAGCTGATGATATTGACGAATTGCAGAATCGTATTAGCTTGATAAAAGCTGCCTTTAATGATTAATTATTTTTCTTTGAAATGGTTATGATTTATTATATACATGTTATAGATGGACCTGGAAACTAGAAAACTGAAGCAGGGGCAATGTAGCTCGTTGTCGCGAAGCCAGCGAAGCGACATAAGGGAGTCAGACTGAGACACTGGCTCTGACTGTCTGAGTCATATAGTACACCACAACCCTTTAACCACGTAAAAATCAAACCCAAAAGCCCCTTATTTTTGTAGATGAGAAAGGCAAAACATAACTTAGGCAAACATAACTTGGATTCAAACCCTAGCTTGTAACCAGGGTTTATCTAAGCCATTCCTGTGAGCACAACGACAATAACATCTTTGCTCACCAATTTCTCTGTTTGTCCACTTCATTTATCCTTAATACTTAATACTTACACGATTTCATTTTTTTTTAATAAAAAAACAGCACAAATTTAGTTTTCAATCCTCTAACCGCGTATAAATCAAATCCACGATTCTTTTCAAACAAAGCCATTCGGGTTAAATCTAGATAAATGCTGAAATGGCTATCCAGGATATGACATAACTTCACTAAGGTTCTATATTTCTTCCTGGGAAAAAAATCAAATTCATCCAAATGCTCTCTTCTTATATAAAAGAAAGACACAAACCCAAGCGTTTAACCATGGTTAGTGTTTAGCCACCTTTAAAAAAAAAAGAAAACGTAGGGCTTTTGTTTTTCCTGGAAGAAAATAGAAGTAGGGCTCTTTGTTTTCTTTAGTTTTGGACCTTTTGTGTTCAACAAAATAAAAAGGAAAATTTTGGGGTGAATGAAATAGGATAGCTTTCGACCTCATTTCCTCCTGCTTGTCTTTTCTTCTGCTGCAAAAGAATACGATATATAGGGATGGATAGGGTTGATAGACAAAGAAAAGGAAAGGTGATTTTAATTGCTTTTTGAGCTTTGTTTATTCTTTGCAAATAGAAGCTGTTACTATTGCTATTGGTATTGAGTCATAGAATATATAGAATAGAATAAGAAAGAGAGAGAGAAGGGGCAAAGCTATAGAAAGGGAGAGATTGTATTAATGGGGTTTCCGAAATCTGGATAGTGGTCAAAGATACTGGTCCAGTTGCTTTAGGGTCTTGACTCTTGAGAATCTTGTATACAAAAAAATACCAAGGGGCATATTTGAATGAATTTTTGGATTCGTATACAGTAGGGTAAAAGAGCTGCAAACATTAAAAAAAGAAGTCATTGGAGATTAGATTTTGATGATTTGTTTGGGTTTATGATAGCTGGCTATTGGTTGTTGAATAAAAGTTTATTGATAGGAAAAGATTGATGGGTAAGACGAAGCCTCAAAAGACCAAGGAACTTTCAGTAGCAATAGCTGAGGCTTCATCAGCGGGAGAACAGGCACAGCATCAACAATCACAGCCTCAGGCTCAGACTCCTAGAAAGAGAGGTAGACCACGAAAAATTGTTGAGAAAACTGAAACTGAAGAGATAAAAGAAGAGGAAGCAGCAGAAGTTATGGAGGGCCAATCAAAGAAAGTAAAACTTATTGAGGAACAACAACAACCACAGCAAGTAAAAGAAGAAGAAGAGCAAAAGCTACAAGCAAAGACAGAGGCATCATCAGCTTCGATGGGAGGTCTAAAGAAGGGAGAGGGACAATCAGTGGCGGAGAGGGAGCCTCCAAGAAGGAGAACAAGAAGAAAAAGCAAACCCAGAAAGAGCAGCTAATATTGCTTTAACTCGTTACTGGGTCTCATCTTTTACCTTCATAAAATCTGGTAAATCCTCTCCCGGAACAAAAGTTTAAAATGATTTTGCATTTCACTTTGATTAACATGAAGATGATGAAGCATATTGGTTTCATCAAATTTGTTGCTTTATACGTTTATTTATTTCCTTTGGCGTTTTGTTCAATCGTTTTAATTCTAATACCATTAATTACTTGAATTAAACAAGATTAGGGTTGTTACTAGCATACATATTTTCTTGTTAGACTGTTTCTTTTTTATTACAAGTTTACTGTATTTGACTCTTTTTCGTGATTTATAATACTAAACAGTCAGATGCACCCGACAAAGGGAAAGAAAACCTAGCTAGCTGCTCTATTATATCGGTAGATAAAGACACTTCGAGCCAAAAAATGGTTTTGCTTATTTTGCTGTAGGAATTTTTTAATGTTTGGTGGCATTGAGTGAGGTGAGTGAAAGCCAGATTGAAATCTGACGGTGAGGGGAAGAGGAAAAACTGAGTGGAGGTTACGTATTTAGCCGGTGACACTGCCAGCTCTGCCTTATAAGGAACAGACGCGGAGTTATAATTGCTCTGGACAAGAAAAAAACTGGGACTGCTGCGAACTCATTTCCACTAGCACGTGATTGCCACGCCCTAGCCATCAATAACACAACCTCTGGCCGCCCCAGTAAGTCCAATGCCACCGGAGGGCAATCTCTGATTCTGATGGGGTTCTTCTTTACCACGAAACTCGAGTGACAGTGACTTCCAAGTGAAATAATGACGTGGAGTTGGTTTTAGTTTGAGGCACTGGTAATGGACAAAGTCCAAAAAAAAAAAAAAAAAAGAGAAGTAACAGTAGAAGGAAGACAGATTTCTTTTGGCAGAAAAACGTCTGGACTACCAATAAACTTTTGTTCATTCACTTGTCTACTTATTGTAAGAAAATGAAGTAGCAGAAGAAGTGGAGAGTTTTTGCTACCATCCACAACCCAGGACCGCGCGTTGCATGGACGCGCTGTTGCCATGGATACCTTCCTTATCTGTACCCTGTATAGCTTTGTCAAGTTGTTTGGGTAACTACCCCACCTGAAAATCTCAAGCTAAGCTACTGTTTGATTGGTTTGACACCGTCACAGAGTCTCTTACCAAATTCTTGTAGAGCAAATTTTTGTATAACTATTTCTTAAAAGTAAAAATCACTTGGCTGCACTAAAATGGAAGAAGTGCTGTTTTCATTCTCTAGAATGTCACTGAAACTTTGCAATATTTATTTTTCTTTGTTTATTTTGTTGTCAACGAGAGCAAGTGCAAGAGCAAAAGCCTGATACGAGAATTGAGATGTTGCTAAGCACTGTTTTGTAAGAGATATGTAGTAAGTAGAATAGTGCAGTGCATGTTGCACAGAGGCCTGTGTTTCCAACACAAATCTTGCTGTCATCCAGTCACACGTTTGAATGATTTGATTTAACAACTTAAGGGCCACCAGCCAATCTGATTCTTGTAAATCTTTGATAAAATCTTAATTACAGAGGCATATAAAAAAGAAAAAAAACCAATAGGCCTTATTCCTACCCTTTATTTTTTTTATGTCAGAACTTCAGGACATAAGAGAATGTTGGAGTTAATTTAGAAAGAAAAAAACCCGAATTCAACCTCTTACACTTTAATCTGCAATCATCTTTTACATAATTCGTCATTGAAAAGTGACACTTCGCCATGTGATAACAGTGGGAGACAAAAACATGCAAGGAATTCCAACAAATGGGGCATTTCCAAGTAGGGAATGACCCATCTCTCAAAATAAGTTTATACGTTTTGAACTTAAGGCTTAGGGTAATTATTTCGAAAATGATATTTTTTGGATCAAAATTGGTTTCAGAAAATATGAATACAACAAAGCTACAGGCAGAAAACTACCATTCATCAGACCTTTTAACCCCTATGCATACCAACTGAAGCAAAACTGATAAAATACAAAGAAAATGATAATCCGATGTTTACTAATAAAAATGGATTTACCGTGTAGTAGCAATACTAATATAAATCTCCAAATAGCTTAGCGATCTGACTTGTGATGTCGCTCCTTCCTGTACCGAGATTGTTCAGGATCAAACCCACCTTCCTCGGCTCCGTAGACAGCCCAGGATGGAGTGAAAGCCATATAATCCTTACTGTCGAAAGGTCTTCCTGAGGCCACCTGCACCATTGACAAGAAACAAAAGGTTTATAACAAATGATAAAATTGATGCTGTTACCCGAATGATGAAATTGATGCTGTTACTGTAACAAAATGATGAAATTGATGCTGTTACTAACCAGGTCATGAAATTTTTCATAATCTATCCATGTATACCATTGGCCATTGACCTTAAACTTCTCTGTTTTTGCCAGGAGGACACAGCAAGAGTGTGCATGTTCACATGCAACCTCGTACTGTCCTTCACTTTTCTGAGCCAATGCCTCCGAGAAAGACTTCACATCAGAATGCCAAGGCACATTCTCCATTGTCAACTTTGATGTGGCAGAACTGTTAAAAAGATCAAGATGACTAAGCAAGATAACGCAGTGTTGCAGATAAAAAACAATACTAATAATAATAAGACCAAAAGACTTACGATCCACAGTACGTTACACCTTTGATTTCAACAAAATCAGGCTTCCCAATACTAAAGAGTTTAGAATAAGCATCTACATCTTCTGTATTCCAACCTTTCACGAGAGTCAAGCGATATACAGTTCGTTGGTGTTTCTCTTTGAGAGCTTTCAAGGAATCCTGAATAGCGGATGTTACCAATAAGAAAACAGGAACTTCAGGCAGCCCAAAGAAAAGCCCTAAAAATTGCCTAGTAATAGGTAAATTTCTACACAGTACAAGCTGCTATGAACATGAAGAAGAAGTTCATTCTTATAAAAGTAAATAACCGTGACATGTTAGGATTTTTAAAATGGCATTTCACAATAATGCAAAAAGAAATCTGTTTTAGATTGGGATTCAAGGTATCTGCCAATATGTTGTCCTTAGCATGGCAAATGCAGCCATATAGCTTCCAGATCAACACTAATTCAAGTTTTTAGAGGAAGTTTCACACTCCTCATGTAGCCTGCTAGATTCTGGATTCAAGGATATTGATGCCTGCCATCTTTCTACTTCATATCATCCCACTTTTCCATCCATCATTTTTTTTGTCTAAGAAATTTTTAATTATACTTCTTTCCTTAACGTTTTAGCTCAATTTTCTTAGATTTCAAGAATGAAATACTTACAATGAATCTTTCCCAAAAGTCCCCAAAGAGTGGCCTATCAATTGCCTTCAAGCTATCCTTTGTTGCAGCATCTACACTCACATACAACTGCATAAGTAAATGAAAATGACTAGGTTAATCAAGAGCAGAAGACCTTTTTGACATCTATGCTTTCTTAACATAAATTCACAGCCAACAAACCTGGGTTACGGGCTTCAGCATTTTAATTTTTTCAGGGAACTGTGCATTGGTAACTAGAAATGTAGAGATTTGCCTTCGGTGCAGCTCATCCACAAGCATATTAATCTCTGGATACATAATTGGTTCACCAACAAGTGATAAGGCACAGTGCCGAGGGGATAGACCTTCCAACAATCGCTCTTGTGTAACACCTGCAACAGTAGAATGATTAAAATTATCCTGTGAATGCAATAAAAAGATCTTTGTTGCAACAGTATGTCTAAGAATCTAAGTTGTAACAAATAACTTTGGGGATATTCTAATCCTGCCAAATATTAATTGTTACCGGATAATCACAACATACATGAGGTGCATTGAATAAATGTTAGTGGAAGAAACTTGGTAGAAGATAATGTTAACTAAAATAAATCCCATAGTCCCAAAAGGATGGTATAGAACAAATATATCACATTTACCAGGAACTCCTTTCATTTGCTTAATCATATTGGTATGAAGGTCTATGGCAGTATTGACAATCTCTAAAGGATCATCCATCTTCCACTGCCAACTCTTTCCTACAGGATTTGTATGATGCCTCCAGCAGAAAACACACTTGTTGGCACAAGCCAAACTAGGGGTAGCCTCCATGCATCTGTTCAATTCAAAGTTTAACTAAAATCAATTGCAGTTTCATAGCTGCAATCACCAACTACAGAAGGGACAACAAACCTAGTAAAACGTAAGTTAAGTAGATTACAAAATGAGGTTTCACCACTATGAACTGCATAAAATGATCAAACTTGCTATAAAGAGGCGCACATGAGAGCAACTAATAGCCAATTACAGACTAACAAGACGAATGTTTCCTAGTCTCAAACCTTCTTTTTAAATGAGGGTGCAAAAGGAAAATACTAACATATTAATCCTCCGGTAAGTATAAAACATGATATTGGGATCCTTATAGTCTAAATCAAGGAGCACGCCATAAAAAAGGTAAGACATTTATGTGAAGAAAATTGTAACTAAACAGAAACCAAGATAATTATGCAAAAAAAGGGGTAAACCATATCAAATTAGGTTCAAAATAGAATTAATTAAATAATCATCGAAGGCTTAATAGGTGCAAAAGAAAGTTGCAATCACCTATGGCTCTCTATTCCATAAAATGAGTGCTTGTAGCAACCTCCTCGTCCTCTAAGTTGCGACTTGGTCCATCTACAGATTTTAACACCACTATGCGAACCAATAATTTTATATCCCTGTAAATACCCACCAGTTAAAGTATGTCTATTTGACCATAAGAAACAATTATATAATAACATTAAGCAATCACCAGTTCACCACAATGAAATGCCTTCATCAACAAAAAAATTCATATCCACTCAAAGTTACCTGCTTCTCCAAGTTGGCTCTCATAACCGGAGTCACCATCTCTCTTTTCCCATCCAATTTCCCATTAGTTTCAGCCACATTAACTGCCTTCTTTCTCGATGGCCCTTTACCTGCAATATCTTCAAGATCAACAATTTCTTCCCCACCACCAGCACCATCATCATCACTACTTTCAAGGCTTTCAACATCACTCTCATAAACAATTACATTCTCATTCTCCACCACCAATCCCCCTTTCAAAACAGTAACTACCTTTTCACTCCACTCTTCAAAGACACTGTCTAATGCACCTCCATCCACGTCACCTTCCCCAACTGCCACCATTTCTGTCGCTCCCAACCCTTTCAACCTCTTTCCCAAATCCCTTGCCAAAGCATTAAACGTTTCTCCGTAAACCCGGCTACCGACTCCAAAGACGGCGAATTTACAATCGGAGAGCAACAAATTCCCAGCGCGAAAATCGGTACTGATTTCGGCGAGCCAATTGACGAAGAATTTTGAGTTTTGAGGAGGTTTTCCATCTTCCCACGTGGAAGCAATGATAAGGATTAAGGATTCCTTAGGGAGGTCCTCGGGCTCGTAGTTTTGTGGATCGACGAGCTCGAAATGGATGTTGTTGGAGGTGAGGAGGTTGAGGAGGCGTTGGGCTAGGGCTTTGGATGTTCCCGTTTGGGTGATGAAGAAGAGCTTGCCTTTTCTATGGTTAGGGTTTAGAGCGAGTTGTTTACGGCGGCGGGATTTGTAGAGGAAGTAAAACGTGGTGGCGGAGAGGAGGGCCAGGAGGGTGAGGCGCGAGGAGAGTGACGATAGGGACATGTTGGGGATTTATTGTTTTCTTTTTTAGTTTTTTGGTTATGGCTTTTAGTGGGTTTTAGCTTTCGGGGAAGTAAGCGAGTCGAGGGTGCTCGTCGTAGCGGTGAAGTGGAGGAAGAAGGCGGCGACGTAGTAAGTTTGTGCAATGAAGAGAGGAGATCGTTGGCTAAAATCTGAATTTAATATTTGGCCTTAATAGACCAAAATATGCATTTAAGATTCTGGGCAAAAAAGATTGTTTTTTCCTCCAATTAGGCTCGTTTTAATCAAATTTCTGGGCCTAACCCTGTTAATAATTAGGGATTGAGAAAAAAAAAAACTGATAAAATTAAATCCTAATTCGAGATCTCTATGTTTGATTTAGATTGATTTTTTTATTTTATTCAGATTAAATTTAAATATTAAATATATAATAAATTTAGATTGAATTTTTGATTGAGAGATAAAATTAAAAAAATTAAATCAAATCAAATTATATATTTTTATTAATTTATATATATTTTAAATTTTTATAAAATAAAATAATAATTTTATATCAAATTATATATAAAAAACAAAAATTAAATTTTAAAAACAGATAAATTAAATCTATAAAATTCGATTCAATTTAAATTAAATTATATTAAAAAATCAATTCAAATTTAAATTAAATTTAAAAATATATAATGTTAAAATATTTAAAAAAACCAACCCGAACGATTATGACCCTACCAATAATCACCATCCCCTATTAGATCTGGTTTGAGTTTAGAGTTCGTTTTCATCAATGCAGCGCAAGTCAAGCCCTTTAAATTGGATTATTGGTTCGCTAGTGCAGGGCAACAGAAAGTTGGCCTGAATCTGTATGGTCTTGGAAAGGCGGCCCATATTAATCATGGCACACATGTTCCAATCGAGAAAATAAATATACCATTAAATCAAGCTTTAACATGTTTGATTCTTTAAGCGATACACCAAAAGATAGATCTTCTTGCAATCAGCTTGCAAAATTGCTTCGGGATATTGTTTGCAAAATTGCATTTCATCTAACGCATGACTTTGACAAATAAAAAAGCAAAAAAAAAAAACTCTTACATTTCTTCTGCATTCAACTTGCCATCTTCATGCAATTCTCTTGTAAAAAGAGTTACCAGTTCCATGCCCAGATTGCTTTGAAATGAAATGTAAATAATAATTTCATGCTGACTTTACACAAAACATTCATGATCAATCTATAATTCTATATCTAATGATGTCTATTTGAGTTCTTATCCATTAAACCAAAAGACAATCCTTTCTCTATATGATTGCATGTCTCCAGCAAACAATCTGCCTAAAACTAAGTAGGGTCCTTCATTGGTTCTCAACAAGTCACTAAACTAAGAGCTCGTACTTTTCTTAGTCTATATTTCATTATCATGCCATACGAAAAAAAAAGAAGCTGAAGTTTCACCTATCTTTTAATGAAGCTTCTCCTGAAGCTTGATGTGTTGCAGCAGGTGACGCTGTATTTGAAGTGCTGCTAGAACCTGAAAGGGCTGGTGTGGGACCAGGGGCTGCCAAGTTAGGGGAGGCGGGGGAATGTTGTGGAAGATGTCCTGCAAGCATTGGTGATGCAGGGGTCTGGATGCCACTGCCTTTTGGAGAAGGTAGCATTGAATTCAAACTCGGAGCATTTTCCTGGGATGCAGTCATATTGATCTTTATCCTGCATTGCCAAGAATTGGTGAAGTCGTTATGTTAACTTTATGATGTTTATGCTACTTAACTAGTCCACTGCTTGCAACTGCATGGGACATAATGTCAGGCGGTGTACAGATTGATCTGTGCCGAACTAAACTCTTTAATCTTTCCAATTTGAAAAAAAAAAAAATAATAATCTTTTCAAGCTGAAATCCAGAATCATAGTATGGGTCTAGTGAAAGGGACAGAAATCAACTGAATAGCCTGATTCATATGTCATGATATCAAGTTTAACAAGACACAAAACCAAATGAACATGGAGAAATGGTGCAATATACCTGTTGTGGATATTGACGTACTCATCTGTCTCATCTAGTATCTCCTCCTGTCATCAGGAAGCATGGGCAAAATAAATTAACTTGTAATTCCTATAAACCTTTTTAGAATACTGGTTTCCTAGCTATCAGGCCACTACCAGAGGAAAGTAGATCAGCATCATTATCATGGGGGAGGTAAGAAACCCATATGAAGGTCCCAAAGATGGCTGGTCCTGCACTCCACCCAGAATGAATGAATGCGATGCACTGTTTTCCAAGGTTCAGAGATTTACCTGAAGAAGTTCTTCAATAACATCCTCCATGGTGATAACACCAACAACCTCTTCATCTGATGGGAATTCAGGAATAGGAGCATTTTCAATGTCCAATATGCAGTACGAACAACCTCTGTGTCGCTTCTTAAAGGCAGGAGTAGCCGGTGGACTCTTCTTTGTCTGCTGACCTCCATCACTGTTAGTCACAGGTGTCTGAACATCTTGTGAGTTCAATTTAAGCCCTGATTCTTGGGTACTTAAACCAGACTCACGATCATCTGGAAATACATGAAGATTAGTATTTACTTCAAAAGAACCAGATCAGGCAACCTAATAAAGGTATGCTTGACCAACCTTACAGAATCAATCATGACACTCTTGACTAGTTACTGATGCAATAGTTAACTTAGGCAAAATCAATGAGAACAGATAGGATCTTCTTTTGTATGGCCATTTCAAAGAAAATCTTATGTGGAAAGTACTGTGCACGAAATCAATGGAACAAAAGATCAAAGAAAAAGGTGAAGCCATTTGTAACATATAATGCATTGATATTGATGACTTCCGGTTCAACCATACCACTCAGAAATAAACACATAAATAAACAAAATTTGTTAAACAGACTTGTGAGTCCATCAATAACAGCAAAAATGTTTTAGAATTCAGAAACCAGTGTGCCGAAATGCTATGGAAATATTTAATTCTTTAAGGATCATGAAATCATAATTGATACAGGGTACAGTGTATAAATAACATGTCCCATCAACATTGTAATACTATGAACCTACAACTAAGTTCAAAAGAAAAAAACTTCAGCTTTGTGGATCTAACCAAGATAGGGAGGTTATTGTGGCTATAACAATATACTAAAAGAATTTCTTTAGAGAATTGTTCTGTCATAGCATGTATATACTCACCTTTTCTAGATGTCTCAGGTTCATCCCTTCGATTCTTACAGCTGTCTTTAAACTCAGGTCGTTCACCCTCTTTACATTTCTTCACTGATTCTTTGCTCTCATTCAGATCCTTATACACCACAGCGATGTGGCTGTGACCTTTCTGGAATTCATTAAGGATATCATAAAGTGGTATGTCCTCTGATACCCTGTAGGGTGAATAAGAAGCATAGAAGAATAGATTTTAGCTCCTTCCTTGCAGTAGGGAAAGAAAATAAAAAATTACATTGACTGAATTTTAAAGCTGATTCTGGATATCCCAAAGGGGACATATCCATTGTTAAATCTCATGTCCTCATCTCTGTTCCACCTATTTAGATACCAAAAAATATACTATAACAAAAAAAAGGAGATACTGTACCGTGGGATTGTTCTTATGATCATTTTTCTCAGAGGAACTGGACCATCCGAATCAATTGTTAAAAGATTTTTAACCTACACATTTCAAGCCAGACCAAGAAGAAGAATCCACACATTAAAGATAGGAAAACAGAAAAGAAATTCGAGTAAAGCCATGTGGAAGAGAAAATAACAAAAATACTTTCATTTATATTATAAAGTCTAGAGCATAAAATGGGAGAATGGCTTTGTTGGGGAACTAATAGACAAAAAGGTGCAGACAATTAGAGAAAAGTGCATCCATGCAGGAGCTAGTAGGAATTTGATACAACAGTTCAAGTGACAGAAATCAATATCATACATTATGAACATTACAAACACAATATATTTTCAAAAGTTATACCCAAGATTGGATAAATAAACAATGGGCGAGCTGATAACTGTTTAACCAAAGGTTTCAGGTTGAACTGCTAGCACTATTTTATAGATATAGTAGCAGGCAAGCAAATAACAAAGACGCCTCCAGCATGGTTAACAAGATACTCATAGCTTTCAGCAAAGCTCCAAAGGAGCATCACGGCATTCTCTAACCCCAAAGAATTACAAGTAACATAAATAAGCAATTGTAGCTCAAATTCAAATTACTAATGCATACATCTATTTGGCTTTCCTTAAAGCATGACTACCAACTTCGCTGTCATGACCTTTTAGTTAAAGAAAATCGCATTTGATTATCAATGGCTATTAGTCATGCAACTGCAACTCACTGCCATTGTTCTTACCTTATTCATCATCTTGTCTCTCAAGAAAGTATACAGACTACCCTTGTTAACAACAAAATAGTAATTAAAATAAAGGAAAAAGATTTCCATCGAAACTTTTCATAAATAAAGACAGGACAATGGGAGGTTAGATCACATGACCAAGGAATAAAAATGAACAAATGGCTAATAAATATAAAGTATCCTAGCAAGAAATGCAGCAAAAGGAAATTACCAGAACAAGTCCAATTATATTTGTAGGGTTTCCATAATAAACTGGAACTCTGCTATGACCCTTTGTCATTACTTTATTCAACGTTTCCCTGAATTGGAAAGAGAAAGAGAAAGCTTAGAACATAAAAAGAGGGGTAAATCCTAGGGTTGCAATACACTGGAATCCACAAACCCACAAATCAAGAATTGTATCCAGATCAAGGGAAAATGCATTTGATATTGGCGTCATGGCAACTTTGGCAGTCTTTTCAGTCATTTCAAGTGCCCCAGCAATGATAGTTGTCTCATCATGAGTTAGATCTCCACCTTTCCCAGCCTAAAAAAAGCATATATATATATATATATACTGACAGATAAAGAAAAGCTACGGAACGCATAAAACATTTAAACATAAGCCACAAGGTGGATGTTTCTTGTACAAACTAATAGAAAACAGACTTTGAACATAATTGCCACAATGTCCTAAACTTCAAAATTCAAATCCTACTAAGTTAAATTCAATACCTCATTGCCATGAAAATCCACAAAAGTCTTTAGCTCCGCTCTCCGTAGGAGGACAGCATGTCCCTTACCCAACATCCAGTCCAAAACCTAGGAAGTACATCGCATTTATTAAGAAAATATGAAACATAAAACACAGTTTCAGGAAAATAATACAAGAAAATCTAGTTTCCAAATTCAACTATGTCTAATAACAACTAGTAGAAAGCACAAGATGCAGCAAATACCAATATTCACAACAACATAACAGAAGATTCAAATATGACTACACCTTGCTAATTGGATAAGAAATTGGAAAGAAAAGCAAAAGAAGAACACGGACAAAAGGTGCCATTGCTGCTCCAACTTTCAAGCCATAACGAGTACAAACAGCTTGAGGCAATATCTGCAGTCAGACATACAAGCATATATTAACAACAATACTGCAACTTCCTTGAAATGATGGTGAGTTCAATCTGTTAACAACCAACCTCTCCAAACATGAGGATAAGAGTCACTGATATCAGAATTGCAGCCCATGGAAGCACAAGCTTGTCCAAAAAAATGGGAAGAGCCTACACGGAAGGAAAGAAGTTAAGGGAACAAGCAACAAAATCTAAAAGAGAAAATGATAACAATGTTCAGTGCAGTAACCTCCATTGCCAAGGAGTTTCCAATCAATAGAGTACATAGCAGAAGATGCTGATTTTTTACCACAGGAAATATTTTTGCTGCAAAAAAGAAAAGAAAACAAAACTTTTGATTGTTAAAAACGTATCTAAATGAAATTCTCACCTATATGTTCATAAGATCAACTCACATGCTAACTCAAACCTCACGAGTTGACTCAGGACCCAATTCTCCATGGAACCGATGTCACTTCTTTTTGGTACTTAAATGATTGTAATTTTTGCATTTTGCTTCCAGAATCCAGAATAGTCAAAAGCAAACAGCAAAAATAACAACCAAAACCGAGCCTTTAAGAAACTCTGAACTCCCCCATTTTTTCTTAACTCACTAAACATAAACCATATATGATCAAGCCCCCTTACACCGATAGCTTACTAGAACAACCAAAGCATCCCTATTTAAAGCGCCGACAAACTATAAAATACAACAGTGATAAACCCCGCAATCGCTAGTTATTTCGGAAACCAATTGGGTTAACAAAATTAAAAGGACAAACTTCAAAAAACAATAAAATCCCAATAAAAAACTCATCTAAAAGAGAAAGTAAAGAGAGATGGTTACCGGCATGGATACGATCTTGAGGACGACCAGACTTGATGAGGACTTCAAGGTCGACGAGCCCCAGAGACATGAGACCCAGTGTTAACCCAGCCATCAGCCCAGCAAAACACACCAAACCCACTATTATCAGCAGATACACTAAGAATTCAGCCCCACAACAGGGCACGTCTGAAGCCATTTTCTTTTTCTCTCTTTTTCTTTTGCTGTGCTTGGTGTTGTTGTCTTTAATTCTTCTTTGAAGCGGCAAATAGGATTCTTGGTGACCTGCCGAGGAAATTGTCTGTTGCTTTGCCTTCTCAAGTTTTTGGGTTCCAGGAACTTTGATCGGATAGAGCAAAAGTCGAAACTTGAGTTCAAGAAATGGACCGATTGCTCACGTGTAAGGTCAGGTTACTGCTTTGGGTTTACTTGAAAAAGGTTGTGGAAATGGCATTCATACGCTGACCAGCATTTTCGTACAGCCTACAGCCCAGCGTATGTCCACTTGATTACGCATCTCTGCATATTTCGATTTGCTTACGTTTTAACCAAGCTGTCTTTCCTGACTAACCTTTTATTTTATAAAAAAATGGCTAAACTTCTCTTATTTTATGACTATTTTAAATTAAATTCTAATATCATAGTTAAGAGGTTGAGGTGTTAAATCAGGCTTAACAGTTTTAACGGGGTTTGAAGTTTGATGCTAAAGCATCTCCCGGAGATTCCTTGGCCAGAGCAACTGTTTGAAGAGGCATGGAGGAATATATCTCACATTGTGGGGGTGCATCTAACATTGTCCAATTTTGTGTACAGTTAAAGTGGACCCAACAAGCTTTGGACTCTTGCCGGCGTATGAGTTAAACGCAACCGAACTCTTGATCGTGAGCGAAAAGATATTATGGTGTCATTGCGGATAAGGTTTGCGAGTCACCCTGGGCCTTAGCCTTCTGGTTCCCAAGAATCCCAACAATATGCAGTAAAATTTCGTGGCTGTGTCCGAGTGTGGGAAGATGAAGAAAATTACGATCTACGCTCAGCTGATTAAAGCCTGCTGACTGGTCCAACGAGTTCTCTTCCAATTTAATTTTTCACTGACCAAACACTGACATATGATCTGCTACTGGCCCAGCGGTGGATCTGCAGTAGGCCATGAGCCCACTGCCCATAACTATGACTACAATGCGGGAAGAATTTTCCGAGCCTGGATCAAACTAAACACTACATAAAATGGATTAGAGTGACATAATTTTTTACAATAAATTCTGAATATTGCAGTTCAAGTATTGTTTCACCGCTTCTACAGTCTACGTCTCATTGGAATCATGCTTGGTCAGAAACGGACTTAAACTGGGGGTTCACTGAAATCCTAAAATCCTTTTTAAATATATTATGATATTAGACAAAAATCTTAATACTTTTACATTTTGCCCCCACTAAATTAAAAAAAATAAAGGGGGGAGGGATTTTAAAATATTATAAAGTATAAATATACTTTAGTAAAAAAAATGGACTCATTTCAAAATAAAGTATTTTATGTAAATATTAATAATTTTTATTTATAAATAATTTTTTCATATAAATATTAATAAATTTTGATTTGTAAATAATTATTTCATATAAGCTTTACTCTTGCTAAATTAAATCATTACCTAATATTATTTTTTTTGCCCCCTCTCTGTCTATTCTCCTTTTTTTCCATTTGTAGACTTCATTTTTTTTATTTATGTGAAATATCATTATATTATTATAAAAATGTCAAAGTCAAGTATAAAATAATAAAATATTTGTATAAAGGAAAAATAAGCATAAATTAAAGTTAAACTAATTTTGTATAGTAAAATATAAATAACGGGTAAAATGAAATTATGACAAAATATAAATAATAGATAAAATGAAATTATGACAAAACACTTATGATATAAAAATTTATTTTTAACATATTAATGAACTTTCTTTTTTTGTTTTTTTTTTTATATTGATAATGTGATAAGGTGTTTTTTTAATATTAGTTAAAATTTTTAATAATATATATTTGATGTAAGATAATGTTGTAGAGATATAACCTTGCAAACTTATAGAAATGTAATCCAATAAAATCTAAAATTTAGAAAAAAAAACTAAATTTTAAAATTATTAAAAAAGTTAAAATATGTATAAAAGTAGCATGTTGTTGGTCCTATTTTGTATTTTCATATCTTGTCTTATATCTTATAAACTATAGAAAAATTAAATTAGTATTTGATTAAAGTTAATCAAAGACAAATATCATTAATAAGAGAAAGTGAATTTTAAAAGAAATATCCTAAATTAAATAAAGTTATATATCTTTTAATATTGATAATGAAAAAAAAATCCTACATTTGCTACCTATGAAAACTATTTAACTCAATTATGCAGTACTATTTTTATTTAGAAAATGACAATGTTATATATTTGTATTTATTTGATATTTAAAATTTTGATGTGTTTAATATTATAAGTTTTTGTTATTTTTGTGTTAATTTTTAATTAAACTTTATACATTTGATATTGTAAGAAATATCTCAAATTCTTTTATTAAAAATCTATTTTTCATCTAGAAAACATTTCCTCTATATTAAATAAAAAATTTTAAGTAAATATATTAAATAATAAATTTGCCCCCACTATGGAAAAATCCTGGATCCATCCCTGTGCTTGATTAAAGAGTTTAATCTAAATTTTCTCTCCTTAAACTTTTCCTTGGTTTCCAGTTTTGGAGCAAACAAAGGTTGGTGTGCGATCAAACCCGAACCGCCTTTTGCCTGGTATTTTTCTGAATCAAGCAACGACAGCCTTTTGTCATAGGCAGGCTTTGGGCCTGCCATGAATACCTAATGTGGAGCAACGGACAAGACCTTGTGTGTGGAATGGTAATCTTGGAGTAATAGGCGAGCAGCATGAGTCCTAGAGTCGGATGGACTTGCGGTCATTCCGGAGCTTGAGAGCTTGGTGGGGATGCTCTCGGATGAGCACATGCGGATATCTTCGAGTGAGTTGGTGGAGCAACGAGTTCTATATTACTATCATCGGGATCAAGAAAAAGAACGTTGTCCCTTGACTTTGCTTAAGTTGGTTTTAGATGGATTTGGAAAGAAAAATATCTCCATTTCAACATTTCAACAATTTTTGGTTTCCACCGCCTTTCTGGCTAGTAGGCAGGTGAAGGCTTTTTAGCCTGTGTGAGTTACTCCTAGTCATATGAAGTGTATACGTGGATGGGCATCGGTGAATCACGAGTATGGCGTGGCATTTTCTCGGGATATGATAAATTTAGGGATGGTCAGAGCTGGCGAGCCTCGTGTCATGCTAATGCATTAAGCTATGGGGTTAGATAGTAGCATTTGCTATATCCTTCAGTTTATCTCTCAGAATGGGGTAATGAGTAATCAAAGATCATGAGGTCGTGCTTGAGTAAGAGAAATTTAACAAGTCTAAGGGATGAACAAACTAACAGCAGACAGATTGTTAGACCTTTGTGGCAACTCAATAGCATGATTGGGAGTATAAAATAGCTTAGGCAACACACTCGAATACTTGATGAGATGTGAGCATAACATTAATTGTCTATTATATGCACGATATCATGGTCAGGTCTTGGTGTGCCTTGATTTTACCATGACTACCTCGATGCGAGCAGCAGACGAGATCTGGTCAATGGGATGGTGATCCATGAGCAAGTGTATCATGCTTGCAGCAGGCCATTGTGTGGGCACCCTGAAGCTTGTTAGTTCGGTCGGGTGCTTTTAGGTAAAACCTTGTGCAGGCACTATCAAGTGGGTTGATAAAGCAATGAGTGGAACTCGAGCATTATTGGGATCAAGAGGAAAATTACTGGACCTTTAGTTGGTTGGAGAGAAAAGTATCACCATTTCAGACATTGTTATGATTCTTGGTAGTATAGTTGTTAAAGCTCCTTTGCTTTTTATAGGGAGCGTTTGGTATCAACTTTTCACTACCCCTTTGGTTAGTATACAGTGGGAGTTTACTGGTTTAAAATGAGCTACTTCTAAACACATGTGATGTCTAAGTTGGCAAGCATGGTCAAGTCATGAGTGTGATACAATATTTTTTCAGAATATGGTAAACCTAAGGATAATGGAGTCGACGAGTTTCGTATCGTGCCTTTACGTTAAATCGTAAGATTAGATGGTAGTATTTGCTAGGTCCTTTGGTTTTCTCTCATCGAGTCGGATCATGAGCAACCAAGGTTCATACATGGGTGTTTGTGTAGGAGAGGCATCAATGAGCCCGAAGGATAAGCGAGCTAGTAAATAAGCACCTTGCTAGACCTTTGAGACTACTTGGTAGCATGTATGAGGTGTGTTGCAATTGGGGCAACACACTCGAGTAACTTGATGAAATATGGGTATAATGTTGGGTGTCCATCACGGTGTGAGTGGCCTAAAGTGAGACAAAGGGACGAGGCCCTAAGATGTAAGCTTCATGGTTAATAAAAGAAGCTTAGTGTGGCTCCAGGCTAGCTTTTGACCAACAGTATTGCGCCTTACGATTCTAGACACGAGGGCTTCGAATGATGCGTGCAGGTACAGTGTTGGGTTCTCAAAATGCTAGATTGAGATAGTATAATGAGAATCAAGCTTGCATGCCCCATATGAATCCCTAATGGGTTTATGCTTAGGACCTTAGTGCCTACAAACACTGGATTGGTGCTCGAGGCCACTTAGAGACTTGCAGGTTGATGATGTAATAGTAGTTGGGTTTCGTCAATGAGTTTAAAAATGTTACGAGTAACCCTATGAGCCAAGACATATAAAGTTATCATATAGGAAATCTTCGAATCATAATAAGTTATTCAAAAAAAAAAAAAAAAAAAACTCGTGAAAGATTGATTTTAATTATAAATAATTTTAGAGTTACACGATTGTGTAATTTAATATGAAAAACGTGTAATTCGTAAGACACGGATAATATAATGTAAAATTAAGGGGCAAGACCCCAAAGTATGATATGCGTGGATGATGCTTTGAGCCTAGTGTGGCTCTTGACTAGTTGCAAGTCAGCATTCGAGTTATACCTCAGTGTTTCAAGCACAAGAGCCACGGAGTTTCTGTGCAAATATGGTGTTGATTAATGCTGGGAGTTGGATGTCACCCCTTGTTGTGTTTTGAAATATTGCAAGCAATTTTGTGAGTCAAGTCAAGTTAGGCTTCATTTGGATAGCCAGTATTATTGAAAACAGTAATAAAATTTACTATAATTGTGATTAAAAAAAATTATTATAATTATAATTTAAAAAATAATAAAAAATTTATATTGATTTAACCTCATTGATATTAATATTTGGATCCAAAGTATGGTGAAATTCAAATGGGGACTTGAACTTTAATGCAAGACGCTAATGCGAATATAGGTTGTTAACTCGTAAAACGTAACAACGAGACTTCGATATAAGGAAAGAGCAATACGTGACACTTTTCGTGTCAAGCCACGGGTGGGATGCTATCACGATTGCTATATGTGACCTGAGGACAAGCGAATACCTGCAACGATACTAGGCTTCTTAATTGCTATTCTACTTGGGAGCCACCTCACATCTAATATCTAGTCCTCTCAAGGTGGGACGGTGGGAGCCATTCATTGTTGCCTTTCTTACCAAAAGGACAGACAAGAAAAGCAAAAGTCAGGTAAAAGAAATGGTTAGCACTCGTGGACTACTTGGTTACCTTCATTTTCATCAAGGCAGGGAAGCCGGATATGAATAAGATTGAGCAGTTTTCCTAAACGTTAGTTTTGTGTGGCTCTCTTTTCTTATCCCCTGCGCACACTTATTGGTCCTCCCATGAACGCTTTGTATTATATATTGCATGCATTATCTCCTTCGCTCCTATTAGTAGTCTTTAAATTTCGATGTTATGGACCATTCGAAACAAGAAAATGCCTCGCCAGAAGACCATGATCTGGAGTTAAAGCTTCCGCACTTAGTATTTACGAAAACAGTTCGCGAACTCTATTCAAAGGTTGTGAATGAGTGGGATTCCCTCAAAAAGTCTGCATGCCAAACGGCAGCTGGAAGAGCCCTGTGGAAGCATGTGATTCATGACCCTCTTGCAGATGTACTTGCAGGAGAAACATACCTAAGAAACCTTCACGAGAAGATTAAGAAAGATCGCCACAACAATGCTCGAGAAATTTCGGGAGTGATTCTGGCTGTTCGAACCCTTTGGTTTGATTCAAAAATTGAAGCTGCTCTTGATTCCTTTGGTGGTGCAGCTCAAGTTGTTCTCCTTGGCGCAGGTTAGTATTCACTCTACCCCGTGTTTAATGCACTATACTTACAGCATTCATATTAGAAGCAATGAAGCTCTGTACAACCTCGCTTTCTGCAAGGCACTGATCCCTTTATATCCTGCCGTCACATTGATAGTTACTGAACTAGATTGCTCAAACATCATGATTCACGCGTAACAATTTATCAAATGCTAGCCAATAAGCAGATTCATTTATACTGTAAAAAATTGCAATTACATGCCTCAGTGTAAGCTTGCATCCAGAAAGGCTTTCCTCCCAAGTAAAGCACAAGCTCTCCATTCCTGAACAGAGAAATTAAAAGAGTGGAACACATTATTTTCAAAAACATTGGAAATATTTTAAAATAAAAAATGCATGATCTTCATTTGCAGGAATGGACGCAAGGGCATATCGTTTAAACTGCTTGAAGGAAAGTGATGTCTTTGAAGTAGACTTTCCTGAAGTCCTGCATGTAAAAGCTGCCCTTCTTCAGGCAGCTCTGGAGTCCACAGAACATCTTAGGTTGATGGCAAAATCCTTAACGAGAGTAGCAGCTGACATTAGAGAGAATGACTGGCTTGAAAAGCTTCAGATATCTGGGTTTGTGCCAGAAAAAAATACAGTATGGGTTCTAGAAGGTATCATCTACTACCTCTCAAATTCTCAAGCCATGCAAGTACTGAAGATCGTAGCTGACAAGTGTACCCTCACCCATACAGTTCTCTTAGCAGACTTCATGAATAAAGCATCAACAACACTCTCCAGTTCTATCTTCCACTTCTATAGTGATTGGCCTGATAATCTTCTGCCATCTCTTGGATTTGCTAATGTTAAGCTTTCACAAATCGGTGACCCAGATGCTCATTTCGGGCTCATGCATGATCCATTGAATTTGTTCAATAAGCTTCGCAACTTACCAAGGTCAATAGAAATCAACCCGGACGATGGAACACCATGCCGTCGCTTATATTTGGTGCAGGCTTCTGGTTCACCGAATCAAACAATTTCCTTAAGCAGCATCCCAATGTAGTATATAGAGATCATATGCGCAAACATACTAGTAGCTATAATGTAGATGCAGGAATCATTATTTTTAGTGTTGCTCATGGAATATAAAATTCAATTAAACACAAGCAGCAACATGACTTTCAAGCAGTATAATGATTCTTTAAATTTTATAAGCATATAATATCACATAGTAGTTGACCAACCATTTCTCTTTGCAGGAATAGTTGAGGATAAGCATCCTTTGTAGTTTGTCTAAGAGAAAAACTCATATTTTGATTGATCATAAACAATTTTTGTTTATTGTTGAGTCTGTAACGATAAACTGTATGCATGTTTTCCTTCCCTTCTTTTTGTTTCAAACTTTGACCTGGTATAGCCCCTGAAAAGCAAATACTAAAAGGAATCATAGTACACTCACTTCCTACCAGTTAAAATGGTAGACATATATGTTCAGCCTAAATCTACAGATGGAGAATTTTCTCCAGTGACAAGTACTCCTTGCCAACTATCTGGTATCTACTGGAAATCTTTTTTGATGCATAAAGCAAATGAAATAAGAACTAAGATCTCAGAACTCACAAGCTTCCATTATAACTGGTAATTCAGCAGGTTAAAACCTGGATGTTATTCATTGTGTTAGATGTGTGATCTTAATTATGTAGTCTAAGTGGTTTAGTCGAAGGGTACAGATGGTAAAAGTTAGCATTCATCCAGAACTTTGATGCAAAAGTATATAAACATTTTCTCGATCTAAGGCCGAGGTAAATGACATGAATTTGGAGAATGTGCTCATATGATGTAATCTAGCAAAGAATGGTCAATAAATGCTGGAACGATGAAACAAAACACATCATAAACGGGAAATAGAACAAAATTTACAACAAAAATGAAGTCAAATAACATACTTCAGAATTTTTACAACCTTCCATGCTCCAGGTCCAGAGGACTAAAGCCTCCACAAAATCTCCAACCATCACATAACACCATAAAATCAATTAGAAAAGGAAGCCAGCATGGTCATACTTTGAGGCAATCCTTAACCCCCTGCTCAAATTTGTCAAGGGAGGTTATGGTATCCAGGAGTGCATCTGCAACCCTTTGCCTGTGGAAAAATAAATAAATAACTTAAATGCCAACAAAAAAAAAAGTAATCAGCAACCCTTATCTGGTAATAATAAAAGTTATGACTGAAAGAAGAAAAGCATCAATGCATGTTACTAGAAACGAACTCCATCTGCATTAATTACGTTGGGTTTGAACTTTGAACTGTAAAAGCATACCTACTGGAAGCAACTTGAATATCAGTTTCATTTGCCAAACTATTAAGTGAGGTAAACAAGCTGCCAAGAAAAAAAATAACAATAAGCATTAACAAAATATGCAGGTAAACAAATTATAATGACACTATAATGAATCAACAATTGACAGTAAAACACATGAGTGCATTATTCCGAAACTACCAGCCATTGGATCTCGGGGAAACACAAGGAAAATGAGGAAAATCGCTTTAAAATTATCTGGATATCAATGTTTCTTCCAACAAACATCTAAAAAAACTCTTCCAAGAGAAAAAAGATGCAACAATGTATGTGGAGAAAGAAACATCATGAAAATTTCCTTCTATATTTATAGCAAATTAGAAACCAGAATTGATAAATCAAAATCACCAAATGATGTTTTACATTTTTAGATTTCAAGCAATCAAGGTAAGTATACCATGATTACAAAAAGATTAATAGGAGCATAAGGCTTATCTGTTCAAAAGAGCAGATACCTTATAAGATCATCTAGCATAGCTTCAGCTTCCAGCTTAACAGGATTCTTATCCTCAAGCAAGGAAGAAGCATTCTTCACAATCAACCGGAATGTGCAAACCTGTGAATTATAGAAATTCGAACTACAAAATTATAACCTAAAATTAGGTCAAATATTGGGCATTCATTTCATCATGTTTGATTTTGTTTTGAGTTCAAATTTAGTGAATAAAACGAAGACAGTAACTATTAAACAAATTTTCACTTAGAATCAATGGAAAGTGCGAAAGAAATTTAGATTCTAATCTTAATTTAGTTCTAATAAGGACTAGAACAAACCTCGACTCCGGTATTGGCTTGAAATGCAACAAAGGAATTCCTCTCTTGTACAACGCAATCCCTAGCGGCAGATTTCAAGAGCTTTTGAACTTCCTCTAAATCCTTATTTGAATTAGTTGATTCCTCATCCACTATTCAAAAGTATCAAAACAACCGAAATTAATCAAAGAAACAAAAGAAACAGATTCGCATAATTGCAGAAGAAAATGGAAGAGAATACAAATAGAACGTACTGAGCAAAAGATAAGCAGAGCGAAGGCTTCGCCGAGAAGCATCAATTGGGGCCAAGAGGAATTTCGAGGACTTCCTTTTTTGCTCTTTAAGCCAATCCTTTGGTCCTGCTGCGCATATCAACAAACAGCGGTTAATAAAAGAAATGAAAAAGAGGGAGTCAGAGAGAGAAAGAGAGTTACGCACAAATTCCAATGGAGAATGCAGAAGCATGAGAGGGTTGGAATAGGGAAGGAAAGAGAGAGATTAGGGACAGAAACGCGGCGTCTCTGCGAGAGATTTGGATTTGATTCTGAAGGTGGCGTTGTCCTTTCCGTCGATTCTCTTGATTGGGGTTAACGGAGAGGTTTTGATTTGAAATGGGCTGCTGGGGAGGGAAGGGTGATAAGCCCGCGACGGTGGAGACGGGGGAGCTAGAGATAAGGCGGAGTGTGGGTGGCGGCATGGCTGAATGTAGTAAGCACGAGCAGCTACCAAGCCCAGGGAAATGTAAACGATCATTTTTAACGGCCAATTGTAATTTAACTATTGCCTATAAAGACTTAAAGGCCCTCCGTTCTTGCTTTCCCCTTCACCTGTCTAGATGCCCTCTGGTTCAGCTGCATTTCACGATTTAATAGTACTACAATATAAATATAATATAAAAATATTATAATTTAAAATTTTAATAACTATTATATATAAATTTAATAAAATAAAAATATATTTTATATTTTTATATCGAAATAAGATATAATTTTTATATAAAATATAATATAAATACATAAATTTTAATATTTTATAAATATTAATATATAAATTATTATATCTAAATTAAGCTTAATTAAGGTTCACTCTTTCTCTATTTTATATTTATTAATGGCCTTCCCGTCATGAAGAGCATTTGTTATCGTAAAGAATTTTTTATAAAAGTTACTGCCTACATATTTGGGGATATATGTAGTATTTTGTATTTTGTTAAATTGTAAAGTTGAATGAGATTTTTATTCAATTTATTTATATAATTATTAAAATTTAATAAATTTAAAGTTTAAATTTTAATATTTAAATTTTTTAATTTTTATGTTCTAATCTCATAAATAATTACATAATTATCTAAGATTAGTTGAAACTTTAAATTTAAATTTTATTGCTTACTTTTAGTTGGTTTGTGTTTTGACTAGTTAAAAAAATATTATGTCATGGACACAATGTTAATAAATAAAATATTGTTTTATTAAGATTTAAGAAAAGAATTGAATGAAATATACATTTTAATTTTTAATCTAGTTCTAATATCTCAATATTTATCTATTTAATTTATCTTATTAAAATATTATACGTTTAAATCATCTAAAATTAGTAATTTTTTAAAGTTTTATTTAAAAAGTTAATATTTGATATAAAATAAAATGGTGATGTTTTCGTTTAGAATCATACAACTTTGAAGTTTACAAAATCAAAATTTTAAAAAAAAACTTATAATTTAGTTTTGTAAAAAAAAAAAATTTTTTGGATTTTAGTTTGCTTTCAAAATACAAAGAGTAATAACTAACAATAAATAATAAATTGATATTTTTATGATAACAATTAATACTTAAAATAAATAATAAATAGATATTTTTATAAATGTAATTATAAAATAAAAAAATTTCATCCATAATTTATAATAATAAATAAAAGCCACTATGTATTTAGACTTTTTCACGTGAAAATATGTCCTAATATTATCTAAAAATACTGGACAGGATTTGCTGAAGAAGGTTGCGAGTTGCAACCCAGCCGAGGGAAAGGATTTCTTCATGTTGTTATCATTCCAGCATCAGCAAGGCAAAGCAAAGCCACAAAAAAAAAAAAAATCTCAAATTAATTTACCGAAAAAATAAATCATTTCTCATTTCTCATTAAATTATATTTGTAATATAAGATGATAGATAACATATGATAATAATTATTTTATGTTATGTGTAATTTATATTTAAAAAATAATTAAAATTTTAAAATTTTAAAAGACATCGAAATTTACAAATTTAAAAAGTTAAAAATGAGAATGAATAATAAAAAAAAGAAGATAATTTCAGGGCTGATTTAAGAAAAAAAATTGTTAAAAAACACATTTTAGAACCTACCGTCCATCGGTTTCCCGTCATAAGAAAGACGACAAAAGACATAAGAAACGCACTGCATAACTTTTTATGATCCGGTACGCAAGTAATAATGCCATGTGTCAATCCATCGATTTTTAATGAATTTCCTCGACCGTTTAATTTTTGCCTGTGTGACAAAACTGAAAATCGAGATCAGAAGAATTCCCTCTATTTTGCTCTCCTCAGATCGCACTAACCAACATGGATAATCCAGTTCTGATTCCAATTCCATATGGGAATAAGAAGCCTTCTTTTTCCCTTTACCGAAACAAAGGAATTAGTTCAATTTAGTTGTTAGATGTCTCCTCCTCGTCTCGTCGTTTCGGTTGCAACCTAATTGCCAATTTGTAACCCCACATTCCCAATTTTTTCATCACCGGAATCAGATTCTCTGCTTTTTATGGTTTCCACTTAACTTCTTAGCTCTCTCCTTCAGATGCCTATTTAATTCCACCATGGGAATTCCCAAGAAATTCGTTGCCTTTGGCCTCTCCATCTTCTCCCTGACTTTCCCGCTGCTTTTTCCTCCCGGATTCTTCCCTTCTCCTCCGGATTTCCCGCCAAAATTAAAGCTATCCTCGCTGCAGGTTACTAGCTACTCTTTTAATATTTATATGTTTTTTTTTTTCCTTTTTTTTGGTAGTTGCATTTAACATTTGCATTTTTTGAGTGTTTGTTTTGGTATACAAAGGAGGCATTTGGAGTTTATTTTCTTTGTTTGGTTGTTGTGGTTGAGGTTAGGGAAACTATTTGTTTGGTAGAAATTTGGGGATTAGAATGAAATTAATTTAGTTGGAATTGGATTAGTTTTGATTGAGAAATTGGATTTTTAGGTCTTACTTGGAGCATACGTTGGAAGATTCTTAGGCTCGGAACTTAACGTGGTGCACTGTTTGATCTTTGATTTAACACCTGAGGTAAGTTGTCAAGGTTTTTGTCTAATTGTCTCTAGGAAAATCTTACTGTATACTTTTCTTGATTATTATTAACTTTCTTTTTTTTTGTCATGAGAAGGAAAAAATAGATGTTTTTATTATGATTACTTGACTGTATAAATTGAGTAGTCAGAAAGGCACTCGAGTTCGTACTAATTTGTTGGGAATAATGCATGGTGCTGTGTATGATAAGTTATCCGGCTGGTTTTTATAATCTAATATTTGTACTCTCACATGAATCTGACCAAAACGTTTAGATGGCATGACTTTTGAGTTGTGAATATGTGATTGATTTTAATTACTTAGGCTTTTGGCTTTTTATTTTCGCAGTTAATCATCTCAAATGATTATCAAAAAGTTATACTCATTCTAGTTATAGCACAGCAAGTAATAGTCATTTTTCTTGGACATGACAACTGTTGTTGTCATGGGAGACATGTTAATGGATTAAGGAATTGGATCGGACTTTATTATTACCATTAACACTAACCCCTTTTTCTCCTTGCTCATTTATTCAGGGGCTAATCAGTCGCTCTCTCACTACTCAATGGACCATAGTGCCAGGACAATGTTAGGTGACAAAGCATCAAAATCTCATCTCACGGTGAACACCAATGGTGGTGAGAAACCACATGTATGGTCGTCTTCTGAAGGAGGATGTCAAATTGATATAGGAAAACAAATTTTCTGCAACAGATCACTGAATATGAAGAATATTATTGCTGTTGGCTTTGATATGGATTATACCTTGGCACAATACAAACCTGAGACTTTTGAGTCCCTTGCATATGAAGGCACAATCAGAAAATTGGTGTATAATTTGGGCTATCCACAAGAGGTTTGTCAACTTTCTACATTTTGTACATCATCTGAGGAAGAATGTTGCCAAAGTTAAAGTGATGTGTAGAGACTTGCTGATAAGGAAAAAATTATATGCAGTTACTAGAGTGGACGTTTGATTGGAAGTATATGGTTAGAGGCTTGGTTCTAGACAAAAAGAGAGGCAACATCTTAAAGGTTGACCCCTTTTTTTCTGCTACAATTTCTCCCTAACCAACTTGACTTAAATATTTCTGTCTCTGTCTCTGACTGACTGTCTCTCTCTCTCTCTCTTATGTACTTTGCTTGAATATGATTTGTATTGATGGTTGTCTTTTACAGATGGATCGACATAAGTATGTGAAAGTAGCGTACCATGGGTTCAAAGAGTTGTCCAAGGAAGATAAAGTTGGCACCTATGGGAATACACTCATACAGGATTCTTTTGATGAGCCAGATTATGCCCTTATTGATACACTGTTTTCACTAGCTGAAGCATACTTGTTTGCTCAACTGGTTGACTTTAGGGACAATAATCCTGGAAAAGTTCCGCAGGGTACTGAGTAAGAAATTTAGTTACTGCTTCAAGAACCTTTTTTCTTTTTAAATTTCTGTGTTACTATTTTCTTTCTACTCATCTGTTGGAGAAATCCTAATAATGTTTGTAGAGTTGCGATCAATTAGGTTTCCATTTATTTGCTATCAGTGCAATAAGAAGTCACTGCATGCTAGTAGAAGCATTTAAGAAGATCTAAGTTTGAAAGTAGCTCACCATGGTTGGAATTTTGATGTGATTGAACTATATGGTTGCTGAACATTAATATAATAAACATGCTGCATAGTTTGATGCTGAAATATAGCGTACAGTGGGGATTATTAGGTATCTATATCCTGATTCCTTTTGTCAGGTTTTGTATATTAAGCAATGCCTATGTAAATGATGCTTCAGTTATTCTCGCATGTACAAAGATGTTCGGGCTGCTGTTGATTTGTGCCACCGGGATGGAACCTTAAAGCAAATGGTTGCAAAGAATCCTAAAAGGTAAGTTGAAAAGTGGCATTAATCGAAAAGTGGCTTTTAGATTACAAAATGTTTGTGAGTCTCTATTTAAATTCACAGGCAGCTTGCAAAATGGGGCATATTGATGGTTGTTTGAACATATTCTTATAATGCAATTTGGACCGTGTTTCATTTAGTTGTTTTCCATTTCATTATCAGGTATATCAATGAGGACACCTCTATAGTACCTATGCTCAAAATGCTGAGGGCTTCTGGCCGTTCAACATTCTTGGTGACAAATAGGTATATATCTATTGCTGATTTCAAATCTTAATTGTTTAGGCATGAAAAATAATATGGGATTCAATGTCCTTTTTTCTTCAAAGAGAATTCGCCCTATGTTGGAAGAAAACATTGGTATCAATGCTACAGATGGTTTTTCATTCATACTTAGTGATTCTTGAGGTTTTTGCTTTTTAATTGAAAGTGTTTCATATTTATATGCATCTTTATATTACCATACCTGACTTCCATTTCCAAAAGGCTTTTCTGAATAATCAGTTAATACTTTATTACATCTCTTGCAGTTTATGGGACTACACAAACATTGTAATGAATTTTCTCTGTGCATCCCGTACATCGGATGGTGGTATCACTTGCAATTTTGATTGGCTTCAATATTTTGATGTCGTGATCACTGGCAGGTCATGTTCTTTTATGTCATATTATAGATTGTAAATCTTGGTGCTTTTTGACCCTTCATCATTTGCACTAGTGAATTAGTTTCAACCAAGCTCAACATGATCCTAGTATTACCTTTTGGTTTCATTAATATCTATAGCACATGATATGTGCTACATCCTTTGATTTCTGATGTTGAAGATGAAAATATCCATACAGCGCAAAACCTGGCTTCTTCCATGAAGGCAAACATGCCAACATTTTTGAGGTTGAAACTGAGTCTGGAATGCTCCTCAATACTGACAATGGCACTCCTATGCCTCAGGTTGGGTGAAGTATGGTATTCTTGTTCTGTATTCACTCAATGGTATGGTCTTGTCTGATGGTTATTTGGTGATTTAAACTTATCTTTGGATAAAAGGTGGGGAATACTTCACCAAAAGTGCTGCTGAAGGGATTAAACAAAAGTTGCCGAGTCTTCCAGGTATTTTGAGTATTATCTAGTAAAAAATAGTGGAATTTTCTATTTTAGTGTATGTGAAATAGAGTTACAAGCTGTGCCTGATTTATCTTAGACTATTTCAAAGGTAGAAGTAGATTTATGAGATAACAGCTAAAAATTTCTTTGAACTTCTCAGGGTGGCAGTGTTGGTCATCTACATAAGTTGCTTTCTATAGAGTCAAGTTCACAGGTGATTCTTTGTTTGATGAGGTGAATCATTAATGAGTTGTTGACTTCAGAACTTGTATTATTTGGATCATTGTAATCTTTGGCCTCTTGAATTCCATAGTAAATACTCTACATATTTTGGTCCCTGAGTTATTTTAATTGATGGCTTTTGTTTCATTGTTTGTCCTTCATAATCTAATTAGTTTCATGCTTCTATTAGGTTCTCTATGTTGGAGACCATATCTATGGAGATATTTTGCGCAGCAAGAAGGTTCTTGGTATGAATTTATATCTTTGTTCCCAATCCCTCCTGTTTGCTCTAGCATTTAAATTGATCATTATTGTTTAATTTAATCATATGAGATTGGACCTTTGAACATATCTGAATTGGAGAATTTTAATATATCTTGGTCTATGAAATGTAGTGGTTTTGTAGTTTGCAGTAATATTAGATGGAATTTTGACTGTAAATATATATATATATATATATATTGCCAAGACTACAGGTATTCATGAATTATGTTAAACAACTGAAACACAAAAGTATGCAGTAAAAATATATCCAGAATCAAATACAATATTTATGCCAGAAAGAATTACATGATATTAGGAGTTTTTTATTTGCTGTATTTGCATGCAATGTTTTCTCATGATTTCAATGTGTTGTTGGGACTAAATCTTCCTTGTGTCATCAAAATTTATGATCTGTCATCATTATTTTTGTTGATAGTTGCATGGTGATCATTGCTGTTAATGTAGTTTTGTATGTGTATGTTAACATTGTTCCTTTGGTGCGTAAGTGCTTTTAATTCCGTAATTTATCTATGATTAGGGTGGAGAACAATGCTTGTTGTTCCAGAGCTTGAGAGGGAGGTTGAATTGCTTTGGGAATTAAGAGATATGCGAAAGGTGGGTTATCCGTGTTGGATATGATGTTAAATTGAGATAGTGGTCATGGTATTTCAATTTTATATCATATTGTTTGGATAATATATTGTTAAATTTTAATTCATTAAGAAGAGTATGTTGTAATAACAATTAATGCCTTAACTTGGATTATACTCTATTAATGAACTGTTTGCATGTTGCTTTTCTCTTGACGGCAATTTGTTACCATAATCTCTATCTCTGTGTTCTCCGTATGGTGCTTCTAATTGTCGAATAAGTTTTTAGGGAATTGTGCAAAAGAAAAATGTCAAAGCATTGAAGATAATTGTTATATCTTGAGTCTATGAGAGCTCTAACCATGTATCCTGATTGATCACTAGTATTTTATTTCCCTCACAACTAACACTAGTAATTTCATGCAGCAACTAAGGTTGTTGAGGAATGAGCGTGATCTTGTTGAAGACCAAATTCATCATTTGAAATGGGCTCTCAAGTAAGTACCTCTTTTATTATTCAAAACTACGTTATCATATCACTACCGTTCCCTAAAATCATATATTTTAACCCCAGATTTGATTTCTTTGACTAATGTCATTGACTTTTTAAAAATTTTCTTCTATTTTTTTCTTATTAATTTCTACTTGATCACATCAAAATCATTAGTAGTCCATTGCCTTCATTTGAAGAGGACAAATGGACGATTTTCTGCTTTGCTTTAGCAACTTTGGTTATTGTTATTTGTTTTTCGCTTTGGTTCCTTTTGTTCCCTTTTGAACAATGAGTTGCATTCCTGTTGTTCAGGTTTGAAAGTCTTCGTAATGATGAAAAGCAGAAAATGACTTCCGCTGTGGGTGAACTGGAGGTTAGGCCGTCAGACCTTGATGTATTTTATGTAGTGCAAGATGGATGATTTGAAGCTTTCTCATAATTTTATTTTCAATGGTTTCTTTTAACAGTCACACAGGGATCAAGTGCGACTTGCTCATCAACAGGCTCAATGGGAGTGTCATCAAAAGGTAGAGGAACTTTTTTTTAATCACATCTTTGGATTATTTCAGTTGCTGAGGGGCCTATCAAGTTTTAAGCAACCTTTAAGTCAGGTGTACAAACAATTGACTATTTTATTTGTTCACAAAACAGTTTCACAAGATCTGGGGACAACTCATGAAGACTGGCTATCAAAACTCTCACTTTGCTCATCAGGTAGGACTGAACCATCGTCCTTTTTGATAGAGTTTTAGAAGGATTTGGTAAAAACTTTTGAGAATGTTTTATCCCATTGCAGTGAAATATAGTAGTAATTTCCTTTACATCTTCACACAATGCAGGTTGAGAGATTTGCCTGTCTTTACACTAGCCAAGTCTCCAACTTAAGCTTGTATTCCCCAGACAAATACTATAGGCCTAGTGAAGATTTCATGCCTCATGAATTTCATATTCTTCCGTTGTGAAATCAGTTCCGGGACTGACAACTGAAGGAGGTGTTTTGTTCCAAGAAGCAAAATAACTTTTCTTTAGGCTTTTAAAATAAAGCCTCAACCCCCTTCATTTTCATTTTTTCCCTCAATGATGACATCATTGTAATTAGATTTGCTCACTTGTATTCTCAATTGATGGAAAAGACGCTTTAAGTCATTGATCCTCCATATGTAGATGTATTTCTTTGGATGCACACTTTCCCATGGCATGATGTGATTTTCTAAACTTTGATGTTTTTCGATGTTTTTTACTAATGTTATCTATGGTCATTTGCCAACATCACCGGTATTTTCTGTTTCCTTTTTAAAAAGCTGTGGTTGTTATGGATTTAACTTCAATGAGCTAATTTCCCGGTGGTATTTTTCTTTATTGTTCTTTTCCGTGGCTTAGATGGGTCTTACAATGGCTTAAGCTTGATGTTTAAGAGGTGGGATTCTAAAAAAACTGCTGGATCAACAAAGAATGGAAGAGACTCAAAACCCAAGAAGCTTGGGGTGAAGAAGTTCAGTGGTGAGGTCAATTAGTAATGGTAGTAGTAGATTTCATTTTATTTGATTTGATTAGTTACTTTGTTGTGCAGAGGGTCATTCCTGGAAACATTATATGGTTCGTCATCGAGGAACATGGTTCCATCCTGAAACTATATTTGGATTGCGAAAGATCATACTTTCTAGTATTCTACTGCCATGAACAAGATATTATGCTATAAAACGGTGGAATCCTTCTGGAAAACTATTACTGGCATAATTCTTTTATCTTAGTATGATTATAAGTCTCTTTCTGCTTTGGATAGGAAATAGTCTTTCTAGTCGAGTGGCCAAGCATGAAGCAGTTAAACTGAAGAAGTTGATGATAAACCCTGCTGGGGACTCATCATTGTCTTAGCAAAGCACACGCCCGATGTCTTTTACTGGACTGGAGTTATTGAGATACAAGCGGTCGGTAGAACAGCCGCAAAATCATGTTGAGAATTTTCTGGGACGTCAAATATTTGTATCACTAGGTTTGAATTCTGAATAAAAAAAATTGTTTTCAGGTTCAGTTAATGCGTTCTTGGATTGCCACTAAAAAAAAGTAAACTTAATAATGCAGCAAGGAGTCCTAATATTTTACAATTTTACACTCTACATGTTAAGATATGTGAGAGAAAGTGCCAATTACAATGAAAATTGTTGCTTGTTATGACAACTGACTGCAAACAAGCTTTTGAAATATGGAAGAATCATGCTGGATGCAGTTGGTCTCCCGTCTCTTCTTCATGGCTGACTTAGGCCATTTTCGTTAGGCGTAGAGATGCGGCAGATTGGATAGCCTGCTAGATTTCCTTATAAAATAGCTTTTGAGCCCAATGGGTGCACAACTAAAAACAACAGGTATAGAATGGTTGAGCAGGTACTTACACAGAAGCCACGGCTAAAAATGGTTAACATCAAACACTCTTTCTGCTAGTTCTCATCTTATCTCTCCAATGTCTTTCATTTCCACCGGTTCAGGGAAGATTTCATTTGACAACCTTTTATGTGAAGATGAGTGTTCCATTCCCGCACTGCAATGAGAACCTACTCTACCTGGTTGCCTAAAACCACTAAAACCCTCTCTGTTTGGGTGGCCTGAATTGGTGGCGCTCTCTGATGAGCTCTGTCGCCAACTACCAAAGAAGGCAGAACTCCAAGATCTGCTAGACGAAGATGTTCTTAGTCTCGCAGGGCTAAAACTCTCCTCCCTTACCACTTTCAAAGGGTTTTCCAATGCTTTAAGAATATGTTTCATTGAGGGTCGTTTGGAAGGCTTTGGGTTAAGGCATGACTTTGCCACGATTGCCATGGCCCATACCTCTTCCAATAGATCCTCATCTACTATCAAGGATGGGTCCATGATCTCAGTCACCAATTCCTTTTCGTATATACTGATGCAAGGAAGGGTTTGCTCAAGCCATTCCTTTGTAGAAGCATCTTCTGCTTTACCAATTCCAAGCTTGCCTGTTATAAGCTCAAGTAATACCTTTCCAAAACAGTACACGTCATAAGCACAATTAGTCGGAGAAGAGCCTGTCCATTTCCAAGGAAATTTATAAGACTTATGATTTTCTTTCCAGTAAGAACTGATGCAGAAAAAAAGCCTGTAAAATGCTGTATGTTTTATATTCCAGAACCTCCCCTACCCAACTACAGTTTTTATAGATAATTATAGTCCCATGAGCGAATTGGATCAATTTCGACAAAGGATATATTGATGTTGGTGGGAAAAAATCTATAGTTTCAGTGATGGAAACTAGTAATGGATATCATCTGTTAGCACATAGGTACAACAGTGTACATGTGAATAATAACTGCTTAACATTTCAAATTCAACCAAGGCATTCAACCCCAGCCCTTCCAGGCTAAGAATGGTAATCAATGAAGTGAATCCCCACAGAGTAGTGAATTATTACTATTCAATTTGACATGTTGACAAATGGTAATTGGTAATATGAAGAATATTAACAACCATGAAATCGAGTTTTACTTACCTGAATCTGAAGGGCCTGGCTCGGAGGTCCTGCACATAACCAAGAGAAAAATTTATTATAGCACTTAACAAATATACAATAACAGAAAAAAGAACTTATCTCCTGCTCATATGCATATTATTTTACATGTCATGAGGCCACATAAAAGATCAAATATCAATGAATAATACAAATAATCTATAAATGCAACTATTGCTACAACGAAAAAAGTTAGAATCTAAAGTTGTATCAGCTGCGCAAAGCTGTTGTTATCCATTAACCTATTTCCATCACTCCAATGCCCCTGGGAAGAATTTGTGTTTTATTGTATGGTTTATAATTCTTTTCTATTGCTTCACTGAGTTGGGTATCGTGTGTGGCTGGTCAGGTATTGCCTCCAATATATTGGCCTCAATTGGCCCCAGCCTGAGCCCATAGGTGGACTCTCTGACAAGAAAAGTCTTCTTTAGTATCAAAACTACCATTTTAAGTCAAAGAAGACCAGCAAACCAGTATATTCCAATTCTAGTTGATTTAATTCACTAGGCCATAGCCCTTTCAGATCAAATTAACTATGTCAAAAGTAGCATGCATAGCAATATGATATGGATACTAATTGCTTTCATTGTAAGACCAAAGGCCGGCTGATCAAACATTTGGGTGCCAGGACTGCAAACTGAAAGATACAAAACCAGATATATTATGTTCAAGGCTAAAAGACAAAAATATAAGAAGGTAATGAAAGTGAATTGTTTTAAATCAATTGAACCATTGAGGACTGAAGAGAATAGCCAAACCACAGACAAACAACAGATAATAAATCAAGTCTGTTATCAAAAACCAAGTAAATCTATTAAGTTATTCCTGGATTAATTCAAAAAATTCCAAAACAAAAGATACACAAACTAATATAATGCTTCATGGTAAATAGGCATTGTAAAAAAGATTAGCTTGTATAATACTTACTGATGATTCCAGAGCAACCTTGTGAGCACATTTTGGTGTGTATCCCCTTCCTGGCGAGAAATTTCACTCAAGCTTCCAAGTCTCACTTCAAATTTATCATCAAGAAGGATACTGCTTGCTTGAACATCCCTTCAACCACCAAAGTAATAAAGCATTAAAGATTGATGCTATTGAAAATGAAATCATAAAGCTAGTGAGAAGTTACAAAAATAAGATGAGCAGCATAATTAAAATGGAGAAAGGGACAGCAATGAGTAACTACTAGCATATAGATTCATTCTTTAGTACCAGACTTGGACATTTCTAGATACTATCATTGAATACTAACTATCATTTTACTGAAACGAGAATAAAAATAGCCAAAAGCATGTCCCAAACACCTGTGAACAAGGGGAGGGTTACATTCATGGTGCAAGTAGCATAGGCCTTCGACAGCTCCAGTAGCTACTTTCAACCTTGTAATCCAATCCAGGGACTGTAAGCTATCATCCTCCATGTTGGTAGCCCTGTAAAAGGAATTGGCCAAATCTCCATTTGGCATATATTTGTAGACCAAAAGCTTCTCAGTTTCATGCTCCAAGCAGTGCCCCAAGAGTGGGACAAATCTCGAGTGAGTGAGCTTTCTGAATAAATCCAATTCCATCACGTATGATTCTTTCTTGAAAGAACTCAAATTGACCTTTTTGATGACCACATGGATCCCGCCTTCCAAGATACCATGAAATAAGTCTCCTGAGTGGCCATGCTTAATAAGATTTGTCTCACTAAAATTACCAGTTGCATGGAGCAACTGCTCATATGTAAATGGATCTCCAGAACCAGCTAAGATTGTAGGATTTTTTGGAAGTTGAGGACTATCCCCTTCTGGAACAGGCCCTACATCTGCACTCCCTGTTTGATTTCTAATGCCCTTATCACACCGTCGCAAGAGCAGCACTAGCACCAGTACCAAAATTACAATGAAGCCAAGTCCACCACCTACTCCTGCCAAGACAAATATCCATTGTTTCCTGCTCGCTGAACTAGAATCTGCAGGAGGTGGCTGTATCGTGTCTTGTAATCCAAAATTATCAAAACTTAGCCCTCTGTCTGTATAAAACAGTCTACAATCCTCCAAACTCCTCTGCTTCAGCACAGCCTGAAGGCAATTTTTGTCAATAGTAGCATTTTTTTCACTGTCATTAATTACCTTGCCTTGAAAATAGTTACCAGAGAGATCAATAAATTTGAACATCCCAAGTGAAAAATTCAAAGTTCCATATAAAAAATTGTTCGACAGATTGAACTCCGCAGCTGTAGCAGCACTACTATTAGAATGAGGACCAGGTAAAGGACCTGTAAAATTGTTGCTAGATACGTCAAGGAATCGCAAATTAGGCATTGACCAAAATGTACCATTAAGAGCACCATCAAGTTTATTCCTACTAAAATCCACAACTTGCAACTCAACAAGATTAGAAAACAAATCAACAGGCAGATGTCCTTCTAGCTTATTGTTCCCAATCACCATCTTTTGTAAACTTTTTAACATCTTAAATTCCTCAGGTAACGACCTGAACAAAGAATTCTTACTAAGATCAAGCTCAACCAACCTTGAAAGATCACCAAACTGAACAGGAATTGAACCAGAAAGGTTATTATCCGAGACATTTAACACTTGAAGACCTTGTAAAGAACCTAAACCAGGTGGAATTGACCCAGATAAGTAATTTGAAGCAAGTTCAAGCCTTTCAATGTTTCCAAGAAAGCCAAAACTTGGAGGAATTGAACCAGTTAGCGAATTAACCGAAAGATCAAGAATTTTTAAATTCTTTAAGTGTCCCAAAGTAGCAGGAATTGAACCAGCAAGATTGTTATTACAAAGATACAAAGAAGTGAGTCGACTCAAGTTACCGAGTGAACCACGGATTGAACCAGAGACATTACATGACCGGAGATCAAGAACCTCGAGGTTGACCAACTGGTTTCCGAACCAATCCGGCATTGACCCGGGAAGCAGGAACCCGGAAGCATTGAAGGAAACTAACCGAGTCAAATTAACCAAAGAATCAACATTGAACCGGGGCTTGAGTCGTCCAAGTCTGGTTCTTCTTAAACCGGAAACACTGATGCTCCTGACAGCGCCGTTCTGGCATTGGACGCCAAGCCACGATGTGCAAGGGTCGGCCTTGATGGGCCAGTTTTTGGCTCGTAGACCCAATGATGAGCGGAGATCGAGCAATGCCCGCCGTTCGATAGGAGAACTTATCGAAACTTTCTGAGCTACCACGCACTGGATCAAGAACAAGATTACAGCTAACAATAATATTTGTAGCACACTTCTTTGAGCATCCATTGGTCACGTGAAGCTGATGTTCATGAAGCTCTATGGAGGCTAAGTCTTTGCCTCATACAGAGAAAATATATATTAAAAAATATATAAAATTTTCTTGTTCTTCGTAAATTCTACCTCCAATCACGAGCTTTGATTCTACATTCGATGTTGTTCCTTTGTTACCACCGACCCCATATTAATAATTTCACCAAGAATAAATTTTAAATTGAACTGCACACGTTTAAAGTTCAGAAAAAAACCAAACAAAACAAAAATGTAAGATGTACGACGTTAATCTCTAACTTTAAGCTATCATGCTAAAAAGGGTTGTTACTGTTTCCAGAGAACAATGAATGAACGATGGCACGGGCTTTTAAGAGAGGGGGGTCAGCCCGGTCAGGTTATATTAATGAGAAACCGCCAGGTTTTCTGCCAATAGTGCGTCGCTTTCACTATCCACCGGAGCTATTCGTTGTTATTACCACTACTCAGATGAGCCATCGGTTGAAGCAGAGCTTCAATGGTGGTGGACTTTTATGCCTGGTTTATTGACCTGGCAACCGGGAAAAAAAGATTGTGCCTTGGTCGTGAAAGCCCGCTGAGGTAAACGACAAATTTGTGAATATACGAAAATCAGGGATCCTTTCATT